TACTACTACTACTACTACTACTACTACTACTACTACTACTACTACTACTCACTGCTGACTTTGACTGCCAGGAACCTCGATCAAATCACGGATCTTTCAGACGATTTTTCCAAGGGAGATCTATCGGCTCGGGATTTTGCGCTACTGGCAGTCTGAGCCCGTTTGCCGGGCAGCTCGGCAATCCAGCGATTCTTGTAGTCCTCTGAAAACCTTGGAGCAGATCGATCTCTGAGGTGACGAGCTCGAGTCTCGCCTCGGCAAGGCACAAGTCAATTGGGAGCCATCCCAATCGTGGATGTCCAATGGGCGAGTGAATCCAGCGCTTCTGCGCTAGTGCGCGCTGCGGACGGCCTCTTGCAGCCGATTTGCTGACAAGACCTCCATCCAAGGCAAGGCTCTCTCCCTTAAACGAATACTACCTACCTACGTTAAACGAATACTACCTACCTACCTACCTACCTACCTACACTTGCGACCCAGACCTTTTCGCTCAGGGACTGCTGGCTGACCGAGCAGCTCCTATTGCACTTGCGAGAGGGGACCACCTGATCGAGAAGCTCAAGCGCGGCAAGTCGCAAGCCTTGACTTCTTGTAGTCGTCGAAACGTCACAGGACTGACGACGGGTGCCGACTGTCTTGTCCCCTTCATCGCCATTGCGCATTGTGACTGCGAAACAAGATGGACGCTCAGACGGCAGACTCGCATTCTGATTCCGGCCAGCTCTTACCGCGAGCGGGGCCGTTGCGCTGGGACGACAGCACCCGAGATCCGCATCTCAACAGATATCCTCGGCTGGGCAAAGACTACCTCGTCCGACAAATCAATGACGCACAAAGCGCCGCAAGATTGATCCTGTCGCGTGGGCTGACTACACTTTTTGGGATCAGTCGAGTCGATTGATCGAGCTGGCATTGAGCATTCCCGAGGTCCACAACTCCCGACTCTCGGACGCGCATGAATGGTGAGCCTCGGCGATCCGAGATGGGGTGCAGATGATCGGTCGAGTCGCGGACGCTGCAATGTGAATCACATTGAATGCATACGCACAGTCCAGTCCGATCCGATGCTTTGCTCTCACAAATGCTCGCAGCGAGATTCGAGCCATTTATGCCCCGGTACGCATATTGCGGATCATTCATTCGTTCGCACTACATTACGAGCATCAAAAATGACAGCTGCCCCTCTTTCGAGGTGCTCCTTCAGGCACATCAGCCCCGGCAATCAAGGCAAGATTTCACTTTGAAGGGTGTCGTACGGTACTACCTGCCTGCCTGCCCGCTAAGCGTTCCTGCTCACTTAGGGGTCTCTGCAGCGGAAGAAACGAACGCGCATTTTGAGACCTGTATATCAGTCAGCCCTTTGTATGTGCAATTCATAGCTGCTCATCCTTCAGTGCGGATGGATCGTCCAAGGCGCACAAAAGGCTCGTCACCCTCTTCAGTTGGGGACCTAGCTGCTGCATGAATCCCCTGCATATCCTAGCTACACCGATAACCTTTGCGTTTGACGCATGCAAGACACGTCGTGTGAAAAAAAAAAAAACAGAATCAGCACTCGACTCTCGACCCTAAATGTGCGGACGAGCTTGCGAGGAGCCTGGCTGGAACGTTCTCGAGCTTATGTCGGACTGCGGGCGAGCGTGATATCGAATTTGTCATCTAGAGGAAATCACATTTTCACCAACGACTTCACGCCAGATAGTACTTCTGTGTACGAGAAATCACATTGCAGAATATAGGACACCGGAAACGAGGTGAAAAGATTTGGGTAAATCTTTTTTGGGGGAAGTGGTTTGCGGTGCCTCGAGCGCAAAGTATTGGGGAAGGCGAGCTGGAGTGTGAGATCTATGGGACGAGAAGACCTTTACGCGCTAGCGCGTGCCTTTGCCTTGGCAGCCATCAAGTTGAGTGCGGACCCTGCCTTGAACCATTCGATTTGACCAGGGTTGAAGGAGTGAACGAGAGGAATCTCATCGACGCTGCCGTCCTTGTGATGAGCAACAAGGGTGATGGTGGAGCCCTCAGCGAGCTCCTTAACGCCCTTCAAGTCGACGTGGTCCTCGGGTTGAACCTTGTCGTAGTCAGCCTCGTTCTTGAAGGTCAAGGGCAGGAGACCTTGCTTCTTGCAATTGGTCTCGTGGATACGGGCGAAAGATCTTGTGATGACGGCGTAACCTCCAAGGTAGCGCGGCTCAAGCGCGGCGTGCTCACGAGAGCTGCCCTCTCCGTAGTTGGAGTCACCAATGACGACCCAAGGCTTCTTCAAGGTGTCACGGTAGTATGCGGCGGTGGCAGGAACAGGGCCCCACTCGCCAGTCTTGAGGTTTTGAACCTCGTTTGCCTTGTCGTTGGCGGCATTGATGGCACCGATCAAGCAGTTGTTGGAGATGTTCTGCAAGTGGCCACGGTACTTGAGCCAAGGTCCACCAGCCGAGATGTGGTCAGTTGTGCACTTTCCCTTGGCCTTGATCAAGACGGGCAGGCCCTCAGGGTCTTTTCCATCCCAAGGTGCGAATGCGTCCAAGAATTGCAAACGGTCAGACTTGGGGTCGATGGCCACTTGAACGGAAGCGCGGTCCTCGGGAGGAGCCTGGAAGGTCTCCTCTCCCGGGTCGTAGCCGCGGGGTGGCAGCTCCTTACCGGTCGGGTCAGAGAACTTGAACTCCTTGCCGTCAGCGCCCTTGAGCGAGTCGGTCAAAGGGTTGAAGGTCAAGGATCCTGCAAAAGCCATGGCGGTGACAAGGTCTGGAGATGCGACGAATGCGTGGGTAGCCGGGTTGGCGTCGTTACGGCCGGTAAAGTTTCTGTTGTAGCTGGTGATGATCGAGTTCTTCTCGCCCTTCTTGACGTCTTGCCTGTCCCATTGACCAATGCAAGGACCGCATGCGTTGGCAAGCACAACACCTCCTGCATCGCTGAGGGTCTGCATTTGTCCGTCACGCTCAATGGTAGCGCGAATCTGCTCAGATCCAGGAGTGATCGTGAATTGGGACTTGACCTTGAGACCGTGAGCGGCTGCCTCCTCGGCGATCGAGGCAGACCTGCTCATGTCTTCGTAAGAAGAGTTGGTGCATGAGCCAATCAAGGAGACCTTGAGTTCTTCGGGCCAATTGTTCTCCTTGACGGCCGCAGCGAACTTGGACAAGGGAGTCGCAAGATCAGGAGTGAAGGGGCCGTTGATGTGGGGCTCGAGATCAGAAAGGTTCTGCGAGCAAGAGAGAGTACAAGCGCATCGTCAGCTGTCTGGCAAACCAACGCTATCAGCGCGATGTCCACACTGACAATTTCGAGGTGACGATCGTACTCGGCGCCTTGGTCTGGCAGGAGGTTCTTTTGGAAGCCTTGAGCCAGCTCCGCGAGCTCTGGACGACGAGTTGCCCTCAAGTAGGCAGCCATGCGCTCGTTGAAGGGGAAGACGGAGGTAGTAGCACCAATCTCGGCACCCATGTTGCAAATTGTGCCCATACCAGTGGCGCTCAGGCTCTCGACACCTGGGCCTTTGTACTCGATGATCGCACCGGTTCCACCCTTGACAGTCAATTCACCGGCGACCTTCAGAATAATGTCTGTTGAGAAAGAAAGGCAGAGTGGACATGAGATCGCTGCAATTTCATTTGATGCGCTTGTGCTCGCAACTCACCCTTGGGCGCACTCCAGCCGCTCAGCTTGCCCTTGAGCTCAACACCCACAACCTTGGGGCACTTGAGCTCCCAGGGGATGTCGGCCATCACATCGACGGCGTCTGCACCACCGACACCGCAAGCAATCATACCGAGACCACCAGCGTTGGGTGTGTGAGAGTCAGTTCCGATCATGAGACCACCAGGGAAAGCGTAGTTCTCGAGAATAATTTGGTGAATGATACCACTGCCTGGGCGCCAGAAGCCAATGCCGTACTTGGCAGTGCAGGTCGCCAAGAAGTCGTACACCTCCTTGTTGATGTCCTTTGCGCGGGCCAGATCCTTGACACCTCCGACTTGCGCCTCGATCAAGTGGTCACAGTGGACAGTGGTCGGGACAGCAACAGTGGGAAGACCAGCAGACATGAACTGCAACAGGGCCATTTGAGCAGTGGCATCCTGGCATGCGACTCGCTGCATGGGTAGTAGATGAAAACAGAAAATCTCAGCATATTGAACATCAAAGGAAAATTCAGGCTCCAAAAAGCAGACTCACGTCTGGGCGGAGCTTCAGGTAAGAGACGCCTCGGTTGATGTCCTGGCCGTGAGGGTCATCCAAGTGGCCATAGACAATCTTTTCAGACAAAGTGAGAGGGCGGTTCAAGCTACGAAGATGGGGATCGAGTTTTCACAAATGTGAGCCTTGCTATCACACCAATCATGCGCTTTCCGAGCGAGCGAAAGGCGCAGGTTTGAGAGCCGCTGTCGGCCCCTTCGCCTCTGTCTTCTCGACTCGAAGAACTTTCACGTCAATGAAAGTTCAGACTCACCGAGAGCGGACGACCTTCAAGTTGTCATCAATGCGCTTGTAGTTGGTCCAGAATTCCTTGCCCTTTTCCATCGGGGACATGTCGACCTTCTTGGAGAAGAGCTTGGGGTCAATGTCAGGCACCTCCTCGGAGACCGTAGCGTAGCCACGGGCGAGGGCGCGAGGCGCCGTAGCGCTGCGCAAAGGCAAAGCACGGCTAGCTGCGCGAAGGGCGGCCATGCTTTGCAAAGATTGGGAGGGTGGCGAGCTGAGTGATTGGTGGGCGGGCCTCTATTGAAGAGGTGTGCGTGTATGCTATGTCAGGTCACGGACCTTGAATGCTTGAGTTGTAGGACAAGGAGAAGCGGTAGAGGTAGGTAGCCCTCGAGCGACGCTGGCGAGCTGATGTGGTGGAGAAGGGTTTGGATAGGCATGCGAAGTGGGAACTCAAGAAAGATAGACTCGCAGTCGCACTCGAGTTGGGATGCGGCCGAGGCCTTTTTTGCGGGTTGAAAGGGCTGTCACTTCATTGGCTGGTCTTGCATGTCACCGCGTTCTGTTTGGCGTGAAGTCAGAGCGGGGGTCGGGCGGGAAGCCCGGGCGTTAGGACTGTGTGCGTCGCATTCCAACACCTCTCGATCGATCCCGATACCGTGTGCAGAGCCGTTGCGGCCAGCTAGCAGCCAAGCCTGGCCTGCAGGGTGCTGCTTCCCTGTAGCTGCATGTCCGTCCATTGAAAAAGAAAGGCGCCCCCAGCAGCGCCTGCAACGCGCCCGCGCGTCTGCTTCTCCGCCCAGTCCGCGCCGTGTGCCGGGTAACCGACCTCGCGCCGCACGCACGCGCTTTCTCACGGCAACCTCGCCTCGCCCGCGTGCCGGTGCCCTTCAAGCCGGGAGTTCCGATTTGACACGGCAGCCAATCGAGGCGAGTGCATTTGCACGCGTATGCTTCCCACGTGGCAGGCTCTTAATCTTGCACGTGACCGATCAAGAGTCGCACTCTTGGCTCATTGACTCTTGACTCAGTGACTCCTTGCTTCGCCTCGATCCACTCGAGGGTGAGACATTTGACTCTTGATCACTCACGAGCGCTCCAGCTTCCGGAAAAGGCTTGCTTGACCCAGTGCAAAGCTTGCGAATACAATGGCCAGTGCGCCATCGTGACATGTCTGGTCGCCCTCAGCTGGAGCGTTCACGGAGCAAACACGTCACGATGGCGCAAGGTGGACCAAGGCACAGGCAGGGCAAAGAAAGACACGATCAAATCAAGTGTAGAGGGAGCGAATGAGATAAGATTGCAAGCCAAAACAAGACACACTGATGTACAGGGGTGGAAGGAGAGCTCGCAACACCCCTCAAGACCAGGAGCCTCAAAGGGGTATTTGGTAGGACGGCGAAGAGACTAGGCAACGCGGTGAGAAGAAGACACATCAGACTTTCACGACTCACTCCGCCTCGTTAGCAGGTTGGGAAGATCGGATCAAAGAGAGTGTGACGAGCTGTGCGACGTGAGGAGCAAGGACGCGACGAGCGAAGGAGAATGGGTAAAAGAACAATGTCAACGGTCAATACTCAGGTTGAAAGCTGAGCTTGCATGTAGTGGTGGTCCTCGTTGACGTTCTCGCTGGAGTAAGCTGGCGCGTATTGGTCGTAAGGGTGCGCGCCTTCGGGTGGAATGTCAAGTGATCCAAGCATCTGATTGAAGATGGCTTGCGTTGTGGGTGTGATCGGATTGTATTGAGGGGCGCCACTGAACGGAGCTGGTGGGAGACCGGATGCAGACTGGGGCATCCCCATCGCAGAGGGTGGCAGCGATGAGTAGCCAGTGCTGGGACGGTGGGAGTATCCTGTGCTTGGCCGACCGTCGTCCGAAGGCGTGCCAACAGCGTGACCGTATGCGGGTGGATGGTAACGTTGCGCCGAGAGGTAAGGACTGACGTCGACGGCGCTGTCGGGGACGAAGCGTCCACCGTCAGATCCGCTGAAGTCGTCATCGTACTCTGCAGCTGCAGCGAAGTCATGACCCTCGGCGACCAAGTTGGCAATACACTCGCGTCGGACGGTGTCGAACGTGCCGTCCGCCATGGGGGCCGGCAGGTCGAGGTTGACAGGCCCTTCAAAGTGCACCTCGAGACCAACTTGACGTCGAAGCTCGTTAGCCTCACGACGCAACGCCTCGTTCTGGGCTGCCAGGTCGAAGATTTTGCCACGGTACATTGGCTCGCGGGCTAGAGACTCTGCGACGAATGCCAAGGACTTGTTGACGATCAAAGACTTGGAGGGTCGTCGAACGGCTGCCGTTGCTGGCAGGTTGGCTGCAAGCTGGAGGAACCGCGTATTGAGGGTCTCGCGACGAGCACGCTCGACAGCATTGTGAGTGGCCCGCCGCTCGGCACTGGTCCCCTTCTTGTTGCCACCGCCAGAGCGTTTCTTCTTGGCGATGGGTTGAGCATCCTTGCTTGCGCCCAAAGATGATGGGGTCAGGTTGCCTTCGAAAGAGCTGGAGCTCGCAATCGAGTTGATGCGGTCGCGACCAGATGGGACAGGAAGTGCAGACATTGTTGATCTGGGTTGAGGGGAGTCGGTGAAGAGATGTATTTTGGTGCGAAGTCGAGGTCCGTGGAGCGATGTGATGAGCGTCCACTTGTCGAGTGGCAGGCGAGTGTGATTGGATGGCTTGTTGAAGATCTCTGCTCAGATGCAGCGACGTGAAACGCGCGCGAGAGTGAAGAGAAGAACAAGAACAATTCGTTGATCTCAACGAGTTGTCGTGCAGATGTTCTTTTGACGATGGTGCCGGACCTCGTCAGTGCTGGGATCGACTTGGTGTACCGTCGCTTCGAGGCTCTAAATGAGGCGGAAGTGGATCGGCTGCTTCGATGATGGGACGGAGATGTGATTCCGCGAGTTGAACTCAAGCGTACTTTGGTCGTTGGTAGACGATGCAAATTTGATCAAAGCGGTTTGAGCGGTGATGCAAGTTGCAAGTCGAGAGGGTTTGACGACGAGACCGTTTCGCGAGTAGAACTCAAGCGGACTAGGCTGGAGGCGGAAAGAGGTCAGAAAAGGGGACGCGAATACTGGTCAGCTTTCATCGACGAAGGGATCGTGGGACACCACGGCGACGTTCTCTATGGGCGTGCGAGAGTCCTGACACGCCCGGTCAACCATCTCTGAAAACGAGAATGGATTGTACTGTGTAGCGGCAAGACTCTCCAGTCCGTGCCAAACCGAGTACGGATGAGGCATCTAGAGGCCGGCGAACCAGCATTAGCAGGCTAGACAATGCCACAGGGCTGAGCATCGGCGATGCTATAAGACCGGCCTGACTGATACCGCAGCCTGAGTGTTGCATTCACGATTCGTGACCAATGAGAAGAAGCCAACTCACTCTGTCTGTGATGAGACGAAGCAGGGGGAGCCGAAGCGGGGGCAAGCTGCGATGATCGCGACTGATGAGGTGGTGAGGGGATCATTTCCTGCCATTGCTCTCGCGTTGCTTCCGACTTATGAGGACTTGGGCCAGCACAGCTCCGGAATTGGTAGGAGTCACGAGCAGTCGCAAGGCTTTCCCAGCTCAGCTGGGACTGCAGGTGTGCTGATTGTGCAACCGGGCACTAGACGAGTTTGCCATCCAGGTGTCGCGCGCGCCTTGCCGTGGGGCGGCATGCTAGCTGCTGCCGCTACGACCGCGGCGCGAGGTCAACCCGTTTCACCGGGCGGGAGAGGCACATCCACTGCATTTTGGAGTCCATATCTTCACGCACGACAGGAGAGGCGCCTGTTCCATTTTAGCGCATATCAAGGGCGCAGTGATTCGACTCGGGCTTGTCGGCACGCAAATTTTGTTGCGTGACACATGCATGTATGCACTCACAATTGCATTGAGCAGCACCCCGCCACAGACGCAGGCAAGGGCGCTCTTACGAGCTGCTGCTGTGGAGCATCGATCGTGCATTCGTGATTGTAGAATGCAAGAGCGTGTCACGGCAAATGCAGAGACTGCTGCTGATGCGCGGCAAAGACCTCAAGACTGCCGAAGCGCATCATCGAGCAAGCTGCATTCACAACGACTTCATCGGCCGAAGGTGACGTCCGCGGAAAGGGAGAAGGATCTCTTGCCGCAGGCTGCCATGCAATATCAACCGTGCATCAGAGCCCGACGCAAAGGTCTCAGACGCGGTGACTCGCAGAATGCATGCATGTACGCACAGACTGGTACGCGCGAGCCGTCGTGAGTACTGTATACCGACCACCGCGCCTGCACTACTGGATCACCTGCGAAAGCACGCGCCCCCGCGCTGCCCCCTCGCGCACGCAACAGGACTTTCCTTGACACTCTGGTGCTCAGTCATGAAATGACTCCCTCATCGACGATCACGAATGATGTTGCCTGCCTACCTTTTAGGCCCAGACGAGCCGGAAACATAAGGCATCGGCTCAGCTGTGATGCCCCCCATCCAGCCGCCCGCCACGCCAAACGTCAAAGAAGCTGACTGCTGCGACACCTGATCAAATGCCCGGGCGGGTATTGTATGTGCGGTCTACATATAGTGGGCGCAGATACAGCACACTCGTCATGCCAAGCACCGCACCGCCGACCAAAATTGTCCGGCCGCGCGAGAGGGTTCGGGATTTTGTACCTCTGCTTTCTCCGAGAATGAAGGCCTGAAACATGCCGCCGCAACTGTCACTATCAGCCCACTTCGACAGCAGTGTATGTAAAGGTGGCTCTCATGCCCTCGATGTGGAAATGTCCTTCGCGATAACGCTACTGCATCTGCTCTTGAGGTGGCTTGGACATACATGATCAACGGCGAGCACGGGCGAAGCCAGTATACCTCGTCGGCGCAAAGTGGTTCAACAGGCAGATGCTGCCGCAATAAGCGAGCTTTGCCAGAGGGAGGATGGCGCAGTCTGACGATGCTCCCTCCGCTGCACTCTGATTCACGCCGTGACGTGCCAACGTGCCTACCTTCGGCAGTGCCCATGCAGTCATTGACCTTGTGAAGATCGCCCTTCCGCGTCCCGGCGTAATGGAAGAGCGCGTGGTGTCTGATGGAATAGCAGTCACGGCGTGATCCATTGATTGCGATCGCACAGAAGAAACACGCGCTCGACCCGCTGCCTGCCACTGCATGCCAGTAGAGTACTATTAATACTTTAGTAGTGCTATGCAGCCTTCCCTTTCTCTTCTACTTCGACTTTTCACAGCCTTTACGCATTGCAGACCGCAAGAGGTGACGCTAAGAGCTTGAAGCCATCAGCAAGAAGGGTCAAGATGCTTCACTCGCTCCGCTAAGAGTCCAGGCACGACAATATTCTCTCAATTCACGCTCCAATGCTGTGCTGCAAGATACCGATGCGCTAAGAGAAGCGAGACCAGGCGAGGCAGACGCCGCTAATGTGAGCGTCCCGTGTGATTGACGAGGCAGTGTTGCTACCGCTGTTGTTCAGCGTCACCTGCGCAAGCTGCGGCACCAGATGGGCATTGCTTACAAAGTGTCCAGAGCTCAGCCCTCGCCCTCGCGACGTTAAACAAATACTACCTACCAGGCGGCAATGTTGAAATTGGTGAGGACCAAAATAGCCATACTCTTCTAGACTTGTTGCCGTGTGGCTTGCGATAGCATAGGGCGAAGCTACAATGATATAATTTCGGCGTCCTTCGTGGATGAGCGGGGTGGAAGTGTGTGTGTGTGTGTGTGTGTGTGTGTGTGTGTGTATTCGTTTAGCGTCGCTACTATGGTCCAGTGGTGCTGAAGAAGGAAAGAGCTTAGAGGAAGCGTCGAAGCAGTGATCGAGGAGCACGAAGGATTACTCGAGCACGAAAGGACCGCCATAACATTCATGGTCGTGGGCGCGTTTGCGCGGCCGCCATCACAATCTGCAGCACTAACTGCTACACGCGTTAGCGCCATCATCAGCTGATTGCTACGGTGAGCTCGCTGACCCGCTCGAACGTGGTGGCTCGCATGACTATTGACTATTACTATACGTAGCGACGTTAAACGATCAGTAATAGTCAATAGTCATGCGAGCCACCACGTTCGAGACCCGCTAGTGGAGAGACCTTATGATCTGTGAGAATGGTCATGACTCTCTCATTTCTACCATCACGTCAATGCTCGTCTTCAACGCAAAGCAACGCAGGCCATCGTTGCTTTCCAGTCCAATCCACCGACTCCGCTTTGCTATCTCGTTACGCAAGCCATGTACATTTTCCCATGCCTGCAAGACCGCAGATCACCGCATGGTGAAAATACGCCAACGAGGCAATTAATCAAAGCCACACAGCCTTGCGCTCGACTGCTCGTGTTGGCCCGCACGCTATCAGAAACGCGTGCATCGCTAGAGGGAATCACGAACACATCCTTCCCCCTTCCTGCTTTAGCGCTACCTTAGCCGTCCCCTAGCCGAACTCACCACTGCATAGCCGATGGCAGCTCTCTAATCACCCTCGACTCAACTGCGAAGTCGTGAGTGTCGCCGTCATCGAATTTCTATTCTTTTAGATGTATTCATTTATTGTCGCTACGTGCATGTGTACCACTCAAGACTAACGGAAAGCGAGAAGGGTGTTGTCGCTTAGCGCATTTCTTCTTGCACACCGACCGATGGACCCCGCGTCGGTGTCTCGTGCTCTCACTGCCACCGACAGCTCATGGGAATGCATGCAAGTTCACGAGGATGCGCTTCACCATGACCAAGCAGCGGAGTTGTTCGAGACAATTTCTCGTCGTGCTGAGCGAAGGCCATTCACGTCGCCTCAAAGAGACACTACTCTACTGCGCGCTTGGAGCTTTCGCTATGCGCACTGCGTTGAGCGGTACATGGTTTCGAGATCAGACAAGCATGCAAGAGTGTCCGAGAATTTCATTGATCATTGCTGTTGTCGGGTGAGCAGTCATTCCAACATTACTTCAGCCAAAGACAATCGCTCAAGTGGCGGGAAGTTCATACCACAAAATCAAGACGGTGATAATTGGCATCTGCGTGTTAAGCCAATGACCCGATCAGCAGCTTTAGGTGCTCGTTGGCTGCGTATTGCAGCTCGTTGGTGCGAGGGGGCCCGCTGCTGTCCCATGGAGCCAAAGGCACTTCCGAGATGGACTGCGTGGCACGAGCAAGGTTGTGAAGACTTGCCAGCACTGCGAAGGCGCAGTCACGCCCAAGATCGGCGTCAGTTACATTTCATAAGTCATGCCGATGCAAAGCCAGCTCACGCAATACTCACTTTCGCATTTTGCCACTTTCTGTGTGAGGCTGCTTTCCACGTCTTGAAAGAGGCCGGGGACGAGCTCCAGAAGCTCTGCCAAGCGCGACACGAGCCGAGCAAGGGTGGCCTTCTCAGGTGGTGGCAGTCGATCTTGATTGTTGAGTCCCACCAGGTGAGGAATTTGGCGGATGCAAGCTGCATAGTCAAGGTAGACCCGGCCGCCCAATTTCCATCCCGGCAGGTCGTCCAGGCCGCCGTTGGGATGAGCGTCGGTGAAGGAGGCGAACAGCTTTACGAGTACGTGCAGATCGTTACGGATGATGGCCTCTGGCGCAAGATAGCGCACCACTACGCGATGAGCAGAGGCATAGTCCCGTGCCGCGAGCAGCGACTCGTACTGAGCAAACCGGTCGTTGCGGTAGCAAGCCTCGTGCGCCCTCGCCTCGTGCAACCACGCTTCAGGTATGCTCAGATGCGACAGCAAAAAGTCCTCCTCCTCCGATCCTTCGTTGGTGATCTTGAGCACGTTGCGGGCAAGCAAAGCCTTGATCGCCGCTTCGCGGCCTGCTTCGATCTCGAGATGCAAGAGAACAAATGCTGCCCATGTCCACAGGCCAAGAGACTCGAGCTGGAAGGCATAGCTGGATGTCAAGCTGTCTGCACGCGAGCTATGGCCTTGCGTACCCTCTTCTTCTACCTCGATGCCCAAGTCCAATCTGTCATCAAAGTCGCGAATGCGCAGGACGCGGGCAAGTAGCTGGTAGAGATGCCAAGGCAGTCGGTAATCTGCAAGAGCAGCACCAAACCCTCGTGGGCGGAGAGCGTCTTCCAGCTGGAAGTCGGAGTTTGCGAAAAGCTTGATGAGCTGGAAAAGAGCATCTCTGGCATAGTCAGACTTTTGCATCATCGAGCGCAGCTGGAGCGAAGCTTTCTGACTAGACTGCAAGTACGGAGGTAAAGGAGGCGCAGTGTCACCTCGACCACCCACTGCGGCTTCGTAGCGTTCTACCGCAGATCTGAGAGGGTCAGAGTGCGCCGTGTCGTACCACAAGTGGAGTCCAAAAGCTCGCTTCCAATCCAGTCCGGCTGGAATCTGAGTGTCGTCCGCTCGATCGACGGGGTCATTTGCGCGTCTTTGTTGAGCTGCGTCGATGCCCTCGGAGAGTGTGACGTTGCCTGCCAGAAGCTCGTAGACTCGCCGATGATCGTTGGAAATATGAGCCAGGGCCGCTTGCTGTCTCCAGACGGTCAGCTGGTCATTGACGTCTGCTCTTGTCTCTTCGTCGCCTCCGCTAGCTTGCGCTACCAGAGTTGCGAGTCGGACATCACCAGCTTCGATAGCTGCTAGGCAGGCCCTCTCAATCTGGTACCCAGTCAGATGAGCAAAGACAAGAGCGGCAGGTCTATTGGCTGCGACACATGAGCGCGCCTCAACTTCCACCGTGTTGGAGACTGCATGAGCAAGGGTGGCGGAGAGTACAGCCTTACGTCTGATGCTCAAGGCAGTGGCAGTGGTGTCGGGTGGCGCATCCTCTGGGAGCCGGAGGTCGATCTCGTCAAAGAGGGCTGCGCCTAGCCTCCAGATGGTTGCGTCGTGTGAACGATCGTTGGCCTCAAAAAGCGAAGCAAAATGCTTGAAACGCGTGTCAGGCCGCAAAAAAGCCAGAGGCGTTGTCGCATCTTCGAGGCGCGCTTCAGCTTCAGCTACAGCTCCCTCTTCCTCCTCCTCTGCTTCTTCCTCTGTATCGATTTGAGTGTGGCGAAATTGCCGCTCGAGCAGATTCTTCGCGTTTTTTGCGTCAGACTTGGAGATTGCAACAATCGACGGCGTAAACTACTTGCTTGTCAGTTCGCAAGATGACAAGATTCCAAACTCACCTCGGGATCGCTAAAGAGACGCAACTTTTCGAGGCGGACAGCGGAAGAGGGCAAGTGATCTGTGCGACGCGAAGAAGATCTGCACGGGAACAGATCAGGCGCAGATCAAGGTCAGATCAAAGTCGAGAGCAATTTCATATCATTCGCAAATTCGACGGAAAGGGTCTGGTAACATGTTCCCTTTGCCCATTCGCCGTCCAGAACATGCGAACTCACGCCACTGATTGAGTGCCAACGAAGAGCTTGCCAATGTGGGCAATAGTTCCATCCGGTCCCCAACCAACGCGGAAGCTGCGTCCCATGGACAAACCAGCATCAATCGTCAGGCGTTCAGCACCAGCTACGATTGAGCTGGTGTTTTCCGTTCTCGAAAATTTCTGCGGTTTGGCAATGGGCGCAGAGACGGTCAAAGGCGCTTCTACCGGAGCAGAAGCTGGCGTGGAGAAGGTCGAGCGCTGTATGCACGGGAATGGTCAGTGCCATAGCGGTCGATGTATGCAGCAAGAGTGTGCGCAACTCACGGCGGCGGCAGTTGGCGCAGTCCCATGAGAGCTCCGACGCGCGTGCTTGCGGTTGCCGAGAAGAGGGGGCCCGGGCAATTGCTGTTTGGTCTCCTGAGCAGGCGACGCCTGCCCAAAGAAGCTTGCCTGCATGACCTGCACGCGCCTCGGTTCCAATCCCAGCGTAGCGGCCCAAGGCTGCTGTGCCAGGCGTCTAGATGACGCTTCGAAATCCTGGCCGACTGGTGTCGGTGATTTTGTCGCTCGCAAGCGCGCCTGCGCAAAGCGTGGTGTGGCATCCTCGGTGTCACGTGCGGTGACTGGCTCAGGGCTTCGCAGCTCGCTGAGACGCATAGATGCTTCCGAATGCGCGTCCGCATCATCTGCGGGGTCGGGCTTTGCGGATGTGGCGCGTCTTGGTCTGAAAACTCCCGAGCCAACACTCTTCCTCGGTGTGTTGACGCGTCGGGCAGCAGCTACTTTCGCATCTTCAGCCTGCATCCCCTCCTCATCTTCGTCGTCGTCGTCATCCAGACCGTACCTGCTCCAATGATCAACTTTGAAACGCCAGATGCCTTCTGCGGGATCGTAAGACTCAAAGTGGGCGCCAGGTACGGCTTTCAGCTTCGCGATCCTCTGCTTGACCCTAGCGTGCGAAGGATCGGTGATGTGTTTGCGCGTAGCCTTATCGAGCACCCAGTGACCTTGCAGGCTCACGAGCGCAGCATGGTTCAGTCCCTCGCCCACAGGTGGGTAATGCATCTCGTCGGGTTCGAAGTCGGCCAGCACGCCATCACCCAACTCGTTGGTGTCTCCAACGTAAATTTCCGCTTCTTTGGGGTACACCATCGTCTCGTGTGAGCGAATCACGACGATTCCACCTGCGATGAGGTTCAAATCAGGAACGCTCGAAAGGTCCACGGGCTCTAAAAACCGCACGGAGCCACTTCCGTGACGTCCCACAACAAAGTCCTTGACCGCAGAGAGCTCTCGCTTGCTGTAAGTCTGCAGAGTCGACACAGGCGGTGAAGTGTAGTAGTTCAAGGGCAAATGATCATCCCGGTCGGTAGTAGGAGCCGACGCATCGTCCTTGCGGTTCCTCGTCGAGGTAAGAGAGGGCAAAGCAGATGCCACCTCTCGAAGCGGTGGTCTGCTTGGGGTATCGACATCCGCGCCACTTCGTCCGCCTAAGACAGAGGTGTTGACGCTGGAGTCCGCAGCTCCGCTCAGACGGCTAGTGTCAGCCAAGTTTGGCCTACGGCTTGTCGCCACTCCTGCCTCAAGCGCGGGACTGAAGGCCACGCGCGGTGCTGACTCTTGACCCGGCGGAGCTGTTCCTCCACGTGTGCCAAACAGAGAGTCACCGCCAGGCGTGGCGCTCTTTCTAGAGCCTGGAGCCACACTTCCAGCTCTTGAGGTGGAGCCAAACAGAGATCTGGTGGAGAGACTGCCGCTTAGATTACCAGCATCGTCGTCAAGCACCAACCGACGAACGCTTCCACTCCTGCGATTGAAAGCCTGAAGCGGCAGTCCGGGGGAAGCTGCGCGGTTGCCATCGGCAGTCGGCAAATCATCGCTGAGGCCTCTGAAGAGGCTCTTCGCTGGGCTCGCTCGCGCGTTTGCGGACCCGTAGCCGAAGAGAGAAGGTGATCCTTCGCGGCCCGGCGTGTCCTCGCGAGTGCTGAATCCAGGCGTGGTACCGCGCAAACGGGTGAACCGCGCCGCGCCCTTCGTATTGGGGCTGAAAGGTCGGATAGCAGGGATAGCTTTGCGAGGCACTTTGTCAGCGCTAACGTTGAAAGGCAGGTACGGTTGTCGTGCCAAACCGGCATCGGGATCAGCTGCCTTGGGTTGTGCGTGCTGAGCAAAAAGAGCGTCGGTGCCGTACGGGTCTTTGACCAGGCTAGCTTGGAAATTCGGCATTTGAGGCTGCGTCGGCTGGGCTTGTGCAGAGTTGCCAAACAGAGACGTGCTAGAATTCTGTGTGTTTCCGAACAACGATGCGTTGCCAGCAGCCTGACTCTGGCCAAACAGGCCACCTGCACCTGGTGCTTGGCTCTGCGCACCAAACAGGCCTCCAGTACTCTGGCCTGCACCGGGATTATTGCCAAACAGACCACCGCCTGACGGCTGACCAGATGCAGCTCCAAAGAGGGACTTTGTGGCATTGTTCGCTCCGCTATTGAATCCACTGAACAGGCCACCGCCTTGCCCTGCGGGCGCATTATTGTTGTTACCACCAAATCCGCCAAAAGTCGATGCAGTAGACTGCTGCTGGCCGGGTTGTTGCTGTTGCTGATTCTGGCCGAAGAGACCACCGCTCGTGGCCGGCTTGTTGCCGAACAATCCACCAGAGCCGAAGCCAGAAGTTGCTGGCTGATTGGGTTGTTGACCCGGCTGCGACTGGCCAAAAGGCTGGGACGTGGTGTTGCCACCAAAACCGCCCGTGCTGCCGAAGCCGCCTCCCGGCTGACTGGTGGTCACTGGCTGACTTTGTCCAAAGAGGCCCTGAGATGGGGCAGCGGCGGATCCGGTGGTCGCACCGCTCGAGCCGAACGTGTTTGTCCCTCCGCCGAAGCTGAACGCGGGCTTGTTGGGCTGTGCTGCAGCTGCGGAGCTTGTGGCACCAAAAGAAAACGAGGGTGCAGTGGAGGCAGCAGGTGCCGCACCAAAGAGACCTCCTGGTTTGGGTGCCGAAGAGGTATTGCCAAAACCTCCAAAGGTACTTGTGCCTCCACCAAACGTCGAGGTGCCTTGTTGTTGGCCTTGCTGCTGCTGATTATTGTTTGCGCCAAAGCCAAACGTATTTTGCTGCTGTTGGGATTGTTGAGGTGCGCCAAAAGCATTATTGTTGGAGCCGAACAGACCTCCGGGTTTGGGTGTGTTGTTTTGCTGCCCAAATCCGCCGAACGAGTTAGCGGCAGGCTGCTGAGGCGTAGTGGTACCAAATCCTCCAAACGTGCCAGCTTGACCAGCTTGCTGGCCTGCATTGTTTTGACCGAAGAATCCACCGGTCTGCTGGCCTTGTTGGCTGTTCTGGCCAAACATGCCGCCCGTCTGTCCTGCAGCGGTGTTGCCGCCGAAGATGCCACCAGTCTGCTGTGGCTGCTGCTGCGCGCCAAACATTCCCCCTGCCTGCTGCTGTTGCTGCGGTTGTTGGCCGAATGGCGTGCTGTTCTGTTGCGGCTGCTGCGCGCCAAAGATTCCACCTGGCTGCTGCTGAGAGGTCTGTCCGAAGGGATTCGTCTGAGCAGGTACGCCGAATCCACCAATCGATGGTCCAGAATTGCCATTTTTGCGCCCTTGCTGGTAGTCTTGCAAACGCAATTCTTCGAACGATGCAGCTCTGTATGCAGGTGCCATGGTTATCGCAGTGTACTTGTAGTCGCCGACCTTGGAGTTGTTATTGTCCGACTCCGAAATGACCGTTTCGCGATAAGGTGGGTTAAGGGTACCCTGAGTGGGCATGGCTGCTTGACCTGCGAGCGCATTCGCTGATGCGAGCCATCATAGCGTCAGCAGCTGTATTGACTGGACACCAATCGTACTCACTGCCGCCGAAGATGCCGCCTTGAGACTGAGCAGGCTGACCCAGAGCATTGCCAGTGCTGCTTGGCTGATTGGAGCCGAAGAGCCCACCGCCGGCTGGCTTCTGCCCGAACAGATTGTTGTTGGCAGCTCCAAAAGCGGGCTGTTGGGCGGGCTGAGGGGCACCTGTTCAATCGCGCAACTCGGCTGGTGTCAGCCCTGCCGTCAAGCGCTCATCGATGCGATGACAAAGTATTCGTGTGCTGCGTCGTGCATTGTCTTTAGCTCAACAGCGCTTGAGCAATCACTCACCGAACCCAAAGCTCTGTGTCTGTCCGGTATTGGCAGCTCCGAAGGAAAATGTTCCAGCGGGCTTGTTAGCCTGGGCACCAAAGGTGGAAGGCTGCTGAGCGGTAGAAGCACCAGCACCGCCAAAGGAAAAGCTAGTAGAGGGCTGCGTCTGAGACGAGCTACCAAATGGATTCGAGGCAGCTGACCCAGCAGGCTGGCCAAACATCGGTTGAGCTGGTTGGCCAAATGCTGAGGAGACAGCAGGAGGGAAGCAAGGAGGAGCCGGGCGCAGATGTCAGAGAAGCAAAAAGAGGCGCATTTGAGGTGATCAGAATACGCGCAAGGACGCCTCCGCGAGTTTGCGCGCCGTCGGCTGTTGCTGAGTCGCTTTGAGATCTGCTCAGCGCTCAGAGAAAGAGAAGCTCCTACGCCCTGGATCGCGGCGGCGCCTGCTCCTCACTTGGTCAGCGCATGCAATCGGCAAGGATACTCACGATTACTGGCTCCCTGATTCTGCTGCTGTCCACCCCCAAATATTCCTCCACCGCCCTGCTGCTGCTGATTGTTGGCAGCACCAAACCCAAAACCCGTCGATTGCCCTGCTCCTCCGCCAAACATCTGGCCAACAAGATCGATAAGCAGTGGGTCGATGAGGTGGTGAGCGCTCGAAGGAGCTTCGGGGGAGTGTGAGAACCTCGTTCACTGAGTCAAAGCTCGCAGTCAGGTGAGCGGTAGGAGAGGATGAAGGGCAAGCTGATGGGCGAGAAGGATGTCCGTTGCGCCCAAGTCGAGAAGAGTCTTGAGTGACATGTGCTGTGCTGTGCCTACACAGAAACTCACGCGTTCCGCCGCTGATGCTCGTCTCTGCTGTGTGGAAGATTGAGCCGCATGCACGCGCGCCTGCTGAGCGCGCCCCACGCAACGCGCGCTCGGTTCTTCTGCTGCTGCTGCGCTGCGTGACGAGAGGGATGGAGGGGGCGCACGCGCAAGCACGTGGAAAGCTTTCACTCACGCTCTGGCTCACGCACGGGTGCGAGCGATGATCAGCATGCATGGCATACACGCATGCACGCGTACGCACTCATGACTTACTTGGTCGATCAAGAGCTTAGAAGATTCACAATCGTAACTCAATTGCCTGGGGTTCTCAGAGGTCATCGACTCATCGGACCATCGATGACTTGGAAACGACCCACGAACCGCACATTGATCTACCGTCTGGCCACTCGCTAGCCCACCCAAAAGCACCCTCGCTCTGTGCGCACATAGGTCTCCACCGGCGCTCGCTTACTTGCGATCGGTCGAACCGCAACCTCCGGTGCCAATTTCGATTCGAGCTGAGCGCTAAGCAGCAGCAATGTCCTCTGCGCTCTCCGGCGTTAGACCGCTGACCCGTCTGGGTCAGTCCAGCATTCGAGTCAGCTGTCCTTGTAGAGGTGCTGCTGCGCAAGCTCGACAATCCATCGAAGTTGGGCGATCATCTGGCACGATCGCAAATGCCAGGCACGCTCACTCAACACATCAAAGGGATCTCACGCCGATCTCAGCTCCATTCGCTCTTGCCGCAGCATCGAACAACGCCACATCTCGCTCATCTCTTCGCACCAATCTCATCTCAGCTCGATCCTTCTCCTCTGGTCTTGCAGCACGAGCGGACGTGCAAGATTCAGCCACAGCTCGGGCAGACTTGACCAAGCGCCGATTCTGGAACAAGGTGACGCTGTCCAAAGCCAAAGGTCAAGCTGCAGGATTGACGATCGAGTTGGACGGCAGACCTTTGAAAACTCCATCGGGCGCTCTGCTCGTCGTTCCGCAAGATAGACCTCTGCTGGCGAGCCTCATCGCTCGCGAGTGGGCCGAGCAGGAACGGATATTGAAGAGTTTCACCTTGCCTTTAGTCAGTAAATCGCGCAGTGTGGGAAGCTCTCCGATGCATGGACGCCGTCTGCATCCGCTCATTCTCGCACTTGACCCTACAGACTAGCTTGGCTGCCAGAGCTATTGACGGCTTTGCCACGCCCGAGGATAGGGAAAAGGTGTGCGATGATCTCATCAAGTATCTTGAAACGGATACGGTATGGTAAGTCAATGTGCAAACACATGTCGAAGTCGATCCTTTGCACGTGTCGGCAAGGCTGACAATCGTTCTTCTCTCGCTGAAGTTATCAAGAGGAAGAGCCGCCGGTGCTGGTTAAGCTACAGCAGGAGCACTGGGATCCACTCATCTCGTGGGTGCGCAGCACTTTTCAAGTCGAAGTCAATCCGATCACATCTCTGCTAGGTTCCTCCCAATCTCCCGACACCACCTCCAAGTTGAGATCTCACATTTCAAAGTACGACTCTTTGGAATTGGCAGCATTCGAAAGAGCAGTCATGTCCACCAAGAGCTTCATCATTGCTCTCAAACTCTTGGAAAATTCTAGAAACGCTACGGCAATTGAAGAAGCGGAAGAGTGGGGCGTGGAAGAAGCTGCACAGGCTGCTGAGGTGGAGGTCAAGAGTCAGACCGAAAAGTGGGGAGAAGTAGGTGAGTGGCTGATAAGCATCTAGCTTGGCTGTCATTTGGCAGCTTAGGCAGCTGAAGGCTCGAGCTGAAGCTTTGAATCATCGTCTTCGGACAACACAATCAGAGGACACGCACGATGTGGACCATGAAGATTTGCGGGCTCGGTTGGGAAGCGTCGTATTGGGCTTGATCAAGGATGACGCTTCTCTGTCAGAGCGGATCATTGACGCGCAGAACGCCTCTTGATGGCCAGCGCGGTCAACAAACAGCGATGTCATTCGTTATCCGCCGGACCTATCAGGTACACTTCATGTCGAATGCTGCTTCACAAGTCGACCACGCATATGCCTAATCTCAGCGCCATCATCTGCGTCTCGCAACCCCAAAAGGTGGCCAATGACATTGTGAAGGGCAAAGAGAGAGTGTATGTCCGTGTTGGACCTGCACCGCGAGAATCAACCAAAAAACGAGGGATAGACAAAATGGCGGAACGTGGCTTGACGTAGTGAGTCCTTCACAAAACCCAATGAAAGCCAAATCGCAGACGACAAGACCACGGCTGGTTTGATCCTGATCAGAAAGCTCCGCTTCCCGTGAGATTGAGCGGGTCCTACTGTCTCGACGAATGGTGATGCTGATGTGGAGCTTGCTGCTGCGGTTGCAATCCCCTGCCGATCATGCTACGATTGAAGGAGTCGAACTCATCCGGTGTATCGGCTGCAGCAGCCAGTTCTGAGAAGGGAGGCAGCTGCTGATGTTGCTGTGACGCCGCTCCGGCTCCCTTGGCGCCCACTTGAAACATCGGATTGACACCGCCCGCGCCGGTCTGCATCGTCATCTGAGGCTGAACCGAAGCGACGTTGAAGGGCGGAAACTCTACACCTCCATGACTCGATCCTGCGCTTCCACGCGACATTCCCCTTGGCAAATTGTTCGACGACCGCCGCCTCATACCGCTCCTCGGCCTTCCAGGTGTGGCTGGATGGGTACTGCCACTGCCGCTTCCACCAGAACTGATGTAGTCGTTGTTGCCGCTTCCAGCAGCTATTGGAGGCAATGGCGGAGCAGAAAAATTGTAGGGAGACGTGGTGCCTCCTGTCAGCCCATACGGATGGAAGCGGGGAGCAGCAGTGTGATGTAGAGGAGAAGCGGATCCAGCTCTATGCAGGGAGCCACGTGCGCTGCCGCGGCTTACAGATCGCCGAGTGGCTCCAATGTTATTCGGTCCCGGCGAGGCACTTCCTGGTGTTCTGGCGCGCATCTCAGCCAAGTTTGCGCCAGCGAATTGGTTCTCCAACGAGCTCAGAGAACGATTGTCCCCGGCCTGTCTGGCCGACTCAAGTGATGTCATGAAGCGGCCAGGCTGATGATCGATGAGGCTTGGTGCGCTTCCCACTGAGATGGCTGATCCTTGTCGGTGAAGGTGTCCAGATCCGGGATGATGGGGTCGCTGCGACAGAGGATCACTTCGCTGCGAGGTAAATGTCGCCATGGACCCCCGGCGTGGATCCGACATCACACCATCCAAAGAGCTCATAGAGTGATCGTCGTCCGCATCTCTGCGCCTGGCTTTGGCTCGGAAAGAAGCATCGCCATCCCTGGCCTGCCAAGCAGCGCTCATCGAGCTGTTCTGATACATGGAGGTTGGCGGGGTGCCATAGTTGTTCGTGAAGTTTGAGCTCATTGGTGAAGGTCCACCACTGTAGTCCGAACCCGAGACTCTCGGTCCGCCGGAAGTCGGGGAAGTGATTCCTGACACCCCCATCGGTTGTTTGCCTCGCGCTTTGTCGCTAGGTGACATGGATTGCGTCACGGCATCACCCAGCCACTCTACCTGCTCGCGGCTGTTGCTAGAGGCTAAAATTTGGTTACGCTTCTGCATGACGGCTCGTGCGCGATCACGAGCTGCCTTCTCTTGCGCCAGACGTTTCGCCTTTTCGGCCTCTCGGGCAGCCTTTTCCGCCTCTTTCTTTGCTTTCTTGGCATCCTTGGGCGTCGCATGTTCAGCCGCGATCCGCTGTGCTGCTGTTGGCTCGTTGATGTTGGAATTGGAGCCTGAATCAAGCGCGATCGGTGCACCATGTGCCTGAGCTTGGCGGGGGGCACCCGCTGCTTGCGTCTGGGCCGGCGTCTGCGACGACCTTCCAAATACGCTCATGCCGCTCCAGCCTTTACTTCTTCGCCTCTCGCCAGAATACTCTGCGGTACCAGTCATGTCCTGAGACATGGGTTCGTTCCCACTGATTCCAGCTGCAGCCGCAGCCGCGGCCTGCCTTCGACGATCTTCTTGCTCCAACGAAAGCGATAAAGAGTCGTCATAGACCGTTCTCTGACTGCTAGATGCAACCATCCCCCGCGCTTGTTGCGGTCCGCGACCACCGAGCTCGATAGGAGGCGCATGCATGCGCTGTCGCGATAGCGAGTCGTCCAAATGCATCGAGGCGTGACTTCCCGAATAGATCGATGCAGACTCCGGAAAAGCGGGATATTGCGACATGGACGAGTCGCGAACCGACGGGCCAGCCACTGGCGCCCACTGAGTCATATCTCCAGGTCCCTGTTCTGAGTAAGGCGAAGTCGCTGTCTGGCTGACGGGTCCTAAGCGAGCCTCAGCTATCATTTCTTGCATTGTATGCTGCGCCTGAGGATAGAAGGGCACGCGATGCTCCGCAGACGGCGCACCGGGCATTCCTCTAGCTGCCTGCGCTTTGCTAGGCAACTCTGGTGCGCCAGATTTTGCTCCAAACGCTAGCTTGCTGGATTGCGGCTGGTTGGAGTGAGAGGGCGGAAGGGCGCGCTGTGGAGATGCAGGGTCAACAGCCATGCGATCTGCCGGAATCGGTGGGGGATGCGCTTGCGGCACTCTCTGCGATGGCGTCGGCTGTGGTGCAGGAGCTCGAGCTTGAGGAGGTAGCAGACGAGGCGCGACTTGCGTGTAGTAAGGATGCTGCATGCACTGAAGTGTAGTCAAGCGGGCGTCGGGGTCGTATCTGATCAAGTCCTGCACGCATTCGATGAGCAGCAGGGGCACATTCGACTTGAAGAGAGCAGCGAAATTAAAAGGTTTTGCCTGACAAATCACTGGGTCCAAGGTCAACAATTTTCTGTGGATCGCAAGAGCCTAGCGGTGCCACCACTGTGGCTCCTCTCGGCTAGTCCGACGAATGCGAGGAAATGAAGGAAGACTACTCACCTTTGGAAAAGTGAAGCCGACCTGCCGCGCCATCTCTATTCCCCCAGGCCAATGGCCACCACCGCGCACGCGCCCACGGCTGTCCTTGCCATACTCCGCCGAAGGATCACCCAAAACATGGTTGATCTGCATCACCTGGTCCACTTCACTTTGCCCCGGAAAGAGTGGCTTCAGAGTGATCAGTTCCGAAAGGATTGTACCCAAAGCCCACATGTCGACTGGGTTGGAATAGTCGCGGGAGCGCAGCAGCACTTCGGGTGCCCGGTACCATCGCGTCGAGACGTATTCCGTGTATGGCGGCTTGCTCGCTGTCTCTCGTGCAAGACCAAAATCTGCCAGCTTCACGATCACCACAACATCCTTGTCCGGCTGTTGTGGAGTCTTCGAGAGGACAGGATCCAACACGTTGACTGACGGATAGTCGGTGAGACCGGTAGTCGTGATAAGGAGATTCTCTGGCTTCATATCGCGATGGAAGTAGCCGCTTTCATGAATGTGATGCAGCCCTCGAATGATTTGTTGAAAGATTGACGCCAGCAAACCTCCAGCCAAGGGACGTCCTTTGCGCGATTTGATCAGCTGGTACAGATTACCCTCCATGCACTCGAACACGAAGTGTAACTCCTTGGTTACCGGCATCAGAAAAGCGTCGTATAGTGGGATGATGTTGGGGTGAGCCGTGATCTCAAGCAGAGACTGTAGGAGATGGGTAGGTGTGCAGGGGGGGGGGTTTCAGCAAGCGCTGTCAGAAGGAGATCAAGGCGTGCAAGAGCTGGACCCAAGTCGACTCGCGTAGCAGCCGTGTCTGAAGAATCCGCTCCGGTGGTCTCCCTATCCCGCACATATGCGCCCCTTGTCTACAAGTCACGTACCTTTAGCTCTTTCAGCGTCATGCACTCTTCCCAACTCTTGAACTGCTTCTTCATCTTCTTTATAGCGACGAGTCTTTTCCCGACGTACTCCGGTCTTGTGGTTGGGTGTTGCATCGGACTGAGCAGAGTACCTGACGGCAAGGGCGAGTGCCAATCCGCCAGACACACAGTTCCAAAGGACCCATCTCCCACGTCTCTAATCACAGTGAAATCTCGCGTGCCTTCCCTCATCAGTGTAGCTGCTGTAGTGACGGGTCGAGATGCGCCTGGAACCTGTAATCGTGGTTCAGATGGACCCGTTGGAGTAGGGTCGTGGGTGTCCATGGACTGGCCAGGTGCGGCCAGACCATTCGTTGCTCGGGTCGCGGAGGATGCACTCGCATACGCGTGACCATTGATCCCTAGCGCTGGCGATCTTGAGGAGCTGGGACCCGCGTATGCCGCCATGCTGCTGGATGGTCCAACGAGGGGAGAGGCGCTCCCACGCATCTCATGGTCAACCATGACCACTAACGTGGCGCGCAATGTGCGGTAGGCGCTAGGATCGGAAGGCGGGGAGGTGGGGACCTTCAAAGACGTCGTGCTCCAGATCGGGTCTTGAGCAGCAGCGAAGTTGACCAAATGACGCGATGAAGTTGCGCGTTGCGCTGCCGACCTTGATGTGACACGCCGCCGCCGAGCGATCAGGCGAGAGTCGCGCTGATGACCAAGCGCGTGCTTTTCGCTAATGAACGGGGCTGAAGCAGCAGCAGCTGCGAGATGAGTTCGTAGATGACACTAATGATGAGCCGGGGCGGACCACTGCTGGCAACGATCACACCGCGTGGGATGGGCAATCCCAATGCGGAAGGCGGCGAATGGAGGGATTATTGGTGGGTAAGCACTACTATAGTATGATGGCGGCTCCTGAGGTATTTTGCGGGCTGATGATTCATCTACTTGAACACCGGTACTAGGCTTTGTGTCGCTGCACGGGTTCAGAAGGCTGATGGGATGTACTTCTGTTCTCCTGCTGCTCGGTCAAGCGATCGAAATGTATGCGCCGAGGTAGAGAAAGACAAAATAGCTACGACACTTTCATGTCAATATCTGAACGGGGCTGAGAGGGGAAAGATAGCAACGCGTTGCGGACGTGGTCAGCCAGAGACAGTCACTGCCTGATCAAGATGGCGCGTCGAGTATGAGAAGAGCTCGTGATCCTGCTCGACGTGGGCAAGAGCTTGCGACTACCTCGGCGCACCTTAGACGAGAAGAGCGCATACATGCTCAAGTCTTGGCCGGGCGTATTTGCATGCAGCTGCAGCCACTGCCTTGCAAATGCGATGCTCGTCACCGGGAGCGGACCCCCATACGACATTACACCAGCAAGGTGGCGATCGCAAGCATACAGATCCCGCGAAGCCCCTTCATCTATATATGACGATACCGCGGCCAAGGCGGCGGCTTCGCACGACCGGGTCTACACGGCCCAGGGGCCGCCTACGTGTAGGTACCCACCCTTCAGCAATCACCACTTACTCACGTCGGCAATGCTATGAGCCCTCAGCTTCGTGATAGTAGATGTGGTGTCGATGATATGGGTGTGTAGAGCAATGACCTGCCTCGTCGCTTCACAATTGCTGCCTTGCACTGCACGCGCAAACGAGTGACACCGCCAACTCGTGGGACCCACGCTGCGACGTTGGTGGTCTGTGGTAAGGTGTCGGCAGATTGGGGCGGCCAGATGCAGCGAGACTACAGGTGTTGTGGAAGTATGACCACACGCAAAGTGCGAATGAGATGTCAGGGCGAAGTATGAAGGTGGACGTGCTGCATAGCAGATGCTCCTCGCCGATTGACGTTCCGACGGCGCTTCCTTTGATCTCCGCTATAGCTGCTGCTTACAGCAACTCCAACCTCATGTAGGCAGACCGGTGTATGGGCACCAAGCAACAGCTAGCAGCCAAGCCCAAGTCATGCAAATGCGGGTGCGGGACGGCACGCGCCTTTACGCACGCGCGTGCGCGCACGCGCTACATTTACTCATATGGGGCTCATGCAAAGGGCGTGTGACGTGCAGCAAAGACCCGAGCCAGCTCTGCTTACCAGCACCGATCCAGCAGGGGCGACCGGTCACGATCTGATTTGTGAGTTTTTAATCAAAATGTAAATCGTAATTGAGAATTTCGAATTTAAATGAGAGCCAAAAACAAATCAAGGTCTTGATTGATGTGGTCTTTGCGAGCACACCGTCGTTAGCGTGGGTCTGCGCTTCTCGCCTGCGAAGAAGCCATGAGCGCAGGATATGATTCATGACTGTGCGCAGAGGCCGGGTCTAGCAACGTTGGGAATCAGACTCAAGACGGCTTGAAATGTACCATCAAGCCGCTGGAACAAATCTCCCGACTAGCTGGGAGATGATGTGACTAAAGTGATTTGGTATGGTCACTCACAGTCGTGGATGATCAGTATAAACAGCAGCGAGCTCGTCGCGCTAGCGGTGGGCGGGAATTGCTCCCTACTATCATGCCCAGCGCAATCAAAGGCTCAAAGCGATGTCAGCAGAGCAGGTGTGTCCTCGGACTCGGATGCGGCGGAGCAGCAAAATCCAAGAGTCAAAGCGTCGGCCTCGTTGAGCTTCAAAAAGGCTGACAGTGGTGACTGCCACACTGCGTCATGCACCGAGCTACATGCTCAAAAAGCAGGCTTTCTTGGCAGGCCTGGGGGCTAACAACTCACAGACTACCGGTGTGACGATGACTCCAGGAAAAGGAGGATCGCTGAAGGCGGCAATCAGCAATCAAGAATCCTAACCGATTTCACGACCCGACAAGGTTTGAAGAAGAGGCGCCAGCGGGCCGATATGAAAAATGTGCGCTGGGATGCCTGTGCTCCTCTCTGCACCCGACTGCCCTAGCGGCTCGCTTAGCGTCGTTTCTTCAATTTTTCCTGTCGACTGCCAAAATGGGGTCAATATCCACAGGACGCAACAGCTCAGTCGTGAACATTTGTAGGAATTATTTATACCCCAGACCCGTGCAAATGATTAGTTCCCTTGAGCAGAGGCGAACAATCAAAATATTCAAGATTACGAAGACACGATATCACGTGAGTGGGTTCGAGCTCATCATGTCGATTGAGCGTCCACTCATGACTCTCGTCGGTCACATCGAGATCAACTATTGACTGCTCATCATGCCGTGATCTACTCGACTTCCCTCAATCAATAGTCTGACTGCCGTTTCAGAAAGCAGCACGCTGCATGACAAAGACGAAGCAATTATTCACGATTGAGTCAAGTGCCCTTCCAGGCAGGAGCAGCCTGTGATTTAGCGATGGAGCATTTCGTGATTGATTGCCTTCGGCAATCTCGCCTCTTATCGACAAATGCAGTGGGGAAGGTGACCAGCAGCGCGCCTGCGACTACACCACTATTCCCTTCTCAGAGCTCCAGGCATGAGTCCCGGCGCTCTTGACTCGGGCATCTGTCGGTCTTCGGCGAGCGATGCAAGGGTTCAGCAAAGGGTCGTGAAACCTGAGTTGCGAGGTGCCCACTTTGATGAGCTTGTTGCAAATTGGCAGGGAGGGTCTGCATGGAGGGTGAAGAAAGCGGCGCAACGCGCCAGCTAGGTCTTGACTCTTTCTATCGATTAAGCATTCACATCCATCATTCATTCATTCACGATTCGCGATGATTGAGCCTTGATTGCCATTTTGATTGCGATTGCGCTCGCGATTCACGTGGTTATGGCTATCCTCACACGCTTCTGATGCTCATCGTCACGATCACAAGAAATCGCTGTGAAATTCAGGGCCTGACTAGAGCCGCACTGGTGAGGCTTGATTTGAGGGGTTCACCTTTGTCTGAGCCTTGCAACGGGTCGCGAGTCAAGAGTGCATCAGCAGTCATGCATGCAGAGTGCCATGCATTGTTCGTGAAGCAGATCGAGACGCGACGCGTTAGATGCTCGCGTCACCGACACCAGCCCTGCTGCATGCTTGACAGCCAAACTGTTTTGAAGCATCCGAGCGTTGCGGTATCACGTGCGGCATGATAGCCCCCTTCTGACCCGGCCACACGATGGTGGAGCCAGCCAAGTCGAAGTTGCTGGACGCTGGGGGTAGGTATAGATATGATGTTAAATATGGCTGCTCATGACAAATTCCTGGCCACACAGACGCTCTTGACTCTTCTCGACTTCTTGGCTGGCACACAAGATTCAAGATTCAAGATTGAATGCTGTGCCGGTACCAACACCGTGGTGTTCAAAGTCACGGCTGTATCAAACTGACTCGTAAATAACCACGAATTTTGAATCGTGAATTTGAAAGGCACATGCTGCATCGCTCAACAATAAATCAAGTGCTATATAGCTGCTGCATGCGAGATGGTCAGTGCGCAGCGGCATTGGCCAATTTAAGCTCAGCAATCTGGATCAATAGCGCACACATGCACAATATCAGAGGATGCGGCTCCTTGCATGCATTCAAGATTCAGGTGTAGCACAGCGCTGCGCCAGTCAAGAAGGATTCAAATTATCAGTCAGGCTCAATTTCATGCGAATGGCGCTGCATGCATCGCGAGGAGAGCAGCAGCATCAGCTATGCCGCATGTTGTTGGAATCGCCGACACAGCCATCTGATTTGTCGAGTAGACCCGCCCGAATAAGAAGCACACTGGCCAAACTGCGCGCTGGCTGCGCGCGTGCGCGCCTTGTGCTGGTGGCGATTTGCAGCTGTCCAGTCTGTGGGAGTGTTATGTGGCGTGGTGCGGTGCGGTGCGGTGCGGTGCGGTGCGGAAGGGCGGGTACATCTGATCAGGAAGAGAACGTTTGTTCATTTTGACTCGTGACTCAAAGATTCGTGATTGCTGATGATGTGACTCTGGACTGCAGTTAGATGGAAACGATGCTCACTTGCCGTTCCACCAAGATCCATGCGTGGCCTTCAGTCAACGTCGCTCGAATAATACAAGCTCAATACTCTGACTGCAGTGATCATTCAACTTGACGACTTTCACGTGTGGGGACTTTGCAAGCCTTTTCTCTCTCAGACCAGCACTCAGATCGGCGATTGCAACACCACGGAACATTCAGCAAGCTCACTGGTTCGCCGCGACCTTGCGCAACGATCATTCACTCTACTTACTCTAGCTACTGGCCGGCGTGGAAATCTCGATTATTCGCTTGTCCTCTCGCCCTCATCTGCCGAACAGACCTTTGCTGCTGATCGCGGCCAGCAGCACGTATCTCAACGATGCTTCTTGGACTGTTTGGCGACAGCCAATCGCCTTCGGTCAAGATCGATTGGTCGCTCTACGGCGGAGCCGAGTCAACACATCCACCAGCGCGCACAACAGCTTCCTACGCCTCGTCTTCACGCTCCGCATCCGCGTCTGTTTCGGATGACTCGACTTCGGACTACGAAGTGGATGCTAGCTTGCCATCCCTTTCGCGCTACCGAGCCCGCCTCAGAGGGGATCAGAGCGATACGACCGTCTCTGATGCGGAAGATGATACCAAGCCACCCCCCACCACTTCGACTGGCATTGGAGAGCGACTGCTGAAGAACGAGGCCGGACTGGCATGGTTGCCGCCCATTTCTGACCCGCAAGATGGGGCGGACTTTCTTTGGTTGTTGACCGAAGAGCCTCATCGTTCGAGACGAAAAGCGATCCTCGCGGCGCACCCCGAGATCAAAAGATTGATGGGTCACGAACCTTGGACAAAATGGATCTCGTTGGCGGTCTTGCTGCTCCAAGTAGGCATGGCCTTGACGATGGGATTCCTGCAAGTACATCCGCTCAATTGGAAGTTCTTGCTGGCTGCTTATGTGATCGGGGGAACTGCGAACCAGAACACTTTCCTGGCCATCCATGAGATTACTCACAATCTGGCCTTCAGAAGCATTCAAGCTAACAAATGGTGGGCGATTCTGGTCAATTGCGCCATTGGCGTGCCCTACGCTATGTTGTTCAAAGTGGGTTGGTCGGCGAGCGGCTATGCGCTGCTACCTCCCTTCTCTGACCATCTACAGTGATCACCCTGCAGCCCTATCACATCGAGCACCACAAGCATCTGGGAGAAGAAGGTATGGACACGGATCTCCCCACCAAGCTGGAGCTGCTTTGTCTCAAGAATGTGCTTGGCAAAGCCTTCTTTGCGTGAGTGTGCTCAATGGTGCGCAGTGCTGCCGCGCCTCCGCTTCTGACAGGCAGGTCTACGAACTACCTCAGCACCTTTCAAATTTTCTTTTACGCTTTGCGCCCGGGATTCGTCAAAGCGCAAAAGCCCACAGTGTGGTTGTTTGCCAATTTTGCGGTGCTTCTGGCGTTTGACTTTGCCTTGATTCAGACTGCTGGGTGGTATGCCATGTTCTACCTGCTGGAGAGCAGCTTCTTTGCTGGTAGCCTTCATCCCTGCGCTGCTCACTTCATTGCCGAGCATTACATGTTCGCCGGCGTCCAAATGGAGACGTGGAGCTATTATGGTCCGCTGAATGCGCTGGCGTACAATGTGAGTAAGACCGGGCTGCGGAAAGCGAAGGGAATGTGGCCGTCGGCGATGCTGAGATGTGATGCTGTCTACAGGTCGGCTACCATAATGAGCACCACGATTTTCCATCCATACCTTGGTCTCGCTTGCCAGCGCTGCGAGCGGCAGCGCCGGAGTTCTACGACGTCTTGCCATGCCACACCAGCTGGCCTCTCGTCACTGTGCAGTTCATACTGGGCACAGATTCTGGTCTGTACGCGCGCATCAAGAGACTCTCGAAGAAGGCGGGGTGCAAGGCTCTCGAGGGAGCCAAAGAAGCCGTCGGCGCTGCTGGTGGACCGACAGACGTTCAGGTTTCTAATGATATGGCCCACAAAGCTCAGAAGCAGCACGACAAGAATGCTTGAGGCTAGTGTCCATCTACCATCGTGAATGCTATCTTTTGGGTCACTCAAGTACGGTACGAGAAGCAAGCAGTCCCGACATGAGTTCCGCACGCTATCGCGTGCGATGTATGACCGTCCTGCCCAAATAGCACCTCCAGTCAGGCGCGCTGCAGTAGACTTCGGGCGAGGATTGCATTGTCGCTCCGCCTGAAGAGCTGCATTGACGTGCTGTCAAAGCACATCCACATCATTCGTGGCGCGGTGTTGAGTATGAGCCATTATCAAACACGAGTTGCGAACGGCGCCCACGTCACGCGACGCGTAGCAAGCGCTCAGCTCGCCTATTAAAGGTGGGTCGCGGGTGTGCGAGTCTGGTGCGACGAACTCACACTAATGATCATGGCTGAGCTAAGGAGGACATGACTGCGCGATTTGTGTCACCTTCATCATAGAATTGCCATGGGCGACTGGTTCTGCGATGCTGCGGCGCCACGCAGCACTCACGACTGACCGCATCACGATCACGATCGCGTTTGCAGCTGCGCACGCTTTGAGTGGGCGCATGCATCTGTGAAACGTGCTCCGGAATTGTGAACAGTTTTGAAGTAGGAAAGTATTAGTGTATGTAGCCCTTGTTCACATTTGCGATTCAGATGGTCTTCCATTGGGGAAGCAAGGTGGCGGTATATACTCACGATGGTCAGCGGAAGCGTTCGTCACCCCAGCCGCGTGCGCCCCTCACACCCGAAGCCGTGGCCCATCTCGAGGAAACAGGAGCTCGTATATAGTTTGCTCATGCGGCACGCACGCACGCACGCACGATATTGAGCGACGCGCGCGCGCCCTTGCAGATTCCAAAAGTTACGAGACGCGTCTTGACATTCAACCATCACATCCTCGTCAAAGGGCAAGAGAGGGAAGCTTGGACAGCGCTCTTCTCCTTTCAAGATCTCGCTCGTATTCGGGAAAGACTCTTTTTGATTAGAGATCAAGGTGAACACGGTGCCCATTGCTGAGAATACTTGGACTCTATAAGTAGGCGAATTATTGCGCTATGTCTGGAATTCCCCAGGCATCAGCTGCACCATCCGGGTCGGGGTTTGCGAAGCCGAACGCGGTCGAAGTGCGACGCGCTGTTGCATCCCAAGCATTGGTGGGGTCGTCAAGCGCGTCCGATCGAACAGCAAGAGCGCAATCTCTAGCAGCTATGGACTCCACATCCGGCCCGTCGAGTGGTCAAATCAGGAAAGGGCCTCTTGCACAAGTTCCGCCCGGCTCCATCGGATCGGTAGCAATGACCACAAAGTCGACTTCGTCCCCCGGAAGCGCTTCGCCGAGCAGCTCTGCCACGATGCCTTCTGTACTTGCACCTGGGCCCGTCACCGGCGCTTCTTTGCCGCATCCTCAGATGCGCCCACGTGCTACCGAACAAGAAGGCTGGACATCGAATGGAGCGCCGCCAATGATCCCGCGAGCGCCAGCAAGGAAGGGTGCCATGGACGACTTTTTGCGCTCCTATCCTCGTCCCCCTCCGCGTCGAAGTCCGGATTACGTCGCACGAAGAGCAGCTACAAACACGGCCATGTCCCCTTCGGGACTCGCTGCAAGCGCGTCAGAATCTGCTCCTGTGCGCCCTGCGCGCCCTGCGCGTCCTGCGTGGGACACTCAACTTGACATACCTGCAGTCGAGGGCTTTGAGACAGAGATTTTGCCTCCGCCACCAACCTTACCGAACGACCCGGCATACCCGCCCTTGGCACCAGACGCACCCCCAGAATCGGCCGTGCCAGTGGCCAAGAAAAAGGGTCAGAATTCGGGCGCGACCTCGTTTACACCTACTTCATTTACCCCTCATTCCGGCGCAAATGGTTCCCGCCAGATGATTCTGAGTGTAGACGAACAGGGCCGAGTCAGAAAGGGTCCGGCCATTCCGGACGGCTTGAGAGCAATAGTCGACGGAACGTTCTGTACACTTCAGAAACCGCTTTCGAAGCCCCATAAGCGTTTGCCGTTCGTATCGCTACCGTTGGAAAAGCGAGCCTCGGTGGGAAGCTACACACGGGCTGACTCTGCCGATCTTCTTCCCCTTCCAACCAGCATACACAGAGAAGGGCGGCCTCATCGGGGCAAGCCACTGCCAGCGCAACCAAACACAAGGACGAATGGGGCGCCAACAGAATCTGGACAAGGCAGCGACGCGGTCAAGATCAAGTCGGAGCCCAACGCTTCCCCTGCGGTGCCCTTGATTCCGCTCCCCGAGCACGAGCACAGTAACGACAAGGCCTCGACCACCTCGCCCGCTCCTCGATTAGCTCGGAGCGTTTCTGAGCTCACTGCAAGCGATGTAGGCGGTCCAGCAGATGGGGCTTCGGTTGCGTCTGAGGATACGGTGGCGTTGGAGGAGGATGTGGAGGCTAAAGGGATCGATGAAAAGGGAAATCTTGTCATGCATTCGCTAGACAGCGGTATAGATGTGGCGTCCGCAAAGGGAGACAATCGCAAAAAACGCAAGCCAATGAGGAAGGATAGAGAGTCGGCGGCCTCCTCTGATCTCACAGAGTCGTCGCCGGCGCCCGTCGGTGATGTTATCATCACGAACAGCCCTCGCGGAAGACCTTCTCGAGCGGCTGGCTTGGCGGGGGCAGCAGCCAGCACAGCTTTCATGAATTCGCGCAGAAGAGGTTTCAAGCAGCCAGAACCCCTGGCCACCACTTCGACGCGCCCGTCTGAAACGCTTTTGCCACGCGAAGCGGGCGCGATGCAACCCTCAATTTCGGGAAGCGCTGCTCCACAAGGCTCTGCTTCGTCGATTTTGAGCGACTCGGCATCAGGTCCTGTCAGCCCAAAGGGGGCGAGGGGTGCTTCAAGCAGCATCTTGGTTCACCCACGCGGAGTCGACAGCGCAGATCATCAAGAGGTAAGTCCTGGCACCGCTACCCCTGCGATTTGTCTTAGTGCGCTTGCGAACCGTTTGCCATCCTCTGATCACTCTTACAGCCGAACAACGAGCATTGCGAAACTTGTGCTGGATCTGGTCATCTACTCTGTTGCGAGGGATGCAGTGAGTTCGAGCGTGAAACGCTTGTCTCGAATTCGTCGACTACCGAGAGCTCACTTGGTACCGTCCTCAATCTCTGTCTTCGCAAGCCCGCTCCTTTCACTTCGCTTGCTTGAATCCTCCTTTGGACATTGACGAGAAGCCTGCAAGTTCCACCCCCAATGGCGTTCCGACAAACGCGAGCACAGACGAAGCGTGGTATTGCAACGTTTGCAGAGCTCTCAGGGTGAGGCGCGCGAATTGGCTGCTGGAGGTACCGGCTCACGAAGCTCTCAGGTGGCGAAGGCCCCTTGCTGGCGCAGCAAGCTGAGGCGCACATCTTTGGCTGCGCTCGTGCGGCAGGACGTGAAGACGCGCGCGTGTTGTTGACCCCGGCCGATGCGCGAGCGGGCACTCGGGGAGCCAGCGACGCGGCGCGACGCGTGGCGCAGTTTGCTGCTGATCCCCGGCTGCGAGAGGCGCGCTTGGCGATTGGTGACAACCAGGCGCCAGCGGCAGGGACTCTTTGAGTCTGCAACCAAGGCTCGAGCTCAATCTGAACACCGCGGGCGGGTGGCTGGTGCGCTGCTCATTTCAATCGGCCTCTGATCGAGCCTCCCCCAAGAGCTTTCCTTGTCGTCATTTCCGCTTACTGACACTGGCCGCGTTTGTCATTCTGCAGAGAGGAAAACAAAGGAAAGCGAAAGGCTTGTTTGGCTCGCTGCTGCAGAAACTTGACAGCGAGAATCCGAGCGACTTTGTGCTACCTGCTGACATTCGCGGTCATTTCAAAGGCGGTGGGTGGACGTCCCACAACCTTTGGACGAAGGACGCGATGCTGACATAGTCCATACACTTGCATCCGGCAGTCACCGCTCACCCTGACGGCTCATATCTCAATGCTACACTCGTGCGGCCTCTGAGAATCACGTGAGTCGTTGTGCCGCGACGATCGATTTTGCTGCTCCGAACTCTTGCTCACCACTCTCTTGACGCCGCGGAGCAGCAAGGCGGGCATTATCGATGAGAGGGACCCTTACAAGCTCAAAGACAAGCAGGGCGCTTTGGTACTCTGCTACCACTGCAAAGGGTCTGCGATGCCGGAAGATCGAGATGCGCTCCTGCATGCTCACATTGATGCAAGAGAGAGCGCCAAGACCGCATCGCCGCAGCGTCTGAAACGGCGTGCTGGATCGTCACATCATCCAGTGGAAGCGCCACCGCAAAGCGCAAAGGCTCCCCGGGTCGCATCGGAAGCTAAAGCCGAAGCGCTCAGAGCAGTTCCCTTCGAGGTCGTCGCTGCCCTAGCAAACAATGAAGGGAAGGGGGACGCAGAGGGATGGCGTAGAATCGTGTCCTGCGATTTTTGCTCCTTGCATTGGCATCTCGATTGCGTTGATCCTCCATTGATCAGCATGCCTCATGAGACCCGGAAGTGGATGTGTCCGAACCACGTCGACCAAGCGACGGTGAGTGCGACGGGGGACGAAGACTCCTCGAGGCTTTGTGTTGATTTTCCCCTTGCACAACAAGCCACCACCTCGAGTGCCAAAAGTCACCGCGGCACAGCAACAGGTCGTCGATTTGCCCGTGCCATCTGCAGCTAGCATCGGTCCGGGCAGGCATTACCGAACACGTGTCCGCAACAGCGGCCTCATAGACATCATTCCGGATCCCTTGGATGACATTTTCGATTCATCGAGTGGCAAAAGACGTAGCAGCAACGCGTGGATGCTGGATGATGTCGACGTCGATGAAGATGATGAATTGGACAAGTTGGGACACAAGGTCAAGCTGCGCATACCTGAGCGCGTCATCTTGTTGGACTTTTGGCAGCGCGCCCGGCACAATCGCGCTCTATTGCAAGGGACGCGGGACAAGCACACGTGAGTTTGCGTTTTACTTCATGACTCTCTTGAGATAGCACGTCAGCTCATTTGGATAATTTCAGTGTGGCTGCCGATTCAGGGCTGCAACTGTTGGCTGAGATAGCCAAGCAGGAGCTACCACCCCCTGCTTTCAAGTATCAATCTACCATTGAGGTACGCGTTGAGGGTGCCCCCGACTCGTGGTGTGTTGCTTAGCTTAGCCTCAGATTTTCCTCCAGGCTTTGACGTCTCCCGTGCCACCCATGGACGCACAAGAGTCGAGCGTTCGCTCCGACCCCCAAGCCGTGCCGGCGCCATTTTGCAAGGAGATCTCTCAAGCCGTCATGACACTACGGCGCAATCCAATTGCCCGCGGGGAGCACGCACGTTCCGAAAGCCCTCTCACCGATATCGACGATGGGGCCGTTGTCAAGCAGTCGGCGCCGCACGTCCGAGCTTCCAACTCTACTGCAGACCGCTTGACAAATGGCGAATCCAGCAAGGTCGAGTCGACAGCTGGGCGAGGCTTGCGCATCAACGGATTAGGCGCAGTGATGGGAGATGGCCTTGAAGAGATGCTGGAAGCTGCGGGCTTTGGCGAAAGATCTACTGCTCAATCATCAGACGGGCCACCATCCACACCGCAGCGCTCGACGCCCAGGCGAGCTGCCGGGGCAGCAGCGGCAGCGGCGCTCATAACGACACCGAGTCATGATCGCCACGCACCGCAAAAGCGCAAGCTGATCAATGGTGACTTGAGTCAAGACTCTGCCGCGAGCACGCCGCAGCGAGGCCTTGCGAAGAGGTCCAAGAGGAATCACGATGGTGCGGCTGCGCCTCTGGACGGCTTTGCCCACCAAGAGGTACAGGTGTCTCCGCCTCTGGGAAAAGATCAGCAGGTGCAGACGCTGATTTCTCGAGGCACTGACCAACAAGTGCAAGCCTCGCCGGTAGGAGCGGCTGCTTTGGACGCAAAAGTCTCGCCAGAAGAAATTGAATCCCTGCTAGCGGTTCGAGAGCTTATGCGCCACAAGGGAAAAGAAGAGATTCTCAGATTCTTGCGTAGCTGAGCGCTTGTGCCGCGTCGTGGAACACACCTTTGAACTCCCGAGTCGAGAGTTCTGCACCTTTGCAGCTCCCGCTCCTGCTGAGCATGTATCATACACAATCCATGTGATTCTATTGGCGACAATCTTGCAAGGCCATCTTATCAGCCAGTTCGGTATCGCAAAGAACAGGCGCTTGACTGATCGTCTCGCGCCAAAAGCGTGGCTCAGGGACGAGAAAAGGCAAAAGAGTGTTATTGGTTACGGTCAAGAGCAAATATGGGGTAACGGGAAGCAAAAGGCGAGCGGCACGCATGGACACGGGGGAAGGTAGGCGCGCAATGTTGTCCACGAAAAGGGCACCTCTCAGCGCTGCGCAAGGGAAGTGTAACGGTTGTCTTATGTTATGGTAAGTGAACAATATCACTCGACGCTCTTGGCCGAATTATCCTTTGCAAGCCGCCTCAAAGTTAGCGGCCTGGATGGCGTGGTCGTATTGAAAGGAAAGGAAGTCGTCTTTGGGGGTAAATGAGAGAAAAGTGACGGGTTCAGAGCGATAAACCTTGGGCACCGCAAGCAAGACGAATTCTACTGTTTGTTTTTGGGGACTCACTCAGCTTGCACAGCGTTGGATTGGGTCCGCTATCTGTGCATCCCTGCTCGGCGCCCATTGGCAGGACGGCGTCGTTGAGGACTGCCCTGATGTACTTCTCTGGAGCGCCACCCTTCTTGGGTGCTGCGCATTGCAACACTTCAAAAGCCAACTTTGCGGCCGATGGCACGATGGACGAGGTCAAAAACTTGCGCTCGGGGTTGATCTTGGCAGGATCTAGATTTTCTGACAACTGCATGCCGGAACTTGCAAAGCTCAGCGTTGGGTCTGAAGAAGAGCTCCTCTACTACTAGGTCATGCAGGCACTGCTCACCTGCTTGAAGCCGAGTGCCATGAGAGTTCCAACGATGGTACCGTCGTGCGCAAAGTCAAAGTAGAAGGACTGGTCTCCAGGAAAGTACAACGGCAAGGTCGAGTGGCTCGAGTTCTGCGAGGTGATGGGAGGAGGCACCGTCGAACCCTGCAATCGAGCCAAGAGTTCCTGTATCCAACCAATACCTTGAGCTCGACCCGTCGTGCTCTGCGGACCCGCATTGCCCGAAATACGCAAATCCCATGCGTACTGGAAACCTTCCCATTCTGATCACGCGGAAAGACCGAGGTGGTCAGCATTGCCTCGAACAGAATTCGTGTGCCAGGTGGAGAAGACGCACCTGCTTTGGTGAAGAGTCCACAGCTTCGTGTAGATCGGGATCGTAAGTCTGACCATTCGACGGGACGTGCACACTTCTCGCGTCACTCACAAATCCGAGTAGCCAAGTGCTTGAGTTTCGACAGCACACAGCGATTGCATCCCATGAATGATCTCGGGTGTCAGTTGCGTCCTTGTCGGCATCAGCGGCTGCAGCCTCTTGATAGCATTTTTGGTGTACTGCTCGATCCATCGAGGTGCCAAGGAGAGGTCGCCCAACGGCGACTTGACCACGTTGGGGCAGGCGCCCCACGGCGATAAGGTGCTCTGTGAAGGAACGCGAGAAATCGTCTCAGCATTGAGGAGCGAATTTGTGGGAAAAGACCTCACGCACATTGAAGCCAGCAGAGTCGATGAGAACTTCCAGGTTGACCAACGCTGGAGCGTCGATACCGAAGAAGCCCTGGAAGCAAAATCGCGCGACGCGATGATGAGTCTGTGCTCGTCAATCAATGCGCAATCTGACCGACGCCCGTGTGCTCACCAGGTTGAAAAACTTCGCAGAGTCCAAAAGGGCCTTCGTGCTGGCGGTCCTGATGATGGGTTTGTGCATCGGTTTATACGGGCTATAAAGCTTGCCGTACCTCGTGAAAGCGGCGACGCCCGAGTCAAACATTTGCTGTCTACCTGCTGCCGACAGGAAGTCGGATCCCAAGTTGTACTGCCAATTATTCAAGAAGCTCAAGACGCCTTTGGCGGATTTTTTGTGATTCATTTTGAGGAGCGTCCGACCAACTTCTTGCAGGTTCTCACCGAATGTACCTGCTGAAGAGGGAAGACGAAGTCCGCTTCGGTGTAAAAGCTGCACGCTCTCCAGATGACAATTGTCTGGGATGCCGCTCCACTGTTGAACTTCCGGGAATAAGCGACTACTTTGATAAGGCGAAAGGGAACCCATCTTGTCCCAAATATAGAATGTGCCATCCTTGTCGTCGGTGGGGTTCCAACGTCGTTCGTAAGAGCTTCCTCCAATTGGACAGTTCGACTGCGCTGCGGTCTTGGTATTCAGGAGCTTGTTCGACTCTACTGCCAAAGGTCGTTGAGGCAGCTCAGTGCCGTTGCCCTCGAATCCGACACTTTCAGGAAAGGGAAACGGAAAGATGATGATTGGCCCCGTGAGAGGCGTATCTGGCAAGGGTGTTGCCTCAGCTGGGGCCTCGAGCGCAGGTGGCGGTGATTGCTGCACTGTTTGAGACTGAGCCTCGGGCGTAGGCGGAGCTTGTTCCGTAGCCGCAGGTGCAGGTGCAGGTGCAGGTGTAGGCGCAGCAGCCGCTTTGGCTGCTACGGCGGCCTGCGCATCGGGGTCACCTGCAGCAGCCAGCTCTTCCGGGCTCAGCAGCTTTTTGAACCATGGAGGAACTTTTGCAGGTCCCCATTTTCGCAGAGCCGTCCTCGCCAAAGCTTGGTTGAGGGGATTGTCGAGCAGCTCCTGCTGTTGAGCTTCCGTCAATGCAGGCGGTTCTGACTGCTGGCGCCGAAAGAGGGGGTCCCTCCTGTCGTATCTGACCACCTTGCTGCTTCGTGCACTTGTCGGAACGATGGCAGCCCGGCTTGCATTGGCAAGCACAGCAAGAAGTGCAAAGATTGCCAGTGCTCGAAAGGGAGACGTCGTGGTCAGGACTAGGCCAGGCAAAGTCCGCATGGTAATTGTCGTAGCCTGCCGAGATAGACCGCGAAGCCGTCTGGTCGACGCTGCTTTTGAAGAAACGAGTCGACGCGAGGCGTTCCGAGTGAAGTGAGGTCGAAAGAGAGCAGCTAGCCAAGCAGGGGGCCTGGAATGCTGCCCAGACCGCGGCGTCGAAGAGGTGAGGTGGAAGAGGTCAAGAGTGCTGGGAAGGGAATGTGGTGACCACAGCACTGAGGGTTAGCGAAGCAAAGGGGTCGGAATGAGCGGGTGGAGCAGGATTGATCGCCCCGTCTCGCATAATATAGCGCTGCGATCTTCTCAGATTGCCTCAGCCTATCGAGGCCGACTCTTGGGCCTGTATATGACACTGGACGATGTATGTGCAGCGAACTGCGAGGCTTTGAGAGCGCAAAGAGGCGAAAGGAGGAGGCTTTTGCGGAGACGAGACAGAGAACTGGCGAAAAGGGGCCTGTGAACACGGGCTGAAGTTTATTGTGATATGCTCCGGCTCACTTGGATGGAACGGGCCCAGGTATGCAGCGTCTAGGGGTCCGCGGTCGGTCTGCCTTCGCATACTGATATACGTATCCCATATGTGTGCAGATCGTTTACTCAGAGCATTGAAGTTCGAGTCATGAGTGCAGGGAGGGAGAGAGAGGCGCCATCACTTCGATACGCACGGCTACGCAGTCGGTTCAATTTGAGCCCGTGATTGCCTCGACCGTTATTCCTCCATGTGCTCCTCTCGGCTCATCGCCCGTGCTGCGCAGCCAGTATTCGGCACTTAGATGCTTCCAACAGAAGGCGACGCCGGCCGTCAGCCGCGTGATTGAGCCATTTGCGCTGGCGCGCCCGCTGCTTGGAGTTGCAGTACTCACTATGATTGACATACCGAGGTCCGAAGTTCAATTCAGCCCGTTCCTGGTGGGCGCCCATCAACGACGAAGCAGGTCTGCAGGAACGTGGACGCATACCCATACCCGCAAATATCAGCTTTGTGCGCGACCTGTACTTTCGCTCAAGTCTGAGCATCGCGTGATCGAGGAGGGGGCCGCACACAAGCGCTGCTGCGGTAAGACCAGTCATTGCTCCACTCCACATTATGTGGGCTGATTCGAGCGACTTGGCCGAGCATGACAAGGCCACCTACGTGCTCGACAACGCGCTGCGCCGCCCTTCAGAAACAGACGCCTTGGTATGCATCGATATGGCGGCTGACAGCGCTGCTTTGCGTACCACCGTCGAGGAGGCTGCTCTAGTGCGCCCGAAGGATCAAGCACGGGGTAGCAACACAACTGCGTGGCGTTGCAGACCACGTAAAGTCGAGCGCTGACTACCTACACAGCGGGTCTCGATCGCAGCTCAAGGGATGGGTAGGAACCATAGCGAGTACTGATGAAACCGATTTTTATTGAACCTTGGGCCTGGTCGACGAGTCGGGGCGCAGCTTGCCCCACATCATCCGCTCCCACCTCTCACAGAAAGCGTCGGCTCCAAAGGTCTCCGACGCTCTTGTCCTGGCTCTTTGGCGGATAGCGATGACCTCATCAGAAGGCAGGGCGAGGATGCTTTGCAAAGTTCCGGCAAAGTCGTCTACCGACCGAGCATGGAAGCCGGTCCTGCGACCTTGCTCGTCTGGCACCGCGATGTCCAACAGAGGACCTGCCGAGGCGTGAGAAAGCGTGATTAGCCCAGCTGCCATGAACTCGACGACGTTGATGCCGAAGTGTTCATCCACCATGGTACTGATGCCGATACTGGCAGTTCCCAATGAGCTGATCAAGCTGTCGTAGCTCGCGTTGACGAGAAACTCGACATGATCAGGGCCATCAGCGTGCGTGAGCTTCATTTCCTTGGCCAAGGCACGAAGGCTCTCGACGCGCGCTTCATCTGTCGCATCTCTTGAGCTCCCTATCATGAGCAGCCGCAGAGGATTCCGAGCTTCGCGGAGCTTGGAGTTGGCGTCTAGCGTTGCTCTCAAGATCCGCAATTGATTAGCTTGCTCCTTTTCCGGCCGGAATTGGCCGAGACTGACAAGCGTGCGCGCGTGTCTAGACTCGAGAGACAACTTTGCGAGACGGCTAGTGTCGCATGGAGGGTAGAGGACGCGAACCTGCTGTGTCGATCCAATCAGGTTGCTCAGGTGTGCTGCGGTCCAGCTGCCATTTCCGACAATGACGTCGGCGCAACGAAGAGCCCTAGAGTAAGCCCAGACAAAGCTCTGGTAGTAGACCAGCTTCAGACGGCTTTTGAGCGCGCTCGAAGCGATACCTGCAGGATTCGTGTGACTCGCTTTGCGCAGTGCGACTCGCGAGACCATGTCGGTGCTAATCGTTGGGTAGTGTGTATATGCTCCGATCCGCACTTTCGAGCTGAATGCTTGCACTGTTGGGTAGGAGAACGCGTAGCCCATCGTATCTATGTGCGCGCGTGTGTGCGTCAGGCATGCAGCTCAAATACCCTTTCTTCCATCATCACTCACCTATCCAAACGTCTGGCAGCACTTCGCCTATCGCCTCAATGGCCATCCTCACGCTTCCATAGCTCTGGCCTAGGAGAGTGAGCCGTTTCCAATAAGAGTCGGCCACCATGGCTCTGGATTTAAGCGGAAGGAACTGGATTTGATGCCTGCGTGGGTGAGTCGATAAAGGGATGCCAAAGCGAGCCTACATCGTATACCGCAATCGTTGTTGAAAGGTGAGTGTCGGGCCCTGCATGAATGCTGGAGGCTGGCAGTGCAGGCGACTCACGGTGCAGCGTTCAAGGATTTCTGCGGGTGTCGCGGTTCCCATACCGTTCCAAGGACGGTTCAAGTGCCTCAAGCTGCTTTCGATGCCGACGTCTCCAGTATAGATCACCAGCACGTGGTCCTCATGTGTTTCAAGATGATGCAGCAGAGCCTGGAAGAGCACCCTCTCTCCGCCACCACCCGCATTGCTGCGTGATCGATTAGACACGAAGATGCGATAATCGCGGTCAGCGTGCGCTACTCTCACACATTTGCATGATGCGTGTCAAAGAGCTCTTCGCTCACCAGTAAGGATGAAAGAAGCCGACAATGGTCTTCTTGTTCCTCTCCTCTCTGTCATTGAATCCGGCACGCTCGAGCAATTCCCTCCGCCTTGACTTGTTGGCTTTCTTGGTGTTGCGTATGTGAGCAGATACGAACTGCAGCGTGAAGACGACGGCGGAGAGCACAGCGAGCAACATGCACAGTCCGACTGTCTGCCATATCGGCGGCCTTGAGCTCGACATTGCGGGAGACCAGGCTTGACGCAGCACAACGGCCTCCTGCTGCGATTGAACGTGCGACTCTCAGAAATGCTGCAAGGTCTTGTGTCGTGATTTGCAGGGAAGCAATCGGCACCCGTGGAAGCTACCAGGTCCAAGCGTCCAAATTGCAGGCGCAGAATCGTGCGATCAGGCAAGGAGATCTGGAGGGACATGTGATTCATGACTCTAATTCAAGTATTAGAGGCGACAAAGACGGTTGTTGCCTGTTGAGAAGGGATCACGATTCAAGATTTCATGTCGTGTTGAACGTGCAGCGTCACGTGAGTGGAGAAGCGCATCTGGCCAAAAGGACGCGAGAATAATCGCGCGCGGGCACTCGTGACTCAGACTAGTGACTCCATCAGGACGCGCGCGCATGCCAAGTTGCGCTTCAATCGACCAGCATTGTGAATTCGATGTTTCTTCTCGCGCACCAATTACAATTTGATCGCTGTGCGAACATACAGAGCCACAGGTTGCGAGGCAGTGTACGTACCTCATCATCGGCTCGCGCTGATGCTCTCTGCACAGACACATTCGCCCCAGTAACTTCTTCCGCCAGCACCTGGAAGCTCTCGTTCACGTTGGGCAGGCACCTGCGCATCTCCGCGTCGACGTGCACCTTCATCGGAGGTTTAGCTCCGCAAGATGCCGGCCTCAACAACGCCACCAGGCTCGGCCTCCATCTCACCAGAGAGGTTCGCGAGGCTCTTCAGAAGCCTGAATGCTGTCATTGCAAATCCGCAGCGGGGCGCAGCGAACCATGACTGGTTCATCAACGTGGGCAGACACGCGTCGGAACTTCTCAACTTCGGACGCGCTCGACCACCTTCTGATGCCGAAAAGAAGGAGCTGCAGGCTGGTGAGTGACTCTTCGCCCTTGCGCACTTGTATGGGCACCCGCTTAGGCTCACGCTTGTGCCCCCTGCACAGGGCACGTCACCATTCACGGCACCAAGCACACCGTCAATCAAGACTTTGCGCAGCAATGCTTTTACCTCTCCTCCACTCTCAAAGTGTCGGAGCGATACGCCGCATCGCTGCTGCAAGCAGGATTTGAAGGCAGAGCGCGCTATGGAAGAAGCTCCGTGGAAGCTGCTCTGCTCATATATCACCACGAGCGGATAGCTGCCATTGGCTGCTTGAAGGAGCTTGCTCGATCTGCCATGACCTTGGCTCACGAAGCAGATGCGGCTTCCCAGCAAGTTGGCGCGCGCATCGAGAGGCTTGTGTCGGACCTTGTAGAGGCGCAAATCGACGTGCCTGCACTACCAGGCCGACCAGCGAAGACGCAGACCACTTTGCCCGAAAGGATCCTCATCGAGCTTGATGCCACAAAATTAGAATTGCAAGCCCTCAAGGCGGAAAATAGCATCGGCGAGCGACTCGAGCTTATTGTGCAAGAGCGTCAAGAACTCGGTCAGCTGCTGTATTTGCTCTCTGCTTCGCGACGCTTGGCTCCTGCGCACATCCTGGCCTTAACAAGGTGGTTGAGTTCGCAACAGGACCCTCAGGACGCCATGGTCATCTACGTCCTCGCATCATTGCTTGGTTGTCTCGAGGTACCGCCGACCGAGCACCCCGATCTGGACCCGGAATCCGCGCTGGCCCTGCACAAGGAGATCACTGCCAAGGATTGGACTCTTCCACAACTTCGATGCGTCGTCCTTCTACAGTGGTCCGCACTACTTGCGATGCCGAGCTTTTCAAACGAGATCAAAGTTCAGGACGAAGAGATCACCTCCCTGGTCATTGGAGCCATTGCTGGCGGGCCAGCTTACAATAGTACCTCGAGAAGCGCCACAGTAGCGCCAATGGCCGGCGATGCGCTTGTCTTCGTAATTCAGTATGTTCTAGCATTCAGACAACCAGCCTTTGAAGCTTCGCAAGGCTTCGAGGAAGGCACGGAAGCGCTGGCGACTCTGGCTCCGGGGATGAGCGAAAGCGGCATAGATGCCGAGTTCCAAGAATACGTGCTGACCCAGGTTCAAGATCTGTTGATTCGCCTCACCAACCTATTCCTGCCGCTTTTCCGGAGACTTCAACGCGCCGAGGAAGATGCAGAATTCGGATTCAAAGACTCGAAGAACAAGCCGGGACAATCAAGTGACCCGCAAAGATACGACATCGAAGCTCTTTTCGACGCCATCAGCTTGCTCTGTCGCGGCCGACCAGATGCTGGCTTACGCTTTCTCGTCGAATCGGATGGGAGGCCAACCCGCTTCCTTGGCTGGGCGATAGACGTAGAACAGCATGGTCACCGGCGAGCAATGTTGGACATGGTTGCCTCGTTAGCATCAGGTGCTGAAGGCGCCTGGCAGATTCATACCCTCCTCTCGTCGGAAGATGGGGTCGGAGACCCTCGTCTTTTTTCTTGGGCCCGCTTGTTCGATTGGCTGCAGTACACCTACACCCAATTTCAGGAATCGCTCAGCGCCTCTAGAGGTGGCGTGCTTAGAAGTCAGCTCAAAGTGGAGCGGGCCGACGAAATCTTGTTGAAATCGTTCCTCGGTGTGCTTCGAAACGTTGCTCACCATAGCGTAGCCGCACGAGATGCTCTTTATCAGCATACTGGGTATGCTGCCCTCCAACGCTTGTTCAACCTCTACGTGTGCCCCACTTCGATTGGCTTCAAAGCCTCCACTCTTCGGGCTTTGACCGCTTTCGCTCGCCCCGACGGTCCGAGCGCAGGCCGGATTGCTGCCGACATCTGGCAGCTGCTCGAGACGCACCAGGTCGTGGGCGACACAAAAGCTGCAGAAGAAGCACTCAGGGCACGCATCGTCTCTGAGCGCGGCACCACCGGCACCGGTATGTTTGGGCAGAGCAACATCTCGAATCAAATGCATAACTTTGCTTCCAGTGCGCTCGAAGTGCTCGAGCGGGAAGAAAGGCCTACACAAAACTTCGAGGCTACCGTGGCTCTCGTCGATCTGCTCAAGGCTTTGCTTCAAACACCTGCCCCAATGACTTCGGCGACGCCCACCGTCACCTCGGCGCTGGGTGCGATGAATTCCAATCACGGTCAAGCAGCCTCTTTGGAGCAAATCGTCGTCAGTTTGGGCCAAGCTCACCGCTCCCCTGGCCTCGACCCTTACGTCAACTTCGTCATCGAAAGGGTACTTCTCGGTGCGTCGCGGGGCGAGGTCGCTCTCCCCGCCGACGCTTTACGCCTCAAAGCAAAAGCTCTGGGCTTTGTGGAGCGATGTCTTGCTTGCTACAACCTGACCCCCCTCTTTGAAGCCGACGAAAGCGGTGTCTTGGAGCCGCGTGCCGTAGCGCAACTGCTGCTCCACCCTGGCTTCTCCATCCTAAAACGACTTCTTACGAACACCACATTGCTTAAAGAGTTCTTCGCGGTCATTTGCCCGTCGGACGACTCTGGTTTCGAAGTCCTGAATTCCGCAGGTTCCGGAGCTGGCTTCCAGGCTCAATGCGTCGGACACGCTCTGCGCATCTTCCAGCGCGTCATGCAGCTCCAGGACGCTTTCTTGCAAGTCCTTCTGCCCGCTTGCAGTGACTTGCTTGCTTCGAACCAGGGCGCGCAGCTTGCGGCTTTCAAAGCTGCTGACAGGCTGGGACAGCCTGGTGCCTATACACCTCTGGACACTCTCCTGCTGTACGAACACCGAGCCGTGGTACAGATTGCGCTCTACGTGCACGCCCAGCGTCAAGATATCGTTCTCTTGGCTGTCAGACTGCTTCGGCAGATTGCTGAGAGCCCGGCCTTTGTTGCTGTGGACCGCTTTGGACGCCTGAGCTACGTGGGCAAGATGAACAGGCTTGTTGGCTTGTTGGAAATGGTCGGCGAATCTGCTCGGGTCCGTGCGGGCTTCGTCGGGCACCTTGAAGCCCTCGAGACAGGAGATCCGGACGATGCCGACACTGCTGATGCTCTCGAAGCGTCGGGCGGCGACCTCTACGACGTGGAGCATCCGTCAACAAGCAACACCAGGAATGCCGTCGCGTCGTCCATCCTGGACCTTTTGCAAACGTTCACGGCTCAGACTCAACCTTGCCCAAACCTAGCGCACGTCCTCCTCGGCTTCGATTTGACGACAGCTGGAGCCGGAACGTCAGATGAGGTGCAGCTGCTCGATCGGTCCGATTCGGAGGGGCGTGGGGCTTTGGAGGCAGTCGTCGCGCTCGTGGGCCGTGCACGCGAAGGCGAAATTGCCTTCGTGGAGCGTTCCCCGCGCCTTGCGGAAAAGTGCTATGCGCTCCTACACAATCTTTGCCGCCACTCATTTACTAGCCCGACCACTCTGCGCTTCTTGAGATCGCGCAACGACTTCTTCGTGCAGCAGCTGCGAGCACTGAAATCGGTTCCCGAAGCCGTCGAATACGTGGCCGAGTCTAGCGGTGACCTGCGATTTGCCGACGGAGTGATCGCACGGTCTTCGGCGAACGTTGTGACGAGCTCCCTTCGCATACAAGCTCATCTGCTTGATAGCGCTGCCATCGAGCTGCACTCCCTTAGCAACGCTGCTCTTGTCGGACCAGCTACGCGTCTGCTCGCCGTGCTGCTGGGCGGTGCCTCAGCAGTCGATGGTGCGGGTTTCGCTGAAGCGGGTCTCCAAGATGACGATGACGACGCCGACCTGTTGCCTGGTGGTTTCAACTCGCAGCACAAGTTGGACGGCACGCCGCGTGCAAGACTTTTAGACCTGCTTCAGGGAATGGACTTTAAGTGGGAGGATGATGGTGAAAAAGACGTTGCCAGTCTCAACGTTCTTGCAACACTCGACATTTCTCCTGCCGCGAGTCGCGGCCCGGCTGCGGAGACCAAAGAGTTCGATCTGAATGCGGTCGTCGGCATTTTAGCTCAAGCTCGAACAGAGATCGAGCGACGCGGAGAATTGGTCGACGCGAGACAGAGGGTCATTCTGGAGGATGAGTCCATCATCATTCTCCACTATGCTCACGCTCGCAACGCACTTCGAGCGCTGAAAACAGCTCGTTTGCAGTCTATGCAAGCGTGGCGCCATATCCTCGACATGATCCTAGCACGCTGCGTGCATCTCCTCAGAGCCGAAGCTCGGGCCTTCGTGCTTTTCGACTGCTTGGGCGCGGTACTGCCATTACTTGCCGACCCAGGCGCAGATGCAGATGCTGCGCGCAATGATCTGGCTGCTGGCGCCGTCTTGGGCCTCTTGACGAGTTTGCGCCAGCATCAACAATCTGCTGCAGCGACTTCTACTGTGGACCTCAACGCTTCCGAGGAACTTCCTGTGGACCGTCTGATGGCCACGCTGCGCGCTCTTCTTGCCGCCTTGGTCCGACCCGGAACTACAGCATCAAGTCGCGGCAACCTTTATGCCGCGCTCATCAACTTCTTGCAGCTTGTCAAATCTACCGCCAAATCAGGTCCATCCAATCAGGTCCGTCAAAGCACCGCATTTGATGAAAGCATGATGAGCTCGGCAATCGAAGCGGATGACACAATCTCTATGATAGGCCCGGAGTCGGTCATCTGGGATAGCAAAAGTAACAAGATCTCCCATGTCGAAGAGCGCACGCATGGCATGATATCTTCGCAGCTCGACAGGCTGATTGCGATCGTTGCACGGGATGCGCTTGATGGCATGGAGCTTTGGCGTACTGTCGCATTCACTCTATGCGACCAGATTGCCGGAATCAAGGGTGCGAGGGGTCAATCCCCGGGGACGAAAGCATTGCAGATACTTGAGCGGTTCGGCTATTTGCGCGCCTTTGCGGCAAGCCTGAAGGAGATGGACTTGCCTCTGCAAGAGGTGCTCAGGCCTGACCCCACGTCGCTGAACATCCTATACGTGTACACCGCGCAGATGGGCTTTCTGACACGCCTCGCTCAGACTGCAGCTGGAGCCGAGCAGCTTGTAGATGCTCGCATCTTTGATATCCTTGGTCAGAGCGACTTCTTGGCCAGTCGACCCGAGCAAGACCAAGACTTCGTCGATATGGACAGCTTCTTGCCAGCAGCGATGGAGCGCTTCGACTCTCTTCTTACGCCTGCGCTGCAGCTTTGCGTTAGCATTCTATCTGTGTCCAATGCGAGAGCATCCACCATCGGGGACTCCACGAGCATCTTCTCCGCCTCTAGTCAAGCCTTCCTATTTCTGGAAAGACATAGCAGCACACTTGCAATCGTCTTGAAGGCACCACTCAACGAAGCTACAAGTGTAGCAGCTATCAATCAAGCCCAACTGATCGTTGCGCTACTCGTGTTCTGCCAAAACGCGAATCAGTCACTAGCGGCCTCAGCCAGCTCTCCGCTATTCAGCTTCCATAGCGCGGTACTCGCTCTGGTTGCAGGATTTCTGCCCAGCTCAGCTTGGTTGGAACGAGTGGTGCCCCACAGCGAAGAGGAACGCGAGATGGCCAGTCGTCTTGTCAAAGGTACAGATGGTGCAGAGGATTCCGACGGAGAGACGGCGTATAGCATTGCTGCTCGTCGCGCAGTGTCCCAGCTCGTAAATTCACTCTTGGCATACCTGGAGCACGCGTCGTTTCCTCGCACCAGCGCGTCAGACGCATCTGCACTCGCTACCACGGCTCGACCGGTCCTCACGCCTGTCCTGCGAGTCGAGGCTAGCGAGCCAAGATCTAGAAGGCCCCGAGTCTCGACGACACATCCCAGTCTGGGAGCTGCTATCTCCGCTCTAGAGGAATCGTCCGCTGCTTTGGTCGACGAGCTGTCTACGATTGAAAACACGAAACGAATGCTGAGCGACGTGGATGCTGTCCAGCTCAAATACTGGGATGAGGTGAGAAGGAGCGACACTCATCGACGTGCCCTCGCGTGCTGACCTAGAGCCTTCGTCGCTTGTTTGCAGGTCGTCGAAGATGCGCTCAGGCTCGATGGCGCGAACGTCGAGCTAGATGCCAATCAGCGACGCAGTCTTGGCGTTCGAGAACTCAAACACCGACGCAGAACATTGCGAGCGTCCGTGCTTCACAAGTTTGGTGCGTACTGTAAGGCTGTGTAAGACCAAGGCAGGCCCAGCTGATCAACGATGCCCACCTCACTTGCACGCGACAGACGCGGTCGAAATGCTCCTAACGCTCTTGTACAGACATTTCAAGTACTATTTGGACCTTCCACCTGCTTCGCTGCGCCGCACGCTCGACTTTGACCCTAGTAGGAGCACAACTCGCAGCGTCCCGCTTTTCCGCTCCGGGCGACAAAGTCAAGCTGGAGGGGCTGCAGACTCGACACTGGGTATTTCAGAGAGGGAAGTGCTGGTCAAGGAAGGCTTGGCACTGATCACGCTGGCGCTTGAGAATCTGGAAGTCGTCATCAAGCAAGCTGATAGCAATGGCGAGATGGACAAGACTAGACTTGGCTTCTTGCAATTGTCGGGAAGACAGCTGGTCGAAAGTCTGCATCGAGCCAATGCCGACCTCGAGTCGAATGGCAACATGCGATGAGGGAAAAAGTCAAATGTACGTCATGCTTTCAATCAATACTATTCTCTTGGTTGTATTTGCGATTCCAAAGTGTAAAATATGCCACGCGTGGTGGAGCGCACCTGGGTAAGTCATGGCGAGATTCTTGCTGGTACTGCAGCCGAATCACGGTGGCCATGCGCCGCGTTTGTATCCACGAGCAATCTTGTTCGCGTCTTGCTTGCAGGAACACGGACGGCCTACGCAGCCGCGCGTGCTAGTCTCTGCTTGAGATCTCCTCGGGGAGACGTAGGGCTGATGAGGGCTTCGCTTGATTGGTCGATCTCTTTCGACTCGTCGATGCGCGCCAAAGCTCCCGAGCTTGAGCTCGACGCCAAAGAAGTTCCTGTTCCTCCCGCGCTCACGGGCAAGTATCCAGGACTGACATCGATCACCCCACCGCTCGCACCGACCTGAGCCTTTTCAGCCGCTGTAGGCGTATAGTTGCGCTCCACCAACTCCACCAATACAGCTCTTCGAACCCATCTTCGACGTCGCGTGTACCTTCCCATTTGATTCTTGCGAGACATTTTCTCCCACGCATTGTCTCCGTACTGCCATCCGTCGGCATCAACGTCCAGAAGAGCTAAATCGAAAGGTAGATCACTGGCACGATCTCCGCTGGAAGCATTGCTGGTTCTACGTCCCGCTCGGAGGCCGCTTAGAGCTCCTTCCTCGGAACCGCTGCCACCAAAGTCGCCGCTTCCCGGAAGAGGATCGCGTCCTGCCACTGTCCATTCTGGATCGATCCATTGCCACTTGACCAGACGTCGCACGTATGCTGCAGGGTTGGAAGATGTCGGTGATGCCTTCAGAGTGACGCGAGCAGGTGGAAGCGAGAATGAGGATGGAGGCGAAACTGGGCTGTTGGACTCGTCAGACCTGCAAGTAGCAGCCAATTCGGCTCGTCAGCGGATGATGTATTTCCCAGACGCGCGAGCATCACGAAGCGACTCTCACCAAGCGGGTCTCTCTTGCGGCAGAAGGGCAGCCGTCCAGTCCAATCCCACCCACCATCTCTGATTCTCGAAGATGGTGAATTGATACTCTACATCTTCATGCCTAGTCACGTCGAGATTGACCTTTGCGCTCTTCGCACTGCCTATGCGAGGCGCAGCAAAGAAGCTGGGTACGCTAAGCTCATCCTTGGAGTCATCGCCTCCCACTGCATGTTCCGAGCTCGATCTGCCTGTGTATGCCACACGACCGGAAACGAAGGCTCGTCTGGGCTCGCCCGAGAGAATTCGAAGCAAGCCTAGCACAGAACGCCTGATTGTCGCGCTGCGCCAAAGAGCATGTCGAATGAGAGCGGCCCATGGTGCGCACCACGTCAGGGCAATTGTTCCGATCGTGAGCAGCGCATGTCTAAGCGAGAGCGCAAAGAGAGGCCAGGGAGGAAGAAGTGCCAGCGCGGACACGCTGTGAGTACCTTGCTTCGGAGCTAGAAGAGGCAGGTGCAAGTTTTCTCCGACGTGCAGAATCGTGGGTCGCACATGAAGCCTGTAGTAGACCACAGCTGCCAGGAAGGCTTCTCTGAATTTGATGAAGTAGACTAGAGCTTGACCCGAGACACGGCTGGATACTTGCGCCTCGATGGCAATAGCACTGCGCACAGCATGGGGCCATACACGGGACGCGACGGTGCTGCTGGCGTGTGTCACGCGCTGCCCCAACTGAAGTCCGACGCGCGGCAAGTTGAAGGCATCCCAGAGACCAGGAGAGAAGCAAATGAGCCACGCGGGCCAAGTGATGATCAAGAAGGTGGCTAGCCTGCGGGTGTTTGCGCTATTGCCGCTTCGCCATGAAAGCAAAGACAAGAAGGGCGTCACCACCTGGCCCGAAACGGTGCTCAAGAAGTCGGCCAGCTCAGAAAGATCCGCCAAGACGACGTTGAGGCTGGAAGACGTGACTGGCGGAGTGCGCTTCTTTTGCGCTCCTATCTCTCCTCGCACCGCAGCCCTCAGACCAGCGAAGCCGATCACGCTGAGCAGGACCAATTGGGGTGCGTACCTGAGCACCTCATAACCGTAGAGGCAGACGCCCCACCAAGCCAGCACCAGCAGGACGCTGTGTGACCCAGTGCCGGGTCCTCCAGTCCACGTGGCCAGTCTGACCAATAGTGCCAGAGTAGTAATGGCTGGAGAGAGCAGAACGAGCAGTCGAAGCAAAGGCGTGGGCACGCCAGCCAGTACTGAAGTGTCGGAGATGGAGAGATCTCCAGGGCTAGCTGCTGCGATTGCCAATCCAGCCGCGCCACCTCTAGCTGCAGCTGCGCTGCCTCCAATCAGCCCCGCTTCGGGTCCCGTCTTATTTGCGAGGGCCTCGCCTTTGCCCTCTGCCTCTGCCTCTGAGCGATCGTCCCCGAGCTTGGGAGACGAAGGATTAGAGTTGGACATGTCGATCTGGTCTGTTCCAGCTTCACCGATATCTCCCGCCGCTCTCAATGCTGCCAACCTTCTCGCCTCTGCTTTCCGCAAGTTGCGCGTTTCGTGGAGCGCCGACAAGTAAGCGTCGTTGAGCTGCAAGGAGTCGTCGTTGGAATCGCAAAATGTCAGTCTACCGCTTCGGATGGTGGTGTATGCTTAGGTGAGGAGCTGAATAAGGTGGTCACGGGACTTGTAGCGCTTCTGCATGCTTCCAAAACGCTCTTTTCAGCAATCTCTAAGGAGACTCGACTCACCGGCAAATCGAGGGCAGCCATGCGTGCCCGTGGTGACTATTGCGACTTCGATGCGAAGCTTGCTCTGCTCGCAGAGAGGGTTGCGAGAAGTAGTGCAATTTCCAACCAATGTCTCTACTTGATTATGGTCAGCACTGGCTCAAGAAGAAGGTTGCAGAAGCGATGACAAAATGCCGAAGCTCGGAGGAGTGTCACAGATGCAGAAGATGGATGGAGAGCAAAGTGACCTTCCATCTTTTACGCGGATGGGGTAATGTCGCCCGGGATTGGCGGGCGCCTACCTAGCAGACAGAAGCAGCAGGAGCGCGAGAGCGCGAGAGCCGGGCCGAAGAGATCGCGAGAGGGATGAGAGGTCAGAGAAAGACGTCATGCATCAAGCTACGCATGCACGCGCATTATGCATGCTGCGCACATCACAGCGCGGCTCCCTGCTTGGAGCGTGCACGAGCAGTCTGAGTCGTGAGGCTCTACTGGTTTTAGCCCGAAGACCTCCGAATACAAAATTGAATTCGCCAGCTGTCACAATTTTGAACACATTTCACAATTGCGAGCTAGCTTGAATTTGAGAACCCTTTTTTCCCCGCATTTCTGCTCTTTTCACGCTGAACCTACCGCAACAGTTTTGATGGCGCGCCGCGTGGGCCCTGGCCAGCTGGCTGAATGTGCGTTGGTGCTGCCTCAATCGCGCTGAGCGAGCTCGCTGCGACTATGGTATGGCAGCCACTGCACAACGCTTGCCATCAGTCAGTCCATCTTGACTTGATTGCGAAGAATGTACCAAGAGTAGAACGCGAGATGGGGTAAAAATTGCAAAACATGGCTACATAGGATCGGCGAAAGCGTCGTGACAAAAGCAAGCGGGAAAATCATGGGTAAGAGTGAGGTGAGGAAGGAAAGAAGGATGGTCGCCAGGAGTGATTGAGTTCGAGCTGAGAGCAACGTGCGCCCTTGGTGGAGCCCTGGCTCATGCACGTTGGACTCAAGGCCCGTCAAGAAAGCTGAAATGGTCCTACATGCGCCGATCTCAGTTCGCGTGGAAGAACTCCTTGATCTTGCTCGATGTCAGGGTAGGACCAGCATGCGCAGATGCCCGTGGTTCGACAGCTAGCGACCGAGCGTATAATACATCGTCGTCCAGCACTGGCAAGTCCAAAATGAGCTTCTCGATCATGGTGTTGCTCCGACCAGCTGGCGGGTCGTGATTTTGGCATCGCGTGATAGCCTGCACTGCTTCGTCCATCAACTTGAACTTGCGCCAGTGAATCATGCCGTCACTGGCGCGCTTCGATGGGTTGCCATCGGAGGTAGACAGAATGTCTTGCAGATGCACGCCGCTGTGATCACAAAGCAAGTGAAGCGAGGTCAGCTTGCGCGCGCGCGCGCGCAAAACTCCCAAGGATACTCACAGGTACGGGATTGTACGGCCTTCAGAATTATCCAACGCCATTCGGTAAGCAGCAAAGCTTCGATCGCTGCCCATCAAGCGAGCGAGACTCTGGTAAGACTTGATGACAGGCTTGCCATTGAGAAGATCTCGAGTAGTCTTGAGTCGATGTATTGAGGCATTGCCGAGACCAGCAAGCACGGCATGGAGCGTGTTGTAGTTGTTGACGTTCCTCAACAGGGACGCCACCCTCATGAACTTCTCTAGCATCTTGGCGCGAACCTTCGCCTTGCTTTGCATCAGAATCATGGTGCAGACCCAGTACGACACGTAGTTGAAGTGGGCAATAGATCGAGCGACTGGACCGTCCTTCGCTCGCAGCTCTCTCGCCACTAGAATGTGACGCAGCAGATCCCGGGGTCGGATGGCACAAAACAGACCCCATTCGATCCTAGTGAGCTCTTGAGCGATCGAATCCTCGTGCAGATCGCACAGCGCGTTGGACACGCTGCGAAGCGCCAATTTACGTGTCCCCGTAAGGCCCTCAGATGACTCCAGCGGCCCAGAAGAGAGCTTGGAGAGCGTCGAGGGGGTTGTTGACTGTGACAACTTCGATGGCGATACGAGTGATGGTGCCGGCGTATGCAGAGACGGGGCACTCTGGATGGCCTCCTGACTCGGTGCTGCCGGTAGGCGCGGGATGGAGTTGGAGCTTGTCGTCGTGCTGCCAGTCCCGCTGCGCTGACCTTCGCTCGATTCAGTGGCGTCAGAGGCGCTGCGATGCCTCGAAGACAGGTCTGGACGGGAGAGATGCTGGTTGCTTTCACCAGAGACAGCAGCTTCTGGCAGCGGTGCGCTGTTGCCAGAGCTGTCCGAGTAGGCTCGCAGTCGGTTCATCTCTTGGTACGACTCGTTGGCGAGGTGTGCCACGTTTGCGTGCACGGCACTGTCGTTGCTGGCGCCGGTCCTGCCTGCAGGAAGATTAGGTCTGACGGGCGGCACATCGGCTGCGACAGAACGAGGCTTGTCATTGTCCTGATTCTTGCTCCATGCGGCATCGGGATCCACAGAAAGGCGCACAGTGTCGAGCAGGGGCTCCAGAGGTGCAGCAACGTGCATCGTGGCGGTGTGACGCAACAAGCGATCGAAGAAATCGCAGAGTTGAGCGAAGGTCTCTGAGGCCGAAAGGTCGCCGGGATATTCTCGCATCCAGCTTCCAAGCATTGCAGTCAAGCTACGAGTAGGACGAGGAGAAGGGGAATGAGGTCAGGCAAATGACTTTGGCGCTGCTGCTTTCGTACCAGATCAGCTTACCGCATCATAGAGAAGCGGGGCACGATGCCATCGGAAGCTTCGCTCTCGGCCAATTTGTCAAAGCGCGAAATGATTTGGCGCAGCAACTCGACTGGGCGTGCGAAGCCTCTGTAGAAGGTCATGAACATGGGCAAGAAATTCTCGTCTGGTAGATAAGGAGAAATTTGATTAGCTTGGCTGATTGCTCGACTGTCGAGCTCGCAGCACATCTCACCGTCACCCGTCACCGCACCGACAAAGAGGCGCTCCCACAGCTCTTCAATACTAATGTAGCCACCCGCGGACTTGGCGCTTTGCAGTCCAAGTTGCGCTTTAGAGATGCTCTGCTGGAATGCAGCGTCGTCTTCCGTGTCGTGGCTGCCAGCGAAGGACGGCGCGTCCATCGAAGCCACCGTCGCATCGCTCATCTTTCGGGTACTGCCGGCGCGCACAGCATTGTGAGCGTGCCCTTGTTGTACGTGCAACTGCTGCTGGACGGATCGAGCAAGGCCACTGTTGTCGGCTGCTCCTGAGGACGAGAAGCCGCCGGAGCTGAGTGCAGGACTGGTGTGCTGGCTGCCCGATGAGCTCATCGACGCACTCGCGGGCAGATCCGAGTAGCTGCGGCTGGCATTTCCCATACCCAGCGAGTCTGGATTGGACCTTCGGCTGCCTCGCGCTTTCGCCACCTCCTTCACAAGGTAAGAAAAGCAGTCTCGCATCCGCTTCTTGCCCTCTTCGCTTTGCACGCTACACTCCGCAAGGCCTACATTGTACACGGCAGCCATGTCGGAGGCGTAGTACGGATCCACCTTCTTGGGGAAGATTTCTGATTTGCATGCCAGCATCACAGTGCAGACTTCTTGCATCGCGAAATTCTCTGTGAGGCATGTAGCGTCAAGTGAAAGTCAGCGCTCACTCCGCTGCCTGGTCGCACCTTCAGAGCTACTCACCCAGCAATTCGGACATTCCACGGAACGACGACACGTGTGCCGCGTCATAGCAAAGAATGACAGCGTCGATGTGCGGAAGGAACTTTGGCCACGCAAAGCGCTTGTTCGGGCCATTGAGCAGGACCATAGCATCTATCTCGAGCACTTCGATCGTGCGCTGTTCCTGGTCCACAATGCACAACGTAGAATGAGAAGCAATCTTTTCCGAAAGAATTTGCGGCTTGGACAGGCCAAATTGACGCAAACCCTTTTTGATGACCGTCGACTTGCCCGAGCCTGCGTGACCCACCACGGCGATGACGAAGCTGGCGTGCGAGCGCGGGTGCTGTACTTGCTGCAGGAGGCTGGCGGTGCTGCCGCTTCGGCTGCGTCCACCGCTGATCATACTTGAAGGAGTGTGGTACCCGTTGCCCGCGTTTGAGACTGGAAGTGGCTGGGTTCGCGCAGTCTCTGAAGTGATGCTCATCGATCTCGTTTCTCGCCCTTCTGCTTGCTCGTCGGCGCTGTGACTGATACTGTTGCTTTTTGAGCTTCTACCACCTGATGCTTCGTTGAGGGTGGTGACGACTGGAGAAAGCGCTCCCGCCTCGACCGGATGGCTTGGCATGCGTGAAAAGCTGAAATCCAACGTTGGAAGGTTATGCGCACTGGCGTCGCTGCTTCCGATGCTCGTGTCCGTCGTTGCGGCACTTGGCGTGCTGATAGATGTTCGGCGCGACTGCGAGGAACCGTTGGGTGCGCTAACGCCAGACGCGTCGCCGCGTGAGCTCGTAGACGCGCACGCGTCTGAAGGCAACTCAAGCGCATTTTCTCCCCTCTCACTGCCGCTTTCGGCTCTCTCGGGTCCGCCAGGAATGAGAATTTCATTCGCAAGCATTGAGCGCGGCCGGGTACGAGCGGGTGCGGTGTACCGAGAACCCAGGCCAGCAGTCTGACCACTAGGGAGAGCACCGATGGTAGCTCCTCTCGGTCTGCCCCGAGCTCTTGGGATTCCTTCGAGGTTTGTGCGCTCCTGGGTCTCCTGATGTGATAGAGATGGCAGCGGAGCCGTAGTCAATGCCAAGGGTAGCTCCTCTTCTTTAGTTGGAGGCAGGTGCACTGCACTGGAAGAGCTGCTCGCAATGCCAGAACGCCATCCACCGCTGGAAGTCCTGGACATCAGATGATCCTTTGCTCCCGAGCGCGCTCGATTAGAGGGCCCGCTACCCTGGGATCGGCTGACCGCCTCGTTGGCAGTCAAAAGTGGTGCGTCTGAAGGCAAGAGCAACGGACCGCTCTGCCGATCGAGACTATTGCCTGCGTGTCCTAAGCTTTGGCTGCGCAACCTCGCGGGCGCCAGTGGATCGCTGGAAGTGTCGAAGAGCGACGGAGATGCTCGCTGTGCAGCTACATTGGTCCGAGGAGTAGCGGTAGAAGGTGTTGGAGGAGGCGGCAACGTTGGAGAAGGTCGAGGTGGTGGCAGATTTGCGTGTCTCGAGAGTCGCAAGAGCGGGCCGCCCTCTCCACTCTTTGTGGTATGTCGCAAATTCCGGCTGGAGCTGCTGTACTCCGAACCGGTCGAGACGTCGGGGGACATCGGCGGTGACAGAGAAGCTAGGGAAGAGCCAAATATTGTCGATGCACTGTCACTCCGCGATGGTGGAGTCCGCAGCAGCTCTTGCTGAGCCACTGCGTGCCCGTCTTCGTCGGCGTGCGGTCGAAGAGGATCGCCGGACATAGTCTGCTGAAGAGTGCGGGATGCTGAAGCTATAGAGTGTTCGCGGTAGTCCCTCTCATCATCAAGGGCATCCTGACGCAGAGTCGACGACGAAGTCATTTCCGAAGGTCTGGGGGACAGTCTCTCTGGCCGCTCGTCTCCCGAGTCTTCTTCCTCGCTCTCCCGTCCCACATGCCTTCTAGATCGACGTTTGACGTTGCTTGACCATGGCGAGTGCTGTACAGGAGTAGAGCGCGCTTCGACCATGATCGAGCGATCTTGCAAACTATCTGCAGTGCTGTCGCTCCCCACGCTGCCTTCTGGGCTCGAGGTCGCATCATGGAAAGACGTCGTGCTGCTAGACGTCGCCCCAGGTGTCAAAGACCGCGAAACGTCTAGGGCGCTGGCTCCTCTCAGCCCGTGAACAGGGGCAAGGGACGCGCTCGCTTCCGCAAGTGCGCGCGCACCCAGATCCTGCGCGTCGGCTGCCAGTGTATCGCTGAAGCGTCGACGCTGGCCTGCCACAAAAAGTTCAGCGCCTTCCTCTTCGCTGAGTTCCGCATCGCCATCGGAGCGGGGATCGAGCTCATCTTCCTGGTCCTCTGCATCCTTGCGAGAGGTGCTGCGTCGCTTTTCCTGTCTTTTGCGCGCTTCACTGATAAGTATCCGTCTCGCTTTTGATGATCTCGACACAGCTCTAGGGGATAGGGGTCGGTTTGCCTCGAGTCTCCTATCTTCAGAAGGAACACTCATTCGCAAAGAGGTCCGCCGCGAGCCAGAGGTCGAACCTTCCGGCTCTGTCACAGATGTCTCGCTGTATGAGCGGGACAGACGAGAAGAGGATCTTCCAGGCCCAGGGGAACTTTGACCGCCGAGATGGCGGTATGCGCTTGCATTGTTGGAGATGTCGTGGCTGCCTCTTCTAGAAGTCGGAGCGCTGCATGCGTTCGGACTGCCGGAATTTTCGCCTTGATCACTGCCGCTTCGATCGGATGTGTGCGTCGGAGAGCTGGCTCCTCTCTTCATGTCCAAGCTGCGCATCCGATCGCCAGGACTGTAATCGTTTCGCGTCGGACGTTCAGGGTCACTGCGCCCAGCAGCGCCAGAAGGCGAATTCTGACCAAGCTCGGCACCTTGCTTGTCCGCTCGTTGGGCTAAAGCACCGTCAGGGGGTGCCACATCGGCGCTTGGTTGCCTCTCAGAGACTCGTCCGCGCAAGCCAGAACTGACCGCAGACGCTTGACCAGGCTGTGTGTCGAGTCCGCTCGGCTGATTCGCTCTGTTCTGCCAAAACGCCAAAGCCGAAGGTCGCCGCTTCTCTGGGCTCGCGACTGAGCCTGCAGCAATTGTCGAGCTCGGTCCCCCGGCAGAGGCTGTGGAAGAAGCTGCCTTGTGCATGAGGTTCGATGCGCACGCTTGACCGCTGCTGCGAAAAGAGCACAAGATCGCAGTGTAGCGTGCTGCAGTACCGTCACTGCGTAGACGTCGGGCGCTCGTTCTTCCAGGCCAGAGACGTATAGCCTAGTTCGATGAACGACTAACACGGGTCGAAGCGCTGTAAAACCGGGTGAGGCGTGAGGCAGATTCGTCAGAGATGAATGGAGGTGAGTATGGTGTGTCGCGGGACGGCATTCACAGCCAATTGGCGAGGCTGCCAGGCTGCGATTGGTCGCAAGAGACTAGTCGACTGATGAAACGTTAGGTCGTTAAAGATAACCAAAAGTGGTGTCTGGGGTCTATGAGGGACTCAGCTCATGGACTACAATTGGAGGGGCGTGTAAAATTGTGATTGCGACTCGTGACCGTATTCAGATGAGGTCGACCAGGCGGGAGTGGCAGTCAAGACCTCGATCCTGATTCGATGTTTGGGATCGAGCAACAAAGGGCTGCTTGCCTAGCCTGTGTAGCGTGACTTCACTCGCAGCGTGGTTGCTTTGCGCATGATGCATCGCATTCATCACCGCAATCAATTCATGATGATTCGTCACGCTCCAGCTCCGTATAGATCGGTGCATAGGGTCCCCGGGGCTCTCTCGCGCGACGTGGTGCGCTTACACGCGCAAATTCAACGCAAGGCAATATAGGCAATATAATATATCCAGGGCAAACGGCCCGCGCTGATGGGAAGTCCCCCTTGGCCTCGATCGAGCTGTGAGAACCGCGTGAGCCGAGGGGGCCGCGGGCGCTGCATGAGCAGCAGCAAGGGAGTGCATGCGCTCAAGAGAGAGGGTGCTGCGATCGAGACGAGCACGATCGAGTCGAGTGGGCTGTGCAAGTCCGCGCGCCATGCAATTTCGTGCTGTCGCCTAGTCGCCGCCTTGCTCCACGCGCTTCGTTGAGGGTCTGCTGCTGCTCAAGCGGCAGCATGCAGCAGCGGCAGGCTCGCAATTGCACAGCAGCACAGGCACATGCACCATCAACACCGACTCGACTCCCTTCGCGGAAACCGGAGCTCTCGGAGCCACCTGATTCGCTACGCGCTGTGTGCTGGTGGATGCTCCTCAAGCCTGACTGAACGACTGCCCGTTGTTTTGTGTGTGTGTGTGTCTTTCTCTCTCTCTCTCTCTCTCTCTCTCTCTGTGGCCTTGCAATTGCAATGATAATCGCGAATGGGAATGTTGTTGCACTCCTTTGCGCCGGTGCAGCAGCGACGGTCGAGGAACCGCTGAATTGTTCTCACGATACGCAGACAGCAAGCACGAGCCTCGAGCGTCAGGAAGACGAGGCACTCACCGCACAGCTCCGAGAGCCCGTCGCCACAACCGCGACCGGAGCGACGTTGAACGGATGCATCAGCATCAGCAGACCGCAAATACAGTCAGCAGTCAGTCACTCAGTCACGCTGATAGTCGACGATGCAGCTTTGGTCACGAGCGATTTCGTGTTTCGCGTCGACGGCACTTTCTGAATTCGCAGCATTTTGATTCACGATTGTGATCGCTGGTGATTTGCTCAACGAACGAATTCGCAACACGTCAATTCGTCACAGCTAGACGGGCCGCAGCTCCAGAATTCGCCGGCGGTGAATGTTGTGTTGTTGAGCGCATGACAAGGTCGAGTCGCCACAGGATTTCTTGATCTCAATACGGATTGCTGCATCAGACTTTGAGATTCGTTCCTTCTGTCGTTCAATTTGTTTGACGTCGCTTCCTACGACGGCGTGCATCAGTCATGAACGTTTCTGTCATTTCGAAGAGCCACCAAGTTACAAGACTGTCAGTGTGTACACCCCACAACAATCGTAAACATACGAAGCGACATCGAACGAATAGACATTTACAATTACTGCATCAATCAAAACTACAACGGTGGAGCGCGGGCATGCGATCGATTGAAGATTCCCGCGTCACAATCGTGGCGCCTTCATTTACAACATCGACCGCCATGCTCGCCTCCAGCAAGCCCGTTCAGATGCTCGCAGTGACTGAGTCGTGGACTGATAGGTCGCCTCGCAACTACTCATGTCCCCCGCTCTTCTCTTCTCCGTCAAAGCGTGCTCGCTACCTTCGCATCTGACGCAATATGGCGCCACTGACCTCAATCGATATGCTGCACGCGCGGGTCGTGCTGCTCGATCTTGACTTGCTCATTCGCCACTCGACGTCTACGCAAATGCCGGTCTCACTACGGAACTCCTCCCATCACCGAAATCCCTCAGACGTCCCGCTGCGCCAGCTGGCGCCTATTTCGTCACAACTGAGAGCCCGGGAGTGTGTCACCCATGTACGAGGGACGTTAAACGCATCAGTCAATCTGTCAAAAGAGGCGAAAAGAGGCCTTGTTTGTCACTCACTCACGAGCCAATCGAGTCTGCATCATGGGGCGCGACTCGGAATTGAAATAAGCAAGCAGACGCGCTTCGGCTCCGAAGATTGCGGTCGCATCTCGGTGCTTTCCCTTGCTTATTGCGCACATGACCTTCGAGGTCTTGCTCTGGTCATCGCGGTGGCTTGTATAATGGAGGATACGTCAGCGGTCAAGGCAGGCCGTGCTGCTTGCGCTCCGGATCCGTCACTAAGGCGCTCGCGCGCTCGCGCGCTCGAGCTCTACATGGCTCTCATATGAGACTGCTGCCTCGGCGCCCGCCCACCCGGGGGTTTCACGGCCAACTCGTGACTGCCGCGTCCATGTCCAGTATCTTTGGGATCCATCGAAGCCATGCCTTGCCGTCACAAGACCTTGTTGCCGCAATGAAACGTTCTTTTGGTCGAATCAGGGGCATGCACAGTCTCTCATGCGTTCTTTTGGTCGAATCAGGGGCATGCACAGTCGAGCATGAGAGAGGAGTAGTCACATTATCCGTCCAAGCATTCTCGACCAAGCCGCTGGCTTTGGCGCTCGATTTTGCATGCCGCGGACTGAACTGGAACGGTCGCGACTGCTTGTCCAGCAAATTTGAACGTTGAAGCAAGGGATCGCGGATGAATGTATTGCTTGATCACGGATCTGAGGTCGAGTCAGCATCGCAGCTAGCATGTCTCATCTCGCATATCTCAACAGTCACGAGTATGCGGGGCGGGAAGCATGCAGGCGCAGACCAGATATGCTTGCATGCCGGATTCCAGATTAGGCGCTGGCTGTGACGGAAGAGCGTGGATGGTGCGTATGCTCGCCGTTGTTCGATGGTTGCTGCTTCATCGAGCCCTGTTGCCTCCTGGCCTTCGCCGCAACCGCCTCAGCAATGTCTTGACCGGACCCCATTTATAGCGCTTACGTCAAAATCAACCTGATGGCGGCCACGAAATTCTCCGAATGAGAGGTCGAACTTTCTCACGCCCTGAAGCACGTCCACGGGTCGTCTGAGGTCCTTGCTCTGCGATCTCTTTGTTGCAGATAAGCTCCGCTGCAACCCATTCCTTATCAAGCGACTCTTGAGGGTGTTCATCCACCCGAGCACGCATCGCTCTTCGCTAGCTTGAAAGCATTCGTCGTGCAGAGAGCTAGCAGCAGCAATCTGGACGCGCTTCACATCGTCTTGCCAAGCTTCGCGAAGAGAGCTCCTTGCTGCGTCTCGGTGCCTTGCGTGGCTTTGCAGCGGAGCATGTTGCGCAGATCTATGCCAACGCAAGCGGGCTTGGCCGCTGCAGCAACCCGAGCCCTGCCTTTACGTTCCGCTTTCGGAGCATGGATCGTTGTCTTTCTGTTCAAAAGAAATGGGCCTTCTCTGTCATTTATCACGTCGCAGTAATCACGATGCAAGAGGGACCTGAACCTCCTTTGGCATTGAACAGATATCAAGACGGAACAGGACTGATCGATCGATCAACGTAATCATCCACTCCACCTTTCCGCTGCAGGAATTCGTGTAGCATCGGATCCGGTGACAGTATCCGCAGCGGTCACCAGCACTTGCCGCTGCGCGCTTTTACCGCTTCGTTCGAATCGAACTGTGTCACTTGTGACCACGCCACATGGCCCGACCAAAGTCAAGAGTCTGTGCGCTGGTGCATCAAGACTGCACCGGTCGAACATTGCTCGACGATGACTTTCATTGCCTTCCCTTACTCAACCTCGCGGTTGGAGAAGGAAAAGAGTGCAGCAATAACAACGATGATAACAACAACAACACCAATCGACCCCATACAGACGTGGCTCTCGACCAGCGCGCCAGAGCGACACCGAGGACTGCTGCACTCAGCCTGCAAAGAGACATTAGGCGACATCAGGCCATCCTTCGGAAACGCGATCGTCTGCACAGATGCAAGGGCAGCATCAGCTGCAACGGGCCTGTAAATGTTCCCGTACGTCAAAGCGTTTTCCACCTCGAACGATGCCCCTTGCAAGGAATTCGTGATTTTCAGACACATCAACATCCGCTGATTGAGTGTGTCGAACGGAGTTGTCCTACCAGAGGTAGTCCCAGTCGTGAGTCCGGCTTCAACATCTCAATGGAGAGATTCAGCTGTCCATAATCTCGCCACCTTTGCCGACGACACGCTGTCGCCATTTCCTCTTGCGGTGAGAGTCATGGTGTCGTGGCGAAGACGCCGGGTTCATTGGCTGCGTTTCAAATATGATGTGCTAGCTTGTCAGCTCGTCCTGATGGAGATCTCTGGCGCTGGCTGATCTCGGCGATATGATGTTCAGCTAACGTAAGGTGTGCTTTGTCGAGCATCGTGGAGTTTGGCGCTCACGAACTCCGCTTTCCCCTTGCGATTTGAGGCCATAGAAGTAGCCTTTGGCTTCCAAAGGCTGCGTGTAGATCCGTCAGTGTGCACGTGTACGTAGCGACGTCGAAATGACACATCACCGTGACTCACGACTCACTTACTCACTCCTGCCGGACGGAAGTCTTCTGGCAAGCTGACATTGTGTGCCCGCTTGCTGCACAACGCGGTGCGAGATTGCCGCTGCCACTCCCATGCAGCATTTGCTCCGCTTACGTAGCGGCGTTGCACATCATCTTCGTCGTGCGAGCGTCCGCATACCGGACTCCCGTTGCCGAACGTCCAGATCGAGCGTCTCGATAATTGTGGATGCAAGAGGGCATCAGCCGCAAGCGAGGAAGCGAAGTCGGTCTCTTTCATTGATTTGATCTGTTCTCAACGTCGCTTCGTACATGGAGTGTACACCCTGACAAACGATGCCCTATCACGCTCAAGCTCGAACAGCACAGAGTCGGATCGACGTGCTGCCAAGCTCCTGCCAAAAGGACCGTTTTTGGCGCTACTTCAGTGCGTTTAGAGATCGATCTGGCCAAATGCTTCGCACTGTTGTGTCCCAGCACGCGGGCTCGAGCTGAGTCTGGTCTTCGTCTCCTCTGAAATTGCTTGGCCCGGTCTCACTAAGAAATGCCCTTCTTGTGGGGTGTCAAGGCCTGCAGGACATGCCTGTCCCGCATCCAAGATCTGCGTTTGGAAGGCGCTTCGTGCTCAAAAAGAGGAAATCACGAATGCACCTCGGCTCGAACGAGAAAGCAAGATGCAATGCGGACCAACATGAATCACAATACGACGACATGCGAGGGGCATCGGGCTCACCTGCATCATCACGCGCACCGCATCTCGCCTGCTTACGTTTCCATCTCACAGACTGCTACACAAGCCAAGAGTAGTGCGCTTGATCTGACTGAATGTGAATATGGCTACCCTCTTGATCAGCCCGACAGTCCTGGCACACGTTCGACTTGACCCTCCTGACCTCGTCCATTGTCTGTCACCTTCCATATTTTTTTGATCTTCTCACAACGCCGTCAGTGTATAACTCATGCTGTACGTAGCGACGTGAAACGAAGAGAGGAATGTACGAACGCACGTGGTATAGCGGAGTATAGAAATGCCGCGTCAAGATCGGAAAAACTCTTCAGGCTCCACCAAACTCCCGGGTCGATGCACGAGAATCGCCTATACTCACTGAGTCGTCGCGGGTGTCAGCGCTGCCAGAGCGTACGTCGTGATCCCAGGCAGTGCGCTCGTCTGCGAGAGAGGAGAATCGCGCGGCTCGCGTGCATCAAGGTGAGCAGTGGTGAGTTGCACTGCAGAATTGCGAGTTGTCTCGCGCAATCTGCTCGCCTAGCCCCTGCTGTGGGATTGTTCGCCGGGCGCTATTTTAGTCTGCTGGCTAGTTTGCGCCTAAGCTAAGGCCAAGAAGGCACATATAGCCGGAGGTCGGCTCGACGTCTTAGCCGACTCGACATCTCGAAGCGTGCGAAAGCGCTGCCTGCCCGCTTTCGGTATTAACCACTCCGTCGCAGCTAGAGCGGTTCACTCAGGTGGATACAGTTTTGAGTGGGTCTGCGTGACGTCTGCTAGCAACCTCGCTTAGACGGACGAATGCGGAGATGTAAGTATCGGAACAAAATCTCCCTCCATCCGCCAAGTTGTCAATTTTGAGCCAAGCTCAAGCAAGAGATGTCCGACGCTATGCCGGCAGAGAAGCAGAGCAAGCAGGATGATCCACGCCAGAAGATCGCACGAGAACGAGGGTGCGCACGTACTTGCCATGATGCAGGCCCTGCATGCTCCTCGCGGCGCGTACGTGCGATCCCCGAGTGAAGGGTCAGATTCCAAGACCCTCTGGCCGATTTCTGAATGCCGCGGACGTCAGACACTTTGACGGACTGATCATTTGACTCATCCATCTCTTTGTTCTGGACCAGGCCCAAGCCAGGCCTGTCCGACGATGGACTGCAGCTTTGAGTCGTGTGGAGCCCGGATTCTCGGTTCCGACGGGAAAGGTCCGTGAGACGCGACCGGCAACACTGTCTCAGCCACACATGTGCAGCTCTAGCACTGTGAGTGATGATGAGGATATATGCCGACGATCAGTCCTTCGCATACGGTACGTGGCATAACTGCTGCAAGGACCGTGGGTGCTCCGCGTGCGGCCTTGTCGTGTGGAAAAGGATCAAGCAGCTCCGCTTTTGCCGGACGTCCGTTGATGGGCCTAGACACATCGCAGCACGGGCTGTATACGTCCAAACGAACACATCAATCACTCACTCTGCAGCACTTACGACTCGATGTGTGTGCTTGTAGACGTGATGCACGAATTTTTGCACAATGATATTCACAACAGGAACCCTTCCACCGACCAATTACGAATCGCGCATGTGCAGGCGGCCCGTGAGTATGAGCGCGACTTGTGTACTGGCTCAATCCAGGGCCGACGCCACTTGAGTCGCTGAACGGCAACGTCGTAAAAAGAGACGCGAAGGGCGAGGTTTGACTACCTATTGTGAACATGTTCTTGCTTTGACGACCCTTCGAATGACGAATCGGGTGCTTGTAGCGACGTTAAACGAATAATACCATACCATACCATACCAGCCGAGAGGCAGGCACTTTGTCCTTGAGGAAGGCTGCTCAGCCGAGCGCTGACGAGGCTGTGGTATGGTATGGTAGTATTCGTTTCGTTTAGCCGTTTTATATAAAACGGCTAAACGAATACTACCACCATACCCGGACAACGAAATGACAATCTTGAATCCAAGCACTCATCATTGTGCGTAAGGTTATGCCTGTCCTCCGGCCGTGAGATGCGGCCTCGTCGGTGGCTCCGCGCGAATCGGTTATTGCGACCTGCTCTCATCGTGCGGGCTAGACGAGCGCCATGATAATCGTCTATACTCGATCGCTGAGCTGCAGCACGCCCATGCAAGGTAGAGCGCAAGCCGCGGGAAAGTACATCCGAATTTCCGCTGGTCTCAGTCAGTCAAATTCGATGAGTGTGACGAGTATACATATTGAGAGCTTCTTGTTCCTCGATCCTGTATATACCTTTCGTTCTCTTCTACAAATTCACTTGAACACACTGTAAGCGCGACGTAAAAATCGTCATAACGCGTCCTTACAACACACCTTTGAAGTCTGCATGGAGTGTGAAGTCTCAGCAGAGCACCGAAGCCGCCCGAGGCCCGCGACATCGCAGCGCATGCATGCAGCAGTGACACAGCCATTCACAGCAATCGTGAACATCGTCTTGAATCTGGCGGCTACGCTGATGCGGCGCAGACGTATCTCGATGCTGATGATGCATGTGTGGAGCCAAGTCTTGCCCACTCAGGACTGTGGCTTGGCACCCGGCGCTCGACTGACTCATCATATATCAGGTCTTGTGCCACGTCCCCCGCCATAGATTGGAAGGTCAGCGCTGGATTCTGTGCAGTCAAAGTGTGTTGAGTGGGATCGCCTGATTGCGCCCAGCCGATGACGAAAGCACAAGAGGAGGTGCTGTTGTTGTAGCCTGCACGAGAGATGCGGCACGAGCTGATGCGCCGAGGCAGAGTAAACGCGCGACAAAGCCATGCTTCACGAATTGTTTGGCTACCATGCACGTCTTGGAACATGGAAAACGGCGAGATGTGCGAACTGAAATTTAGACAATTAGAGAGACACATGACCAGGTGTCACACTACCAGTCGAGAGTAGCCAAAGTTGAACTTCCTTCGTGCTGATCGTAATAATGTCTGCATCCCGCTGCCATGATGAAACAAGCGCCAGGGGAGACACTCGCACTCACGCTGAGCCATGATGATGATGATGATAGTATTCGTTTAACGTCGCTGAGCCTTGCATGTGTCAAACGCCGGAGAATGGGCCGATCGCGATCTGGCGGTTGAATTTGAAAAGCCAAGCTGTGTGCACACAGCAGCAGTGATCCACGCCGCGCGTGGAGAGGCCTGATATTCCAGGGCAAGCGCTATACGTGCAGTGGTGGTTTTACGGTGGGTGCAGGGCGCTGAACTGCACTGGCAAGCACCGAAACGCAGAACACCGCTTGTGCTGCATCGTTGGCCGATTGCAGCTCAAGTCATGAGTGCAGCGCCGATGATGAGCAGATCCACGAGGCGGCACCTAAGCGCATGTCTCTGCTTCTGCTGCTCCGCGGAGGCGTGGGCGCGCTACGTTCTGCAGCATGGACTTATAATTGGCCCTAGGCTTGCGCGGCATCTGATCACGGCAGAGACAGCGGCCGGGCCCTCCATCCCGCCACTGCCGACTAGCACAGGTGAAGGAGGGCAAAGCTAGGCTGCACAGCATGCACGATGCTGCTCGCTTTTCTCCCGCGGCCGCCTTGGCTCCGCGCGGCGAAGCATGATCGAAGAGTAGGGCGCGCAGCCGATACCGGTATTCATGCATCGAGGCAGCTCGGCAGCCCTGCTGGCGGATGCTGCTGTAGCAGCGATGGGCGGCAGATCGCTGATGAAGACGACAGGCTGCAATCGTGATTTCTTCCGGTTTGCCCAGCAAATCGCTGAATGCAGCACAGCTATAGCTGGACCTCCATCTGGCTTGTCTATCTTTAGCACGATCGGGGTTGGAAGCGACGCCGTCTGAGTTCCGTAGGTGTCTCGCATTTGCACCCACTTCACTCCTCTCTCAGACGACCATTCGTGGTTTGGTGCCCGCTTGTTTGCCCGCTCGTCTGTTCCAACACCTCTTCTTAAGATGACCGATCGAACCACGCCTTTCCTCGCCTAGACGACAGCCACGAACCTCGAACGCTTCGTTGCCGCTCTATGCTTGGCGTCTCACCTGCGAGCAAACACATCGCCCCGAAGCTCAGCTGCGACCGCGATCATCAGGGACTGGATCGCCCTCGCGCCGCCCTTGTCATCTCCTGATTTACCCCGCTCCAATACCGCAGTTCTATAAGCGATCCCCCTTCTCGACCTCTCCCTTCGTCGCTGGCTGACGTCGGCTCCGATCCCGCCAAGTCATTTGAAGTTCAGTCACTCCCGTGATCACAAAGGGGGCCAACTTTGGATGAGTCAGCCCTCAAATACTTCACCTGAATTTGTCGCACCTGCCACCTGGCCCAGCAGCAGCGACGCGCCCACCCACCTCGTTCACCCAATCTATCACCCTCATCAGGTCGCCATTTCCATCAGCCACTTGTTTGTCTTCTCTCAGGCACCTATAAGTCGCGACTGCATCTTTTCTGCCACGATTGTTGACTGCGCACAGTCTCATTCCGGTTCGTGAGTGCATTCGGCACCACTTCTGTCTAAAACAGACGACCCACGCACCTCAAATCGCCTTGGCCGAGGCGCAGAGCACCGCTTCCCGCCGGACGGGCCGGAAGTTCCCCGACATCGCCTGTAGATACTTGAGGGCAGACAGGTGGAGCATCACCTGACCCAATTCCTCGACGTATCTCGAGTCTGCATAGTCCATCGTCGCAAGGGAGCTCCGAGGTGCAAAGCCACTGTATAGCGCCACGGGAAGGCGCGCTCCGCTCGAAGAGCAAGAAGTATTGCCAGACTAGAAACGCGACCACAGGAAAGAGCCTCGGCTTATCTCAGGTTGCCGTATTGACTCTGGCGTACATCGCCCGCCTGCCAGGAGCAAGACCTGTCAGCATCGGCACACTCATCGGCAAACTCAAGACTCAATCCTTTGTGATTGTCTCGCGATCAACGCCTTGCTATTGGATCGATCGGATCGGTCACTATAGCGTAACAACCACACGCCACGCATCTGCAACGTTTCACTTCACGTTGAGGCCTGCACTGTGACTGCGCCCCGGCCCCGAATTCACCAATCAGGAAATTGTGCAGTCTTGCAAGACGCTGGGTTTGCGGCGCTCATTCAGCAATTGCAATCACCCAGCATCACTCACACTCGGGACCTTTGACCACGGGAGCGTTAAATTTCGACCTGTCAGCCGACTGCGCTAATTGCCACGCGATCTGCCCCTCTTTCAATCTACGTGGGCTGCCAAGTTCACCTTTCACCTTTCAGCGTCTGCACCGCGACCACTCCGTCGGTGTAGCGCTTGTACCGCACCGCATCACGGACGCGACTGATTCAAGAGCGGCTGCTGATTCTGCCTGCCAAGCTACAGCTTCGCAGATTGCGCCAACGCACTGCGACACTCAGATTCCGAAAACCCTTCAGGAGCTTCCTGCTGGTCGCAAGGAGTCGACACGATTACCAAGTCTGCGGCAGCAATCACGAGCACAGCCGTCATCAAGGCAGCACTGTGCGCCTCGATTTGCGACACCTACAATCCGCGGGACCGTATATCGTGCGGCTTTGACTTGCCCGCAACATAAGGACAGGCACTGAGGCAAGCTTAGAGAATTGTTTTGGCTGATTGCGATCGGGTCTGGACAGCGCAATCTTGAATCTATCCGCACCTCCGGCACTGTGCGGCGCCAAACATTCTCGTCACTCGAAACTGTTGAACGGCCCCTCACGACGAGCAGCCTCGGTCTCCGCAGCTCCGCACCATTCACAGCCTGTGTCTCGACGCGTACACACCTTCTACTCGCGGCCATCACAGGCCGTTACCCGACTACGTACGCTGGCAACATCCTCATCGCTGCGCCGTAGCACTCAAATTTCGGGACAGATAAATTCGCTTTCCGTTTGAGCGCCACCCGGCCACGGAACTAGCATCCCAACCACTCACAGCAGCTTAGACTTCCATGCTTGCACTCTCACAAAGCTTCAGCTCATCTCATAGAGTCCCAGGTTCGTTGGGGCCCTTTGACACGGAAGCGTTCAGAATGAGCTCGACATCAGATCTCAAGCTGCCACCTTTGCTGCTCAGCCGCAACGTCGACCCCTCCTCTCTGCCAGGGTCGACGGAGCTCTTGAGCGGTTCCAGGCCCGCATCTCGGAGCGACCCCCTCTTCAATCCATCTGCAAAGCCCACGTTGCCGCCACTTGGTACTAGGGCGAGCACCCCGAGCAGTAGCGGTAGCGTATTGTGTAAGCCAGAAGCCATTGAGCCGCAAGTGTCTGGACCGAAATCAAACGCTTCCCCTCGAGCTGGCTCCAGACCAATGTCAGTCGACGGTCGCCAAATGCAGCATGCAGGGGCGTCGTTTGGCCAGCACAAGAAACAAGACCCAAATAATACTGCAAATCGCCCAACTCATACCCAAGCAGAGCGGGCGCCTCACTCGCCTAGATCCGTGGACGAGCGAATGCTTGTGCGAGGACCTCACGGTGTCAAGTCAGATCCGCGAGATCGCCCCTCGACTTTTGACGAAGCCTCTGCTCGACGTGTTCTGGATGCGCACAGCCATGCAGAGGCACTGGCCTCGCGCACCGAAGAAGATGTCTCCATGGCCGATGTCTCTGATCGACCTCTGCGCGATCGCTTTGCCACGGCTCCACAAATACCGCTCCGTCGCTACGACTTGGGTGCACGCACTGCTGACCGCTTGGAAGAGGTGAGTGTAATCTTGTCAGGGCAACTTGTGCGCACCTTGAGCTGATGAAAGCACTGGCTACTTTTCTCTCTAGATCATTGAGCACGCCAACCGTCTGATCCACGCGGCTCAGCACTCGCTTGATGCGTCAAGCGAGCCGACTAAAGCGCAAGCACACGCAATGTCTAATCACTCGACGAGAATACACGATCTTATCAGATCCTTGCACGTAGGACAACAGCTGTACGACGATCGCGGAGCGCAGCATGTGGCTCTCCACCATCAAGAGCGCGCAGAACGCGATGGTGAGCCAGAGACCGCTAGTGCAAGGGACGGACGAGCAGGTCAGAAGCCTCTTGCTGACTCTCGCACCGCCTCGCAACGCCGCACCGTGAATATTCCAGCACCAACAACGAGCGGCACATTTGGAATGCACGACAGACATGGGCCAAGGTTGGTCTCGATCGATCACGACGACCACATTGGAGCCCAGAAGAGGCAAGGAGCAGGTGCCCCTGTGATCAGCTCTGCGCCAAAGTCCGCGCTGCCACCTCCTGGGCGCGCCCTCGCGACGCCACGGTCGCCTCCACCTTTCCGACCTCCGCAAGGAAGCATCTGGGATTCGCGACCCCGGAAATCAGACGGGCAGGTCAATGAGCCACCAGTCCCCCCAGCTAACGGCAAAGGAGATGCAAAGGCTGAGGAGTGGCTCGCAGCGCAGCGTGCAGGGCACCCGCAAGAGCCAGCGATGTCACGCCGCCAAAGCCCCTTTGCAGATCGTTGGCTGGATGCTCGTGTTCTACCTGAGATGGCTGGCTCTCGTCTCGTCCATCCGCATGAAGAGCCACGTCTTGTCAATGCACATGCAAGAGGCGTGCCGGACGGTCACCAAAGGAGCCACACGAGCTACGATGACTACCCTCCACGCGCCGTTGTGCACGGGGCGCATCCGGCTTACGGCTTGCACGGCCGAGGCGATGATGCCAGGCCAGCGCTGCCTCACGAAGCGCATTCAGGCGCGTCATCCTTCGCCCCTGATCATTACAACGACCACTATGGTCGACACGCGGAGTACCTCGATGCAGGTGCTCATAGACATCCGTCAGCTGCTGGCTACCCGTCCCACAAGCCCGAGGAAATTGGACCCGAATCAGCTCTTCAGCGCATGCCGGCTCAAGGTCAGGAGCCGAGCGCAAAGTACCGCAAACGAAGCCGCGCTGCCGCTCCCGCCCTTTGCGGCTGCTGCTTTATCGTCGACACGCCAGAATGGAGAAGAGGGCCGGATGGCCCTCGGACTGTGTGCAATGCTTGTGAGTAGAGACGTAATTGACGCATGCGCTCTGTAGACTCTATCGCTGACGCCGTTTGGCCTGTCATCTGCCAGGCGGGTTGCATTATGCCAAACTCGCAAAGAAACGCCAGCAGGAAGCGCCAGACGGACCTGGAATCACGATACAAGAGTTGCGAGCATCCATCCGAGTACCTTCCATGGAGGTCATCAGCCATCACGGCTCCGAATCTGGTGGCGATGACCATCACCTGCGCATGCTCGAGGCGGACAAAAGCAAAGGGCAATATATTCAAGCGCCACCTCAGATGCATCAGATGAAGGAGGAGGCGCCGAATTACTCCGCTCATCACGACGTCGAGCACTTTGGAGGTCCCGCGCCAAAACGGAGAGCTTTGTCCCCTCCTCAAAATGGCATGATCAAACCTCGAAGCCCGCAGCCTGCTCGATGGACGGCAGAAGACGAAGCCCGCCGACCGCACAGCGCTTATTCCAACGGCTCTTCCACGTCGCTCGATAGTCGAAGTCACGCCAGTGGCCTCTCGAGAGACTCGGCACGTCGGCCTTTGCCGGTGGCACAATCGCCAGTTCGACGCGCTGCATAGGCCGTGTCTCGACGCGTTCGCGCCACCCACGCGATCACCAAACGCAAAATACAGCTCGTGTCTTTTTCGCGCAGCGCACACCCCTCATCCTACTTTCTCGTTTTAGAGGCCGAAAAGCAAACTTTGGGATATTGTAAACTTCTCTGGGAGACTCTCCTGTACTCTTGTTGCCTTTCGCCCGTTTGACCAGCAGCTCGTGATAATACCGTGCTGGTGCTGCTGTCCATCCCATACACGTCTTTGCTGCCACCCCGCTTCACCTCGATTTGGTCCTATTGTAATAATCTGGCAAAATACATCGTTCACCTGCTACGATCCAGACGTCTGCATGTTCCAACGAGCGCACCTAAACACACGCAGCGTTTGCGCCACAGGTGAGGGTATCGCTAGCGTTGGGGGGATCGATAGTCTATGAGGCGGTCACATCGTCAGCTGGAACGGGTCGGAGAGTGCCTTGGGCGTACGCCTCGCTCCACCATTCAAATGAAGGTTCGAATGGCCGCACGGCGACCGTAAAACTCACCACCGACATTCTCTCGCACCTCTTTCCACGAAGTCATGCGAAGCGGCACCTCTCCCAGCTGCTGGCGCTGAGCCCAGCTTGAAAAAAAGTCGTGCAGGTCTATACGAAGCTGGGCCGCTTTGGCGGGTGTCAGATCCGAAGCGAGAGAGGATAGCGCGGGCGGCGTCTTGCCGGCGTTGGAAAGAGCCGCTGCCATGCTTGTGGGACGAAAAATGACGGGGTCTAGATGCTGCGAGATGATGAGATCGGATAGCAGCAGCATGTAGAGACCGCAATCGTGCGCTGCGAAAGAAGGACGCGCGCGGCAGTGTTCGTTGAGGGGTGAGAGCAGCTGGGATGGAGATGCATATACGCTGCTCACCATTCTCCTGGGGAGACACTTCTTCGACTTCAAATAGCGATCGCTTGACCGAGGATGACTTGATACCTCTAGTGTGCAGGAAAGCGGACCTGAATTGACATTGTACACGCAAGGTTGATCGCACGAGGTCGCGAGCGTTCCAGAAATGTATGAGCGCCTGGGAACATGGCCTAATGGCAGCCCGGGGGGCGAGAAGAAGCTGAAGGGAGAACACGCACCAAACAGTCTTTGCGGCATCGTCGTTGCAAGGACGCATGGAATCGAGGTGGAAGCCGAACCAGCCTGATCCAGGACCTTTGAAGGCCTGCTCCACCGCCAAGATGCAAGACCAATGACTGCCTATTCCCAGGCCTTCCGTACTGTACCGATCGCTCACTAGCTCAGCAAAATGCCGCGTTGAACGGTGCGTCAGTCGGTACAGCAGGAAAAAAAAGGGTCGGAAAGAAGGAATCGGGAACATACCTGGTAGGACTACTAGAGGTCCGGCTGGAGGGAGCAGATTGCGGGCTTCTTCTGCTCCGACTGCGCGGACAGGATTCATTCGACGTCAGAGTCGAGCCGTCATGCTCGCATGAAGAGAGGCTCGAAAGCGATTCTCACGATCAGCAGTGACGGAACACATGAGCTCGACCACTGCAGGTTGCCAAAGAAGACTGGGAGTCGAGTCCTTTGCGTCTTGCTTCGCTTTGTCGCTGCTCCTCGATTGTGATTGAGATGCTTCGGAATCACTTGATCGAGCAGCAAGTAACTCTGCAAATGTCCAGATCACGCCATCGTTGAGCCACTCGTTGGGCTCGAGCGTCTAAGAGCGCATCGTTGTGCAAGTTGAAAAATGTCAGCGTCACATGTCAAAGCTGTGAGTTGCTTTGAGCGTGGCGATGTTGAGCCATGACAAGGTGAGATCTGCCGCGCACACATACCTGCAAATCCTCCTTTCTCAGACAAGCATCGCCAAACGAAACGACGATCGGATCTCTGTCATCGTTCGTCATCGAAGGACCCGAGCGTTGGCTCGCGATGTGCACAGTCACCCGTTTTGCCTAAACACCCCTCCTTTGCGTGCTTAAAGTTGACTTGCTAATCACTGAGCTTTTACCGTCCTCACCATGTCCATCCAGTATCCGACTTGAGTGTGGTCCTGAAGGAATTTCGAATGCAACTGAACTTGCTTGACGCGGGCTCGCATGTCGTGTGATCGTCGCAATCAAGCGGCTTCAACCCTGCCTTGCCCTGCTGGTGCGGTCACGAGTGATGCAGATCCTGAACGCGCAACTTGCCGCGCGTTTCTGCACGTATCGATCAACACACCTACCGTAGGCACCGTACATCCAAGCATGGCCCGCATAATTGCATGGATGCCGCGCCCATCTTCTGACACTCACGTGAGTCGTCTCTGCCTGCCTCCACCTTCCAGGCGAGCAGCAGGCCATGGTCTGCTAGTCCTTTCATAGCAGCTCAGCCCTAAGCTGATCGACCCATCCAACGGCGATCACAAAGCAAATGAGCCGCGTGCTTCCACCTCGAACTGCATACTCATACACTCGTGACTCTTGACTCTCGACTCGTGTCTGATCCTCTTCAATTCACACCTGCTCTGCGCGTGGCCCTGCCTTCGGCCACCCATCCAACCAGCGAGCTCGTCCCTTCTCGCATGTGACGAGAATTCCTTTGGCCATCCACACGCCAATACACCACGCTCGACCGCTTCACATCGAGGCTCGATCATTGCCACAGCAGCAAGCCATGTCAACCAGCGCTGCAAGGCTGCTATCGTCCACGTCTCGTGCCGAGCCAGCCCCTCTCGCAGAGTCTCAAGTAGGCTACGGTCTCGTCTCTTTTGCTTTGCCATTTTCACTTTGTTGGTGAGTCCGTCAGCGTAAGCAAGTCGCTTGCTTCAGGATCCTTGGCTGAAGCATGCTTGCTCAACCACTTTGTAAACTTTGGCGCGCCCACAGCTCTCGATGCGAAGCTAGGCATGCCAGGGGTCTCAAATGCGATGCCACGCGTAGACAATTGAGAGGAGCCGAGGGTCACCTGGTGTGGAGCTACTTGATGGACCTGCCGTGTTGTCACCAAACGTGCGAGATTCGGGGAGATACGAGGGTGAGTGCGCTTCTTGTCTCGGCCTCGCAATTTGACGTGGGACTGATGAGCTCCACGGCCTCATAGTACCTCACCTACACCGTCGTGTCCGGAGGCAGAGCGCTACATGCAGTCGATGAGGAATCGGCATTTCAAGAGCTTCGAGCATTGACGGAACGCCGAGCCGCCGCAGAAGGTGCGCTAGAGGCGCATCGACGTCGACAGCCCACACTGCATTCTGCTTGGTCCACCATCTCCACCGAGGAAGGAGGGGTAGCGTCGACGAGCGAAGCACCATCCGAAAGAAGCGTCGCACCTCCCGCTTTTCGCACAGCACCTTCTTCAGATGCGCTCTTGGCGCTCAGAACTAGACCGGGTCCGAGCTATCACTACGCGCCTTCTGTCTCTGCTCGATCCAGATCACTCAGCTCTTCCGGATCTTCTAGGACGCTGCTTGGAGGCAGATTTAGCGCTCGACCGGATACGTCAACTCGAGGAATCGGAAAGTACCCAGCAGAAGCATCGGCTACGCCCGATGCGTCCACAAGAGCTCAATTGAAAGCTCTGTATGCGGACGAGAGATCTTCTAGAGCCAGCAAAGGCGAAAAGAGTCTGGGAAGGGCGCTCTCTGGCAGGAGAGGGTTTCAGGGAACTCTCAAGGTCGGACGTGCGTTTGGAGCAAGGGAAGGTATTGGAATCGGAGGAACGGACGGAAGAGGGGGCGGAACAGCTTCCAAGATGGCTCCTCCCCCCGCCCCTCCTTTAGCCTCTTCTGCTCCTCGCACACCTTCACAAATAGCACGTTCTTCGAGCAGGTCGACATTTGCGATGGATGCTCGTAGGGGAAGAGGAGCAGAAACGAGCTCGAGACTGTTGGAAGAGATGGGACGCGTGCCTGGAAGGAGAGTAGTGGCGGAAGAGCTGAGGAGGAACGAGGCTGCTGGGAGACTTGTGGGCAGGCTGGCTGATAAAAGCAGGAAAACACTCGATCCCTTCCAGGCGGAGATGGACGAGAGCGTGGCAAAAGGACGCAGCGTACGCTCTGGAACTTCTTGAGGCCCATGCATTCTACTTTGATCGATCGATCTTGCATGGCCGTGCCACTCCTTCGATATTGAAGCCGGCACCAACCGTATATACCTTTCAATGCGAATGCTAACACTCGCGGATACTTTACATGCGTGCGTCACTGCATTTGAGCCGCAGCAGGAAGTCAGAACGCTTGGGGATGCCAAGTGAATGAGGACCGGCTTGACCTTGTGTGATACGTGGGCTGGTGTCCCGAGCGCTTCACAAGCCTTGGATGTCGAGGTCCCTGGATGAGTTGAAACGTGATTGCCGCAAAACAGCGTGGCTTGTGGCGGTGCGTGCACGCGCCATGCAGAGCGAGAAATCACGCGCGCGAATGCAGCTCGCGCCTCCTTCTAGAGCTGCAAAGGGATGAAACGGTGAATAGCATACTTCATCAAAGCTTCGTGCTCTCTGACAATCACAATGCTCACGATTTTGGATATGCACGCCCGATAGCCGCTTTCACCTACGTCTTGCAGGTTGTACGACCTGACGACAGGCTTGGTCGACGACATGGAGCGTCCCGGCACCTCGTCCCTTGGCGGTCACGCGCAGACCTTTGCAACTCCAGGAGAAGCAGCGCAGCACATTGTTCATTCGGCCCTTTCACCTCGTCTGGCTGTCCTTGCAAGTCCGGACGTGGACGAAGCGATTTTGAGACCGAACGGAGTGCCCGATCTGGCGGCGCTGTTGAGACCGTTCGAGGCTAGTGTACGAGGTCGTGAGTTTGGGCTGCGAGCATATGCGGTCATCCGAGGGACTTGTGGCTGTCCTAAGTAGCCAGGCTTGACTTTGTGTTTTGCGCAGTGACTATTCGAACGACGGAATTGGCGAGCCGACTCGCGCCGAGTTTCACGCTTCGATTCGATGCCATTTCATCCTTTGCTCCGCCTCGCTCTTCCAAGGACCCAGCAGCCGCTTCAGCTTCAGCTACTGCTTCGGGCTCGGTCGGACCTGGCTCGACGTCTCAGATTGCCTCAAATGTCTCCTCTCCTCCGCCCACGCCCGGTGCTCCTACACAGAGCAGACCAGGCTTGTTCGGCAGATCGCCTAGCGTTGCTACTTCGCTGGCCCGAGATGCTAGACCAGAGGCCATCCTCGACTCTCTCGCACCAGCGATACGAAAGTTGGCGGGTCGCTCTTCGGACGGAAAGGGAGATGAAAAGGATGAGTTCGATCAAGATGAGATGGACAAGGCAGATGTGACGCCTTGGTATGCTTTGGTCAGAGACGAAGTGCTTGGTAGACGAAATGTGGAAAGCCACGAGACCTTTGGTTGGCCCATCGGTAGTGAGTAGGCTTGATCTTGTTGGGTTCGTTTAGTCGTAGACGCACGAGCTGGCCGAGCTGACAGCCTGCGAGACCGCGGTGTAGTGATACTGGCCGTGTCATCCGCATCGCCAGACCCTATGAACGCTTTCGCGGCGCTCTTCGAGGCCTCCAATCCTCACGCCAGCAGAGCATACACCGATCGGCCTTACATGGACTCGACGTTGCTTCGCTACTATGTGCTCATCCACGATGTTAAGACATCAGGCTCGGACTTGACTGAGTATGTTGCGCATCTTTCTGCTCAGAAACACCACTGGGCAGTGCTGACAAGATGTCCACATCTCTATTGCTGTGTGATTTGCAGATCCTTGGCTCTCCTCGACACCATCAAAAAGACCTATGGCGTCCATGCTTGCTTGTTGCCGCTCAACTCGGCCACTGCAGGCGCAGGATCCTCCGAAACAGATCTTGCTGGTATATGGGAGCAAGCACTACGTGTGCCTCCCATGGCGCCGCCTCCTCGACGAGATGGGCCAGCTACGGGCATAGCGCCACCTTTACCGCCCAAAGATGATGAATCTGACTCCGCCATGCAGAAAGAGGTGGTGGACGTGGATGAACAGGCGGAAGTGTCCCGCTATGCGACGGCATTGGATGAGGAGGATGTCGCCAGGCTGCAGGCGTTTGTGAGGGAACTGGCAGCGCAAAGCGTGGTCCCTTTTCTGGAACGCACTGCAGCTCAATGGAACGAGAGCGTGAGTGCAGCTGTTGGGTGCGCGCTGGGTTGAGCTTCGAAAGGCTGAAGAATGCGGTTGTTTGACATTATTTCAGCTGGCGGCTTCTCGAAGAGGCTTGACGGGTAGGCTGTTCGGCGCAGGTAGGAAATTCTTCGGATCGGGATCAGGAAGCATACGTGGATCTTCGAATACACCATCTTTCAGTACGTTGGGGTAGTGAGTAAGGCCAAAAAATGGCTGACATTTTTCTTGGAGAGAACAGAGGCGCTCGCTGACATTTCGTCCTGCAACAGCTACCCTCCGACAAGCCTTGAAGCGCAGACTCGCAGATTGGCCGACTTTGCCTTCATGACTCGAGACTACAAGCTTGCGGCTAGCATGTACGATCTTGGAAGGAAAGACTACTCGAACGACAAGGCTCTGAAACATCTTGCTGGAGCTACTGTGAGTGTCCTGACATTCACTCCAATATTTGAAAAAGACTGAAGCCTCCCCTCCTTTGGCACGCCTGCAGGAGATGTTTGGTCTTTCACACCTCATGATGATGTTGACGATGAAGTCACAGCCGATCGATGTGGATAGCTATTTGGCGTCTGCTTGCGCAGCGTATGCGCAAGCACCACGGCAGCGGGGAAGTCATCTGCAGTTGGACGGGCTAAGAGCAACGTTGCTCTACTACGAGGTCTACAGATCGCTCAATTTCTACCAATCAGCTCCAGCTGCGCTCATGCGGGCCGCTGGGGTTGTCAGCAATGATGTGTCCTCACCCGAAGGCATCCCGGCTGAAAACATCGCAGACGACGTAGAGGTCATCGGAGCGGTGCTCCTCGAACAAGCCGCGTTGGCAGATCTGCATCAGCAACCTCAACCTCATCGCCGAAAGCATGCCGCTCATCTCGTCATGGCCTCTCATCGCTACCAAGAATGCGGTCAAAATGCGCTTTCGTTGAAATGCTTGCGCAGAGCTGCTCGGCAGTACGCAAGCCGAGCGGCCGAGCGTCAGCCAGTGGAAGACTTGCTCGAGTCGCTGGAGACGAAGAGTGGTAAAGATGATCAAGGTGGCGAGGGTCCGGAACATGACGTGTCGAGAATGATCCGCGAGAAAGGGCAACGGGACGATGAGCCAGCGTGGGATGCTGTCGAGACGCACGTGGAACACGAACTTGGACAAAGGGCCTATGCCAATGGAGACTCTGCGGCTGCGATCAAGCACTTTACAAAACTCATTCGACCAGCGCCGTTACCTTTTGACGCTACGGATGAAGACGTCGCGGCTCAACAGGCCAAGCACAATTCCTACCTGAACGCATTCCTGACGGCGTTCAAATACGTCGATGCCCCAGCCAGCACTGATGAAGTAGCCGAGGCTTTAGGACTCGACTTTGTCAAGCCGCTGTGGGACCCTCAAACAGCTAGAATAATCACGCGCTCGACGCGTGCCAGCGACGCTCAGTGGGAAGCATTGGAGACCAAATACATATCTTTAGCAAGCGCGGCAGGACTCACTCGACCTCCCAATCTCGCTCCTGAAGAGCGGAATGTTTGCCAGGTGGACGGTGAGCTGTAGAGAGATTGCACCTCAGCCTCGACTGAGACTGACCAAGATCACGTTTGTCCCCATGCCAGAATCTTTTCATATTCAAGTGCTCGTGCGCAATCCTCTCAGTACCTCGCTCACCCTGGAGAGTGCGCGGGTCGGGTTTGAGTCGCTTCAAGGAGAAGACATTGATGCGCAGTGTGTCCACGTGGAAAGCATCGGTAAAGTGGAGCTTGGACCTGATGAAAGCAGGCTTGTAAGTGCGCCACTCGTAGTTCGAGCAGCTCCGAGTTCAAATGTCGCTGAGACGCCCTTTGACACTCTCAGATCGTCTTTGAAGCGCGGAGTAGCAAGTCGCAAAGCTTACGGGCCAATCGCGTCGAGTATGTTTTCGCCGGAGCGGTGCCAATGTCGCAACGGCTGCACAAAAGAGGCAAACGCTTGACAGCGACGCGTGAACAGCGTGTTGCACCTCTACCCGTCTATGCGCCCGACGAGAGCTTGGCCATTCATGTCCTAGAGGCGCAACCAGCCCTGTCCGTCCAGATGACGCAAATCCGCGACGTCATTGGCTTGGGAGAAGAGATCGAAGCTTCCCTGCAGATTACGAATACGGGCTCTGTGGAGCTCACAGAGCTTGCCTGTCTGTGTGATGCTCCTGCTGTGCTCCTACTGGCAGCACAGCTTGCTTCAGACGGTGAGTCGAAAAGATTGTCTGGTAGAAAGCACTTCAACCTAATGCCCTCGATCCAATCACAGACTTCGCCCCAGCCTTTTCGGCGCCGAATAGGCTCGAAGAAACACTTCCTACGCTTATTTCGCTACCTAATGGTGCTTTGGCATCTGGCGCAAGCGCCGAAATACCGATCCGTCTCCGTGGAGCGTCTATCGGTGTGCTGGAGCCTAAGCTGCTATTCGTCTTCAAGGCAAGTGAAGTAACGCGTTGTTTCGACGATCAATGTTGGATGCCTTTCCTGACTCCTCCATCGTCTTTTTTCCCAGAGCGCGAACGCCTCAAAATACTGTACCACCAGATTCTCGCACGCCTTTGCAGCCGAGCCAGTCGTGGATGTGGCCGTGCAAGCAGGTCCCTCTCGGGCGGAACAGCTCACGTACATCTTGAATCTCGAGGCGGCTTGCCTGTTCGGTGGTACGGCTGGAGAACCACCGCAGGCTCGCGTCGAGGCAGTCACTGTCATCAGCCCGAGATGGCAAGCGTCCACTGGTCAGGATGCAGCTCTGGAGTAAGTGTCGTCCGGCACAATGTCAGCGGGCCACTGTCGCTGACGCTCCGAGCGGTCATCATTGCAGAGCCGCTTTGAAGAACATTCCATTACGTCACCGTGCCGCTGCTAGCATTGCCATGTCAGAGGCATCAGCCGAAGAACTTTCAGCGGCCGATGTGGAACCTCTTGCAGACCTCACACACACAACGAACCAGCTCGGTTTGTTGCTGCAGAATATGCCGCTCAAGTCAAGCCCGAAAAATACAGCTTTACGTCGGAGCACCATCGGAACATCTAAGCAGCCTGTTTCTCCTTTCTTCTCCAAAGCGCGGTCCGAATGGCGTCAGAAGATCCTCCTGCAGCAGTTTCCGGTCATTGATGCTTCGGATCGCGCGCGTGCTTTTACGTTGTATCAGCCCAGCGACGTTGACGTTATCGCTCATTGGGCGATCGGAGAACGTCGTGGACAGGCATTCATTTTTGGGCTACAGCTTGGACCTGCGCACGACCAGCTGTTGGAGCTCACTAGCGAGTCGAGTGGCAGAGTCATCTACGCCCAAGCTGCCAAAGAGAGGGTGAGTCTGCCCTTTGAGTTTTAAAGGGACTCCGAATGGACCCGACTGACTGACTTTCACTGTGGTGGTTCGCTGCTGCTCAGGCCGCGCTGCTCGCAGCGATCCTTCGCAGCCGGCTGCACGTGGAGGAGGACCCGGTAGTCGTCGAAGTGCAAAGCGACGATCAGATCTCACATGATTTCGCTAAAAGGCAAGTGACTCCAAAATCAACGGGAGACTTCTGATCTCTGCTGACGCAGTCATTTGCGCCTTACGTAGTCGTCTTCGACACCTGGCTGTGGTCGATGTGCGCAACCTTTCAACGGTTAGGACTGTTGAATACAGTTTGAATCTGGAAAATGGTCCGGTCGAGAGACTGACTGCGTGAGTGCTTAAGGGCGTATCTGCTGCAAAATAATATCCCTTGTTGAATTTTGATGGTCCTTGGTGTCAGACCTGGAACCACGCCCGCTTCGTGGGTAGGACGCATGACGCAGCGCGGAAAGCTACCTCCCCGAGGACGAGCACGATTCGAGGCCTACGCCATGCTTCCTTCGCCAGGAGCTTATGAGCTCGGCGCTTGGGCTCTTCGTTCTCGCACGCTCACATCGGAGCAAGAGGATGCAAAAGTGGTCGGCACTTTTTCACAGAGCGAATGGGTCGGTATCACTGTTCAGGCTGGTCATGCTGTTGACGATGCGCGCGCTCGTTCAGTCCAGCAAACATCCGAAGTGGCGGCTGCGGACGCATTTGAGCCTGCGCTCGTCAGCTCCCACTGACGAGGAATGTATGTATTTTCATGGAGCAATTGCAGACTCCTCGGCGTGCACTTTCATCGATTTGCGTTGATGCTAATCGAAAATGAGACCGCATCTTGGGACGATGGGCAGCTAGCTGCCAGCCACTTTGCAAGCGGTATGCACGGCGGCAATGGTGGATATGACGTCGACGCGTGAATCGTGGCGGGCCAGCGCATGCCTTGAACTCACCACTCAACTGCATTTAGGAGTCTGGGTCATAGTACCGAATGTCGAAAAGACGATTTGGTTGCGTGGAGATGCGAAGTGCTTTGCAAGGACAGAGTCAGAAGTCAGCAGTGGAGATCAAAAGTCAAGAGTCTTGACGAGTCTTGATGAGTTTTCAGGCTTTGAGTCGTAGAGGCGAGAAGGCGATCACGTGGTCTGACTTGGACCCCAGCCAGAGTCAAGGCGGTTGCGTCACTAAGCAGCTAAGATGCGCGTGTGGACAGCAGGCTGTCCTCGCAAAGCCAAACGACGCACAATCTGCAGGGACCTCCTCTTTGCTTTCTGCTGCTCAGCATCGGGCACATCACGAGAGCACTAACTAGCTCGCCGATGCTGCCGCCCAAGCATGAATGTAGGCCTCCCACAGAGGTAAGATCTCATCAGACCGCATTCATCGCGGACTCCCACTCACAATTGACACCAAAACAGCATCAGACCATGACCCGCACAGGCTGTGAGGCTCGCTGAGACCGCAGTGCGCTCACCGCAATCTGCACAAACGCTTGCGATTGCCGCCACTTGCAATTGCAGCACCATCTGAGCCTCCTTTCACACCAGCCGGCGGCCTGACGCTGACCTGTGCACGAGACTCTACGCCGCCCGACCTTTGCGGCGTCAGGAGGCCCAAGGGAAACAGGCCATAACACCTTTGCGGAGCCTTTACATCTACTCCCCTGAACTCTAAGCAGCGGCCGCAATGCTTGAAGGCGTTCTAGCATCTGTCCTGAACCGCTTTCTGGCCTCGTATGTCGACGGTTTGAACACGAGCCAGCTCAATGTCGGCATCTGGAGTGGTGACGTCAAGCTCCGAAAGTGAGTACAGTGCCATTCCCCCCGACTGAGTCGCGGTCGTGCTGACGAGGACCCCTCGCACATAGCCTGAGACTCAAGACTTCTGCTCTCGACAAGTTTCGCCTTCCTATCGACGTCAAAGAAGGCTTCCTCGGAGATCTCACATTATCGATACCTTGGTCGAACTTGAAGGGCAAGCCCGTCCGCGTCCTAGTTGAGAATGTGTATCTCTTGGCTGCTCCGAAGGAAGCCAGTGTCGAGATCGATGAGGAAGAAGAGGAAGAGCGGGCCCAAGCAGCTAAACTTGAGAAGCTGGCGAACGCCGAGCTGTTGGGTACGTCCAGCTCCATAGGCGTAAGCGAAGGTGAGTACACGCATGCTTTCTGTGCCAGCAATTCCTGCGACATTATCTCACATTCAGAATTCCCCGCACAGCGGATGCACAAAAGAATGAGTCCTTTACAAGTTCTTTGGTCACCAAGATCGTGGACAATCTGCAGATCACTGTCCGGAACATCCATGTGCGGTACGAGGACAAGCTGAGCAATCCCGAACATCCGTTCTCAGCTGGTTTGACATTGGCCGAGTTCTCAGCAGTCTCGACGGATGCCGACTGGAATCCAACCTTCATTCAAAATAGCCAGGAAGGCATTCACAAACTCGCTCGATTGGAATCGCTGGCTGCGTACTGGGACACAGATGCTGAATCTCTTGCAGGCTATGAAGTCTCAGAGGCCCAACAGCGCTTTGCTTCGCTTATTGCACGGGATGGCCAGATCCCACAGCACCAGTACATTCTGCATCCTGTTACTGGTGCAGGAAGGCTAGTCATGAGGCGAAAGATGACACCAGATATTGCCAAGATGGATGCGCAGCTCTTGTTCGACTCCCTTGGCTTCGCCTTGGATGACGAGCAATATCGAGACGTCATCTCAGTGGCGGACTTGTTCCATTTCTACACGCGACAGGCGCAGTACCGGCGATACCGGCCCGCGGCTGCTGAGCTCGAGGAGAACAAGCCTCGGGCCATGCTGCGCTTCGCCGCAAAAGCTATCCTTAATGAGGTTCACGAGAAGCGTAAAGTCTGGACGTGGGCCTATTTTGCACAGCGGAGGGATGAACGGAAAGAGTACGTCGAATTGTTCAAGCAAAAGGAGCAGGCTGTTCATCAGGCCAATCAAAATCAAGCGGGGGCTCAGATTGCATCGAGCGAGGAGGGCACTAGACTCCACGAGCTCGAGCGGACACTCAGCTACAAGGACATCAGGTTCTACCGCTCCATCGCCAGGCACGAGCTACGCAAGGAGCGCACCAACAAGCGAAAGGAAGAGCTTGCAAGCGGCAATCGCGCCGATAGCAGCGGATCCACAGCGCAGGCATCTGGCGCAGGCGCCGCTGCAGGAGGCGGGTGGCTCGGATGGATATGGGGAGGAGGCGCCAACAAGGCAGGCAGCGAGCATGATTCGGGCGTGCTCAATGAGGAGCAACGGAAAGAGCTCTACGATGCCATTGAATGGGACGAAAGTGCCAACAATCAAGCTCTCACATCTGCTGTTGACTTGCCTGGAGATGCTCTTCAGCTACGGCTCACCACCAAGCTACAAACAGGATCTCTTTCCTTGAAAGACCACTCTCGTGGCTCTGAGATTGTATCATTGGTCTTCGACAGCCTCCAAGCCGATGTCGATCAGCGCGTTGACAACCTTGAGGCTGCCGTGTCTCTTGGCGGCCTGCGTGTGTACGACAACACGACAGCGAATTCGTTGTACCCCCAGATTGTACGCGTCAAAGACGATGAGGTCAACCGGATCACTCAGGTAGAAGGTCGGACCAATAGCAGAGGTCAAAGCACGGAGCAGGCGGAGCACGAGGTTGGCCTCGAGTCCGACCCTGACAACCCTTTCTTCTATCTCAAATTCGAGAACAAGCCATTGGACCGGAGAGCAGACAGTGCACTAGCGGTCAAGATGAGAAGCATGGAAATTATCTACCACCGCGGATACGTGGAGAATATTGTGCGATTTTTCAAGCCACCTGAGAGCGAGCTTGAATTGATCGGAGCTTTGATAGACGTGGCTAGTGAGACCATCGAGGGCATCCGAAAAGAAACGAGAGCTGGGCTCGAGAACGCGCTGGAAAATCACAAGACAATAGATCTCACCCTCGACATCAAGGCGCCCATCATCATCGTACCGCAAGACGTCACGCAGAGGCAGTGTCAACACATCGTGCTCGATGCTGGTCATATTGGAATGCGGTCCGTGTTCGCGGATCAAAGTGCACTCGATACAGTGAAATCAAAACAAAGCAAGCAGTACACGGAAGACGACTATCGACAGCTCGAGGACCTCATGTACGATCGCTTCTTTGTCAAGCTCGAGTCCATGCAGCTCGTCATGGGCCCGGATATCGAATCCTGCTTGTCTAGTCTAACGGCTGGCTCGGAGCATCATGCGAGCCATTTGGTAGAGCGCATCAATTTGGATTTCACGCTACATAACTCCATCTTGCCGAAGGCGCCCAACTTGACGAAGTTCAAGATCACGGGTCATCTACCCAGCCTTCGCGTCAACTTCTCTGACAACAAATACAAGGCCTTGATGTCGGTCATCGACGTTGCCATTCCGAAGCTTGATGATGATCCTGTGGATGAGGAGCAGGGTCAATTGGGCGCATCGGGCGGCCGAAGCAACGTGCTGGGCGACCCCGAGATGTCGCAGGTTCAAACCTCAAGGACCCGCCAGCCGAGTGCAGACGATGGACGTGGAAGTGAGAGCGGACTTGATCTCAATAAGGTTCGCAGGCAGCGCATCGCAAGTCAAATGAGAGGCGGCGACGATTATCTGGTTGAGCAAGAAGATGACGACGCGGAAGGTGAAGCTGAATTTGAGGATGCTGAAGATGACACTGCGGATGTGAGTTGTAGAAAAGATTGAGCTTGAGCGCTATCGATCGCTAACGCCTCCCCTCTCAGCGCATCAACGCTCATCAACGCACGTTTGAGCTGCACTTTGTCGTGGACAGCTTGCAAGGCAGCATCTATAAATCCAGCACAGATCCAAGCAAGCCCGATAGGTTGCTCGTCGAGGCCGTGTTCGAAGGCTTCCTGCTTCACTTGGCGGTGTTCCCATATCACATGGAAATCGACGTTGGCTTACGTAGTCTCGAATTGGAGGACAAGATCGTCGACCAGGGCGCCGTCTTCAAGCACCTCATCACATCAAAGGCTGTCGATACTCATGGCAAGCCTACCACCGCTTCAAAAGCATCGACTCCCGACAAAGACCTCGTGCGTGTCAAGTACGTTCGGGTTCAGACCGATTCGCCAGAGTTTCAAAGCGTCTACGAAGGCATCGATCAGTCGATCCACGTCGAGTTGTCGACGATCAACATCACACTCACACGTGTTTCGGTACTCGTTGTGTACGATTGGATCATGACCACGTTTGTCCCGTCGGAGTCCGCCGCGCCGCCACCGGAAAAGTTGATTGATGTTCCACAGGGCGAAGACGAAAATACCAAGACGGGCCGCAAGGAGATCGCTGAGCCTGTGACACGCAAGGAAATGCTTCGCGTCCGTGTCAAACTCACGTCGATCGTCCTGCGCATCAACAATGATGGCCAGCTACTAGCGACCCTGACGCTGTCTACCGCCGAAGTCGCGGTCCTTCTAAGAGGCAATTCGATTCGGGTGGCTGCGCGTCTCGGGTCCCTACTTTTGGTCGACAATGTCCAGCGCGAGGACTCTGACAGCGGTCGCAGGAAGAATCCTGGAGAGTTCAAGAAGCTCCTCTCTATCGACGGAGATGAGCTCGCAGACTTCACTTATGAGACTTTCGACGAGCAGGACAAGCAGACCTATCCGGGCTACGATACTTCCATCTGGTTGCGTACTGGCTCTTTGAAGTTCACATTTGCTGAAGAGCCAGTGCGGGACCTGCTGAACTTTTTCAACAAATTTGCTAGGATGAAGGCTGTGTACGACGCTGCAACACAAGCGGCTAGCGCACAAGCCACACAATTACAAGAGCGCGTTGCCAAGTTGCATTACGACGTTGTCATAAAGACGCCCATTGTCAACATACGACGCGGTCCAGGCAGCTCTGACGTACTGACTGCCAACTTAGGAGAGATTTACGCCTACAATACCTTTTCTGAGCCGGACGATGATCATGTCACGACCAAGATCGAAGCAGGCCTTCGACATATCCGCCTGGCGAGCAGAATGACATATGGCTCTCAAGAGTACAAGGTCCAGATGATCGACGACGTCAATATCTCTGTGGATGTCACACAGCGAGATCACCTTGGACACGCAGCATCCACAGCCGAGAAAAACAGCTCCAGTGCAGCCCACAACTTGCCTGACATGTCCATTAATGCCCGAATGTCCGACGTTCAGATTAAACTCACGGAGCAGCAGTACGGCTTCATCATGGCGCTCACCCAAGCGATCCCTCGAGCTTTCGCACTTGACGAGGATGACGATGCTGACAACGATCAAGCCGTATCGTCCATACCATCGACGTCAGCCAGCAGCGTTCGCCAAGTGCCAGCAGCATCAACTCCAAGCTCCGCCGGCCCGGGCGTCGACATGCTGCCAGAATTGGGCGTCGTAGCTCATGACTCTGATGGAAATGGTGTTCTGCTTCGCACTAGCCTCGACATGCTTTTCAATGTGCGCGCCATCGGACTTGAGTTGTTTAGCTCTGGAGCGACTGCTCAAGACACTTTGCAAAACGCAAGTCTCGCAAAATTCTCACTGAATCAGTCAGCCGTCAAGCTCAAGGTGCTCTCTGACTCCTCACTTGAGGCCGAAGTTGCGCTCAAATCTTTCACCGTGTCCGACACAAGGCCTGACAAAGGCACCAAATTCCGCGAGATCATTCCAGCTGTCCGACATGACGGTCACCAGTTCATGCTGTCCTACACGCAAAGCGGCAATCAGTCCGATAGAGGAGCTCTTGCTTTGGTTACCGTCGACAGTCCTAAGATCATCTTCTCCTTGGATCCCCTCTTCGCGCTCGTAAACTTTTTCACGAGCGCTTTCAACGAAGCCGACACGCAAATGCAGGACGACATCGCGGGTGCCAATAGCGACTCCAACAGCGCGCGTAAAAGCACTTCTGCGGTCAGAAGCCAACAGAGGGCACCTACCAAGAAGAGCGCGCCTTCCAAAACTGCGCAACAGTCGGCATCGGGAGGGTCAGAGCCAGCTGATGGAGGCTCAGCAATCGCATTCCGGGTCAATGTGGTGGACCCTACAATCATTCTGCTCGCTGCACCGGAGCGCACAGACTCGGAAGCAATTGTCCTGTCCATTCGGCAGATTTTAGTGTCTCAGCAAGCCATCTTGGCTCTGAAGGTCGATCAATTCGGGATGTTCATGTGCCGCATGGACCGACCAAAGGACTCCCTTCGATTCCTCGATAATTTCGACCTCACGCTCTCTCTCGACAGCCGGGGGTCTGGCTCCCGTCAAGTCACCAGTATTGAGGTTGACGTCGAGCCCCTTGTGCTTCGCGTCTCCTTTAAAGACATCATGCTCATTTCGAGTGTTGTGAACAAAGCTATTGAGCTCTCGAATCAAAGCAATAGCTTTGGTGCGAATCAGGATGGAAAGCAGAATTCCGCCTCCCGCAGAGAAGCTTCTGCGATGAGCGGAAATATCTCGCTGAACGAGTCGACGAAAGTTGTTGAGCCTCGAGGGCGTTCCAGCAGCGCCTCGGCTCGCAATACTTCCCACGACGACGAGCGGCCCTCCGAGGCAGAATTGATCGTTGCCAAAGAGCTTCTCAAAGCAGATGTGGCAGGCTTGCAGCTGATTCTCATAGGTGACATGCACAGTCTACCCATGCTGGACCTCAACCTCCGCAAATTCTCGGTCAATGTCCGCGATTGGTCTTCAGAGATGCGGGTCAGGACTTCGATTGGCATGCACGTCAACTATAACAACCTGTCACGGTCTCATTGGGAACCCTTGATCGATCCTTGGGTCGTCGACTTTGGCATGGATTCAGTCAATGGCACCACTACGATGACCGTGTCGTCGAAGAAGCGTCTCGAGGTCAACGTCACTACGACGCTGATCGAGACCGCAATGACCACTGCGGCCATCATGGCGGAGGAACAGAAGAAGCTCAGCAACGCATCGGCCAGCGCAAATACTGCGACCACGAGCGTCTTGAGGGAAAGCCAGGCGCCGTTCCTCGTTCGGAACCGGACGGGCTATCGCATCACGCTCTGGGCGGAGCACGAGGATCGCCGTGTCAAAGCTTCTCCACACCGCCTAGAAGATGGTTCGGATACTCCGTGGCGGTTTGACGACTGGAAGGCGATGCGAGAGCACGTCATGCAGTCTGGCGGCAATATGCTCTCCCTTCAAGTGGAAGGCATGCCCTGGGAGCGTATCAAGCACGTTAGTGTCGATCGGGAGGGCGAATCACTGATTACCCTGCATCCAAAGGTGGAAAAGGTAGCACATCGCATGCTCTGTGACGTCAAGCTCGTGGATAATGTCAAGGTCGTCACCTTCCGCTCAAGCTTCAACATTGAGAATCGGACAATGGTGCCCGTAGAGTTTGTTGTGCTAGGATCCGATGGAGAGCCAACTCAGGGTGGAGTCCGGCAGCTTGCTCCTGGTGAAGATTGCCCTGTCCCCATAGAGGCAGCGTATCATAATCGCATCCGTCTGCGCCCGGATCCCGGCTTTGAGTACGGGTGGTCAAACGAAGCATTCAATTGGCAAGAACTGGTCAAGAAATCTACTCGGATAGTGAGCTGCGACGCTTTGCACGAGGGTGAGGCTCCGTTCCGCTTCCAGTGCTTTGCGATCACCGAAAAGCAGGATGCATTGTCCCGGGCGTACCCTCGCTTGACGCTGCGTCTTAGGGCACCGGTCGAGGTGGAGAACTTGCTGCCGTACGACATCCAGTACAGAATCTTCGACCGCAACTTGAACCACAACTGGAACAGCTTCCTGCGCAAAGGAGGCACTTCTCCCATCCACGTGGTCGAGACCTCACACCTTCTGCTGCTAAGTGTGGACATTCAGTCTTCGGTCTTCTCTCCAAGCGAGTTCGCCATCATTGCGACGGATAATGGGGACGACTTCCCAGTTGAGAAGACGATGACTCTGGCCGATGCCGAGAATTTGAAACTCAACTTGCGCCTCCACTACTCGAAGTATCCCGACTCTGGCGGAGCCTTCAAAGTCTCCATATTTGCACCTTACATCTTCATCAATCAGACGGGCCTACCGTTCGCTCTCAAGACCAAAAGCTGGATTGGCGGCGCGAAGCTCGTTGCTGGACAAGAGCAAGGAGAAGTGTCAGAGGTGCGAAAGCATCCCGATCCTTTCCTGTTCTCTCACAATTCGAATGACCGTCGAAATCGAGTTCTACTTCGAGTGGGTGATTCTTCCTGGTCAAAGCCACTCTCATTCGAAGCTATAGGCTCTGATAGCGAGGTGGTCATCCCTTCAGCGTCTCGTAACGAAGAAATCCATTTGGGACTCAATATTCAGGACGGGCTCGGCAAGTTCAAGCTGAGTAAGGTTGTCAAGCTCACACCGCGGTACTTGGTGCGCAACAATCTTGGCGAAACCCTCAATCTGCGTGAGCCTGGAGCAGCAGACTCCGTCACAGTTGAGGCTGGTCGGCGAGTGCCTCTTCACTTCTTGCGTGTTGGAGCGTCGAAGCAAATGACTCTTGCCTATCCGGGGCTCAACAACAAGTGGACTGCTCCATTCAACATCGAGGACATTGGCAGCGTGCACTTGCGCATCGCCAAGGCCGGCGACCACCAACACCTCATAAAGGCCGAAGTCATGCTCGAGGGTCCGACCATCTTCATCTCGCTCTCGATGGAACGCGGGCAATGGCCTTTCATGCTTCGAAATGAGTCTGACTACGTTGTGACATTCATGCAAGCTACCGAGCGCTCCGATGAGCGCAACGGGGATAAGGACGAGGCAGTGGGCAAGCGCTATGAGCTGAAACCACGCTCCAAGATGAAGTACGCATGGGATTTCCCGGCCCTCCCGAACAAGCTCATCAAGCTTGTTGCTAATGGGCGAGAACGCAGCGTAAATGTTCTGGAGATTGGTACCCTCATGCCCTTCAAGTTCCCAAGCACTGATGGACGCGGCAGCCGGGTGATTGCACTTGACGTTCGCGCAGATGGCGCGACGCAGACGCTAGTCTTAAGCCCCTGGACCGAAGAGAAGAGTGGCTTCCGCCTCAAGCGTCAAAATTCTACGTTCTCCCGCACCGACACAGTCAGCAGCACAGGTCGCGATGGAGGCTTTGAAGCTGTCGACGTAGACAGTAAGATCACTATGGTCTTTAATGTCGAGTTCGAAGGTGTCGGCATTTCGGTCATCAATCGATCGGTGCAAGAACTTGCATATGTTTCATTCCGCGGCCTGGAATTCCATTACAATCAGTCGGAGAAAGCAACTTCTATTGGAGTGGTATGCAAGTGGATACAGGTGGATAATCAGCTTTTCGGCGGCTTGTTCCCAATCGTTCTGTATCCTGCGGTGCTGCGCGAAGGCAAGGAGCTAGATCAGCATCCAGTTCTGCAGCTCTCGTGGATTCAAAGCACGGATGAAACGCATGGTGCGAGCATCGTCAAGTATGCAAGTGCGCTGCTTCAAGAGATCAGCGTCGAGCTCGACGAGGACTTCCTGTTCGCCCTCATCGATTTCTCCAAGCTGCAGGGTGCTTCATGGCAAAAAGATGCTGCTCTTGAGAGCGACTTCGTCGAGGACCCTCGAGAGGTCCCCGAGCCCTCTGGAACGCTTCACCAGCCTGCCGACACGTACTTTGAGGTCCTTCACCTGCAGCCGCTCGCCATCAACTTGAGTTTCATGCGCACTGACATGCGCACTGACCGCTCTGATGAAAGGGTGGGCAGTCGCAATCCGGTGCTGTTTGCCATCAACGCCATCTCTATGGCCCTCGGGAACCTCAATGAGGCGCCAATTCGACTCAACGCCCTCGTGTTGGAAAATGTGCGCCTGTCCTCCGCGGACCTCCAAGCTCGTCTAACGACGCACTACACACAAGCCTTGGTCGGCCAGCTCTACCGCGTCATGGGATCGCTCGACGTCATCGGCAATCCGGTCGGGCTGTTCAACAACGTTTCGGGTGGGTTCGTTGCCCTGTGGTACGAGCCCTACCAAGGTCTTGTCATGCACGGCAATCGAGAACTCGGAATGGGGCTCGTACGAGGCGCTTCGGCTTTCGCAAAAGGAGCCGTGTTTGGTGTCTCAGACTCCATGAGCAAGGTGACAGGCTCGATAGGAAAGGGCCTCGCTGCTGCTACGATGGATCCAGAATTCCAGAGTCGTCGCCGAATGACGCGCTTCCGCAACAAACCCAAACATGCCCTCTACGGTCTTTCATCCGGCGCAAGCGCCTTCTTCACGAGCATTGCCAGCGGTCTTAGCGGTGTTGCGCTCAAACCTATCGAGGGTGCTGAGCGCGGTGGAGCAGTAGGATTTGCACGTGGCTTGCTAGCTGGCTCTGTCGGGCTTGTGACTAAGCCGCTTGTTGGTACATTCGATTTCGCTTCGTGAGTTCTGCGCTGCTCCACATCCTTCAAAGACGTGCGCTCACCTGAAAACAACGCTTGACAGCAACCTGACTGAAGGTGTGCGGAATACTACTGTGGTTTTCGACCAGAACGAGATCGACCGCGTTCGCTTGCCGCGGTTCATTGCAGCTGATGGTATCGTGAGTCACCCCAGTGCCAGCAAGATGCTCATCCCTGTGCGCTTGAGCTCACCTAGGCTCGACCGCTTCCCTCTGCAGGTTCGTCCATATACCGCCAGAGAAGCGCTTGGTCAGACCTGGCTGCGCTGTGTCGACGATGGGAGACTCTATCGGGAGTCTTATGTATGCCATGTGGATCTGGGTCAGGCACAGGGTCAAGCCAACCCTCAGCCGGAGAGAGACGGCGTTATCATGGTCACACTGACACGTATCTGTGAGTCGTCAGGCCATCTTTGGGTTCTTATCTGGATTTGTAGCTGATCTTGGAGAGCTTTATAAACCACGTAGTGTTCATTCGAACGCTCCGCATGAAAGTGGCGTGGGAGGTGCCTCTTAGCGACCTCGCCAGCATATCTCTCGAGTCTGACGGGATTGCGCTGACGTTGCGCAACAATGTAGCTGGTCCCTTCCTCAAGTTGCCCGAAGCGGGTAAGTTAGCCCTTCGCGTGTGGTGCAAGCTAATGCAAACGAGTCACTTACGCCTGCACCTCCTCCAATCCCGTGACGTTGTCCTAGGCGCTCGTTCATTCCTCTTCTCATCCATCTCGAGAGTTGTCAGAGCGTACAATGCTCAGCACCAAAGCTAAATGGCAGTCTCGTCATTGCGCACCCAATTTTGATCCATTGTACATATTAGTAGTCTAAATTTGCCTCGGAATTGCTCAGCCATACTGGCACACGTTCAATGCTTGCGCTCGGAAATTGGCAGACTGAGACGTCCAACAGTGAGAAGAGCTGTTCGACGGCGTTGCAGCAATGAGAGGTTTGATCGCAATGTGATCTTCGTGGTGCGGAATCGAGCCCACACTTCGTGTGCACTAGTCACTCGCTACGTGTGTAGCGAGGACTCGAGCGTCTGATGACCCTATTTGCGTCGTCGAGAACGTCAATAGGGAGGTGTCACTTGCGCTCGAGGATCGTCGATTTGAATGTAGGCATAGTCAGTCGATCATGCGCTGCAAAATCGCTACAATGAACCCCGCTACGACGCGTCGCGTAATGCGCGGCGGCTGGCGGGTAAATTGGTACCCACAGTCGTGACTCGTGACTCGTGATTATATATGTATGCATATACCTAGGTATGTCCCGTTCTCAAGCTCGTACCATGCAAACGCTCCAATCGCGAATGTGCTGCGCGTGGGACTCTTTCGTTGGGGAGCAATCGTGAATCTACATCTGCATGTTGCAGCTATGAGGTAGCGCTCTCGCACATTTCGCTGCCGACCTCTCGACCCCTGCCCTTTCCCCTGGGCCTTCTCGACGAGCTCATCCACAGCAGGCAGGCTTCAGGTCTGGCATCAACGTCGATCTACAGCGTGCGTCCGAATGTCGCGCGCCTCTTCCTCACCCGACGAGCTGGACGCAGCGCACCCACGAGCAAACGCACACAGGGCTTCTGTCAGGTCCACATCGAGCCCGGGCGAATCCCCTGTCGTGGAGGTCTCCTCGGTGCTGAGGGCACGATCAGATCGAGACGAGAGTGCCGGGCTGATGAGACCCCCTGCGCTTCCGAGACACATCCAACAAGCTAGGACGGACGAGAGGATGAGCAAGAGGAGGAGGTATGGACAGGCCAGAAGATCTGGTCCAGGAGATGAGCAGGAAGATTGGAGTCAAGGCTTGACAGATCGTCCTGCTGCCTCTGCTTCTTCTTCCAGAATCCCAATGGGTCCACCCGCTTTACCTTCGCCATCTCCCAGACCTAGCCCAATGCCGCTCGAAAGTCCTGCCGTAAAGAGGGAATACTCAACCCCTGTCCCTGGATCTGGCATCCTCTCGCCAGATCCACCGCCCACCAACCGTCGGTTGGATTTTCTTCGTGGCGGGTACCGATCAGGGCACACGAATGGAGCGATAACCGAAGGAGCGCCTTTGCGACATGCACTTGCGGAGTCTGTCGTGGCGGATGAGGAGGAGCGGGAGGAAGAGCAGAGGGAGTCGAGAGAACCAGAGGAAGGGGAGGACAGTCCTTTGCTTGTCTTCCAATGCGACGCTTGCGGCGTGGTGCTGGGTGACAGCTTTTCTTGGGTGGCTGCTCAGAGGGAGCTTGGACTTCTGGTTTTGTCCTGTGAGTGCCGCGACTAGAAGCTCACGCACAGCTCAGCATGTGGGACGCAACGTGCTACCGGCTATGAGTCCTGCAGGCGACTGACGAGCTCTACTCATCATGTTTCCTCCAGCTGCAACTGACGAAGTCGTCGTGGATAGGACTTTTATCACCTCGACCGAAGGAGGGCTCGACGTTGGCTCGTGAGTAGCATTGAATGGGATGTTTAGGAAGCGGCATCTCCTGGACCGCTTGCTCACGCTACAGTGCTGTCTTGGATCCGCAGAACCTACTCTTCGTTTACTTGTTCATGCGGAGCCGCGCTAGGGCGAATGTACAGGACCACCTCTCGAGCACTGGACGATCTTCGAGATGCGTATTCTTTTCAAGTGACTCAGGTTCGCGTGTAAGTAGAAGCCTGGCAGATCGCATGTCTACAAGCACAAGTGCTCACGCCATGTGCTGCTTGGCGCTTGGCAGCTATCAGCTCGGGACAAGCCAAGCCAACGCAGCTCATGGACATCCTCAGCGAGACTCTGTCGAGGCAGAAGCAGGAGACTTGACCGCAGAGGCCCCTGTGGCCGAGCCGCTCACAGCGCTAGCTTCGACACATGGAGAACAAATCGGACCAAACGAAGTCTTCGATACGGTCGAGCGAGGCGCAAACAGGCGATACGTGACTCCGGTAGTGACGAATGTTGCCGCAGGCATTGATGGTCCTGCGGGGCATGGTCAAGCGCAAACCGGTTTTTCAAGGACACCCGTGCCTCCTGGTCGGGACGATCAGCGAGTGAGTTCAGACGTGACGGTCCATTTGCATCAGTCCATTGCGTGCAGTCATCTTATCCGATTCGTGCCAGTCAAAGGCTTACTCTCTTGAAAACGTCCATTTGCTCAGATTCGAGTGCTTTTGATGGGTATAGGCGAGCGTCTAGTGAAGCTCGAGAGGCAGATGGAGTCCTTGCAACAAGCTTCCGCTCGTTCCGAATCCAGCACTGTTCAAGCTGCCTCTTCGGCAGCACGGCCAAAGGCCGGGACTATTCGCAGTCATTCCACATCCGAAGGCGAGGGGAGCGTGATGAGTGAGCAGGTTCAGGAGAATGGAGCCCGGTGACACAGCCTTCAAAATGCCTTCAGTGTAACACCGTCCAACAGGCTGGTCGCGGCCAGTCATGTCAAGTTTGCGCGCGCTGTTTTCTTTCGGTCGGACGCGGGCCAGCCATGAGCACAGATCATGCACTGCGCCAAGTCGCACTTCGCGTCTACTTGTACTTGTACGTCTACCAAAGCGTGATGCTTATATCCTGCAAAGAAAGCGAATGAAGCGCCCGCGCTTCTCGGCCCAACACAGTCGAAAAGGGATGCTGCGGAAGATGAGTAGACTGGTCGGGCCGATCCGAGCGTTCGCTGTCTCGACGAAATCTACAGCTTGTCAAGATGCGAGCACGTAAGACCTTGGGAGTCCGATTTCGCACGATGCGGATTTGATGGATTTGAAAGAATCTGGAGTCGTTAGTCGGAAGGTCATGTACAAGTGCTGGAAGCGGAACCTGACGTGCGCGAAGCAGAGCACGGCTGGGAGGGCGCTTGCGTGCCTCCGAGCCTGGTCGCAGGCGGACACTGAGGCTCACTTAGTTGGTAAAACGTCTGTTAGGGTTGGATCCAAAGCAGCTAGCACCAATTTCTGGAAGCATGCGCTCTTCGCAAAGTCTGAGCCTCTCATCAAGGGTGTTGTTGATCTTGATACGCCCCTCGTGGCCGGCAAGCATGATACCGCCCGAGCTAGGTGGCGAAACATATCCAGAAGCCATGCTAAGCATGACATCGGAATCAACAACCTTCCCGCAAAGCAGCTGAACTCACCTGTCCTTTGACAAACCCTCCTCCACCTTGGTTTGAATGCTCTTGCCAGTCTTCTCCTGGTAAAGCTTCTCCGCCTGCTTAGCGGCCTGCTGAACAATCTGCACATCCGTGGACCTGGCAGTAATGGATACCTTTGGCTCCACCAATTGCAACAGACCCTGCAAGATGAGATTTTGCAAAAGTTTGGAATACTTCTCTTGATCTCGAGACAGCTCCACCAATCTGCCTCGAGCTTCGTCGAACAGCTCTTGAAGGTGCGCTTCTTTGGATTGCAGAATCTTCAAGCGGGACTGGTTCGTCGATGTGGATTGGGCACTTTAAGAAGATCGAACAATGTCAGGTTAGGAGCGCCATCAGCCAGACTGGGCATACTTCCGGCGCGGCCACGTTCGGCAACCTGGCAGCAGCGAGTGTTCGCAGTGGCACCTCCACACAGGCTCATGCACAGCCAAAGGCTTGAGCGGTCAGATGTCACGCTGCTTCTCGTCGCATCGTCCTGGGCGATCGGCTTGGCTTTTCCTCTTCTCCACCCCTATTCCATAAAATCGCTCCCCTCCCTCTCGCTGCCCGCTCTAGCCGCACCATTACGCACATTTTCTGAGCAGTCTGAGCTTGTTTAGCCTTCTTTTCGTACGTAGACTCGATTGAGATTGCTTCCTGGCGCACGATCTTTGCCTAAGGTGGTCGCAAAAGATGTTTGCGACTGATCAATTTGGAATGTTTCAATGGACATCTTCGGATCACCTTGCTTACCTTCTCGATCGCGAACTCCTCGTCAGCTTTCACTTGGATTTCTCGAGCCTTTTCCATCGCTTCTTGCTTGATGAAGGCGACCTGGAGAAGTAAGAGGGGTTCGGTCATAAGAAGATACCGCGCCGAGGTGAGTCTCAGCAGGATGTAGCGCGCGCGTCTGACGGGGGTAGGGTTGAGAGCATGCGTTCGAACATGCAGCAAATTGGTCCTCTTGTGCTCGAGCCTCCATCTCCTTGTATCCACGCTTCCTCAACGTTACTCTGTCCTCATGTGTGCTAGGGGTAGCACCTCCCTTGGAAGTGCTGCGAGCCCCTGCCACCTCCGCCTGAGCGTTGTTGATTCCCTCCACAGGTAACGCAGCCCGCCGGTCTACTCACCATCTTCTTCATCTCCGTCAGCACCTCGTCGTCGTTGAGTGGGCGAGACATGCTGGGCAACCCACGAGCGATTGCGAAATTGAGGTGGCTAAAAGTCTGGAGCTACAACGGCGTGGTCTACCTGACTCGAGCGATCCTAGTCGATCACCTTTACGTTGACTCTGAGCCGGCCTTAGAATGGGTCGATCGCCGTCGTTGCAGTCTCGTAGATGCCGCTGCTTCGCTCGGCAAGTGTGTCACGCTGCGCAGACTAGCTCAATGCTGTCAAAGGGGTCTGGAGACGAAGAAGATTGCTACCAGAGTGCGGATGAATGCCTCGATATGTGTGCGTCCGCGCCATCAACATACCACGATGTGAGGGTCGGGCTAGGGGTCAGGCCGGCCTGTGCACGATCAACGCCACGTGGCGTGGCTGTCTTTCACTCGGCTGTGATGCTTGACCGATGTGGGATGCAGCCTGTATATTTGCGTGCGTGCGGATATATCTATCGCATCGCGTCTGTGCGACGCACCTGACGCAGGCTGGGTGATAGGGCGCTCGCCATATACAGTAGGACGCCCGTGATGCAGCAGCTTCGATCGCTGAATCTCCTACGGTGACGCGGCAGGCAGCTCATGCATTCACGCACGTGCTCGGGTAAACACCCGAACAATTGACTTCTCTGACTCTGGACTTTCGGTACACATGACCATGAATAGGTTGCTCAAACGTGATCACCGATGAATCGCCAATCACTTCGAACCCCTTCATCATCAGCTTGTTGAACACGAAAGAGGCACGGAGCAGCTCGCTTCCCTCTGGCCCTCCCTCAAGTCTCCGCCATCCTGATTCGGGTCAGCCGAAGAACTACAAGAGCGTCTCCAAGTCGACGCATTCATCTCATCTCAAGACCTTGAGGATTTGCTCGCCAATCAAAAATGTCGCGCCAAGGGCACGGATTAGCCGATCCTCCTAGTCGAGGCACGCTCTCGCTAGCCTACAGGCGAAGCGTCGTAGCTCTGCAATCCGCACTTGGCTGGTCCTCTTCCGAGACGGAACAAGCAGAACGAGAAGCTCTGATTCCTGATTCTCACCAGCAATCAGAGGGCTTCGGCAACGCTGCCTCTGTTGCTGGACCTAGCGGTACGACGGGAACGGATGGGTATGGAAGCGTGCTGGACTTGCCACCGGAAAGACGTGTGCCTAGACCTAAGCCAGTGAAGAGCGCAGTCAGGGTCGAGGCTAAGGTTTGGTTCGCCAACGAGGTAAGTGGTATTGGTGTGAATGCAACGCTTTGTGCACGACATGCGACTGGGCTGGCAGATGTTTGCAAACAGGAATCGCCAAGGAGAATGCAGGTGGAAGGGATGGTGATTCGCGTGGCTTTTCGTCAGCTTCGTGCAGCAAAGATTAAGCTTGGTCTTACCTGTATTCACGCGCCGACGCTTGCCTTTCACTTTTCCTCTTTGCCCCCACAGAGAACTTGGATCTCGTGGTTGCGCGTCTCGGTTCTGCTGGGCTCCTTCTCTCTAGCACTGTTCAATAGCGCTGGCTACTTCGCTCACCGTCTCCCAGACACACCAGGCGGAACACCCGGTCCTGAAGTGCCAGAAGGTCCCAACGCCTCCACCATCCGAAACTTTGGAATCGTGTATGCCGCCATTGCCGTAGCTACGCTCTTGTGGGGTTTGTGGAGCTACCAACGCAGAGTGACTCTCATCAAACGTAAATACGCTGGTGACTTTGGTAAGTGGGATTCGGAACAGCACGGCGGGACTGGACCGACTTGAAGCTGTAGCTGATCTTGACCTCCTTGTAATGCGGTGCTCGATGCCCACAGACGACCTCGTGGGGCCGCCGCTCATCTGTATCGCCCTCTTTATCGCCGTTCTGGTCAACTTCATCGTGCGCGGTAAGTGCTTTTGTAAAGCCCTTCTCTCAGTTGCGAGTCTGTGAGTCTGCGTGTCATGCTGATCTCACCCTTGTATGAATGCAGTGCAAGAGTACAACGCCCTCTGAGCCCACGTTAGCAATGGTCAGCTTGCAGCTTTCTTTAATCAGACCTGCCCGCAGCGAATGGAGGTAGTAGTACATTGAAATGTTTCAATACTGATGTGCAGGCGCTTTGAAGCTACATAATCAGGCTTCCGCGTGGCTAGGAGTGATCCCTTCGGAAGTGAAAGGCGACTGTATGCGGATAGCATCTCTTGCTGCCAATCTCATATCTGGTCCATTGCGAAAGGAAGAATGGCGTCGATCACTGGGGCATAGTGGCGTAGCGGCGCGTCAAGTCTGCTTCTCTTCATGCCTCTTCGTGCATGGATGTAGCCGATCAGTGTTTTGGGAGAGCACCCGAGAATGAAGACTCCGCTTCCCAGATAACGGTGCCAACACGCTTCCATTATTGCGGTGATCTGATCGATGTTGGCTTCTCCTCACTTAAGGTAGCAGCTGACACATTGCCGTGCTTTTGGGCAAAAGTGATGGTCGCAAGAAGGATATTCGGTGCATCCAAAGAGAAAAAAAAATGAAAGAAACGAAAGGCAAAGAGAACAAAAGGAGTTGTGGGAGAGGACGGCATTTGTCGCTGTCAGCTCGCTAGGGAAAAAGTCTGGCCTGGCTCGGAAAGAAATCCTTTCTTTGACTCACCTCGTAGTTTGGGCGCTCACCTGACCGCCCCGACATGACAGATCTGAGACGTTCAGAAGCGTCCAAGTGGTTCATACCCGCGAGGAGTAGCGCCAACGACACTAGATGCTTGGCTCTGCCGCGACCTCAAGCGTGCCGACCATTCTTGATCAGCTTGGCTGTCCACCTTGGTCCCGCTCTCATGCACGAGGGAGGCTACCTGGGCAGCGACAGCTTTGTGGCCAAGGCATCGACGAGGTTGCCGGCCCTTTGGAGCGGGCTTGAGCATGAAATTGCTCGAGTTTGCCGTAATCGGATCGACGCATGCCGAAGAGAGGGAGAGCATGGTCGGAGAGCTGCTGCTGATGTTTTTTTTTTTGGTTGTTCGGCAAAACAGCAAGGGGACTGTGCAAGGCGGGCTGAAGCGCATGCGAGTGTGCGATATCTGTCACTGCCAGAGGGGCGTCGGTTGGGAGCGACGATTGCGCCCAGTCGTTAGAGGTGCAGGTGATGGGCGGCAGTTGAAAGGTGGCCGGTTGAAGGGCGAAATGAGATGCTCACTCACGGTGCTCGCGGCTCGTGCACAGTTGAGCGAAGAGGTCGACCGTGCTCGCTATTCACGGAGACGAGGCAGGAGGATGGGGAAAAGTGCGACGAACGAGCAGCTCAAGTTGTGCATGCACGGGAGCGCGTGTTGTGCGACTTGATGGCGCAGGAGCTGAGCAGGCGTGCGAGGGAGACCCAGGAAGTCAAACTCACGAATCTGAATTGGGATTGAAGAGAAGAGAAGGCGCAGTCAAGTTGGACAAGTCCATCACCCACCCGCTTTTTGAGCGATTGTCCGAGTCTGAGCAGTCGTGTGAGTGTGGGTGCTTAGCACCGCCATGCAACGGCAGCCCTTGCGGATCACAGCAACGGCGGTACGCGTATATCGATCCCAAATGCGTGGCTATAGGCGCTCCGCCTAATGATTCAGCATTCGCACTCAATCCTCCTCGGACTGCAGCATTGGGCTAAAATGTGATGTACCTTTTGCGGTTTCAATCAGAATAATGTGATCCTCGGCTGCATGGCTGATGAACTCTTGTTTCACAAGTCACACACGAACCTGATTCGGAGACGCCATTTCCGCTTCACAGCTGCCGTGAACGTTGTCCCCTGCGCCGCACGTACCAAAGCGGGCCGCAAAGGCATGCAAGTTTCACGTACACCACTCAACTCACGACTGGTGGCATCAGTTGAATGTCACTACCATGCAAAAAGTCTCAAAGTCACAATTAGAATCATGGATCACAATCACAATCACCCCTGCCGCACGGAACGAAGAGCCACGGGTGATCTGCTACACTTTTCGCTCGTGACTCACGACTTGCGATGTGCTCTTGCTATACCTGGCTTTGGTTGTCACATCCGACAAGCATCAGCACCTTTCAGTTACAAATTGCCTCTCGTCAACATGTGTGCAGTCGTGCAACTCAGATTGAGCCACGACGCAGAAGTGCAAAGGCTGCCAGAATAAGAAACTCGACTGGTTCGATCAAGAATCTCAACTTGCAACAAATGATTTGCGCTCGTGGTGGCGAGTTTCGACACTCGACTTTTGGCTGAAGGTGACATAACCTTGCGCACCTCGGTGTACTTCATTGGCCTCCTATCAGCCTCATCAAGCGGCGCAAATCACCAATCGTGAAAGAATGAGGCGGCGCGGCGGTGAAGGCCTCACATCTGGTGGCGAGGGGAGAAGGGCAAGGTCGGGTAGTCACGAAATTTCGAAAATGATGACTACCGACTGTTGCATAGACGCACGTCGATTTCACCCATCGACTGGTGGCGGCGGCCGAGCGTGTACAGAGAGTCAGCATGTTGAGCAGGAATCGTTAGTGTCTCACGACTCGGGAACGGATCGGGCTAGACGTTGGCTGCTATCTTGAAGACTCCCCCTTTCTCGATTCGTTTGTGTGTGCTTGTCGTTCGACAGACTACGCCGAGGCCGAGAGAGCTGGTTATCGCCAGCGGTAGGCATAGTCCACTCAAACCTGTCCGTAGGACTCGAATGAGAGTTGAGCGTATATCGATTGGGCCGGCCAGCACTCGTTTGGACACGCACTGGACCCAGCGAATCTGTCGCATCCGATTCGCACAGCCACGTCTTGCTTCTGTCCATACACTCACGACTGCTCGACTGCCATGTGCCGGCCAAAGTAGGAATGGATCGCGCAGACGCGCACTGCTCCAAGGCATGATGGGATGACAGCCGCCGTTCTTCCTCCTAGCTTCGAGTTGACGGTGAGCGGTGAGTGTGCAGGTGCGAGACCTCCCAAGTTCCGCGTGGCAAACGCCCTCAATTTCGTATGAAGCGTTTGATCGTTCACCCGCGCAGGCCATTGGCTACACGTCTATCAGACCGAAACTTGTTGCCAGTTGCTCAGATTTTGGCGAAGGTGTGATTCCCAACAGCAAAAGTTGATAGTCGCACCGCCCTCACAATTGATCATACTACAGCAGAACCAACGGATGTGGCAAAGGGATGACGTAGCGTGTTCGTGGCGTGCTGGTCTGTCGGTCTGTACCAATCATCAAATAGGCACAAATCCTGACCTAGATTATCATCCGTTTGGACTGGCAGATGTGCCGTGCGGGCACTTGACGTTCTCAGGCTGTGTCGATCTCGACGTCGCTCCATGCTAGCAGGGCGATGTGCCAAATCTCGATAAGATCACGCACCGCCGCCGCCGCCGCCGCCCTCATCGTCGTCGATGCAACATCGATCTAGCAGAGCATTGTGATTGTCGGGCCGGCGACTTTTCCGCTCGATCAACGTAGCGCAATATCTTCGTGATCGTCTTGGATGGGCTGTGCGACACATTTGACTTCGCCAATCGTACGAATGAGCAAAATCGATGAGGTCTCTAGCAGCTCGCTTTGCATTCGTGATTGTATGCGCCACTTGATATCGAAAGGCCTCTTCTGAATGCCCATGCCTCCGCCACCATCCATCATGGGTGGCTATCGCCACAGGCCACGGCAGTGGTCAAGACGTGAAACGTCCCCTCAGTCAAGATTCCCAGTCAGTGTCTGCTAGGAATTCATTGCTGTCGCTTCACGCTGCTGCTATATAGTGATGAGCCCGCCGACATTTGCCTTATAAGCGAGACACCGATCGACTGTGTTCAAAGTACAGCACACACGCGGAGATTTTGCATCCGCTCGTGGTCGTAAGTAGTGCGCGGGCTTGCTCGAATTGGGTCACCGCTTGCGGTCTACATCGTATGACTTGTTTGTTGTTCCTTCTTTTTAGACAATCTGCTCGAGTTGCTGTCCAGGACCGTGAGCGCACTCAAAGAGCGTGTTGTGTGGGTGTTGGAAGGAGGGGTCACGCATCAAGCAAGATCAAGCTTCGAGTCCCTGCAGGCAGCATGGCGCTTCGCAGCGATATTCAAAAGGAGCAAAGCAGAGTTTGAATTTTGAATCTGAATTTTGAATGTAAATCTTGAATGAAATCGGGGTGCACAGCGCAATCACGTGTGCGCGCCGGGATCAAATTCCCTGGGCGTCAGAACAAACGCGCGGGCGCGAATATGCCGCCGGCAGGGGGTTGCTGCAGCAGGCCGGCCGTGATAGGAAGTTCCTTAAACATCCGACACAACGGTCAACCATCATCGCCGCACGCGATCCTACATTCGGGACGCATTCAGGAACTCTACCAACATTCTTGATCTCGACGGTTCAACGGCTCGTGTGCAGAAAAGAGCGCCAACACTTTTCCTCTGCGCAGCTCGCGACTGGCGTGCTCGAAGCATCAAAGGTGCTGCACTCGCGGACGCGAAAATGGCCACGTAGACAGCGGAACGCCTCGCTCGGCAGCTTTTGCTTGCGGAAAGGGGAAAATGCTACAAAGCCAATGGCTAACATGACACGGAAGCATCGCAACGGCGACCTAGACCCAAGACAGCGGGCCCGATAAGATTGCCTTCGACCAGCTGAAGCAAGCTCGGTTGCTTTGACGCGGGCCCCTCGAGTCGTCTGTATGCGTCACAAGGCCGAGTGCTGCTTTGCGGGACCATTTATTCCCTTCGTGACTTGGCCACCGAGCAAGTTCAAGTCGCCGGCATGTACACTGTACCACGGCATAGCTGTTTGTGCTTCCGCTAATGTGACGGCAATAGCAGACGAGAGTCGTTTGTAGAGTATGTTTTGCCCTTTGCACTGCCGGCGATCAAACGCTTTGCGACCCATCTCGCCTCATCTCGGAAGCATCAACATCCGAAGATGCCGCAAGTCTCAGCTTTGGTTGCCACAATCCACAGCTCAATGGGAGCGATTGCTGCAAGTGGAGCGCGATGTTGCTCCATGCGGCATGACCGTTGAGCGATTCACCGTTGCGCTGAACGTAGGAAGTTTACTTAAGATGAGCTTTAAGCCGTTTACCTCTTTCCACCTTCTCACGAATCGACGAAAGAGATGAATGCTCAACTGACTCGTTACAATTCGCTCTTGACGACCTTTCGATGTTCACCATCGAGGTTCCATCCACACTCACATCATTTACCCACGTAGCTTCTTATCCTTCTCGGCATATTTCTTATCCACTGACTACAAAGCATCTATCTCAACCGTTAGCACACTACCGCGTCGCAACTGGACTCCCGGAGCGGCCAGCTTCTATCGTCCTACGCATTCACCATGGAGCAGCGTACGCAGGATAGTCCTTGGACCTTGCCTAGGCGGCCCTCGATGGTGCACATTTCCGACCAGCATTACCCAGCATATTCCCCTACCCAGCCTCAACGCGTGCTATCCACGTACCCCGCAAAGGTGCCAAAGCCTGGCGCGCTCGCTCCAAATGGGGCTTGTGTGCAATACCCCTCATCTTCGCGCTCAGGCGAGCAGGCGTCGGAAGCTCTTCACACATCTTGGCCAGGTAGCCCTGCCATGCCCAGGGCGGCACTGAGGGCAGAGTCAAGAATGCAGCGTGCTCGAGTATTTGTCAATCCTCTACCTCCGGCATCCTCCTTGCACCAGAACATGTGCAACATACGCATCACGCTCACTGTATACGGAGACGGAACAGTACCGCTGGCGCACGTTCCTTTGCCCTTGGCTCACTTGCCTCGACAATCGTGGCCTGACCCTTCTTGCTACAGCCTGTCTCCTGCTTCGCACGTGAGCGAAGGCGCCTATGACTCTGCTCCACGCACCGTCAACGCTCACTCCACTGTGACGTTGAAAGGACCCCTGCCGGATAAACGCCTGCTTTTTCCGCCTCCAATGGACGGTAGAGGTCGCGCAATGGATCATGGAAGATGCTGGAGTCGACGAGGACTAGGCTACGACTTCGTCACCATTCTTCCAAACGGAGCTCCAAGATTCAGCAGTACTAGAGCTCGATCGACGACGTTCCCCAACACTTCGAATGTGCCTCCACCCAAGGCATCTTTGCCTACGACTTCCTCAGAGACGGAGAACAATGGCTCCGTTGACATGCTAGACACGCCAAGGAGAAATATCGACACTGCTGTCGAGGCTGCACAATCTGAAACACCATTGGCCCTCAGACTGGCTCAATCTCCAGCGGACGTTGCCAAGACACCATCCTCAGCGCCGGCAGAAGATGCAAATTTGGATCCTCGAATCAATCGTTTCTCGCGCCCGAAGCTTCTTCCTCGAGGACCTTGGCTTGGGCAAGAGTACCTCACGTCGAGACTCTCAACCGAGCTTGATGCGGCAGGATCAGACACCTCAGAGTCGGACAAGGATTCTTCTGCAAGCTGCTTCCCTGCTAGTGAAGCTTCTACTTCGGATTTGGAAGGTGATGTTCATCTCGACGTCCGAAGCGGTGATTCTACAGGTAGTGACTTTTCTGGTTATCAAGCTGGTGCTGCCGTCGAGAAAGCAAAGGAATCTGATGCTGATTCGAGGCAAGATCCCTCGGACGCTCTTCGACACCACAAGCGTCGCTCAACAGCCTCGCAGCTAGGACAGCCATCAGAGCTGAGCGAATGCAAGGCCGCCGCGAGGGGCAGGTCTTTTTCTGCTCCTATACCCGGGACGCATCCTTCTGCCGACAAGAGGCATCCGCTAAACGGTACCTTTCTACCTGCTGGGACCGTAGCATTCTTTGGTGTCGAAGGGAGCAGAACGCCCTCGATGTCCAGAAGCTCTTCGGCCAGTGGCTCGAACGCCGAATCTTTCGAGTTATCCGAGCCCATCTGGAGCTCATCTGCCGCTTGGGAGCATTCCAACAAGCGTCGTTGGAGAGTGTCTCTACACGTACGTGCAGATTCGGAAGAGAAGAGCAAAGCTCACGCCATCAAGGCCATTGAGATGGTAGCTCAGACATTGAGCAACCCTCTGGATTCGCTTCCGCAGTCTATTGCATCTCAATATTCCTTTACCAACAAAAAACGGGCAACTGTGGATGAAAATTCAGAGCCCATCTTCGATCGACGGGGTATAGACGAGATGAGCGAGAGCGAGATGGATACCGATCCTTTTCTGCCTCGCCTACCCTCCGACCCTCGAGCGACGTTGGATCCGTTCGCTCCCGAAAACACGATCGCGGCTAAGCTTACACGTCAACATCGACTGGCCGAAGAAGCGGAGCTGGAGCGTACCGTTCGAATCCATAAGCCCGCATGGGTCACCAGCGAGCCCATGAGGCGCAAAAGATCCTCCTCTTCTTCGTCCAACGATACATCTCAAAGCAGCACGAGCAGCAACAATGCCGTGGTCGATCACGAGCCTCGTTGGGCAGATCCCCCTTCGATGGGAAGGGACAAGGTGTACCTCGACAGCACCACCACGCTGCCTCGCATCGTCTCTGCACACTACGAACCCGACGCGACGGACCCCGCATCGAATCGAGAATCTTTTCGCCGCTGGGCTTCAGCTTTGGCTGAGCCCGAGGTGCTCTTTCAACGCTACGCAGGCCGGAGCTGATCGATGAGCGTTTCTTTTCTCGGGCGATGAATGAGGAAAAGCTCGCAAGGGCACCTATGAAGCCGCTCTGTGCTCTCGAGCTACTTTCCGGCCAATATGCCACCTAGCAATTCAACCCTTTCGCACCACTAGCGGTATATGTACGCACACGCATCATAATCTCTTTCTATCATCGCTCGCTCCACACCATCCTTGCGCGGCGCCCAAGGCGCTACGGATCGTATAGCAGTCCAACGTCGAACCCATCTTATCGTGTAGCCCTATCCCGTCTTATCCTAGTTGCGAAAAAATGACAACAATCAACAAACATGCGCCACAGCCTGAAACAGCCTGGTCGGTGATGCTAGCTCGCTTTTGAGAGTACTGAGACATGGAGCATGCGTTGTTGAGGGCCAAGAGCAGTTCCATTGCGTCATTACTTGGGAGAGCATTAGATGACCGACCGCAAAGCGATGCGTGGTATATACATCGATATCTTGATAAGGAAGAGCCGTTTCCGAAAATGGAGTCCTTACAGCGCGCCCAGGAGGAACGCAACGAGGAGAGCAGGTAGCAAGGTGAGAGCAGCGCTGTTGGCCCCGAGCGAAATCGCGCCGTCGCCCTGAGTATCAGCAACAAGAGGTAATTGAGTTCCGATGGTGTTGTTGAGACAGTTGAAATAGGTCATGTTGACCGTGCTGGGAAGAACAGTCAGACTTCTAGCCAGTGCATCATCCGTACCATTATCGCCCGTCGAGTCGTTGGCAGGTTGTCCATTGTTGTAGCCTATCAAACCAAGAGCAAACGAGCTGCCTCTGTAGTATTGCACGATGCTGGTAGGCAGGACCCTAAAGTCTGCAGGTGCTGTGGCGTTGTCGTTGCCCGAGCCACAGGCAGTGGCAAGTGCGTTCTTGGTGTCGATAACGCTGTTGTTATCTCCGTAGAGATAAAAGGCATTGGAGTTGCTATCGACGCCAGCAGGAGGGGAAAGGTAAAAGGGCCCCTCGTCTCCTCCCGGTCTACCAGCCATTCGATACTGAGAAGCTCCATAGTATCCACCGGCGCCAAGAGCGCCAAATCCGAGTGGCCAGTAGATGAAAGGGAAGCCCAGACCTGCTGTGCTACCTGCTCGGGTGCCTCTAGCGCCCGAGGTGTAGCCGCTGCCGTATCCAGCTCCTGCAGGAGAATAGACATTGGACCGTGTACCTCCACCAGCAGTGCGACCAGTAAAAGCGCCGGACGTAACGGTGTAGGGAGTTCTAACTCCACCAGCGCTCGAAGAGCCACGAAGGGCTGATCCACTAGATACAGAACCAGCAGTGAATCCAGGAGTGGAAGATCTAACACCGGAGCTGCCCGAAGATCCACTCGAGCCAGATGTTCCTCCTCGCGTACCACCGCCACTAGAGGATGATCCTGAGGAACCGGAAGAACCTGTGGAGCCTGAAGATTGCCCAGATGAGCCGGATGAAGAACCACCTCGACTACCACCTGAAGATGACCCACCTCCTCCACGACCTCCGCCACCACCACCGCCACCGCCTCGAGGGCTGCGCGGCTCAAGCAGGTCGGCTAGAGAACGAGCCTCTGCTTGGGTGTACGGAATTGAAATCTCAGCTCCTGCTAATGCTGGCATGATGGCTTCGGCGAAGATTGCGCGGAGACTGGGTTGTAAGGTGTAGAGCTAGTAGGCGTGCAGCAGAGCGGTGTTAGAGGGGGAAATGCGGGCCAAATGAGATTATTTGTGATCAGCAGTGGGGAATAGAGAGATGCAAGATGGTCTGGGTGTGTTGACCACTCACGTTGCAAAAAATGTCCGGCGTCTTTATAGCCTTTCGATGAGCTCATGTATAGACGCGTGGCACAGTACACTTGCTAGCCGGCGGGAACAGAATCGGCGAGCGAGGCGTGATGAGAAGGGAATGCCGGTGAATCACGGGTGATGAGGGATGAAAGAGCAGGAGCAGCAAAGCAACCAGCAGCCAGGATGCGCGTGTATGCACACCGCAGTCACGAGTGACTTGCACGCGGTGGTGTGGGGCCCAGCGCACAGCCCCGTTCATGCAACCTTACGCCAAAATCTTGTAAAGCGCACCATTTGCGTCACTCGCATGAAAGCACGCACGCAGCAGCTGTCCGGCGCGGGTGCACTGCGCTCGAAGGATCGGTCCGTCGCAGCGAGCAGCGCTCGCGACGCATATCACACACAAAGCGGCTTCTTGGCGTGCGTCGCCGATCATGGCTTGCTTACGCGCTCGCGCGATCGATTCATTCACGATTATTGCTCGGGGGTCCCCGATATATGAACTCGCAGTCTTGAGTCAGAAGAGTCATTCGCATTCGCATTCAGGTTGCCATCCAAGTTCTAGTTCTTGATTATACTCACGATTCATAATGGTGCATAGGGTGTTCAGGTGTACAGGGTATCGCAAAGCCATCTACATACGCGATGGGTGTGCACTGACTCTCACTCTGACTCTGACTTCACGAGTATTCAGTCTCCTCTATGCATGCAATTTGGAGTCACAGTTTGATTCGAGGCGGACGGTACATGCAGCGCTAAGTGACAGCGCCACAAATCAGTGCATGAGCACCCGCTTCCATGTGGCACCTCACTGCTAGCGTCGTGAGGCTGTGTCGAGGGGGAAAGGCATCTCTAGCTTGCTCTAGCTCCATGACGGAAAGGAACGGAGGTAGAGCTCGTCTACACCAACAATCGTGAATCAAGAGTGTGAATGCAACCTCTGACATTAGACGTTTCATATTGTGTTTGGAGATGCATGGGGACTTGATAAGCCAGCAATAAAGGCTCTTGCTATGCTGCACGACCTCACCGTGGCCTAGCTGTCAGGCCCATTTCGAGTGCGACCGGCGCGTGGTGTCCAGCAATTTGACCAATCGTCAAACAGCTGGCTTTCACATAGTAGCACCTGCCTTTGCCCCGCCTTGATCTCGCGAAGCCATGGTGATGGTGGTGGTGGTGGTGGTGGTGTGCAGGTTCTGAGAACACACTCGCATCGCGCGGCAAACGGCAGCGAACGCAGCCAGCCGCCTCCTAACATCTATGACGCTGCTTGCGCCGGCCCTGCGATCGGGAACGTCTACTCGAGACCACTTCTACCGCGCCCAGCTAAATTCGACACGTCATCGGGCCCAGAATAGTCCAAGTGCTCGTCGACAAGGGCTTATAAAGCGCTTTGCTTCGAGCTCGACTGCGTAGAGGTAGACGTCCCGCTTGTAGCATCTGTGGCACTGGTTCAACAGGTCCTGCTCTCAAACAGACTAATGTGATCATAGCTTCAACCGATGGACTCGACCATCATGTCAAAGAGCCCGTCGATGTGCTTTCAACAGTGTGGTATTCCGTCGTCATTGTTTGACCAAGCTTGCGCGAAATCTCAAGAACGCCCTCTTGTCGCCAGCCGCACGGTCTCAACATTCTCTCGCGCGAAGGCTCGCATCGAGAGTGATCGTGTTGCAAATATGCGATTGCGAGCCCAAAACATGCAACTTTTTTTTTGCGTGAACAATCTTGCCTTGCATGGCGAGGTATCCTTGTCGCACAATCGTGCAGAGCAGATGTGCGAACGATGTGAAGCTGATCATGTGGCCGTAGCTGGAGTAGCCGCAGCACGAACTTCCGCCTCGTCCCGCGCTTGGTCACGAGCAGCCATCTCAGCCTCACGGATCCGCTTTTCGGCGATGCGCTTCATGCGGAAGTCTGAATGGGGCGATTGAAGAAATGTTTGGTCAATGTTGGAACGGACAGGCAAAGAGCATTTTGCTTTGGCCGAAGCCCTCTCCATTGCCAACGCCGTCGATCGATGACTCACAATCTTGGTGCAGACCGCACTCGGTCTTTCCTCCCTTGTCCTTCCACCGTCCACCGCGCTCTCCATCTCCAGCGCCAGGTAACACGGTCGAGTGCCAATCGCCAATGCTCTTGTAGCCCATGTCCAAAAGCTCATTATAAGGAACGGCGTTTGTCTTTACGTAATCGTCTACTTGTTGAAAGGACCAGTTGAGCAGAGGGTTCACCTTGATCAGACCGGTCTCGTCGATCTCTACAGCGTTCAAACTGGCTCGATCCGCTCCTTGACTACGTCTTCTTCCCGTCAAGACCGCCTTGACGCCCAACTCGTCATACGCCCTTCGCGCAGGCTCCACCTTGACCAAGTAATCGTAAGTCGAATCATCCCGCTCCCAAAGTTGCGGACCCCACTTTTTCTCAAAGTCGGCTACCGTAGGCGTACCTTTGGGCTGGTACACGTGCATGGGTGCGTCGTAATGTCGTGCTGCTTTGTTGGCGAGATCCACGGTTTGGGGGAAATGGTAGAGCGTGTCCATGAAGATCAACGGGATCAGGTGTTTGAGCGGCTGCGGGGAAAAAGAGTAGCGGCAACAGAAGTCAGCACAAGTTGAAAGCCCTTTGGGCAAAGGCTCATTGGCGTCTGGAATTGTTCATTGCAGTGAGCTAGCAAAAGAGCCATCAAACATCTCCTTGTCTTCATTGATGGCGTGCGGCGCGCTCAATAGCAGTGAGATCTCGCACCTACCCAGGCACAGTCCACCCTGTGCGCGTCCACGTTCAAAACTGGGAAAAGCTACTCACGCTTCCAAGCGCATCAGCTCTCTGTTGGCTGATTCGGCTGACCAAGTCCAGAGTGACACAACCAGTGACACCGAAAGCCGTTGTTTGGTACAATCCGGGCAAATTGTCAATGGCCCATTCTAGGATCTGTGTAGGTGTAGCTTCTGCCAATTTGCTGTTGATTGCGGGCAGATTGGACACTACGGCTTGCACTTGAGCTTCGGCTACTGCCGAAGCGGACGAGGAGGATGAGGAGGCGGTCGCTTGGTCGGACATGATTGCCATGGGATTCAGTTGATGTGGTTGGTGACGACTACTACTGCAGAGGGGTATTGCGTGCTGTTGAAGGCTACTCGAGTGACGTACAATTCTGAATAGCGTGGTGGTAGAATGGGAAGTGCTTGACGTACTGAAAGAGACCGCAACATGCATACATGCACACAGCTTCGCGAACGCGACATCCTTTTTCATGGGCATGCAGCATATATATAGCGAGGGGCCAGCGTCCTTGCTGCTCGCTTGGCGGCGACTCGCGCACAACTTCAAATAGATCATTCACTGTACCACAGCTTGCCTCGTCCAGCACGCATTCATTCGGTCGTAACCGCATTCCACAATCTGCCTCAGACAGCGATCGAGGCAGCCTATACGGGGAGGCGGGCAAGGCTAACCGAAGGCATGCAGGGCTTGGTCATCTTATGGGGCCGGGAGGATTTTGACACGGCTCGATGGGACCCCCGCGTCGATCGCATCTCGCCGGGCCGTCAACTCAGCTTTGGCAGCAGGCAGGTAGGAAAGCCTGAGGAGGTGCCTGGCGTGGTTTCACAACGCTGCTGGTGTAAGCTCTCGGCTGTAGCTGTGCCGTTCCGTGACTAAAGGCCAAAAAAAAAGGAGAGGGACGAGATGCTGCATGGTGGCTGCCGAGAGGCAAGCCCGCCTATACTGGAAGGAGAGGTTTGAGATCGAGAAGAGGCGCGCCGCAACTGCATGCATGCAGCTGATGAGCTGCCTGGCTTGTGGCCTGGACCGCGAATTGGAAGAAAGGCGCGCGCGGACTTTACTGACCGCGCATATCTTCGCAGCATGCAGGAGGCGTTGAGAAATGTCAAATGACGTGCTTTCACGTGACACGGTCGGTTCTTGCTCCACATGAATCTTTAACAGGTGACTGTTCTACTTACGGCCGTTGGCGCGCGGTCGGAATCTTGAATCTCGAATTGATTTTTGATTCAATCAAGAATTGTGAAGTCAAGTCACGATCGAGTCGAACTCGCCTTGTTAGTGTCTTTCTCCCTCTCACATCTACAGCAACACGCCGACCAATGAGGAACAAGTCAAGACATCTCGCGTCTGTTCAAATCCTAATCTTGGCGAAATGTCGGGTTGCAACGCGTAGATACACACGGGGCGTGCATCAGCAGAAATCAATACAGGACGAGTCATCGCTGGAGCTTGTTTCTGAGGTCAATCGCCCATGCGAACATCAAGCAGCTCAGCAGGTGGGCGCCTTCTCGATCGCAACAAGGGAAGCGAGGATGTCTCGCCGAAAAGCGTGACCTGCCAGCGCATTGACGATCCAGTCAGCTCATTGCCCCCGGATCGCTTATCCACCAGTCTCGAGAGGGCAAAAGTGCTGGAACGGAGCGGCAAACGTCTTTTCCTCTTCTCCATATCATGCATGGTACTACTTCCTTTTGGTCTGCTAGGCGGTTGGGAAACCCTGTGGATCTACTTGCGACCGCGATTGCTCGCGTATAACAGTAAGCAATTTGCTACTGCACGCGGCGCAGACAGTCAAGAAGCAACACCAGCACCACACTGGCTCGATTTCCCTTTTTGCATCGCATATTTCGTTCCGCTCTTGGCTCCTCTAATCACTTACATCGTCATCGCGAGGTGGAGCGGATACAAAGCTTTCAGACACGCTTAATGCCTGCGCTGAGCGACCCGAAAAGCTCCGAAGAGGTTGCTAGTCAAACAAAAATAACACGACCAAAGCCCTCTTTCTGGGGCTTGTCGGGGTACAGACTGGCACCCAGATGCATCGTTCCTGTGGATGTTACAAGTTATACGCATTTCTAGGAAGTCACGATACTTGGACTACACGCGAGCCCATGTTTAGCATGCGCATAGACCTACGATCTCCAGCAGCGCGGAGCACAATGTGTGAAATTTAGCGCTCCTTTGACCCGCAACTCGATCTCGACACATCCCGCACTACTTCTGTTCGCACAGCGACGATCACATGGCATATCAAGGTATTGGTCAGTGAGACATTACAAAGGTATCGGACGTGATGCAAGGAGGCAAGAGCGCGAGCAGAGCAGAGGAAGAAGACGAGAAGGAGAACGAGAGAGAAGTAGTGCAGAGAAGGTCTGTTTACTGCGCAGCAGCAGTCTTCTCAACATCCTTTCTCCACTGCTCATTGTGGTCTTGAGGTCCAGCAAAGGTGCCATCGGGACTGCCGCCTCCGATCTTGGCGCGCTCGTCATGAGAAGTGGTGGGCAAGTCGAAACTGGCAGGGTTGAACTCGTCACGACCGTGAATGTAGACCAGGGGCAAGATGAAGAATGCGGCTCCTAGGATGTTGCCGAGGAAGGAAGGAATGATGGAATTCCAAATGTAGCGGCCAACTGTCGCTTTGGACTCTTTGGTCAAGAGACCTTCGATGACGAGGAACATGTTGGCGACGACGTGCTACGAGAAAGCAAGCCACAGGCATATAAGCCTTTAGAACTATCACGCTTCCAGAACCCACGTTGCACTGCAGACTCACCTCGTAACCTGCTCCAACGAAGAAAAGGATGGGCAAGTAGCTTGCGACGATCTTCGAGATGACGTCTTTGCCCAGACTAGCAAGGAAGACGGCAGCGACGACCGCATAATTGCAGCCGATACCCCTGAGGAAGACCTCTCTGAAATTGATGCTGACCACTTTCGCATTCGCAATGTTGGCTGCTCCCATCGACATGGCTGGAGTGTAGAGCGTGCCAAAGTGCACGATGAAAACTGCGTAAACCAGTGCGCCGATGAGGTTGCCGATGAAGCATAGAGACCAATCCACCAGGAAAGCCCAAATTGGGACCTTGCGCTTCACAGTTCCAGCAATGAAGATAGCCATGTTTCCTGTGAAGGGGTTGCGGCGCAGCGCATCAGAAATCGCTGATCTGTGGCAATATGGCAAATTGTTTGCGCTGCGTCAGTCCTACTCACCCGTGACGAGATCAGCTTGCAGCAAGACAATCATGACGAGACCGATTGGAAAGTAGCTGGCTTGGATGAGCTTGAGCAGACCGGGAGCGTTGGTGGTGAGCCAAGGATCTGCACTGAGGACTTGCACCAGCGTTCCTCCTAGAGAGAGCAGAACACCTGCCATGGCCGCCTTGACGAAGCGGACGCCCCACGGAGCAGTGTGCTTGCGAGGTGCGGCATCGATGAATGCCCACGTCGCTTGCTCCAGCGTAATCATCTGAGGTCCTGCCGACATCTTGCTGCTTACTATGTTGATCGAAAAGTGAGGAGAGCTTTGAGGTGCAGAAAGAGGAGGGTAGGGGATGCAGGGGTCGGTGTGGGAGCGGTTGCGGACGTGGGCTTTCGTGGAATCGCGATTCGACTGCAGCTATATACCTCTGGGTCTGTACTGTGCGCGCCAAATTCACCGATCCAGCTGAATCGATCCGTACAACGACAGCAAGGCACACAGTCCGGAATCACGATAAGATGTCGGCAGGAATACGGCGTCGTGGCTCGCTATAGCGCACTAGGCCCTGAGACGTCCAGTTGACGACCAGATGCAATCAAACCATCTTGTGACCAGGACCGAAATCACCTGAGGTCTGCGTGGGCCCAGCATGTGCTACCATGCTGCCTGAGGTGCGCATCCATCCTTATCGTGGAGAAAGAAACAAGAGGGTGCACGGTCCAACAGGAATTGTCATTCATCCAATCAGCCTCCCCCCCGCGCTCAGGAATGAAGCCCGTCCCCGCCATGGCGACTGTGCATTGAGAGTCAGAGTGGGCCAAGGGGAGGTGCCGATGCAGCCTGCGAGCGCTGCCGCGGCGACGCTTTTCAAAGTCAGATGTTGAGACACCGTTATCCTGAAGCGAGATCGGTTGTAGGCTTGCTTCTTGGCTCATCGGAAGTGCATCATCATGGCCAATCAGGGCAAAGAATGATGCTGAAGGCGAGGGACGAGCAAAGGATCAGGAAGAATACACAGGTGTGTGATTGGCGAGCATAGATAAGGGAAGCATGCAGGCGTGTGCGCTATCGTGCATGAGTCGCATGACCACTCTGACTGCGGGCTTGGCGCTAATGCAAGACGTGTGATGCAAAGCTAGCCGGTCATTCGTCTCGCGCACGACTTTTGCGCGTAAGCTGGATCTGTTGAGCTACGTTGCTCCCCCTTCCCCCGTGGGACAGATCCTTGACTCACGACTCAGACTGCAGCCTGACTCCGGCTCGCGGAGACCAAAGATGGGGATGCACAAAGAAACGGCTTCCCCAGCTCTCCAGGCCATCACGGCACAGCAGAGAGAAGAATTATGGAGAGAGGATGGATTGCCGAGCCGCCGGCAGCCGCAAAAGTTGCAGGGGACGTAGTACCGGTACCCAGTGTGCGAACGCAATCGTGTGTTTGCATCCACCGAAGCGTCGAGTCCAGCAGCAGTCAAAAGTGAATTTGCTCCTCCTCGTCATCGGATCTGCCGCCAATCACAGATCTCTGCCAATCTTACTGAATCGGGAACAGATTCGAACACTTTGGGGGAGCCCGTCGAACCCGGTATGGCAACCTTGGATGCTTGCAACAGCAGGCAAGCAAAACCGAGATGAGCTCAACGCAGATAGCTGCTCGAGCACGAGACCGTGAATGCACTTCGTGAAGAGCGCTCGCCACCGAGGCACGAGGACTCGGAGCGCGCGCTCTTCGCACGCAGTCGTGTGTGAGCACTCGGAGTGTGCAAGCTGGTGTTGCCTCGCGATAAATTGGTGGCTAGACGGAAGCGAGGCGAAGTATACACGCGCTGCCGCACCCGTCGTGCTTGCATTTGGAGTCGAATCACGCATCAGCCCAACGCTCAGCTTCAGCTGTGCCCGCCACGGCTGCGCGAGTCAGCAGAGCGGGATACACATGCAGCAGCAAGTGACCGGTACAGCGCCACAATAGCGGCCGAGTCCGGCCTGGGTCTGCGAAGCAAGCACGGCAATACGCTTCACTTGCCCTGAGCTGTTGCCACTTCAGAAAGTAGAAAGTGCAAACTTCCAGTCACGAGTGCTTCTTTTAATTTGTAGCGAAGGTGTTGACGGACGGTAGACGCAATGCTTGTAGGCCAGCCCTCCCGGGATCGGGCCTGCAAAAGACTATTCAGACGCTGGAAGCTACTCAACGGCCTGCTTGGGCCGACATTAGAAGACGAAGCTCACTGTGGTTTTGCAAGTGCATCACGAAGCTCATTGCGGCCTTGTGATCGCATGGCGAAGTCTTTAGGCGTCTCCAAGCGCAGCTCGCGCCGAGCATCCCCTCGCCGGAAAAAAAAAATCGGTGGGTGGATGATGGTCTCCGAGCCAATCCCCACCCTCTACTTATTGGCTATGGGCCGGCAATTTTGCCTGATGTGGGTTCCCGATTCTCGCTAGAAAGGGCGCGTCATCAAACGAGGTCTGCGGCGCCATCGACGCCGTCCCGAGGAGTGACGCCCAGCTCCATCAGCGGTCAATGTGCTCACGAGCAATCTTTGCGCAGCCGGCGGGTCGGGAAGACGCCAGCGGCTTGGCTGGACGCCTTTGCCAAGGGACCAAACGCAAGCGCTCTGACGACCTGGCCTTCACTTTGCAGACTTTATAGACGAAGGCTGGCAGAGTGTGCACAAGATGAGGCGATCCCGCGCTCCTCATAGTACCTCGCCGGAACTCTTTGAAGTTTGCGCGCGGGTTTGCCAACGTAGATCGGACGCGGCAACGAGTACGAAGCACGTACGTTCAGGACAGCGGGGACAATGCCTGCTGACAAGAGGAGGCCGGCATCGGCCGGGCTCTTTGCGACAACATTCGTGATTGTTGGCGAAAGAGCGCGGCGCAACTCAAATTGCGAGCCGCATCATGAAGAGCGTCCCCATCGGACCCGTACCCCGGGGCGACGCCCACTCAAAAATGAAGATGGTGTCGTCGGATTTGGAGGTGCGACTGGGTCACAGAGCTGCCCGCGGCCGCGACCCGAATGGCACTCAAGGCGGTGATATGGCAACCAACATGGCGACGCAAGCGCCTCATTGAGCGCGTGTTGCCTTCTTTGCGATGGTGGCAACGCCACACAAGCTGAGCACCTTTTGAGACCTATATAAAGTGCTTGGCAGATTCTCCCCCCAAAGCCGAACAGATGACCCCCATCGAGACGACCCACACATGCCGCACGACTGCTGCCGTGCATCGTTCGACTTTCGACTTATTCTAGCAGGCTCGTTGAACTTCACAAGCATTACAACCCGCTTTGCAAATACAGGCACGGGGCAAGGTCAAGGTAAGCCGGTCTACCCTTGTTCCTTGCGCCTCATCCTCCACCGTCCGCACATCTGGCTGCGCTCGAGGCACGTCGACCCAAGGGCATAGTCACAGACTCACAGCCGTGATTTTCGCACTTTTGCTGCTGATCTCGGCGCCGATCCTTGCCCGTCCTGTCGAGCTCACCAAAATTCTGATCCTGTGCGCCAATCGATCGCCGGAACGGTGTGGCGTACCTGATACGACTGCGCTTCGACCACCCATCAGCGCCCACGCTGCTATATAGACCAAGTCAGATTGGCTCAGCATCTGCCCAGCTTGGTCTCACATCCTGAGACCGAAGTGTGAATCGATATCTCGCGCCATATAATCGAGCGCGTGATCTACCTCGGCACGTCTGTGTCACATTTCGCAACTCTCGAGACCTTCGCAGACATATAAGAGCCAGGGCCAGCAAGCTTACTCAACTTAAATCCTTGTGCTCATCCTCAAAGCTCGCGACTGTTCAAGAATATCGTCAAGCGACGTTCAAACAGCTGATCGATTAGCGAATTACACTTTCCAGATGCGCAAGTCTGCAATTCAGCGCTCGGCCGCTATCCTTGTCCTGCTTCTCAGTGTCGGGTGAGCAAAGCGCCTCGATCGGTGCACGCGGCTTCCCATGCTGATATCCTCGCATACTCTTCTCAGTCTGGCGGTGTCTGGCGCCCCCGTCAAGGAAGCGCGTGCGCCTAATACAGCAAGTCGAGAAGTGCTGGACGCCAGGGCGCAAGTCTATGCGCACAAGCTTCACGGCAACACCTTTTTGAGGACGCTCAAGAACAGACCGCAGCCTCGTCAGACCAGCGCTGCGGACTTGCCTGGCAGCTACGAGAGGCGCGAGTCTGATCTTGCGGACCAACAGCTCCTGCCGCGTCAGCCCGACCAGGAATACTCGACTGCAGACGGCGTTCGGGTGCCTCGCGACCTTGGAAGCACTCCCGAAAAGCTTGGCAAGCACCCGCTCAAGTGGCACTTGAGATCCGTCGAGGATGGCACGTCGATACGAAAGATCATTGTGGAAAGAGCCACGAGTCAAAGGGAGGAAATTCAAGCGCGCGCACAGCGCATCCTACCAAAGACGCCCAGCGATCGATTTGCGAACATACGAAAACGCCCTCGTGCTGTTGTAGAGGCAGCTGATTTCTCGACGGCCGAGATGCTCGACGGCCGTGGAGTGGCAACAAGCGCCGGCTTGTTGAATGCTCAACAATTTCGTCGTCGTTATAATTTACCTCCGACCTCGTCGCCCTCCAAACCAGGCTCTACCGGCTCTGGCTCTATCTCTAAGCACCCGCCGCCGCCGCATCGCAGAGACGTGCAAGAAGAGATTGAGCACGTAGATCGTCGTCAGCCTTTGGGTCCCGGTGGCCCTCCCCCTTACGCGTGGCCTGGGCCTGGCTCGGACACTCCGCCGCCTCGTCGAGGGAACACGCAAGAGGAGACGGCGTCTATTGATCGTCGTGAAGATCGCTCGCAATCTACACCGCCTTACGCTTTCGATTCAAATTCAGGCGCTTCCAGCCCCGGTCCAGGCGCCTCCACTCCTGGCTACGGTCCCCAAGGCTCAGAGCGCTCGCCAAACAATCGTAGAGGCACGCAAGAGGATTCGGTTCACGAATCCGAACAGCTTGCTCGCGAAGAAGCTGGGACTGTGAGCTTGCCTGAGCCTCGTACAGAGGAGAAGACGCCACATCCGCTTCCTCATCACCGCAGAGAGGTCCGGGAGGATGAACGGATCGCTCGATCTCGTAATCAAAGTGAAGCATCTGAGGCGCACGGGAACGACGATCCGGAAAACACTCCCGAAAGAAGAGCACAAGAGGATGTGCTGGTCACTCGGGACGACGGGGAGGAGTGGGGAAACGGAGGCCCTGCAGAAATCGGGACTCCTCCTCGTAAGAGGGCCAAGAAGGATACGCTTGTCGTTCGCGAGGACGATGGTGGCGCTTCCAGCCGTGCAGACGACGGCGGCAGTTCCAGCTCTGGCGGTGCTAGTGGCGGTTCCAGCTCTGACCCAGGTCCTTCCAAATCAGGAGAGCTCAGAAGCGTCCAAGACGAGCACTTTGCTCGCGATCAAGTACAGCAGGACGCCAAGCGCACAAAAGTGCTGCGCAAGCGAGGAGCTGCCGTCACCACGACCGCTCATGCTGATGGCGTCTTCTATTTGCACGTGTTGCCCTAGCTCCACGAGCCTTTGCGAACATAGCCAGACATGTACCCAAACCATCAGCCCAGAAGGTTTCCCAATTCGAGAACAAAGTCGAGCGTTGCGAATACCGATCTACTCGTATCTACATCTTGTTGTTTCACACGAATACACACGCAGAATTTTCGATACTTGCATCACAGTCAGCAGTGTGTGAGTCACGAGTCACTCGAGACGCATTGTGGAAGAAGGCCGACTTGATCGCGCTCACTGTGTGCGATGCGCTTGCTTGACGATCTCGTCCAACCAAGAGAATGTCTGACGACTTTGCTCCGCTATCGCACCGTTGTTCAAAGGCTTGCTTTGCGAAACCTCTTCGAGGGCTGTGCGATCGGAGAGTAGCGTGTATTTCTGGGCTACAGTCTGTCTGAGCGCGAAAGTGGGCTTGTCTTCGACAGCGTAAACAATACCGGACGATTCGTCATGCCGATGCTCCTGTCCCGTCGGTTTGTGTACGACGATGTCCTGGATTTGAACCTCTGGTACAATCGCACCCCCTGCCTCTTTCTGATTGGCGATTTGCAAATCGACCTCTGACCTGTCTTGTAAGCGCTCCGAGGTAACGCCATCGACGACTTCTCCCGTGTCCGGATGGACCCATCTGACCCCGAAAGGATTGTCTGGCGTGATGGGAGCTTTGTACATCTCTGAGCGTAGGCGATTTGTAGGGGGTGCCATTTGGACTTGCGGCATGCCGGAGGCGCTCCGAGGCACTTGCTTGAGAGAGCTCGTCTTACAAAGGTGATGCGAGCTCGGAGGATCACGCTGTGCAGGCCCCTTTTGTATGTCCTTGGGCTCAGCCCTCGCTGCTGCGCTGGAGGTGGGATTACCGGGCTGCTCCGGCCCCCCTTGCAGGCCTCTTGCTTTCATGGCATTTGCAATCTTGGACCGTTTGAGAGCTTGACATACCAAGCGGCTAGAGGGCACCTTTTCGCTGGTTCGAGAAGTCTTCGTATGCGACCAGTCGGATATGCCCAGCAAGAAAGCTCGCTGATCAGATAACGTTCCTGAATCCTGTGAGCCTGTGGTGAGATCTTGATGAGCCTGGCTTGCATCCTTACAGACCGCAGAGGCCGGACTGTCTAGAGCATCTTGACGCAAGTCACCGTCTCTGCTAGGTGCGTGCCCTGCGTGGTTTGACTCGTGGATGCCCTGTTGCAGGGCCTCAGCCGGAGTCTCGAGACGGCGTTCCTCGTCTGCGTCTGCTGAAGGAACAGATCTAGACTTTGGTACTGGAGGCACGAAATTGCGTCGAGATCGCAGAGCAACATGCCTACGTTTCGTAAAAGCAAACAGTCAGATGCCAGCAATGAAGGAAGAAGCAATCATCACGAGAAGGTGGATGATTGTCCAGCTATAGGCTAAGCTTCCATCGCTCACTTTGTACCGCCCGTCCAGTTGACCGCCATGATGCAGTTGTAGCGCCGCTCAGAACGCGAGCTTGGCTGAGATGGACGCTGACACGCGCTTGATCGAGAGCTGTCGAGGCATCGACCTTGAAATCCCAGCTTGCAATCATGAAAGTTTGGAGCTCCTCCGCTTAGATGTGCGGTTCCAAGCAGATCTTTGTTGGTCCTTCACTCAGCAGGAAGCGAGCAAAGGCGAGAGTAAGCGTCGTGAGCGACAGCATTCATCCCCACACAACATGCTTGGCGCGTGCATCTGGACAGAGCGCAGGTTGGCGATGGCAAGCACTCTTCTGTATTGAAGGTCCATTCACATTGTGATTGCTTGACAGAGCGCACTTCAATTTGAGTCAGAGCGTGTAGTGCGCCTATATAGATCTATCCTCCATCAAGCTGCGTATTCGAGGCCATGTTCGTGACTGTCGGACTCGTGGCTGACTTCAGTCACGCGAGTGTGAGGCGCGCGGTGTGTAGAGGCACGTACGCATGGGTGCGCCTAGAGTTGCGTGAGTGCTTTGCTTGTACCGTGGCGGCATAGCCACACGCCATGCACGCACGTCCCTCTCGTTGTCCGCGTTGCGCATATATACATACACGCGCGAAATGCGCTGCAGCAGCTTGATGGAGGCGGGGTCAGGGTGATGTTCGCACGTGAGCGACCCTGGCAACACACCTACCTGCCCCTTCTTCATCTCGACAACCATACACCCCTACACCACATCACCATATATCGCATGCCACTATCTGCGGGCAGCTGTATCATTCGGTCTCTGATTTATTTTTTTCGGTGTTGTGCCGTGAGGCGGCAGCTGTTGCTTCGCAAGCTACACGGGCGCATGGCGGTGTGACAAAAGTCAGGAGTAAGGTCCCTCCCAAAACACACGCAGTGGGCAACATTCGACAGGTCAGGTCTGCTATATGCTAAAGCTGTAGCTAAAGAGCTCGTGCATTCTGCCTTCTCAGATCGGCCACGGTCCTTCAGCTACCGAACCGATTCCCGTATTCATCCGAGCACGCCCTTGTCATCATGTCGCGCAAAAAGTCGACTCGAGGTCCGGATTTGCGTTCGCGCATACAGCACTCCAACACTGCGCTGGGAGGAGGTACGGAGACTGGAGCTATGCCCAACATGCCTCGTTTAGCTGCTGGAACGATGGGAGCGCAAATGATGCCTGCTGGGAGCGGAGGACTAGGATTGCCTGGCGCCAACGGTGGCAGAATGGCATACAATGCTCAAGGCACGCAACCCACGTCGGCGTCTTCGCAGGGTTTACCTCAAAGTGGGAGCAGTCAGGGCTATCTGAAGACCATGACCGCTTCAAGCAGTGCATCTGGCCAGAACCTTGGAGCAGGCCCCAGCTTTGTCAGTCTCACTCCGAGCGACTCCATCTCGAACTATGAAGGTCGGGCTGGACATGGTGCAGCTGCAATGCTAGCGTCATCATCTTACGGACCTTTGGCAGACGTGTATGAGCCCAGCGGAGGGTCCACAGCGAGTTTTGCGCAAGGACAGTACGGACATTCAAATCAGTACCATGCTCATGCAGCTCCGGGAGGAGGAGTGGAGACGAGCTTGATCCCACCTGTAGCTCATCAGGAACCTTCTAGCCATCCCGCTCGACCTGCGCGGAGCGTCAGGAGACCTCAAGGGCAGCAGCAAAATGGAGCAACAGCTGCGCCTTCAGCACGCCCAGGCGTTGAGCCCGCTGCGAGCAGCACCGGCCCCGGTCGAAACCTCTTGGATCGAACGCGCACTTCCGCTGCACGACCCCAGGCTGGCGGGGCATCTGATCGACACGCGACCAGCGCACGATTGATGGCTCAAGTCAATGGGCAGAATGGGAGAGAGACGCCGAGCTCAGTCGGAGATGAGGACGAGGAAGATCCGTACGGAGGTATGGATGATGGTCATGCGCGAGGCCCAAGCAGCCCCCCACTTAGTGCAGACGTCTCGCCGACAGTGGGACAGCTCAGCGGACGGAGCGAGCCTGCCGCTCTGGGTAGCGTCCTGTCTGCTCTCAGCGCAGCCGGACGCAAACAAGGTGCACAGCGTATCCTCAGAGGCACCACAGCCGAAGAAGAGTCTAAGCGCAGAAGAGCCGAAAGGAAAGTAGAAGAGGCCAGGTCGAGGGAGAGCAAACCCATCGAACACTACATCGACAGGCGGGACGAGAGGGCTTTGAGAGGCATCAATGGTGTGCTGAGAAAAGTCAAGGCAGAGTGGGGCTTCGTGGCCGAGGATGACTTCAGTCCCGTCGCACTTGCGCTCAGCTTGCTGGATGATAGCTCGCTTGGCGCGAGCAGGCACGATTTTGAGATGATTAAGGACGGCATTGAGCAGAGCCTGCAGGGCACAGTGGATGGTGAGAATCTCGCCGTCTGCGCTTTTGAGACGCGTCCTGCTGATCCCAGAGCTTTTGACGTGATGCTAATCCTTGTCGCCAGATCATCACGAATCGTTCGCAAATGCTATCACCCTCCACAATAGCGTTCTGCAATCGCTCAGTGCAGCGCAAAATAGCGTGTCCGGAGCGCGCAGGCGGTTACGAGACTCGCGAGAAGCACTTGGACAGAAGAGGGCGGACCTGGTACAGCTTTGGCAGCGATCGCAAGGAGTGAAGGAGTCGCTCCGGCTCTTGGATCATGTAGAGCAACTCAAAGGCGTCCCAGATCGCCTCGAATCTTTGATGTCGGAGAAGCGCTTCTTGCAAGCTGTCAATCTCTTGGCCCGCAGCGTCAAGCTCATTGACAAACCTGACATACAAGAAGTTGGTGCTACTCAAGATCTCAGAACATACCTCAAAGCTCAAGAGCAGGGAATGTTTGAAATTTTGATAGAGGAGCTGCACAATCACCTGTACCTGAAGAGCTTCTTCTGCGATGCTCGATGGAAGAGTTATACGTCTGGTCAAGAGCAATTGCCAGACGTCGACTTTGGTCGCGAGTACGACGGTGACACGGAAGTGGAGCCTTCTGAGCGCGCTTCAGCTGCTTCGCCTGTCGCGGGAAGACGAATGAATCACGGTGCGAACAGGAGCATCAGTGGGCTAGACTCCGTGACGGATAATGAAGGCAAACGCGCCACAAAGCTCACTCGATACCTCAATAATCTCTCCTCGAGACCTTCCTTCGATCCGAATCTCGCCACCGAGCTGCCTGGTCTTGGTCTGCCTCCTTCCATGTCCAGCCATGGTCTAAGCAGAGACGGCGCGACCATCAATGGGCAGCCATCCACTGTTGGAGCGCAAATGTCCGCCTCCAAAAGCAGCGACTCCTTCGCAGCGGCTGGAATGACGAGCAGTGCCAATGGGCAGAACAACGAGACGCTCCAAGCGGCGGCCATTTTCGACCAGAATCCCGAAGCGGACTCTTTCCTCTACATTGAGATGCTGCTCGAGAGTCTGTCTAGGCTGGGCAAGCTGGGCTTGGCACTGGATATTGTTCAGCAGCGACTGCCCATTGAATTGCATCAGTTGGTCGACGCTACCATCGACGAGGTGGACCAGCGCAATGAGCCTCTACGCATCTCTTCCGCTTCAGCAGCAACGACTTTCCAAGCCGCAACGATGCAGCCCGAGTCTATCCTTCTGGCTTCGTCTGCAGCCTTGGCTCGCTCATTTGCCGAATCGACGCGCACGTCGTTCAGATCGAGCTTTGGCTCAGGTCTGGCCAATCAGGTTGGCGCTGTGGGGCCCGATGGTAGACCTTATAGCACCGTGCTGCGCTTGAGCGAAACCGAGACGTCGACCGTCGTGCGAGATAGCGAAACGATGAGGGACCTGTTCTGGACGCTGTTCTCAAAGCTGGATGCGGTGCTTCAAGGTCATAGAGTGGTGCATGAGGTCTCGAGCCGGATCGCCACACGCTCCGCGCTGAGCAATTCAGGGCATTCTGCAGATGTAAATCAGTCTTCCGTTGCCGCTAGTATCAGGAACAGAAAGACAACCACGACGACCAATCTGGTCGCAATCTGGAGACCTATTCAGAACGAGGTCAGAACGCTGCTGCATGATCATCTCACGGACGACTCTCAATCAGCCACCGCCCGCAGAAATGCGGTCGTCTCCGTCAATGAGGTCCTTCGCTCTGGCCAGTCTGGCAGAGACAAGGCGAAGAAGCTGTATAGGCTTGCGGAGTCCAACACGAGACCGGTGGGGATTGGCGGCGGCGGCGCCAGCGGCGGAAGCGCGCTGGTGACGGCAAGAAGAGATATGGGCCCGCTGAGAAAGCACGAGGAGGCTCTCACCGCTGCTTTGAGAGGCTCCGTCCCGGGTCTCGTATCAGCATTGGACCCGCTCACATCCACTGGATCCAGCATCTCGGCCGCGCAGCGCGAGCATCAAACAGCTCAGGTCATCGTGTCGGCCTCTAGATTGGCCTCGGCTTCCGCCACGATGGGCTCAGCGAGCTCAAGCGGCGGAGAAGCTGGATCTTCTGCCGGCTATCGCCTCTTGGTCAAGCCGGACGCCTTCAACGTCTCTGTGCTGTTCCAACCCGCTCTGGCCTTCGTCGAGAGGGCCCAGCGCGTCATTCCTGGCGGAAGCGCTGCTTCCGAACCTTCAGGTAAAGGGTTCAGCGCATTTTTGGACGAATTTGTGCAGGACGTGTTTCTGCCTCAATTGGACGAAAAGGTGCAAAGCCTGTTCGCTTCCGCTGTAGGAGGCTCGGATGCATTCCAAGAGTCCCCAACTTCCAAAGCGTTCTCGATCAGGCCCGTGGTCAAGTCGGCTGCTAATGTCATCGTGCTCATCGACAGCCTCTACTCTATGCTTCGGACAACACCATTTCATAGAGAAAGCTATTCGCATCTCATCATTCAGACCACGGTCCAATACTATCAGCGCTGCTGGGATCGATTTAAGGACCTCACCCTTGTTGACACGATGGACGGCGATGGACTCAGTGGGCTGCGCTCACCTCCGATTCCCAACAGAGGAGGCTCAGCCCAAGCCAGCGGGCATGCTATCAGCGCATTGCGTTTCATGCTTTCCGCGGACTGGGCGCAGCGGCAAGACCTCAGCGAGTGCCTCTCGGAGATTCTGTCTTCCAGCTGCACGGCAGATCGCAAGCGCTTGCTGCACGCTCAAGAAAACAAGTTTGAATTGGCACTGGCTGCTAGGAATAGTGCGCACCCCGGCTCAAGTGGATCGGCTACGCTGCCTCGCCCGCAGAACGGCTCAGTGCGCATGTCGGATCTGATCACAAGTCGCAAGAGGCTGATGGCGCTTGGCAACTTGCAGCATAGTCTGGTGGGTGCTTGTACGCTTCTGTTGCCCATTGCTGTCATCGTGCTCGCAGCATATGAGACAGGGCGCTCATGAGCTGACTATGGAACCTCCTCACGACCAGCGATGGTTCTTGGCCCACATTTCTCGACTGCGAGCAACGGATCAGATTGTCACTGTTGCTCCAGCTCCGGCTGCTGTGAGTTGAACGACTTGCGTCCGCTTGGCACGCAGTGCTGACGCGTGGTCGACAATTTCCTAGCGCCTATCGGTGATGCAGGGCTTGGCACCCAACCCGTCAGAAGTAGCAGAAGAGCGAGACTTGTCTTTGCCCTTGCCTCTAGGTCCGGAGATGGCGACGTGAGTGACGCTCGCAAATGAAGAGCGCATCGCATGCTGATCTGACCGCGCTTCACCCCCCTGCTTTGTTCGCTGCCGCCTGCCAGTCGATTTGCCGCCTTGCCGAAGACGTACGCGTCGCTTGCGAATACGATCCTGATGACTCTGCGTCTCGAACTACGTGCAAGAGTCATCCATCACCTGGATTTGGCCATTGTGGAAGGCAATTACCTGGTCGAAGAGGCTGTACTCGAGCCAGATCCGCATGTTGTGGACCTCAATGCTGAGCTCGCTTCACTCGATGACACGTTCGCGGATAGCGTGTCGCCGGAACAGCATCGGTAAGCATCGCTGTAGACGTGTTTGCCGCGATAGAAAATCTGCTGATCGCGCCACGGATTGCCTTGCATGCGGGCACAAAAGGTTCTTGTTCTCTGGCTTGGCATCATTGATGGACACTATGCTGTGCGCTTCGGTCCGCAAGATCAGAGCAGTGAATCAGCAAGGCGTGACCAAAATGATACGCAACATCTTGGCGCTACAGCAAAATCTGCGCAATATTGTCATTGCGGACACGTCCAAGTTGACATCGGTCGGCAAACAGTCGCGACAGGGCCTTGATGCCGGCAGGGCGGCCATCACCGAAGACTTTGAGCGGTGGAACAACTTCGACAGGTCTCGAGGACTGTGGGAGCTGTTGAGCAAGGAGCCAAATGTGGGTCATCGTTCGAAAATGCAACGAAAAGGCGCATTGCTGATATCGACTTGATGTTGCACGCGCGCGTCTCATTTGTAGATCATGCTGGCGGCGATACGCACGACATCCAGCAGCAAAAAGGCGACTTTCGATGAGTACAAGAGCGCCATTACGCTCATGCTGGGTCTGGACAATGTGAGCGCGAGCGGCAGCGCTTCGACAACGACGACGACGACCGCTGTCGCTGCACCTGCACCGACCAGCGCCGGTGCAGCTGGCGCACAAGAACCCTCCACGCCGACAAGCGCTTTCGCACCACCTACCACGCCAGGCGGCAAGATGCTGCCTAGAGCTGGACTCAAACCTGGCACCACCGACCTGGCACGCGATGTCAGTAGGCAAAAGTTCAACGAATTGCTCATTGAACTGCACGAAATTGTGAGTATTGCGTGCATGCGGTGCACTTTGAGATGGCGGAAGGGGGTGCCGATGCTGATCTGCTTGGCGCAAATTTTTGTTCGTTGCAGGCCGGTGATGCAGGCGATGACGGCATATAGAGCATGATTGTTGAGAGGTCTTTGGAGGTCTTTTGCGCGTGACTCTGCAAGTCCGTGCAACACGTGCGAGGACGTCATTGCACCTCGAGGTAATCTCTTGCACCTTTTGCTTCTCCTTCAGACACTACCACAAGCTCAGCAATACTCTTGCATTTAGCACCATTCCATTCCTCTCGTATACATGCATTGTTGGCTCAACTCTTCCAAGCTTCGTCCCAACTGTCACCATTGCCAGCCTGGAGATTTCCACTGGTTTCGCAAGGGTGCATTGGTGGGCGACACGCCGCCCGTTCCAATGCTGTAGGCCTGCCTTCTGACTTCCTTGAGCTTCTTTTCATCCTTTTCAGATTGAAGCAGGCCTTCCCTGAGGATGATGTGAAGCCTGCAGTACTTGTGTTTCCTGACGCCCGCTCTACCTCTGCCCTTGATCTCCAACCTCTTGAGCGTCCTGTGCTTGTTCACCCAAGCCTCTGCCACGACCAACTTTTTGCCATCCAGACCTTTGGCGATGGCGTGATCCTTTGCCAACGCGAGGGTGGACTTGATGCGCTTCGCAGCTCGCTTTTTGCTGAACTGCATTTGCAAAATGGCAAAATCCAAAGGTTTTCCGCTGCCGATCTGATCCGCCAACATTTTCAGCTTGCGATTTGAAATTTTGAATGCAGCGGTAGAGTACTTGTGCTGCGTCTCCTTGCGCTGAACGATGCCTTGCGAATCGATGTAGTTGATGGGCTTGTAATACCTCTTGCGCGCTTTGCGAGCTTGCGATTTCAAAAGCTTCATAGAGACGGATGGCACCACTCCTTCGGGCTTTTGCATGTCCTCCAGCTCATCCTCACTGTACGGTCTATCGATGCCCAGTTGTCTAAACACTGCATTCGTGCGCTTGGCCCATGTGCGCTTCGTGTCGGACCATGTTCCTGCTTGTAGCGCAGAGCTTTGGTGCAGACTGAACAGGAGAGAAGAGAGGAAGAGAAGAGCGTGCGTTCAGATCAGATAGGAGCGATCACCGGCTTTGCGCCTGTGCGAGTAAGAGCATTTGGACAAGTTGAAGCAAGCGCACAGACTCACCATCTGACACTTGCGCTTGGCCTTTGCATCATCACCGACGTCCTCATTCTGCTGCTAGAGACAGTCCGTGTCGCAGATGACATCCTCGTGCCGTGCAAGAGCTGTGTATTCATCCTGCTGACCGACGGACCTGCAATACCACCAAGTCCAGCTGCTGCTCCCGCTCCAGATCCCGCTGTGCTAATCAAAGCACCGACCGATCGACCAGCCATTCTCGTCGTTGGGTTGTGAAGAATGTCCGCAAAAGCTTAGGTGGAAGCGAGAGGATGCGGTCGTGTGTCTGGGCAAGAGAGTCTGCCAAGTAAGATCCAGTTTGAAGGGAGAGAGTGCCCAGGGGAAGAGAAGACAGCAGTGGAGAAGTGCCTGGTCAAGAGACAAGAGTCGCGAGTGACGAGTGGGATGGTGATGTGAAGGCGTGCGTGTGTGTACGTCTGTGTGTAAGCTCCGTCAGCAAACGCGCAGGACGGAGCGACTCGTGACTTTCTTCCCACGCGTACATATAGAGGACGGCTGAGGACATCCACGTGGCTGTTGGCGTCCCCGGCGCGCCGCCATCGCGCGCCAAAGTTACAAGTCTTGAGTGGAGTCACGGTCATCATGCAGCCAAAGTCGCAACAGTCGTGAGTGGTCAGTGAGTCTGATGAGTTGTGAGTCTTGAGTCAGGCGCCGTAGATCAGGGCTCACGACTTTTGGCTCGGTGTACCATGCTTGATGCTTCCCCATCACATTGCATCCCACCACTCGCTTCGGCTCCAGATTGCCTAGGCTTGGTTCCTACTCAAGTGACTGTTACCGCGGCGGACGTCGCCTGCAAGCATCGGGCAGGATGTCGACATGTCCTCGATGTGCACTTCGAGTCCTTGTCCCTCTGCGCAGGCGTGAGCTGTGCACATGGAGAAGAGCGGGAGCAGACGACACTGTTCGTCTCACACGGCTTTTTGTCAGGCGATCATCAACGAGCGCACAGTCTCCCATACACGGTCCTCGCTGCCGCCCCCGCTCTCTTCAAGGAGCATCCCTCACTTCAACATCGCAAGCTGCTACCTCGACACCCTCCACACCGTCCGTCGCGGGACTTGCAGCTGTCCAATCATTCTCTGACCTGTCAAATGCGCGGCACGATTCTCGGCAGAATAAGGTGGATGCCGTTTGCAAGTCGCGGGATGCGGGTCTTGACGGGCATGGCTTGAGAGAGGATGAAAGCTGGAAAGGCAGTTCGGACAGAAAACGGTCGGTCAAGGCCAAGGACGTGGCGAGGCAAGAAAAACATCAGCAGAGCATTGTGCCAATTTTGTATCTATCCAGCAACGCTTCGTCGCAGCAGCAGCATCCATTCGATTTGCATTCCGATATCACGGTCAAAGGACTTCGATACATGTGTCAAGAGCGCGCTTCTTCCGACCCCCTCTCCTCTTTTCAAATATTCGACAGATTGCTCAGATTTGTTGGTGATCATTGGAGGGAGAACTTGGTCAGGCCTGCAAAGATACAGGAAGCTTTCAGGTTGATGGGTGGGTTTGCGAGGGAAGAGGAGCAAGTGATGAGCATGTATGAGTTGATGAGGCAGGTGGCTAGAGCTATGAGTCAGCCGTTGCTGGTCGGAGATGGTGCGGATGATATGGGTGAGTCGACAGGGCGCGATGCTGTGCTGCGCTGCGCTCGCCGGGCCGATGGGACGAGAGGATGCCTGACTTTTTTGGGCTCAAATCTCGATTGATGAACGACTGACCGGAACATCCCGCCTGCCTGACTGCCCCCGACAGTGGAGAGCCTGTGCACCCTCGGCTTTCCAGAGTTGGCGTTGGATGCTCAGCTCAAAGAGGGCGACGGAAGCTGCGCGATAGGCTGGAACATGTCCAGATTGTACTTTGCAGTGTCCACAATGTTTGTCAAAGCTTCTACTGGCAAGCACGGAGATCAGGATCTGCTCAACAGTGCAGGATTGCCAGGCATGCCAGAAGCTCAAGATGCCGACGATTTCTTGGAGAGGATTATCCAAACCAAAGGAGGAGATCCGAGGACCGTGCGGTCAATCTTTAGTCGAGAGGTGACTTCACATTCTTCCGGCGTAACGGACGCGATGCAGGGAGGATGGATGAGCGCTGCGCCTATCCGAAAGACGGGAGAGAGCATGCAAGACTTCGAAAAGAGAACGGCCAGACTTGGAATGTTTAGAAGATTGGTGCCGTTGGTGTACGTCAGTCCTTCGGTCAGGTTGGAACATCGAACATCCGCGTTCGAGCCGTACGATCCCTACATTCTTCTGATCAGCTGCGCCACACTCATACAAGCCGATCCAGCGCGCAAGAGACTCATCCACAGGATGCTCAGGGCTCTCAATGACTCGATCATTGCGTACGGCAATTATTCGAAAGCGCAAGAAAGAAATGTGAGGGATAGTTGGAAGGCTATGAGCAGATCTCGACAGAACATCTTGACTTTTGAAAAGGCTTGGGGTCTTGTCAAACGTTGGATGGATGAGAACGATACGAGCACGGATAGGGAAGCGTGGAGGAAGGGCGACTGGTTCGTGTCGAGGGACTTCTTTCTGTCCAGATTCCAAGATTATCCGCTTACTAAGAAGAGCGAGGCTGTGGTCAATAGACTGTGGAAATCGACGTGAGCTTCGACGACGACGATCTTCCGGGATGAGATGCTGTATTTAGAGGCGCATATGTAGCATAGTCACCATCATCACACCTGTATGCATCAGACATTGTAATACATCCAAAGTTGTAATCGCGTACTACATGTCGAGCTAAGCGCACCAGCTGCTCTCGGAACGGCACTGTTTTCGCTCGGGATGCACCCGGCCGGCTGCCGTGGTAGAATCACGAATGCGGATCTGATCATACTCGTCATGCGTCCGTATTGGAAGTGGAGTCCTTTTTGCCTCCTCGATCTGAATGTCCGAGCGAATGGTTTGGCGCTATCAAGTCTCTGATCCTTTGTTTCTGTGCCGCGAGGGAGGTCGATCGGAGCGGGGCAAGAGGAGGAGAAGAGAGAGAAAGTCGAAAATCAGTGCGTCTATCGCGTTTGCCTGGCCCAAGATCAGCTTGCTTGAGACCCAGAAGAGCGAAAGGCGATCTTGGAGCGCGGCGCCAGGCGCTACGCTACATGCTATTCGTTGTCCTCCCTAAGCACCCCCCCCCCCTCCCCCCCCTTCTTCTGACCTGCCCACTCTGGCACACTCAGCGCAAAGGCATACAATCAGCATACATGAACCTCCATCGCTCACCAACACTTTGACCTCCGGAAAGCCTCCCTCGGACTTTCGATCGCTGATACATATCGTCTGGTTGTGCGAGGTGATGATCCATACCCTGAACCTTCCGGCCGTCTCATCCATCGTCATGGGTATGAGCGTGCTGCTCCTCAGCACGGCACCACCCGAAGCTTTGGAAGGCGCCGGTGTCGATGTGGATGTTGTTGCTGGGGGTGGACTAAAAGTGATGAGGAGTTCGGTCTGCACCCAACTGGCTCGATGGAGCCATCTACAGCGATCGCAGAATTCGATGATCAGACTGGGCGTGGTGCTGCTGGACGAGTTGGAGGCTTGAAGTGGGGCTGGGAAGTCGTAAGAGGGAATGCTGAGTGGCAGATCTGTTGGTGCCTTTGAGTCGGGCAGAGACGATGGCACTTGGCTCGATACTGTTGTAGAGCTCAAAGATGTGGGGTCTTCTACGCTACACGAAACGCAGTCCGATTTCTCTTCACCGCTCGCCCCGTTTGAACTCATTCTGGAGTCAGAGGCTCGTTACTGTCTGCTGCAGTTGTGCAGCGAATGAAGCGAGAGCTAGCGAGCACGCAGGCTTTTGTTGTATGCTGGGATGGTACTTCAAAACTTGAGCTCGACGTTGTCGTCGTCGATATCGGACACTTTTTGAGTGCAGACCAGTCGCAGGCAAGTGGATCGCGGGGAGGCGTTGCCGGCAGTGTTAGTGTTGAACGGATCGAGATCGAGTTGAACCTTGACGGAGCGTGAATGGATTACAAGCAAAGATCGAATCTTTTATCGATTTGAATCGTGGATGTTGTTGTGAGCGCGACTGTTGATCAATGTCAACCTACTCCACATTCAACATTCATGCACACGCAGCAAACGTCTTATCGCAACCCGCGCAGACATCCTCACGTGATCGTAATTTCGCTGGTTCCTATTTTCTGGACGAAATTCATGATTCCGACTTCCCTCTCGCTACATGGGGATGGTTGAGCGAGTTCGAGAAGATGTGTCGCCGTCAGCGTCGTGACCGGGTCCGCATGTGCTTCAGTTGCCTGCTGGAGTCGTGAGTCGACTGGGCGACTCGCGTTCGACAATCTTGAATAAGAAGCACGACGCGTGAATCGTGAATCGAATCAAATCATGAATTCAAGATTGTGAACCTGAATGCGCTCCGCATGCACGCCTCCACTTGAATTCGGCCATACACATACACAGCAATAAGCGTGCCACCAAAGCTCGGAATAAGATGCGGTGACACGATTCAAATTCTGCCGTGATGAGAAGCGCACCGGCAAGCGCAGAAGCGGCACGTTGTTTGCATGCCAAGCACCCATCTATCCCGTGCGCTCGGCGTTCAAAGCATGGACATACAGTCGTGAGTCAAATTTAAGTGCAGTCCGCTAGCTTGCGCGCCTCTCGCAGATCTCATCAGTCAAGTCACAGTTTTTGAGTGTGAGTAATGAGCGAATACAATCGTCTTCGAGTCTTGTCTCTACTCCTAATTTGTGTAAGGAGCAAGCTTCGCGGCTTGGATGTCATCTGACTTGATTGACACCCGAAAATGAGCTTCGAGCTAATGTCTGTCTGGTCACCTACTCAAATCAATTGAATTGACTGTACGTAGTCAAAAGTCTTGAGTTCGAGTGTGAGTCGAACGTCAAGAGTTGCTGCTGCTGCTGCTGCTGCTGCTGCTTGCCGCTGCATGCACGCATGCGCGCTGCAGAGCGCGCGAGCTGTCAAACGTGCGCGCACCAAATTCAAGTCGCCGTATAGATCGAGTTTCGTCATGATCGATGATAGCCGCCAAGCTGAAATCACAAATCACACCCGCGCGCGAATTTTGAATCTGAAGCGTGAACGTTGCTGGACGCACGTACCAGATTCGGAACGCACTTGATTTTTTTTCAAGAACCTTTGCTTGTCGACTGGTATCCAGAGACTCCTACCCTTGGTATCTGTCCAAATACACCCATCACAAGAACTCGGGGTTGGACCTCAGCAGCCGTTCACGACGGACCTGGCATAACGTACGCACGTGGGACGTCGCCCTCGAGCTCATTTGCTAAGAAGCGCGCAGACACATGGGAACACGGCGGAGCGCAGCGAACACACACAGAGGACACATCAAGTCGTGCTCCCAGTCTTTCAAGCCATCATCACTCTTGACATCATCGACATCCGACAAGCAAGAGCAGACTTGCCATCCTTCACTTCATTTCTGGACGTCTCGGGCGCGCACGCAGCATCGGGACCTCTTGCTTCGAAGTTGCTCAGCTGCGCGTGTGGACAGCACACAGCCCGCTTCTTCATTAGCGCAACCCGATCCACAAGTGCACGACCATCCTGATTTGGCAAAGTCCTTACCGCCCGATGCCAGCTTTCCATCATGGTACGCCCACTAAATGGCAACGCCAAGGCGAATCAGGCGCTAGGCGCACCTTCAGCTGTTGGAGTGCGAGTGAACATTGATACGCAAGGAGGAGTGGCTCAGGCCAGCTCAGAAGGCGCTTCTCCGATGTCGACTTCGCCAGATCTCTACAAGCCACAGATGCTTCATCCAGCCGATTCGCCAGGCAGAAGCATAGATGCCACTGCCCGGCCCACTCGGCAAGGAGCCAGCGCCGCAGGGGTGAGCCAGCCCGGTGGAAGTGCTGCGAGCATGCTACATGCAGCATGGAGCTTGGCTGCTGAAGCTAGTGCGAGCGCGGACGGCTTGGAAAGCGTCTCGACCGCTCTCAGAGGTCAAGCTGCTGCTGTGGTCGCCAAAGCCGGAGCTGGAAATGGCCGAACTGGTGTTGACGCCGGCGCTGTTGGAGGTTCGGATAGCGTGGCATCTGCAACCCTTGGTGTGGGCAGCGCTGCTGCTGCGGGTGCGATGGCGGGCACTAGCGAGGCGATGGCTCGGAGAGCGAGCAACTCTGCTCAATACTCTGCTGCGCTCTCGGCCCAAATGTCGAGCGCTCTGCAAAGCAGCCAGAACAAGGTTGCGACGGACCCCGTTTCCGCAGTTGCGAGCGGATCTGGCTCTTCGCCGGAGACTGTTGCGACGGGACAACTTGAAGCAACGCCAGCCTTGATGCAACCAGAATCGCCTCGTACTGCTCAAGCCCAGGTTGGAGAGCTAGCAGCCCGCGCCGCATTGATGGAAGGCGAGAGCCAGATGCGGGTGGTTGCCATGTTGCAAGCTAGTATCGGTGGCAGTACGAGCGCACAAGAAGCTGCTATCATGTTGCCTCCTGCTAGCGTCACAGGACTTGCAGCTCGAAGAGCCAGCGCCTCTGCGGCGGCGGCGGCGGCAGCAGCAGCAGCAGCAGCGAGCAACTCGACGGACACACCAATCCGACAGACTACACTCGCTGCTGCCCAGAACAGCGCCGTTTCTTCTAGCAATGCTTCCACTGTTCCCTCTTACCTCGACAGATTGGGCCTCTCGCACATCAGTCTGCCCACTTCAGGCTTCGAACAGGCGTGGGGCAGACCGGCAAGAGATGCTGGTCAGGCACAGCCATTGAAGAAGGGAGAAACGTCTAGCAGACATTACTGGGATGCGGGAGATCCCAGGATGGGCTTCAATCTGGCGGGTGTTCCAAGCATGCCTCGTGAGTAGCCAGCCTGTGCGACCTAGACGAAGAAGCCCAACGAATGCTGAACCTTCCGCAATCAATGACACATACCAGTCATGCCAACGCCACCGCTACAAATGTTGCCGCCTCCTACGTCTCCGCACCATGCCAGGCGCGGAGGCGGAGTCGACCTGCCGACGACACCATTCTTGTCATCTTCGAACGAATCTCGAGGTCATCATGGCACTGCGCATCGCGTCGTCGGTAGTCCGGGGTTGAGCTCGACATTGCCGTACCCGTTTCAGGTGGTCCAGACACCTGGGGGAACAGCAAGAGCCGGCTGGTGGGTGCCTCCCGAACATGTCGCGCCCAATAAAAGGAAAGAGGTGGAGAAGCTCAGCGAAGGCGCCTTGGTTGCGCCACGTCTAACGCCTGACCCTTCAGCCACAACATCATCATCGCCATCAACATCATCAGCAGCTTCCGAGGGCGCCAATGTGCATGCAGTGCCTACTGCTTCGGCGTACACTCATCATGTCTCGAAGGAAGATCTTATCTCCACAACTGGCACTCGAGGCGCCTCCTACGTTCATTCATCGTCCAATCAGACGCAGCAGGACTTCGCACCTCCAGTCGAGGTCTTGCCCCTCTTTCAGCCCGCGTGAGTATGGCTAGCTGAACTTTCTCTTGGTTGTGAACCTTGCTTCATCCCAGTCTTTGAGCGTTGTCTCGAGTCTCACGTGCACCCAAGCATCGTCACGACCACGAGCGCGTGTGCGCGAGAATGTGCTGGCTTCAACGCGGAAGCGTTCTCGGCCGTTCACTGTCGAGCGTGTGCGGAACGCCTCCGCCGGCTGTACGGCACAGGTACTTGGTCGTGGGGCTGGGTGCCCCTCGCCAAAGGGATATCTGGCGCAGACGCACGGCTGTTCGAGGCGTTGGGCAACCTAGGTATCCGTCTGCGCCCCGCCCCAGCCAAATGCGGTGGAGAAGCCAGTCTAGCTGTGGCGATGAGCACGCAAACTTTGATTTGCTTTGCTTCATCGCCACGCAAACTTTGATTTGCTTTGCTTTGCAGCGGCAAACGCCACCGTTTGACAAGACGGGTTTTGAAAAGCTGCGACGGGCCCTGATCGCCGACTCAAAAAAGGTCAGATTGTAGAGTCTCGGCGACCAGCGCCCATGCAGCGCTTCGTGTCGCACATCTGTTTCGTCTCGGTGATCTTCCGATCGCTGCCCAATCTTGTTACTCTGTTAGAGGCCTGCTCTCATAAGACTGTCGTCACTGGCTGTTCGTCCCGAGCGTCCAGAAGCTTCTTTCGAGGGAAGTCTTTGTGTTTGCCAGTCACCATTTCGCTCCATCCCAACGCGCAGGCGTTTTCTCTACCTGTGCACTTCATGTGCACGCAACACAATCGCAAACGAGTTCGTCATCATGCTGACGAGACAATCTTAAAACGCAGTTATCGAGTGCTTCAGCCGGACGAATATGCTGTCCTGGCATCTGCGGCTGCGTATGCCACGGCGGCACTCACCACGACGACCAGTGGCGCGCCATTTGATCCCACCGCACCGGCCGAAAGAGCGCTCAAGGGCGATGTGGTCATGGAGCGCCCCCTGAGTGCAGAAGAGCAGGAAGCGATCGCTGTGCAGCTCAGGGCTTGGGCCGGGTTGCAAGGACCTGAAAAGCAAGCGGAAGCGAGGCAACATTTGGAGGAGCACCAAACTCAGATATTTGCACAGCAGCAGCGCATGCAGTCTGAAGCTCGACTCGACCCTGATGCAGAATCTAAGCTCCAGACTTCGAGTCCTCAGCTCTTTCCGCCCGATTTTGCGAGCCATTATAGAACGCAGCTGCGCGCGTTGGCCGAAGGCTACTACACCCGCTTGCACCGCGATGGACTGGCTCGAGATCACTATGCGCCGCACGCAGCCGAGAGGGCATCCTCCCTCGCTGGTCATGCCAGGACATCTGGAGCGTTATCGTCCACGGCTGTAGCCACGCATCCATCTCAGCTGGCCGCATTCGCGAGCCAACCTGGTCGCCCAGCGAGAGGAGACTCGGGAAAATGCTTTCCCGATAGCGCTTTTCAACCGCCTCAGGTCACCCAGCCTGCATTGCATTCAGGGCGACAATCTGTGCGAGATGCGACAAATGCCGGTCGCCCGGTCAGCTTGGCCGAAAAGGCCAAGGAAGATCTACGCGTCGCGCAAGATGATCCAGGCACTCTGAATGCAGATGCATCGCCGCTGCCAAGACAACAGCAAGATCTCGCAAGAGAGGGCATCCTGCCGCAAATCCAGCCAGTCGCGGGTCAGGATCCGCTGGACCTCATCTCGGCTGCGTCGTCGGCCGCTGGCGTCGATGTGCACTCTCCAACTGTGCGGGATCAGCTTCTTCAGTACGCCCACGCGCTCTACTCGAGCGGCACTACCGCAACAGCACAGCAGGGACAGCAGTCGTCGTCGCGGGGCGAAGATGGGCGAGTGACCAATGGACATGCCCAGCAACAAAGCGAGAACGCACCTGCTCGCCCTAGTGCTACTTTGCATCCTACACTGTTGCCTTTGCTACACACCTTGCACAAGCTGCATCCCCAGCATCTGCCCACCCTGCTCTTGCTTTCCTGCGCTTACTACACGTCGGGCGACTTGGCGGCTAGCTTGCACTACAACAAGCAGATATTACGAACGGATCCCAACTACGTGGAGAGCATGTCCAATATCGGCACCACCCTTCGAGCGCTTGGACGTTGGCGAGAGGCGGAAAGCTGGTGGTGGAGAGCTGTTCGTCTGCGACCTGGCTATTGGGATGCCTACGAGAACCTCCTCGGCGTGCTTTGTTCTCCACAGCAAGCAAGCGAGGAGGAACAATCCGTTCGAGTTGAAGAAGAGCGCGTGTCCCCATCGACCGAGGACATTTCGCGGCATCACGAGGGCCAGCAAGATGAGAAGTCGGGTACGGGGCCGCGCTTCCGAGAAGCTTTGAGGTTGTGCGAGTTTGTCGAAGCTCATGTGTTCACGCGCCGCAGCGATCAGGATGGTAGGGACGCGTCGAGAACGCGAAAAGTGCCTGGTGGAGATCACCCCCAGTGCATGCCTCAGCATCTACCCACGTCGCAAGTATGCCGGCTCCAAAATTTGTTCTACGCCAAGGGTGCGTCACTGAGAAGTCAATGTTCTCCCAGTTGATCCGCTTACCCACTTCCCCTTTGTCAACAGGAAATCTCAAGTACGTGCTGCCCGAGGCCGGTTTAGTGCCTGCAGCTCGCGCTTACCAGCAAGCGGTTGAAGTGGTCTTGTCGCCCTCGGAGTCTAGCGCACATAGTTTGCGGGATCTGGCCGTGGCGACTTGCGTCGCGGGTCTGCTCTCGCTTGGCACGACGTTGCCAGGATCAGCCGCTGCTCAGGCCGCGAGCGAGGTCGCATTGTCAATCGGACTTGATCCCAGTGACTCGACGCAGACAGCTTTGGTCGCACAAGGCAATTATAGCCAGCTCAGCTCACGCGGAATCCTGGGCGCAGTGCGCGACTCGGGAGACCGCATCGTCAGCACGCTCTTGCGACTTGGTGGAGGTCAATTGCCGATGATCATGCTGCTGCCAGACTCTGCCGTGCAGCTTAACCGACTCCTGTTTGCTGAAACGGCTGGTGCGCTACCTGCGATGTACTCTAGCTCTCAGCAGCAGCGCCAATCGCCTGCTAATCAGCATCAGCAGGCCTTGCAGCAGTCTGCTCAGACCACCAGCACCATCCTCTTGACGCTAGCCAAACTGTTTCAGGATGCTACCGCCAATCCGACTGCTGGATCTCATGGACCCTTGACTCTCGGCGGCATTCCAGCATCAACATCGCTCTTGTTGCCACTGTACTATCTCTCCATCTCGCTACACCCATCCGCCTCGACCGCGAACAATCTTGGTATCTTGCTGTCCTCCATTCCCGTCGTGACTCACATTGTCAATGCGACAGGCCAACGACAACAACTGAATGGACAGGCTCTGGCACTCCAATACTATACATATGGCTTGCAGCTTGATCCCAGTAACGCTCACTGTCACTGCAACCTAGGCTCTCTACTCAAAGATCTTGGACACATCAACGAGGCCATCCAGATGTACGAAAAGGCGGTTCAGCACAATCCCACGTTTGATGTCGCTTTGGCCAACCTCGGCAATGCTATCAAGGATCAAGGCAGGACGCAAGAGTCGGTACAGTATTATCGACGCGCAGTCGACGTCAATCCCCGCTTCCCGGAGGCGTTGTGCGGCCTCGTCAACGCGCTGCTTGCCATTTGCGATTGGCGCGAGGTCTATTCCGAGAAGCCGGAGTGGTCCGGCTGGATGACTGCTGTGAGGTCTCTCCTCACAAAGCAACTGCAGGATGGCGCGAGCTATGGTGTAGGCGCTTTGCAAGCTACTGCTACGCTGGAAGGCTGGGTTGACTCCGTTCAGACATCTCTAGGCGATCGGAGGAAGAGCGTACAGCAGCAGTGGACTGCTCGCTTTGAGCCATTCTTCCGCTCGCTTGATCGCGAACAGGCCAGCGTGAACGAGGGTTCCTTCGTCATTCGCCTGATTGAACGCCTCCTGCGCCGGATTCAGCGTCGCTGGTACCTCAGCAGATATGGACACTCCGTACGGGTGCCTGCGTCTGAAGCGCAGCCCCATATCCAGCCACAAGCGTCAGACGTGCAGCAGTATCCTCGACTGGCTTTGCCTTCGTGCCTTGTGACGCCAGCAGTCCCGACGGTCCTTCCGTTTCACACTTTTACATTGAAGATCCTTCCACGCCACATTCGTCTCATTTCTCATCGCAATGCGCTTCGACTCACACAACAGACCCTCAGTCAGCAATGGCTGCCAGCACACGTATACCCTCCGCCACCGCCACCAGCATCAAGACTACGGATCGGCTACGTATCCTCAGATTTTAACAATCACCCGCTCGCGCACCTCATGCAGTCTGTGTTTGGGATGCACGACCCGCAACGCTTCGAGATCTTCCTTTACGCCACCACGGCTTCGGATGGTAGTCCCTATCGACAAAAGATTGAGAAGGAGGCGCAAAACTTCTACGATGTCTCCACTTGGTCGAACCAGCAGATCGTGCAGCGCGTCCTGGCGGATGGTTGCCACATTCTCATGAATTTGAGTGAGTCTTGCAGGTCTTCACCACGTCTTTATCGCTTTACGCTCACGAATTCCGAATCCGGCAGATGGCTACACCAAGGGCGCGCGGAATGAGATCTTCGCTGCTCGGCCGTGCCCCGTGCAAATGGAGTTCATGGGATTCGCTGGCGGTCTGGCCTCGGGCTGGATCGACTGGCTGATCGTCGATCCAATCGTTTGTCCCCCGGAGCAGACAGCTGGCGACCTGTGGCGCAAGAAGCGAAGAGAGGCCCTGGAGCAAGGCACGGAGCTGGTTGCGCGCCCGACGGATTTTGCCGGCGATTTGGATCCTGAAGAACCGAGCGATGATTGGATGTACACAGAGAGGTGCGTCTACATGCCAAAGTCGTACTTTGTCTGCGATCATCGTCAAGGCTTTAGAGAGCCAGAAGAGCGTCGCGCAATCGACGGCAGGGTCGTGCATCCCCACGAAATGTCTGATGAGGAGGCGTGGGCGGAAGAGGAACAGAGACGTTGGAAAGCCCGCAAGGAGTAAGTCTTCGCGTGAATGAAGGCGCGTGGACCTAAGCTCATCCTCTTCGGCGCACAAACGTATAGGTTGTTCCCATCCATTCCAGACGATTTCGTCATCTTCTGCTGCTTCAATCAGCTTTACAAGCTTGAGCCGGTGCGTAGGATATTGCCCCAATTGTGCGACTCGTGTGGCTGACTCAACGAATTGGGCAATCTATAGGAGGTTTTCAAGGCATGGCTGGAGATCCTGAAGCGAGTGCCCAATTCCATCATCTGGCTGCTACGGTTCCCAGCGGCGGGCGAAGTGCACCTCATGCGGGCAGCGCGCGAATGGGCCGGAGACGAGGTGGCCTCTCGCATCGTCTTCACCGAAGTAGCGCCCAAGGGTGTGCATATTCATAGAGGTCGTATCGCAGACTTGTTCCTCGATGCTTGGGAGTGCGGTGCTCACACTACGAGCGCCGACATTCTTTGGAGCGGCACGCCGGTGCTCACCTGGCCCAAGCACTTGCACAAGATGTGTTCTCGTGTGGCTGCAAGCATCGTGCATGCCACCGGGCATGGTGATCAGATGATCGTAGATTCTGAAGAGGCGTATATCGAGCGTGCAGTAGCGCTCGCTCAAGAATTACGATACGAGTACTGGGACGGCGAGGGTAAGAGACTACCGGCAAGCGCTTCTGACAAGCAGGTCACTGCCGAGGCATTGTGCATCAACACTGCAAGCGGTGCCGCACAACCCCACGTCGCTCCTCAGCAACAACAGTCGCAGGCAACTTCAGACGGAGTGCCGGCTGCTCAAAAGAAGGGCGCACCTGGGCAGACTACAGAGCAAGCACCAGCGAACGTCAAGCAGAATGCGGCCAACGCTGCGAATGCCCCCACGAGCGAAGAGCTGGCCGAGGTCAGTCCACCTCGTTCGCAGATCCTCCTGAAAATTGGCCCGCAAGCGCCTGCAGGAGCAAGGACGCGCAGAGGAGCTGGAGAGCTGTCCGACCTGCGCCGCAAGCTGTTCCTGGAGCGCGATCGAGATGGAGGTTTGTTCGACACAAAGGCTTGGACGCGCGCGTTGGAAGCTGGCTACGAAGAAGCTTGGAGGAGATACGTTGCTGGTACGGATGTGGAAGATTCGCCAGAGTGGGAAGCCCTGCCTGAGGATGCGCCTGAGAAATTGAGCGCGCATATATGGGTGCCAGACGGATGAAGCGCAACTACGATGCCCACGCAGCACCTCCCTCCACATTCCTATTCAGCTCGCCACGGACACTCGAGAACTGCTGTCGACGCACTTTTTTTTACAGCTACCTGCCAGCTCTACACGTAGAACCATCTTGCACGCTGCTCCCGCTTCAGTAATAACAGATTCCAGAAATTGACCCTCTCGTGTGGTTCACTCTTCCTTCAACTGAGATGCAGGGCTGCACGATCGCGTGGCGCTATGAATCGATCATTGGATATTGACATCGACTTCATGCACCTTGCGCAAGCGATCATGCAGAAGATAATCAACGGGCTCGTCTCGCTCCGTATTCGTCAGAGACGGCTCGCTGAGCCGTGTGCTGGGCTAGGATGCCATGCTAGTCAGGCGTTGGAGGGCAGCATCAAAGGTTTCTCGATCTCATCCCTCTTCTCCTTGCCCTGCAGTGCCTCGACGATTGCAAGACCAAAGTGAAGCGATGTTCCCGGCCCTCGACTAGAAAGAATGGTAGTCGGCATGGGGAAATTTTGTTCATGAGCGAGCGACTCAGCGCGCGAGGCCGTCCCTCCTGCTGCAGAAATACGGATCGGTGCAGACTTGGAGACTCACCTAGTGATGAGCTTATCGCTGACAACCACGCTATCCTCCTTGTAGTGATACTCTGCGTCCAGCTGATCCTTGACGGAAGGATGAGAAGTGATGGGACTATCCTTTGCTACTCCTGCTGCTTTGATAGCTAGACTGCCTGCGCATATAGCAGCCACCACTTTTCCCTTGCCGTAAGCGGCGCTCAACAAAGCTTGAACATCCTCGTTGGCCGAAATGGTGGCTGAGCCTTCATTCCCTCCTGGAACGATGAACGCGTCGTACTCTAGCGCCTGATTAGCGACACGAGTGCAAACAATGCCGATGAATGAAAAGACGATCTGAATGCTCAGCAAGCATGTGGACGATAGGACCCGCACAAACGAAATGTCGAGGATCGCTCCTCTCCCTCACCTTGCCAGCTAGCTCGTCCAGCTTCTTGTCCGGCTTGATCAGCACGCCTCGAGAACACTTGACTAGTTCGGCAGCATGAGGATCTTGAGCGTTGTGGTTGGAAGAACCGACATGGACCGAAGTGACTTGTACGCCCCCTCTGACCAGCACATCATACGTGGCCACAAACTCTGTTTCCTCTGCGTATCCGCGCGCCGAGCGAGAGAGGAGGATGCGAGCGCGTGAGCAGGAGGAAGATGGCGTGAGCGAGGATGGATGTTTGGGGCAAAGTAACCCCCCCTTTGCCCGCAGCCCGCACCTGCCATCCCGGCGAACTCATTGCCAAGACTCACCTGTGCCCTGCGCAATGAAGATCAATGCGCGTGGAGCTGTCATCCTTGCAAGCTGCGGGATGCAAGGGCAGTCAACTGGACACAGGACCGCGTTCCCAGCGCTGCTGTGTTATCGTGTCCGATGGAAGCCAGTCGATTGGCGGGGTTGCTAAAGTGGTGCCTTGATGAATGAGATGAGGAGGCGATCAAATGCGTTTCAATTTGCGACCGGATGCGGACGACGGTTGAGATGGTAAAGCATGCAATGAAGGGCGCGTTCGAGTTGGGAAGAGAGATGGAGCGGTGCGATGCGATGCGATGCGATTCGATGCGATATCGATGGGCGAGAAGCACCTCATGATCACGAGTCACGAATGATGGAAAGGACAGGACGCAGGGCTCAAGCTGCAATGTGAATCAACAGTCGTGAGTCGTGAGTCGTGAGTCGTGACTCTTCTGAACTCGCGACTCGTATGTACACTCACTCGCGACTCGCGACTGTTGTCTGCATGCTGCATGAGAAGCGCGAAACCCGGCACCGCCTTAGCGTGGTACTCGCGGCCTCCACAAGAAGGCTGATAAGCGAGCTTCTGGCGCTCATTCGGTGGTTCACGACCCCGTGATATTCTCGATTGGACGTGGCATGCAGTCAGCATGTTCTCGAAGCAGCATAGCGGTGTGCGGTTAGGACTCTTGATGAGATCTAATCAAGAATCTTGAATCAAATCATAGAAATAAAAGAAGTGCGGGATCATCACAATGTTGGGGGGAGGGCCTACCGAGAAGGACATCGGGCCTCCATGTGGAGGTCAGGTCATCCCCAACCCCGGTATTTCATAGATCGGCGTGCCCCCCTCTCGACTTCCCGAGTCGGCAGCCAGTTTGAGTGTGAGTTTGAGTGTGAGTGTGAGCAGGAGTCAAGAGTCACGAGTATCAGTCAAGAGTGTGAGTCAGTGTCAGTGTCGCTGCGCATGCGCATGCGCTGGTGAATAGCCTCACAATCAGGAATCAAAAATGTAAATCACTCGGACTTCTTGACTACTCGATCAATACACACACTGCTTTAAAAAAAAAAAAACTTTCGCAAAAAGCAAATCAAGAATCAGTTTGAACAAGCGCAATTCGATCGCGGACGATCCGACGGCGTTGGATTCCGAAAGCTCGCTCCCTCTTGAATCACTGTGAATGAAATCTGTGCAGAGGTACCGCGACAGGCCGCCATTAAGTAAAAGCATTCGTTGATTGTTGAATGCGCTTCGATGTACTCATTGACTCTGGACTCGTGACTTGATATTTGCATCCTCCAATCACATCCTACACTTTGACTCATATTGCAGCGCAGCAAGTCACGGCCGCAAGTCGTGAGTCAAGAGTCGTGAGTCGTGAGTCGCGTGAATTTGTGTGTCGAGTTGTGCGACCGAGTAGCTGATTCAAGATTCAAGATTCAAGATTCATCAAGATTGGGTCAGATCATTTCGCGCCGAAGCGGTGGGCTGCTGCTGTGCGCGAGGCCGAGGTGAGGTGTAGGTACACGACGACGTATACCGTCGGTATGCGCGTTGGCTGAATCGATAATCGCGTGCATGACAGGCTCGGTGGAGGATGTCCGTGCGCAGTGCGGTGCGTTCAGCCCACCCGCAAGCACACCAGCAGGCATATACGTATAAAGCACGGCCTGCCTTCCAAGGCCACGCAGCTCTCCCTCCTCCCCAAACCCGGATACCATCCTGCAGCAACTCACACACCAAGACATACGGTTCAACGCTCACTCGCACCACCGCATTCAACACGAACATCGAATCATCATGGTAAGTGTCCTATCCCCTCTGGCTGGTTGAGACGATGCGCAGCTCGACAGTCACGAGCCACGATTTAAAGTCCCTCTGACCATCACTTGTCCCCGTCGAATCCCCTCCCACGCGCGGAACACTCGCATCAGTCGCTCGTAGGCCAAAAGATTCCGGACACCGAGTTCTCCCACGTTCCTTGGAGCGACGAGCTCTCCAACGCCGCGGCTTGCGGTATTCCGGAAAAGTACCGCACTACTCAAAAGTTTGCGTGAGTAGACATCATCAAGGGTCTAGAGAAAGGTTGGTAGAGCGCAAGCACAGATCGGCTTTTGGGATAACAGGTGCGAGGCCAGCACTTGTAGCTGGCAGGATTCTGATGCGATGAAAGTAATCGAGGTCGAGCTTGATGCGCACACCTTGAGAGCACCGTCAGGCCGACTACCGAGTCCAAGGCGGTCAACGTCGAGAGCCGTCGCACGCACTCTCGACCTCCAGAATAGGGAGCTCATGTCCATTGGGTGCACGCCGCTCACACAGTACTTCAATCGCTGACGCTCTCTACTCCACGCTTGCACTTGCAGAGGAAAGAAGGTGGTCATCGTTTCGGTGCCAGGTGCATTCACGCCTACTTGTCATGGCAACCACATCCCAGGCTTTGTCAAGAAGGCCTCGGAGTTCAAGCAAAAGGGTTACGAAGTGATCGTATTGGCAAGCAATGACCCGTGAGTCTGATATTCCCATGTCCATCCTGTTGGTCCCCCCAACAACTCCCGCCTTTACGCTACGTCTGGTATACTCACGCCACTCTGCATGGGTCCTGGACGATTCGCTTCCAACTTAGCTTTACAATGTCCGGCTGGCGCACTGCTCTGGGAGCCAAAGGAGAGCTGGAATTCGCCTCGGACCTCAATTTGGAATTCAGCAAAGCACTCAACGCCACAGTCGACATGACCAAAGCTGGCTTTGGAGTTCGTGGAGCTCGCTATGCGCTGATCGCCGATGACAACGTGATCAAGGCTTTCGATAGCGAGGAGAGGTGAGTGGAATCGGCGGGGGATACGCAGCTTGAACAGCATGGATACGACTGCGAAACGAGTGCAAAGCGCTGATCAGACAATTGCGCTCCCTTACGTGCACTCACAGCCCTGGAAATGTTGGTGTCAGCTCAGCTGAGGCCGTCTTCGGCAAGCTTTGAAGCAGCGCAAGAAGCGAGGGCGAAGGTAGTTTTGATGGCTTGATAGACGCGTGCGCTCGAGAAGGAACTTGAGCCTCAGCAGCGAGCAGCATTATTTCGAGTAGAAATCAAAATAGAAGTTTGTCGACACTCGGAATGTTCAGAGCAGAGTGTGTGCACCTTGTCTGCTTTCTGAGCTGCTGGGCCAGCGGTCGGATTGATGGTCCGAGCAGCTTTTCAGGTCGTGCTGCATCCGTCATTCGGCCATTACAGGTGTGCGAACTGACTTGGGCGCTGACTTAAGGATGGGACGATGTAGCCCGATGTGAGCAAGTTGAGCAGATCTAAGAGTCCTTGGACATCTGGTAAGACATTGGTTCCTTGCAGGTAACCAACTTTCCAAAACAGGCGATTGCGCATCCTTGTCCATTCGTCGCCAATTTGCACGATGACTATAGTTGATTGGATCACCTTTATCCGCGATTCGCGATCTTTGCGGGGTTTGATGGTGCCCTTTCAATGCATTTTGCGTTGCGATCGATTGGATGTGGAAATGTTGACCGTGGTACCTGCCTGCCGGTTCAGTACGAGACCATGCGGCGACTGCGTGGGCTGTTCTTGACGAGAAAGGTGCAGCAGGCGCACAGCGGAACAATCGCGAATGTGTACTTAGGCACGCCCTGCTGCTGATCATTCTGCGCTTACACCCCACTCACTCGACACCAACTCCAAAATTTTGTTGTCGACGCACCCGTCTGAACAGCCAGCACTCGTCAATCTAAAGAGTCATCGCGCTGTCTGCAATCGTCTTCTGTGCTTCAGCTACACAAACCCAAAAGCACTCGCGCGTACTTCTGAAGCTCCTCGGTTGCTGAGCAGCGGGGACCTGCGTGCGTGCGTGCACGCGGAGTTCATCGGCACTGTTTCCGATTGGTGGGATGGGCCAGGGGAGGAGAGCACGTATCCATCACGCTAAAACATTCACGATTTTGACCGCACGCTCGCTCCCAGCTCTCAAACGTTGACTGTTGATGCATGCTCCGCTGCAAGGCGGCGTCTGCGTGGACCCTAAGTCTGAGTTTTCTGTAAGCTCAAAGTGCAGCGCTAGCAGGTAATCCACCGCTTCTTGCACCGCTTTCCTTCTACTCCATCACTCGTGAGTGGCCGAGAAAAGTGAACAAGCTAGCTTGGGCTCGTTCGTGCGCCGGCGAATGCACGCTTTTAGGCTAAGGAAAGTCGGGTTGATCGTCTTGCTGACCGCCGGTGTTGCTACAAGTACTGCTTGCTTCCTTGTGTGTGTGTAGTAGGTAATCCGTTCAGCGTGCAAGTGCAAGCGCGCCCTCACCCGCGGCGCTCTTGCGTTCCTTGCTTTGTCGACCCCGAGCTAGAAGGAAATGTGGTAGCAGCAGCAGTGCAGTACACAGCAGGTACACTCGACCACAGAGATGACTTGCTTGGCCCCTGCATCTGGCGCACCGTTGGCCACGTTCGCCAGTCTGATTGGCCACACTCACGGCGGCAAAGTGCGATGACAAGACGGATGGAGCGAAGAGCAATGGGGCCCCCCCCCCCCCCCCATCAGGATACGTGATTGGATGGACGCAGGAGTCCTTTGTATAAGATGCGAATCCTCCTCTGAGCATCCTCCCACGCTCCGCACCGCCTTCACTTGCTCTCCTCATTCCCCCGCGCTTCCACCAACCCAAATCATCTTCCCCCTCCCACTCTGCTTATTCACGATGGTGTCTCTCCGTCTCTTGTCCTTGTCTGCCTTCGTGCTGGCCGCAGCCTCCGCAGCGTCGGCCGCAACGGTGACTTTCGACTGCTCGAGTGAGTGCAAAGACTCGGACGTGGGCAAAAGAACCTGAAGAGTCTACTTCAAACCCCCGCACAAGCTTGCTGACGCAGATGAGTCTCTCTCCCGCTTGCACAAACTGCCCTTGCCCCCCATGTTAGAGGTTCCCAACATTTGCTCGAACGATTGTTACGCCCTCAAGTGCGCAGGCAAACCCAGCACCCTTCACAGAAACTCTGCAGCAGCTACGGATAACCGTAATCACAACGCTTGCAAATCTCCCAATCGATGCTCTGGAAATCCCGACGATAGCAATTCTTGCGACGAGTACCCTTACGCTTCCACCTCCGAGGGCGGTGCGGGCGCAGTGACCCGTTGCGTTCCCGCTCACGAGAACAGCGTTCAAGGTGCGTTTTGCCTCCTCTCCCCCCTTCCCTCTTCGCGCGACTTTGTCGACAAGAACAACCCAACGTGAAATCTGCGCCGACACTCCTACGCGAACTAACCCCCATCTTCCCCCCCCCCACCCCCCTTTTCACATTCTATACCCCTTCCAGGTGGCACCCTCTCCTCCTTCTACACCCGCAGCAACGTGCAGCAAGGAGACGCTTACAACGTCGCCTTTACCGGAACTTCTGGTCTTCAATACTGCGGAGGCAGCTGTTCCAACAGCGGCAACGAGGTTCAACGCAGAGGCATGCTCTTCAACAAGCGTCAACAAGTCACCCTTCACGCCGAGCGCAGATTCAAGTTGGAAAATGGAGCAGAGATCCTCATGTTCGAACCCATCGCCAAGCGCGGAGCTTTCAACTCTCTCGTCGGTCAGACCGTGCACCTCAACGACGTTGACGTCAAGGTCGTTGAGGCTCTGTGAGCTGATGCCGAAATCCTATGCGATCCAACCTTTCGGGCTCATTTTCTTTCGAGTTCTTTTGGCGTCAAGGCCTGCAACGCTGTTAGCGTCGTTGATGTCCCTGATCGGCCTAGAGGACTTACATTACCTCTCTACACGAGTGTACAAATACATTAAAGTGTCCTATTTCCCTTGCTCAGCGTGAAAGAGTGGTGATGGTATGCCGGGCTAGCTGCGTACTTCGCAGGGCCGCCTTTGGCAAAGACGGCCTACAAGCTTCCTTCGCCCGTCGACAATTCCTCCACAGTCCTCAGCAGCTCTCCAAGCTGGCTGTGCAATTTGCGAATGACGAGTTGATCCACAGGATTGATGCTCTCTTCCTCATCCAGCTCGCCATTCGTCGAAGCTTGATGCGCATCTGCTCGTTCCGATCCTTGACTCTGGCTCTGCTCCAACCTGTTCGCAATCGGTTCCACCAAGTTGGTCCTGCGGTCAGCAGCAGCCGAGACCTTGCCCAGCGCATCGCGAAGATCCTTGAGTTCGCAGCGCATCGCAAATAGCGCAATACGACGCGCATTCACGGGCGAAGGTCGATAACTCCCGATTCGTATGTCCCACTCTGGCGTAGGCGTACTCGTAGAGCCCTGCGTCGCCGTCGTCGTCGAGCTTGCTGCTGCCGAGCTCAGACCAAAACCCTGTCTCAGCGTGCTGACCGCTCTAGCGTAGATCTGTAGGGCTGTAGAGACGAGCAGGCCAGCGCTCATCTTCGTGCTAGGGTCCGATCTGCAGGTCGGGCAATCAGCGGAACAAGCGCACTGGGCTGAAACAGCTTGACTGGCACTCAGCGTCAAGTGCAAAGTCTGACCCCTCTCTCTAGCCGCATTGTAGTTTGCGCTGCCGCTGGAGCTCCGTCCATCTCGGCGCTGCGATTGAGATGAGCTGGAGACGGTCTGGTCAGCAGCTCGCAACGTGGCCCGAACGCTGAGCAGCGCGACCGAAACGTCGCAAAGACATGTGCATCCCTTGCCGCTGGGGTTGGGCACGCAGTGCACCCGGTGTCCAGATGATTTGCTGCTGCTGCTGTTGTGGCTATGCGACGATCGAGATTCAGCGACAGACGGGGCGGATTTGCTTCCCTTTGCAGTTCCCGGTGTCGACGATTCGTGGCCAGTCTGTAAAGACGCTCCTTGAGCGCCACAGCAGCAACCAGGAGCACCCGTTACGGGACACTGCTCATCCTTGATAGCATTCGCGCCAGCTGTCACGATAGATGTGCTCGCCGGACTCGGCTGCTGAGAGACGGAGTCCCCTTGAGTCACCTCCTCCCGAAGACGACCATGACCTTGCCAGCCAGTGCCCACAAAGACTGCTTCCGATGTTCTAAGCTCGCCCTGACCCATACCACCGTCAATACCCCTCGGCCAGCTCCGCGGACTTTCCCAAGCAGGCTCGACGGGTTGACCAGTCAGGCCGAGGGTCGAGGTGCTTCCTGAAGAGCCCTTCACATTGCGCTGCTGACCTTCACGAGTAGCCTCAGAAACGAGGAGGTTCTGAGCTGCCGCACCATGAGATGAGCCGGCACTCTGATCCAGCCACGTCGGGTTCCACCAAGAAAAGTCGGCAGGCACCGCATAGCTGACATCCTTGTCCATGGCGCTGCTGTGCCGAGTGGTCGGGGCAATCGCCGCAGCTGCAGAGGAAGAGGAAGGGCCACCATTGCTCCTGAATGCGTCGTTCGCAGTTGCTAGTGAATCAGGCCAAGCATTGATCATGCCTGTGGTCAAACCGTCAGAACTGCCAATCTCTAGCGTATCGAGCGAGTTAAGAAAAGCTGCAACCGCCAGATTGTCGAGATTCGGTGAAGCAGAGTTTGCCGTCGCCAGAACCCCTGCAGCACCTAGATGCGGGAAGCCCACTTCACTGTTCAAGCTTGTATCCGCTGAAGACATGCTCGACCAGGGCGAAGCTTGTGAGGAGGTAGTCGCGGCTGTGGAGGTCGTTCCACTTGATGCAGCGCCCGGGTGCCTGTAATCCCATTCTGCAGGTACCTGCGACACGCTGTAAGGGGCCTTTGGCGATTGAAAGGAGCCGCCTTGGTAAGCTTGCTCGTGCGAAGGAGTGGCGGGATAGCCAGGAGATGCCACGGAGACCGACTGTCTGTTGTCCGAGCGCTGTTTTTTGCTGCCTTCTTCGCCCTTGAGCGTGTGGCTCAAGGGCCCAGCAGGGGATTGCAAATGCCCGCTCATCTTCCCTTTGGCTCGCTGTGCTCCACCGTTTGAGCTGGAGGGTGAAGGTCGAGGCTCATCCTCCATGTCGTTCTCCGTACCTTTTCTCTTCTTGGGTCGGCCGATCGGCTTGCGTATTTCTGAAAGTTCCGCAGACTCCGTCAGCAAAACCGTTCGCAAGACGGCGAACTTTGAGGAGCGCCATGATTTAGCTCGAGCGGAGCCATCCGTCACTCACTGTACACGCAATCTTTGCCCTCCTCGATGCACCGCGCGCACTTTGCAGATCCATCGCATTTCAACTTTCGAGACCTGCAAGACTCGCAAGCAGATCTTGGCGGTAGCACCGCATTCGGTGGGAGATTGGTCAATGTGACTTCTCGCGCTGGGGCGTCGACGCCTGATCGCTTGATCTCTGATGATCCAGCAGCGCCATGAGGCTTTTTGGCAAGTCCCGAAGAGGAGCCAGGCATCGAAGATACAGCGCTGGGTGAATTGGCGCCGGAGCCTGACTCACCCGCTAGAGTGCGCGCCGTCGATGTGTGAGATGAGGCCGAAGCTGGAGAGCTTGCCGTGGAGTGCGTTGCTGGGAATGCTAAAGGGCTAGTCGCGGACGCTAGAGAAGCGCTCGAAGCAGATCGGACTTGACAGCATGAAGCCATGGTCACTGCAGCGTCTCGATAGGCCGTTTGCAGCGACAATGGGATTGGCTGATGGTCGATGTAGGGTAGGCGGGCTTGCGTGAGTCCCTCAAACGACGCCCGAGAAAGAATCTTTGCGTGGCAGGCAATGGCTACTTTTGCACCTTCTTCGGCACCAGCAAGACCCGCGTACCGAGCAAAGACCCACGATGAAGCGCCCTTCTACACTTGACCGGGCCCTAAGCTTATGCTGGCGATCTCCGAGGGCAGAGGAGGAGGAGGTATCCGAAGCAGCGCGATGGAGAGTGTGGGGGTCAGACCGAGGGCGTAAAGCAAGCTGCGAAAGGGCGGAGCTGCGTCGGGTAGCGGCATATACGATTATTGTTGTGAGATGCTCTTCGGTCTTTCGACCTGCAGAAGCAATGTTGCTCTCAAAAAAGACTCCAGACGCGAGAGTCACGAGTCACAGAAGAGTCACATGGAGTGTCGGGCCGAGCGCATGTATGCGAGGTGTTGCAGCCGCGGCGCCTCTCACGATGCGCGACAGCTGCTGACTGCGTTGAATTGTGCGACTGAGAATCACGAATGCCGCAGAGATGACGGGCGCGTCCGAGATCGAGAGCGCAGCGCAAACATGCACCTTCAGACCGAGGGTATGCGGTGATGAGGGTCGAATCCAGCTGGAACGTGTTGCTGACCCGTCCTTGCCTGCAATCTGCTCGCTTGGCGCGTATGGCGTGATGGCGTGATGGCGGTCAAGGCGCTTGCCTGCTTGCTGCCTGCTTGCTTGCTTGCTTGCTTATTGCTGCTGCTGCGCGTGCTAGCCAAAATCAGCTTTATCCGAAACGCGCCGCTCTGCTGGGGTGCATTACGGTGCTCGCTGACTTGACTTTTCAGGTGACTCAAGCGTACGCGGGTGTCGCGTGCGATGAAAAGACCAGTAGGATAGCATTCACCATTGCTACTGTGCTACTTTCATCTCGAGACTGTGACCGTGGGTGTGAGCCAAGCTCTGCCACTTGTTGTATATGCACATTCACGATTGCCTAGGAGGCTCGAGCGAGGGCTGCCCTGCTTCTCACTTGCAGCACGTGGTTGCACGGCTCGACATCGATCGACTTCAAATTTCTGTCTGGGAATCAAAATCAAAATGCCTCCACGGACCTCCGAGCATATGCCGGCAACACGTGATGATCTTTTTACTTCACCGACCGCGTGCCTCTACGCGTTAGGGGCATAATCTGAATGCGCGGAGAAGTAGGCAGAGTCGAATCAAGACACACAAGTGAGACATGCCCCTTTGGCATGCAGCAGCTAGGGCAAAGTCCTGCGCACAGCTGCTATGTATATAACTATAGGAGAGCGTATAGCCATGCAGCGGTGCAACGGTCAGAGCCTGATCGAGTGGCGAGTTGCGTGCGGGGGCTGTGCAACCTTGCGGGTAGGAGACGAGCGGTCCGCATTCTGATTGTTATTCAAACAAGCAGGCATCAGTCGCGTTACGTGCTCGATCGCTGAAAGCATCCGCCGTCACTGCACTACACGCGATCATTACGACAAGCAGCACGAGGCAACGATTGGCAATCGAGTTACAACATCTTCAGCCATCACCACCACGAGCCTCGGGGCTGCACAGGAGCGCAGGCTTGCGACTCGAGAGTGCGAGTAAGCCGCTGCATGATCAGCTCCCGCACCACCAGACGACAAAGAGAAACAGGATGCCCTCGATCGAAGCAGCGAGAGCAAGTGCAAGTGCCCTCGTCGCTTCTGCGCCCACACCTTTCAGCACACAGAGAGGGCCGCGGCCTCCACCCAAACCTTCTCACTTGGCCACTTGGAAGAGCAGAAGAGGTCGCTCGCCCACTCCCTCCGAAGCTGCCGCTTCCGATTTCGGTGCCGAATTTTCGTCGGACGATGAAGATGCCTCGGATGATGACGATACCGATGGAGGAGCGACATTGGCTCGCAGGAGCGTGCGGATAGATGATACGCTCAGAGGGGCGCAGGTCGACACGATCCAAGAAGCAACTGCTAAGGGCAAGAAGTCTGCCCCTCACTCTTCCGCCCAGACGACCGGCAGAACTCCGCTCAAGAACATTTGGGCTACTGAGAAAGCCACGTATAGCGCTTCATCCAGCGCACCGAGCCTGCGCCCTCATGCTGATTCATTGGAAGAGGCCGAGTCCCTATCCAGCTCGCCCATGGCTTCAAGACACTCGCGCTACGCCTCTGCTCTTTCAACTCTGCGCGGTCGGCCAAACGGGCAGCAGCAAGCGGAGGAGGCGAGAGAAACAGAAGGGCTGGGTGTGGATGTGGCGAGCTGGTTGAGGGGCGCGGGAGCAGAGAGGCATTCGGGTAGACCGCCAAGCCTCGTGGGTACGATCAGGGATCAACCTTGGACCCGCAGAGACGTATCGGAGGCTTCTGCGGCTAGCACCACCCCCGTCGCTACGCTGAAAGCCAGAGACGTTACTGGAGTTATAAGCGGTGATGTGGCTGGGACCAACTCGCAAGTGGGCGAGATGGCTGGTATTAGCGCTGGCGAAGAAGCGTTGACAAAGACTGACGCCCCGAAAGCGACTGTAGAAGCGGTGCGCGCAACATCGCTGGCCACAGGAATTGAGCGCGGTGCACGCGACGAGGCGCAAGTGAGCACCAGCAAGGGCTCCGAGCAAGGCTCAGCAATCGCGCTGGCGGACGAGCCATCCCCAAATGAAGCGCAACCTTTCAGACCCGAAAGCATCGCCATGGAGTCGGACGAGGCAGCTGTTTTACTGCCGCAAGGGCCGCGGTTAGGAGGTGGTGGCGGGCAAAGCCAAGAGGTGGTCGAAAGTGTACCCAAGCTCGTCACCTCCTTGCACCCTGGCACAGGCCACGCGCTGTCGGCTCCGTCTGCATCCTTGTCCGCCCCACCTGCGGCAGCAGCAGTGTCTGATGTCGAACAGCCCAATATTCTTTTGAGACCTCCTCCAACACAACCAAAATTTTCTGGCCGGCCCGCTCGCGCTCTATTCGAGTTTGCAGGCGAAGCCACGTTCAACGAATTGACACTCAGAGCGGGTCAAACGTTTGAAGTGCTCGTTCCAGAGTTGCGAGGTGGATGGAGCTTGGCGCTCTTGCGAGATCCGGCCACAGGGGCCGAGAAGAGAGGACTGGTGCCTGTGGGATGGTATTGCTACATTCAGGAGTTTGCTACTTCTCCACACTCTGGTCCTGCAGCTGCACAAGGCATGGGCTCTCCTCCGAAAGCTTTGGCTCTCGACACCATCCCCGAACCAATCTCCGAATGCGAAGGCATAGATGAAGCTCCTTCCTCTGGCTTCACAACCTTACCCGGTTCGACTCTCGGCGCAACGTCGTCATTGATGACGCGTTCCAACTCCAACGCAAGCACGAGCAGCGCGAGCAAGAGGCTGGCCAATGCTCGTGCAGCAGCTGCCAGGACTGGATCTGTCCGGGTTCAATCTCCAATAGATGAAGATGAGCTGAGAAGACCTGCAAGCGGCGTCGGAGTGTTTTCTTCGGGAAGTCTGGGCACTTCACCTGCGCTCAAGGCTTTGGAAGCTTTGCACGCTGCCAACTCTGAGTCTTCCGCCTCTCACACTCAGATTGAGAAAGCTACCACTACTATCAAGAAGCGGCCGCAGACGAATGGTGTGCCCGCCGCGCCAGTAGATGTTCCAGGCAGTGACCTGGAATCGCCTCCAGTCAACTTGCCTACCCACGATCAGCTTCTGTCTTCACATGATGACGGCGTGTCAACCTCAGCGGTCGAGCAAGGCGATGCGACGCAGACCTCGAGCACCTTCACCTGGAAAGGGCCAGGAGGTTTGCTTGGAGGGCGTAAATTCAATCGATTCTCGCCCTTCGTCACTTCGGGAGTGGAGGCATTCTTGCTCTCTCGCAAGCCTCAAGATGTGGCGTCGCATGCGCCATCAAGCTCACATGATGATGGAGCATTCGACTTTGAGGAAGACTCGACAGCTCTGGAGGGGCTTGCTCCGCGTCCACAGGATGTTCAACACGTCACGAGTGGTGCTCATGGACCCGTCTGGAAATCACGAGCAAAAGCATTTCATGTGGTCGTGCACAGTCCGGAAGCGAGGTGGGATAGTAGAGGGGCGGCTTACACTGCGTATGCCGTCACTTCGCTCTTTGGAGACGCTGATGCGGCCCAGTATGCGCAGCATACCGACGCAGAAGGCAAGAGCATTTGGAGCCCTTACGACCCGGCGTTACCACCAGAGACGCCGCTGGAAAGTCTTAGCGTGTGGCGGAGGTTTAGTCAATTCCACTGGCTCGCCCTTTACATTTCGCGGCGGGCACCACTACTCGCTCAGTCCTTGCCGCCCGTGCCCCCCAAGATGAGGGCTGGAAAATCTCGCCTGGAAGCCGCTTTTGTGGAGGATCGCAGGAGAGCTTTGGGCAACTGGCTGGGAAGGCTCATCAGGCATCCTGTTGCCCGCACAGATCCCGGCGTGCTCTTTTTCCTGGGCTGCGCGGACGAGAACGAGTGGAACGCTCGTGCGCCTCGACTGTTGCGCGAAGCGCGCGTTTCGATCGAATCGACCACCTCTTCCTCTGGACCGACAGCCAACTTCTTTGCGCGAACGACGTACGACCCGTGGGGCTTTGATGTGGGTGAAGCTGAAGAGGCTGGCGAAAGGCTGCAGGCTTTCAATGCTGCTTATGAGCGTGGGATGGGCGAGGCTAGCGGACCATTTGGCATGGGCATCATGGGCGCTTTCAATCAGATGAGGGAAACGAGCAGACGCGAAGGTGAAAGCTTCAGACATACCAGCAGAGCCCTCTTGAGGTTGACTACCGGAGCTGGCTTGGGTCCGAAGGGACACGCCGCGCATTCAGAATCGAACGAGAGCGAAAGCGCTTATGGACCTGCTATGGGCAGATTGGGCACGAGGGGAGAGTCGGGAGCTACCAACGAGGACGGAGCTTGGTGTTGGAGGCCTGACTGCAAAGGTGTGTGCTGTGCTTGTGTTTCGCCTTGTCTTGAGTTGCGGACCTGCCTTTGGCCTAATTCGAGTGATGTGCTCACGCTTTGTTTCCTGGGGGCCTCAGACTGCATCGCTGCAACACGTTCCACACAGTCCTTGGCTCTTGCGCTTGAGGATGTAGGCGACTTGCACGATTATCACGCCAGAGAGGCTCTGTTGCTCCAACACGAGCGGTTGCGAGCGCTCAGTCGTCCGGCAGCTCAGCACGCTGTAAGTTGATGCACACTCCGCTTCTGGCATGCGCCGCCCAGTCGCGGGATAGTCTGATCACCGCCGTCCACTTTTGGCAGGCAATCCTCGAGGTCCATCGACAGACTCTAGCCCTGTATCGCGAGGCTGTGGGCGACGACGGAGACGAAGAATCGACAGTGAGAGGTGCTGAGGCAGACGCAATGGCAGCGCGGTGCGAGACGGTGCTCAACATGTGAGTGTAGTCTCCTCTCAAAGTCAACGCTACAAGCGGTAGAGAACTTACGAGCTTTTCTTCTACAGCACCATGAGCGAGATGGACCGCATACATGGCGAGCGGGTCGAAGATTGGATATCGGTCGGGCGGAATCTGCTGGATGACCAAATTGCTTTACACGAGAATGTGAGCGAATGTCAAGCGTCGCGGCTGCACAGCAACGCTGGCTGACCATTCCACAACCCTTGTGCGAGCAGGTGCTGCAGCGATTGCAACAGGCAAGAGCCGACTATCAGAACGCCTCACTGACCAATTTACAAAGCAGCGGTCCAATCTTGCACTCTTCTCAAGCGCTAGCAGAGCTCGTTGATCCGTTATCCAACAACGGTGCTACCGAGCCTCTGGCGCAGCCTACGGCACCGGTACTGCATCCAGGCGTACTGAGTACGACTTTCAGACCAGTCACTCTGGCTGGTGAAATGATTGGCAACCTCTTTGGGTCATCGCAAGGCCCGACGGAAGAAGAGATGGACCGCTCGACTTTAGCGACGGGAGGTAATGGCTATGCACAGAATGTCGGAACTGTTCGGAGCGTGTCTAACGCTGCACAACAGAAATATTTGGGTGAGGGGACGCTGGGGAGCAAGAAGAACACTCCACAAAGCAAGGGTTGGAGCTTTTGGTGACCTGATTGCAGCTGCGTGACAAACTCTCATCACCTATTACACGCCACCTTTTTGTCGCCTGGCCGGGAGCTGCTTGGAAGGCCAGCGGTGGCTCTTATTGATCTTGTCTCACTTGTGTCAGTGCTGAAGCCTCATCAAATGTGTATCTAGCAGCGCACCATGACCTGGATCGATCGTCCACGCAATTTATGGGTCTGGGTCACCTGACCATCAAGAGCGTCGTAACCATTGCATGGGACAGAAAGAGGATAGTCTTCGAGGCAAGCTCCCGTGACGGCACACGTTCAAGCCAGTCGTTGCGTAAGCCAAGGACGCGCGTCCCGTGACAGGCTGTATCCTCGACGTCTGAAAGTAGCCGTGCGTCATCGCAAAGCAGGTGCCTCTTCGCTCGTAGGCCCACATCGCGCCCTCGCTTAGGCCCTGAACCCTTGAGCAGCAAAACTCCGAACCATCGAGCCTACCCTACGGGAGGCCTTGCCCGGCCCCACCTCGGCAAGACTCACTTGTGGGCGCCGCAACCTCGTGGTGGCTGCTGGGACAAATTTCCTGACTCTTGAGGAAAGGCTTCACGAAGAGACTTGGCCAAGACAGATATAGAAAGCAATTAAGCGGCGCAACTCGTGTCCAGTCGCGGGTCAATCAAATTGCTGCCTCTCCACACGCAGACGAAGAGGCATGACTTGGGCTGGGAGAAGGTGCACCTGAACAGCGGCCGGTAGCCGACAAGGGCGCGAGGAGCGCCGCGCTTTGTTCAGACGTTGGGACATACACGCGCGTGCGGCGCTTTTTCCGCCCCAACGAATCCAGACAGCGGCGTTGGGCCTTTGCGGTTATCGGAGCTTGTTTCCTGCTGCATCGCTGCTCGAGCACTCTCGCGCATTCAAATTGCAGCTATCTACGTAGCAAGCTCCGGAGCGGGTGCCACATCAGCACTCACGACCGAGAGGTTGCATATATGGTGTATGTGCCTTTTGGTCGACGTGCTCATTACGACTCACGACTCAAGACTGTTTGTGCATCTCCACTCGACAGACTGGTGGCTCCTCGCACAGTGCTGTGTGGCTGCTGCTGCTGGAAGAGCACGTAGATCGAAGATGTGCAGCTATTATATCATGGCAGACTTGCCCGATTTGTCTCGGTCTGGTCGTTGCTGTGCAACGCAGCCATGCCCGCCTTCGCTGTACAGATTTAACATAGCGCTCGCACGTGAGGTCAGCACGGCTCAGCCGCCTCGCTGACATTTCATCTGAATCGCATTGCCCATGGCCGGGCGGGTTGCGCCTGGCTCTAACACATATCGCGTCGCTCGCATTCCTAATCTGAGTCAAGCGATCATGGCAAATCACAATCACGAGTGAGAGTCTTGTGGGCTGAGGCTTCTGCTCAGCGACCCGGACGTGGGGTGCGGCGTTGACGTAAAGTCAGAAGAGTAGTAGCAGTATGCCTGTCGCGACTCGACGACTTGTTGGATGTGAGCTGATCAGCCGTGCACGCGTGACACAGGTTTGAGGGAGAATCACCAATCAAGAAGCCAGACTGCGGGGCTTTTGCCGGCGAGGCTGTGAAATGCAGACAGTCAATAATAATTAGGTAGCGCGTACATTACCGTACGAGTCTGGTGCATGTCATGCAGCGTTGCAGCTCCAAACCGAGCTCTGCTGGATCGCCGGTTCGCAGCAAAATCATGCAGTATTTGAGTGACCATGCATCATCAGCACGTATAGCACCGACTATATACTGAGAGGTCACCTGATCGACCGTGGGGCTGATGTGTGATGAACGAGTGAGGAAGTGCCGCCCCCGGGCGAGCTCGCAAGAACATGCAAGCAAGACCTGCTGCATCTCGCTCAGAATTTCAACAGGCAATTTGACTCACGACTTACAGTCTTGATGGGACGTCCACACCTGCTTGCTTTCTCCACTGTAATGCTGCTGGCCTGTGTATTTAGCGTGTCCTTATCCATCCGCGCTGCACTTGTGATCTCGCGAGCGCGGCAGTTGAGCAGCGTCCTCGCGCCGACCGCCGTTCGACATCCTGGCCCCAGCGTGGTATCTTCTTGAACAGCTCCGACAATTGAACCTTCTTCGCAATCTGTACACTCTCCATCTCACACTGACATCGCCTTGTGGACAATGCTACTCTGAGTACACCAAGTTACTTTCAATCCTCTTACTACTCCTCCTCCTCATACGCATTCCTTTGCTTTCGCCCTTCTTCATCCGTCGCAGCTACATTCGCGGAACGCGAACCTTCCTATCCAGGTCCGCGCGCGCTACTGCAGCAGTAGCAAGGATTCTTCACGGCCGCGTACACGCCCTCCCCCCGACAAAGCCCCCTTGCTCATCGCAGCGTTGATGACAATCTCACGACTTGCCTTCAAAGCTCACAAAAGCCCCACGATTTCATAGTCGAGGACGGAGACGCACGGCGCGCCACCCCGCCTGCGTGCACGACCTCTGGACAAAGGAGCGCGACGTCCGTCGCGCTGTGCGCCACCCCCCGCTAAAACCATTGAGAGCCTCGGTCAGGGTCAGTAGCGCGATACCGACTTTATCTTCTACAGCCCAGGACTGCAGCTTGCGGTGACATCGGAAAGGTAGGCTTCAGCATCGACTTACGATAGTTGGTGTACACGTGCGGCACTGAAAGAACTTTTCAGCATCGCGCCATCAATACACAGCTGACGCGCGCGCGCTCAGGCCTGTTGTCTGTTGCGTCCGCCTGCGCGATCAGACGACTCAGCCTGCGGCAATCGCGAACGAAGAAGTCATCTCATCAACAACTTGGTGCGACGGGACCTAACCACACCTTGTGGCCGTGCATCAAGTGATTCACACGCGTTTCGCGCTCCTTTGTCTCCGACACCCATCCCTCAACGGGACGCCTTCCGTGCGGTGCCCCCGCACCACTGCGTAGTGAGCAATGACTTCAACACTTTCGTTGCCCCGCACCATGCTCCGTAACTTTGCGGAGCAAGTCTCCAAGAACCCCATCGAGGTGGTGGTGACGATGTTCATCGTGGTCACTTTGGCCTATTTTCAGCTCTTGCACGCCATCTCCACCAGCAACTTTTTCGAGCCTCTGAACAGGGAGGCAGCCGGCTTGGCTGCTGCTTCAGGTTGGGCCTCGATACCCTCAGAACCTCTCAACACCGTACACAGCGCTCTGGAAGAGCATAGCCAGACTGTCTTCATTCGACGCGCTGGAATGGGCAAGCAATGGGAACCCCTCAGCGCTTCTACTGGCACAGTGATCGACGAGCCGGCATCAAACGCTACCTACTCCATCGAGCCAATTCTAGTCGTCGACTCTGAGCGTGGCGGAGACAGCAGCGCGACTAGGCATCTGAGAGATACGGGCTTACCTCGCGTTGCGGACGAAGTGGAGCGCAAGCTGCTGGCAGGCGACAAGAAGATTTCGGTATTCAAAGTGTGCGATAAAGAAGCCGACTTGACGGTATTCGCCCTTGGACGTATTAGCCATGCTGATGCTGGATCCCAAGCCGACGCGCTGAGGCACAAAGCTCTTCTCGAAGCGTCAGAGGATGAGACGGTGATTGCAGAGATTCTGCAGGCTGGCCAGAGCGCTCTTGATGCTGTTGCGCCGGTCATCAGACCCACTTCCGATGACGAAGCAGCGCCCTTGGGACCGCAACTCGTCTTGCTGCCCACCCTGTCTGGCGCGGACGAGAGGCTGGTTGGTCTCGATGCGAGGAGGAGGGGCTCAGCTACCACGCAAGAACTTCGAAGCTTGCGGTGGGCGGCATACACCGTGCGCGCCCTCGTCGTTCGCTTTTGGGCTTTGCTGAGGAAGGCAGACTCGGCGGACATCTTCGTCATGCTCTTGGCGTACGTGCTTATGCACGGCACTTTCATCAACCTGTTCCTGTCCATGCGCAAATTCGGTAGCCGATTCTGGCTTGGTGAGTGGCGCTCAGCCGCACATCGAGTGGACGTGCACGCCATGGCGAAGTGCGAGTTTAGAGCTCATGATTGTCTTCCCTCCCTGGACAGGCGCCTCTGTCTTGACGTCATCGATCTTCGGCTTCCTGTGCGCCTTGACAATGGCATCGGCGCTCGGTGTTGTGGTCGATCCTGTATGCCTCTCCGAAGCGTTGCCCTTCCTCGTCGTGATCGTCGGCTTCGAAAAGCCATTCCTCTTGACTCGCGCAGTCTTTTCGCACCCTTCTTTCGCCCCCGCAACCCAGCCAGCATCGAAATCAAATAGCGACGCCTTCCTATCAGCGCTGAATGACGCTCAGCCCGCAAGTGACAGGGACGCACAGGAGGGCAAGGAGGCACGCGAGTTGACGTCAAAGCCAGCGGTGTCTCCGGAGGAATCTTTCGTGCGCGCGCTGACGCTGCGACTCAAGTCGGACTCATCTTTGCGGTGGGACGCGCCGCAACCAATGTCGGCTCCAGATTTGGTGGTCGAGGCGGTCGACCAAGTGGGCCCTACCATCGTGCGCGACTATCTCATCGAAGTCGGTGTTCTCACAGTCGGTGCAACAAGCGGTGTCAGCGGCTTGCGCGAATTCTGCCAGCTCGCAGCCCTGATACTGTCTTTCGACTGCGTCTTCCTCTTTGCCTTTTACCTCTCCATTCTCACCATCATGGTTGAAGTGCACAGGATCAAGATCATGCGTGGCTTGCGTCGACCCAGACCTGCTACCCCTCCGAATGTGGACTCGGACGTGCCGACAGGCATGTCGAATGCGAGAGCAGAGCCTAATCAGGAAGACGATGACGAAGAAGATGGCTCATCCACTCCTGGAGCCTCAGGAGAATCTCCCGTAGAGCCCGGATCGAGGTCAGCAAAGTCAAAGCCAGGGCGGCCTCTCTGGAAGCGCATCTTCAAAACGGTCCTCGGTACTGTCCCGTTCGAGCACAATCGACAAGAACGCCAGAATCCCGTGGCACGGCTGAAGGTGCTCTTGATCACAGCTTTCATTACCTTGCACTCATTCAATCTGGTCTCGACGCTGACCACTCAGTCCGCGATCACTCGCCATCACGCCATCGACTCCTCCTCTCTACATCGACACTTTTCCGAGTACAGCAATGTGTTTGACCTTCGGGCGGACTCGCCAGTGCTTTCGAAATTCCTGTCCAAGTTGGACAGCAGTGAGCCCGCCTCGGCGAACCTCATCGCACGCGTCTCGGACCCGCTCATCTATGTGCTGGTAGACGGCGCTCCTGCCGCCGCTGCCTCGCGCACCGCTCTTGCAAGTGCTGCTCTAAATGCATCTGGCGGAGGCGGCCTTCCTCCGACATCCTCCACCATCGGCAGCTCGGTAGGTGGAGGTGCTGGTGCCAACACGGGGGGCCGAGGCGCGTCCTCACTCGCCGTGCTTGATAGCTTCATGACTGGATGGACCTTCATTGTCGGGGACCCAATCATTAGCAAGTGGATGTCGCTGGCACTGGCTATCAGCATTTTCCTGAACGCATACCTCTTGAAAGGCATCGCGTCTGGCGACGCTGCTGTGGCAGAGGGCAATGCGACAGGCGCGGCGGCTTTTGCTGCGGCACGCATGATTGGTGCTCATCTAGACAGGGAACGCAAAAATAGCGGCAAGAGCACCAAGCAGGTATTGCACAAACCCCGATCAGAGCTGGACGCGTACAATAGACGCATTGCGGATATTTCGGCTGCAGAGCGCTCCAAGTCGAAGCTGTCCCAGGTCAGCGAGGGCAAGCCAGGTTCCCACACTAATGCGATACCAGCCTCTGCGATCACTAGCGACGCTGGCGATGCTGTGCGCAAGGTCAAACAATCCGGCAAGGTGCCGTCGATCTCTACAGACCAGCCCACTAGCGATGGTGACAACACGCCCCAGCTCGGCCATGCCGCTCTGGTCGATGAGTCTGGCGATCGCGTGATTCGTCCCTTTGAGGAGTGCCTCGACCTATTCGCTGGTGGCGCTGGCGTCTTCCTACTGAGCGACGAAGAGGTCATCCTTCTGGCGCAAAAGGGCAAGATTGCAGCTTATGCTCTCGAAAAAGTGCTGCAGGACAACAATCGCGCGGTGCGAGTCCGTCGGGCACTCATTTCCCGCGCCTCCGCCACCAAAACCCTGGAAAGCTCGCTCTTGCCCCACCTCGACTACGACTACGCTCAAGTGATGGGCGCATGCTGCGAGAATGTGGTGGGGTACCTGCCCCTACCAGTCGGTATTGCGGGGCCCTTGAACATTGACGGCCAACAGGTGCCGCTTCCGATGGCCACTACCGAAGGAACCCTTGTCGCCTCGACTTCCAGAGGTTGCAAAGCTCTTAACGCCGGTGGAGGCGTAACGACCGTGCTGACTCAGGATGCAATGACGAGGGGCCCCGCTCTAGACTTCCCCAGCATTACTGCAGCAGCTAGAGCGAAACGCTGGGTCGACAGCACAGACGGAGCGGCGATTCTGAAGGCAGCATTCGACTCGACTTCGCGCTATGCTCGCTTGTCCTCCTTGCACTCTGTCCTTGCCGGCCGGACACTCTACGTGCGATTCGCCACCTCGACGGGTGATGCGATGGGTATGAATATGATCGGAAAAGGCGTTGAGCAGGCGCTGAGCGTCATGAAGAGCAGGCATTTCCCGGAGATGCTCATCCTGTCCCTGTCGGGCAACTACTGCATCGACAAGAAGCCAGCAGCCATCAACTTTATCATGGGTCGCGGCAAGAGCGTCGTTGCCGAGGCGACTATTCCTGGCGACGTGGTCAAGAATGTCCTCAAGACTACAGTGGCCGCCTTGGTGGATCTGAACGTGAAGAAGAACCTGGTCGGGAGCGCAATGGCGGGGGCCATTGGAGGTTTCAATGCGCACGCCGCCAACATTCTCACCTCTATCTTCATCGCAACCGGACAAGATCCGGCGCAGAATGTGGAAAGCTCCATGTGCATGACGCTGATGGAAGCCATCAACGATGGCAAGGATCTGCTGGTGACATGCTCGATGCCCAGCATCGAAGTTGGAACAGTGGGAGGAGGCACAGCGCTATCGCCTCAAAGATCCATGTTGAATCTTTTGGGCGTGGCAGGCGCGCACCCAACCACCCCCGGAGCTAACGCTCAAAGGCTGGCACGAATCATCTGCGCAGCTGTCATGGCGGGCGAACTTAGCCTGATGGGCGCCCTGTCCGCGGGTCACCTGATCAGAGCGCACATGCAGCACAATCGCTCTGCTCCTCCCACTCCTGGCGCTCAAACGCCGAGGTTGCAAATCCCCCAACCTAGCTTTGGAGCCATGACCCCATTAGTCGCTCCGCCCGTCGAAAGCACTAGGGGATCTCCAACAGGCAGCGTGAGGGAACGAAGAGCCGCATCGACCGGCTAGCCAAGATGCTCAAGCCGGATCACGTGTGCTGCACATTGCTTTGACACCTCACATCTGTCGAGCATGCTCTTCACCTTTTCTTGTAAATGCTTCTCCTCTTTTCCTCGCTAGCTCTGTTGGAGCCCCCGCATACATTACACTGCACACGCAAGCAAGGATGTCGAAGCTAATGAGAACAAAAAAAGGTACATCGGATTGAGACCTTCTGATGACATTGTGTTGCGGGCGTTGGTGTCCTTTGCTACTACAATCTGCTTTGCCTCATGCGTGACTTTGATTTCGCCACGCATTCCTTTTACCGTTCCGAGGTCGGCGCGATTGGATCGCCCGTCGCCTTCTCCGCGGCTGACTTCGGGACAGTAATTTCCGCGGACGAATTGCTTCCCGCCTGCTCATCGCTGTTTGTTGCCGCCTCTTGAGGGTTTTCCTTGTCCTTCTCGCTGGTTTGCTTGGTGGTGGCGGCGGTGGGAACGGCGACGACAGCAGCAGCAGCAGCAGTCTTCTTTCTCACCACACCGGCAAAACCTTCCCTCTTTCTCTTCGTAGCGGATTTCCTGCCGCTTGTGTTGCTCGATGGTGCGAGAGGAGGCAGGGTGGCTGAAGCTGCATTAGAAGGCGCCGTGGATGGACCAGCGTTTGTAGTGCTGGAAGTGCCGGTGGCAGAGACTAGAGGAGGCGGCGTGGGACTCTTGCGCATGGCAGCTCTGGGCTCGTCGAGCATCACGAGTGGCATGAAGCGTCACGAGGCATGTGGTGTAAGGCAAAGACCTGCGGTTCTCAGATCTGCGGTGCCCTTCGCAAAGATGCCCTTGGGCTGTGCTGAATTCGACAAATGAGCGCGAAACACCAAGACTCACAATCTGAACGCTTTGAGCTCTTCGAGCTCCTTCTTTTTCTTCTCCGCCTCTTCCCTTCGTCTCTCGTCCTGAACATCGGACAGAAAGACGCTCTCCTCGTCATCTATCCCTCTGAATTGATTCGACAGCTTGTACTTCTCATCGAATGCTTCTTGTTTGGCAGCTTTTTGCGCTTGAAGACGCTGAGCGCCGGAGAGCATTGAGTTTGGCATGTAAGGAGCGGGCTAAGGGCGCAGACCGAGCACTGGAGCACTCACTTCGTATAATGTACGAGGATCGTAAGGCTGATCGTCCTCGGTCGGCGGCGGTGCTTGTCCAGTTCTAGCGTACGCAGCTCTTCTTTCTTCCTCCTTCTCTGCACTCGAGCCCGAGACAGGTGCGGGTAGCTTGGTATCAGCCACTAGTCGCTATGAGCAACCGACTTCCTTGATCTAGGTGCTGTATGGGTGCGATGATGTTTGTTTTGTCTGGCGACACTCACTCTGTTGAGCTTCTTCCAGCGCGTCGGAACTGACGAACCTGCTGCCTACTCCACCCGACGAGTATGGCTTTGGTCCGCTACCGGATGCGAAGCGTGGATCCATCGTGCAATATAGCAAGTTGTCCGGGTCAGTCGTCGAGAGGAGTGAAGGTTTCCCCTTCTTCCTGATCAGGTCGGATGTTCTGCCTCCTCAGAGGAGATCGGGGAGGCGCTAAGAGTCGTGGATTGGTGATGCGAGCGATCGAGGCTTTTCTGGAGCGCTCGACAGCACACGGAGAACGAAGTCAGCTTGTCCGTCCTGCGCAAACACGCAATGCTCGGCTTTGTACGTACGCGAAGGTGTAACGAAGTGGTCGAAGGCAGCATACATGCTGCGAAGCTTCTCAAAATCTTTGAGTCCTTGCGCGGGTGAAAGTCAAGTTGGCGCGCGATTCACGATTGGAGAATACGAACGGGTCACGAGTCCGTGCGCGGATGGGGGCTGCTGCTGCATCACGCTGCACGCATTGTGATTCGTGATTAGTGCTGCTCATGCAATCAGTCACGAATCGTGAATAAAGTAGTCAGAGTGATCTCTGGTGATGTAGCCTCACCAGCAAAAAGGCAATCAAGAATCATCGACCGCTCTGAATCTCTCTCTTTGATTTACACCGCACCACCCTGTCCGTGTCTTTTGCTAGCTTCTTCGACAGCCGTGCGCTGACCCCCCGGTGTTGCACTACAGACTTGTCTCGTGAGCAGAGGCTGCATCGCAATCAAGGATCAAGAGCAAGTCACCTTCTTGCCTGCCAACAACACGGCAAGCATGGCGCTCGAGACAGCTCCAAGCTCTGCCATTCAAGGCGCATCCTCATCGTCAACCACGGCTCTCAAGACTTTTGATATTCTCAACGATGTGATCACATTGGATGCTACAGATTCGGTCTTTGCGTACGATGCGGACGAGCAGAGAAGGATATTGAACGAGAGCCCTTGGAAGAAGGAGTGAGTCAAATGTGGACAGCATTGAGACTGCCCAAACAAGGCTACGGTAGCCCGCCCTGTCTCGCCCTGCCTCGAGCTCGAATCTCGCTCACACTGCCCCACGCGTCTTGTGCGGTCAACCTCTTCTGCAGCCCACACTTCTTCCAGAGGGTGCGCATCTCTGCTGTAGCGTTGATCAAGATGGTAATGCATGCGCGCTCGGGTGGGATATTCGAAGTGATGGGATTGATGCGTGGAAAGGTGGATCCAGTCACTAGAACGCTGGTGATCATGGATGCATTTGCCCTACCCGTGCAAGGAACAGAAACCAGAGTCAATGCTCAGAATGAAGCGTACGAGTACATGGTCGAGTTCCTAGAGAGCAGCAAGGCGGTGAGTGAGAATGAGGATGTTGAATCAGCTCTGAGTGGTCCGAGTGCGTAGGTGCTGAGCCTCAAGATATCCGTCGCAGGTCGGGCAAATGGAAAACATCATTGGGTGGTATCACTCCCACCCTGGGTATGGCTGTTGGCTTTCCGGCATCGACGTCGCCACCCAGATGACCAATCAGCAATTTCAAGATCCATTCGTGGCGGTAGTGGTGAGTGATCACTGGCATCCGGAGCCAGAAGTGATGCTGATTGACCCGCACGATGTGATTGCAGATCGATCCGAACCGTACCATCTCCGCCGGCAAAGTGGACATTGGAGCATTCCGAACGTACCCGGAAGGGTACAAACCACCCTCAGCAGGTCCGTCCGAATATCAATCCATTCCACTGTCCAAGATCGAAGATTTCGGAGTTCATGCCAACAGCTATTATCCCTTGACGATCGAGCACTTCAAAAGCAGTCTAGACACCTCCCTGCTGGACCTGTTGTGGAACAAATACTGGGCGTCCACGCTAAGTCAAAGTCCATTGGTGGTCAATCGATCGTACGCTACGGGTCAAATCAAGGATTTGTCGGATAAATTGAGCAAAGCTTATCCCAGCGTCAGACAGAGAAGCTCGGCTATAGCTCCTTTGAGCAAGGAAGATCTGGAAGCAGACGACGAGCAAGGACCGCATGCTCTTTCTTCCGCGTCCAACGAAGGATCTAATGCGGTAACGCAAGGGGCGAACGCGAAGCACAGGGACGTCAAGTTGACGCCTCAAAGACTTGCCAAGTGGCAGGAAGAGATTGGCAAACGTGAAGAGGAGACACCGCTGGCCAGAGCTGCTAGAGACGCGTGAGTAGAGAAGAGGTTGTTGGCGTATGGGGCGTCCGACATGTTCACCATGCTCACACGGCTCGACCATGACGGCCTCGGTTCCTGTCGCACAGAATCAGAATTTCGGACGAAGCCTCCCACGGAATCTTGGCGCAGAACCTCAAACATACGCTATTCAATCTGGCTGGAGATCGAGGCCAAGGAGCGTCGAGGAAAGGGCAAGAACAGATCAATGTTGCGTCTTAGAGAGACGATGCCTGGTTGCCTGCGAGGTGGAGCTGGCTGCCTGCGAGGTAGAGCTGGCTGAGGGTGCCCTACGCAATCAGTGGATCCTCCAAAACTTCAAACTCAAAAGGCGCGGTGTAGTCTACTGAGACGAAGTCATTCGAGAGGAGTTGCCTCGTTTTTCACACTCAAGACGATGATCTCAAGACCTAATGATTGCACGTTCTGAGTGCATGGTGTTGGTCGAGGAGATCTGGCTGATCCGTTCGAGAATTTGATCTGATGTTCAAGCTGGAATCGGCAAGCCCCTCATCCGAAAGGACTGGTCAAGCTGGCGTGGGATGTTTAGTACAAGGCGCATGATATCCTGATGGATTCATGGACACTCACGACTCGTGACAGACTTTGCCACGCGAGGCGTGTGAATACTTTGCAGGTCTGAGCGCCAAGGCTCGGCGCGATTGCTACTGGTGCCGAGACGGGTGCCGATTGCCACTCATACAGTCGCGAGGGCTGGTAAATTCATTGATAGTGGGCCAATAGTAGTAGGGCACTCAAAGCAAAGCGGAAGTCACAATCGTGCAGTGCGGTGCTGCTATGATATCGGCAACATCTGCGTGGCTGTTGCGCACATCTTGATGAGATGTGGATCAGCTGGCGTGGGTATTTGACTGTTGTGACTTTCGGCTTCGTGGCACTCGGCGTGCAAATCCTTGCAATCGAATCAAGAATCCCCAACACGCTGGCTAGATGGTGTGCTCCAAAGACGCGAGCGACGACCGTTTAGCGCGACTTTTGACCGCAAGCGGTCACGCTCGACCACACTGGTGGTTTCACCGAATCTTGTATGGGCCCACACTTGAGCACGACGAGGCGAAGCCCATCTCTCAACGCCTTGAGCACGCATTCTCTGTCATTTACGACTGCCACTGACCAGTCCGAGCGACTGATCAGAGTCTGCTGGATGCAAGACTCCTACGGAGAAGGATAGGATGATCGAGACAATTAGTCGTGAGTGGTCGGTCGCGAGCGCGAGTCAAGGTGTACGAGGAGGCCGAACGGTGATCGAGGAGTCACGCTCAGACTCATCACGACTTCAAGCTGTGCAGACGCGCAAGCGGTCGCGCTTCTATACGCATCACGATCATACATGACGTCATGTCCACCCATCCAGTGATTGCTACCCATGCAAGCGAATCGCATGCAGAGGAATCGTGCCTCTCGACTTCGAGCCGTCCACATCGCCAGCTCTAAGCGAGGCCGATGAAGGGCAGTCCTTGTCGAAGCTTGGCACGCTCCAACATTCGTGATTGACAGCATCGACGGGCCCGGAGGCTGATTTCGTAAGCTTGCCATGTTGAGCTCTGAGCATAATGATTCACGATTACCCATGTTGATCAGCAGTCAGAGTCAAGTCCAGAACAGCTAGCAAGTCACGAGTGCAAGCTCAGGACTCAGCATCAAGTCACGAGTGCAGGCTCAGGACCCAGCATCGTAAAATCACGAATGACGAATAGTCACGAAGCGCGAACTCAAAACTGTGAATGGATGGCATTTGGTCCGATTTCCTCATTCTGATCATTCGGACCCCGACGTGTTGGTTCGCAGCTAGCGGTAAGGGTCCTGCGCGCCTCTGTACCCGCCGTCTGCGACATGGTTCACCTTGTCTTCCTCAGCAGGCCTCAAACACGGAGCCCTCGCAGTCCAAACGGGGCCGAGGCCGATCTAGCACCGCCTCCTTGCCGGAGTTGCTTGCTCGCGCTGCTATAGGACCCAAGACCCTAACAAAGGTAGCATTTACAACAAGTGCCGGATGATCAAGCATCACTTCAGAATCACACACGGCTTTCTATACACTCATTCATGACTCACGAATGCATCTCAAAGATGAACTTCGCTGTGTGTCAAACTCAGATGCGGACTCCGTTTTTGTCTAGGCTTGGGCGAGACAGAGGTGAGGGGCCGAGCGTCGGACGACAATCAAAAGTCACGAACAATGGGCGGATCAAAATCGCGAACAAATTTGAATCAGGTATCGCAAGTCTTTCGATGAGACCTTCGCAAATGCTGGTTCGAGACCAAGCAGCTTGGTTGTACGTCGATCCCACGAAGCACTCGCGGTGTCCATCACCTCGACGTGGATCGAGAGTCGAAAGTACAGGCAGTCGCCTGTTGCAGTTTTTGAGTCTTTGAGTGAGCCGGTCTCCTTCATACTCACGCCCCTGCCGAGCTTGCACGTTCCCGTGACTTTCCCCCGAACGACGGCATGCAGATATTGCGCTCGCAAGTTGCCACGCTAACCTCGTTAGGCCGGAAAGGGAGTGCGGGCGTTCCCAAGCCACCTCTAGGGTTGCCCCAGTGGAGCGGTACGGTACCAGCATTGCACTGTGCCACCAGTAGCCATGCAGCAGTTACAGTTACCGTGAGTCGGAGTGCCTGCCTGCTGCTTTGGCTGCAAGCGCGATGGATGTCGAGGATCAGCTAAGCGGCAACACGATATGCATCAGCACCAACCTGGATTTGGACCATCGTCAAGGATCTCTCTGCGACGAGCTCGATCAATTCGTGACTCGTATATACTTCCTTTGTTTCCAGTTGATCTGGTGGCTGACGACTTGTGCGCAGCATGTTGGTGACTTTTTCAATTGCACCAGCAGCACCGAGCTTATATACAACAGCCCCTGCGGGCGGAATGCTCGTGATTCAAAGTATGATAGAGATATGCACGAGTCAGAGTCGTTCATGTTTACTGTACGGAGGATGCAACAATTAGCATCACGCGCACGCAGCAGCAGCACCATGCACCGCATTCGACGGAGTTTGAAACCAGTCGAGCCGAGACCTGCGCGAGGCTATGTATGGGATCACACATTTTTGGTCGCCGCTACAAAAAAGGACCCGGTCATGTTTGCGTAGCCATCATAAGGGTCTGCGGAGGCGGACATCGTTCTTTCAGCCGCGCGTCGTCATGTTAATGATAATCGTGAATAATATAGCAGTCGAATTGAGAGGTCCGAGCGGTCATTCGGTGAGATTGGAGATATCTCGGCGTGGTATATCGTGCTACAGTATGGGCTACGGCAACGGCATCAGCTGCAAGCATGCATGCATTCGTGATTCGCTTCGCACGTCGCAATGCCTTTGTGGAATATGCGACAACGTGAACGCATGCAAAACATTCGAGTCAGGACGGCTCGATCTCGATCTGGCGCTTGATCGAATTTCGCCGCGGCATATGTTGGGAACACGTAGCGACATATACGCGGCGTAGAAGCCAAGACTTGATTGCGTTGATGAGGCTGCGAATCTTGTAGTTGCGATGCGTCCACAGCAGTTCCGCGAGATGGCGTGCCGTGGCCGTTGGGTTCCTGCTAGACGTATCTCAGCACCGTTATGCTGCCGGCAAGACATACGCACCGACTCACTGGTGACTGACTGCAACGGACGTCGATGATCCACGCGCGCACGCACGCACGTTCAGGCTTCGATCTGAACGCCGGCCTGCAAAGTGATGCACCGCAATCGTCGCCCGCGCTGATGGAAAGGATTGCCTTGCCATGCTTGGCTTAGCGCGCTTTGGGAAAGCGACCCGACGCGGACATTCAGCGGTAACCCTCTGCAGTAGAAGGTCAAAGCGATCAGTCTTGCAGGTCAGGGCCCTCCCTGCCTCTCGCAATCTCGCGCATTCGCGCACTCGCACAGAACACCATTCGGCATGCATCCTCTAGCTCTGCTGGCATTCTGCTGCCGCCGCCTCAACCGAGAACCTAAGGTGAGCTGCTTTCGGGGTTCTTTGTCGCTTGCGTTCGCGCATACCCGACGCGCCCACGATCTTTCTGGTGCTTATTTGCGGTTGCTGCCCCGATGCCTCGCCGCATCGATCTCCCTGGATACGAGCGCAGCGAGAGAAGACCAAGAGTGGCTGCTGACTGGCTGCTGCTGGAGCCAAGCATAGAAGAGCTGCACACAAGCGCTTGAATTACTTCATCCTCTGACGTAGCTTAGCGCGGAGTTTTTCCTTACGCGCGCCTATAGCTGGCCCCCCCACCGCGCGCCTCCGTCCGTTCGGCCTCTGCTCCTTCGCTCATCCACTGCCGACGTGCCACTCGCGTTGCGCACAACCAAACCCTGAGCCCGCACGCGGCGTGAGACTGCTCACAAATCGCTTCCGTCAAGGCACGCGGCATCTGGTACTCACACTGATGAGGCTCTGCTCCTTCCCGCCCGCCTCTTCTCTCGATCTAGCCCCTTCCCCCTCCGCCTTCACTCTTTTCAAAGTCCGGCTCGTCGTGAGACGAGTCGCATCACAATCGTTTATAACAAGGGATCGATCTCTTCGCAGTCTGCTTTGCGTCCACCTCGCTCAATCACCACCCATCATCACTTGCCTGTGTAGCAACCCCAGGTGTCCGCAAGTCGCGTCGCGAACACGCTTCACACCATGGCGTTTCCACCAGCGCTGCCGAGCCTGGCAGCAGCTCTCTTCGCCCTCAGCGCCCTGCCATCCGCAGTGATGGCTCAACAAGACAACGACCCGAGCTCAGCATCCACTTCCACCGTCGTCTCCTCCCTCATTCTTAACGGCGTTATCTTTGGTGTGGAGATTCTCGTCTTCTTTCTTCTCAGACCCCGTTTCCCGCGCATTTACCAACCAAAGAGTGTTCTCGGTCCCCGAAAGTGAGTGCTCGAGGGCGGGAGAGACGAGACGAGGCGATTTCGCCAAGGATCCTTTACTCACCCTATCCTTTGACGCTCATCTCACTCTCAATCTGCAGTGAGCGCACTCAACCTCTGCCAAAGAGCCTCTTTGGCTGGGTCCCGCAGTATCTCAAGACGCCCACCACCGAAATAATCTCAAATCAGGGAATCGACGCGTTTCAATTCGTCGACTACTTGGAGATGATGATCTGGATTTTCGTGCCCATCTGGGGTTTCACCTGGGTGTTCCTCATGCCCCTGTACTCTGTTCAGTCCACTGGTGGCAAGACCGGCTTTGACATGTTCACTTTCGGCAATGTCGGTACACCGAGACGTGAGCAGTTGCGTTACATTGGTGTGCTCTTTGCACAATGGATCGTCACATTCTGGATTTTGTACAACATCCGCAAGCGTCTCAGCCTCTTCGTTCAGAGGCGTCAGCAATGGCTCGTCTCGCCGAAGTACAGTCAGTCAGCCCAAGCCAAGACCATTCTCATCACGGGTGTGCCCAACGACTATCTCTCTGAGCGTAGGCTAGAGAAGATGTACGGTCAGCTTCCTGGAGGTGTTGCAAAGATCTGGCTTAACCGCAACCTCAAGGACTTGCCAGAACTCGTACAGGACCGCAGCAAGGCTCTCAACAAGCTCGAGTCAGCCGAAGCCAAGCTCGTCAAGCTCGCTCTTAAGAAGGTCCGCAAGGGCAAGGTGCAAGCTGGCGGCGAGGAGCACGCAACCGACAGCGAGATGACCGTCGAGGCCGCAGACAAGTACGTGACTCGCAAAGAGCGACCTAGTCACAAGCTCGGCGCCCTCGGCTGCTTTGGAGAGAAGGTCGACACGATCGAGTGGGCACGCGAGGAAATCGCCAGACTCAACAAGGAAATCGGCGACCAGCGCGAGAACCTCACCGACTTTGAGCGCTTCCCACCACAGAACAGCGCATTCATCCTCTTCAATCGTCAGATCGCAGCAGCGATGGCCCTCAAGGCTCACGCTCACCACCAGCCTTACCGCATGGCTTCTCACTACGGCTCTGCTCACCCCGGCGACATCGTCTGGCCCAACCTGAACATGAACCCTTACGAGCAAAAGATCCGCACAGCCATCTTTTGGGCTGCCACGCTTGGTCTCGTCATCTTCTGGATCATTCCAGTGGGTTTCGTGGGTATCGTGTCCAATCTTACCGGCCTGTGTTCAGACGTCTCTTGGTTGGCTTGGATGTGCATGATCGAGCCCGCAAGCGGTATCATTCAAGGTATTCTGCCCACGGTCTTCCTTGCCGTGCTCAACATGCTCCTGCCAATTGTGCTCCGACTCTTCGCCAGACTCTCTGGAGTGCCGACGTACACGGGCATCGAGCTTAGCTTGATGGACCGATTCTTCCTCTTCCAGATCCTCAACAACTTCCTCTTCCTCACCATTTTCTCTGGTGTCGCGCAGGGTGTGGGCCCGATTGTCGACGCTCTTTCAAATCCTCAAGGGCTGCCCGCTCTCCTCGCGAAATACATCCCGGGCGCTTCCATCTTCTTCCTGTCTTACATTGCCCTTCAAGGTCTGACCGGTGCAGCATCCGGCTTCATGCAGATTGTGCCCCTCGCAATTTTCTACGTCAAGGCTTTCCTCCTCAACTCCACGCCCCGAAGCGTCTGGCACATCCAGAACGACATGGGATCGCCTGCTATGGGTACCACTTTCCCCGTGACCAGCTTGCTCAGTGTCATCGCCATCGGCTACATGGTCACCGCGCCAGTAACGGCAGGGTTTGCCAGCGTCTCTTTCATCCTCTTCTTCTTGCTTTACAAGTACCTCTATCTTTACGTCTACGACGTCAAGCCCGAGAAGGAGACTGGAGGTCTATTCTTTCCCAAAGCTTGCGCGCAGCTCTTCTATGCTCTCTACCTGGAGATGGTCATTCTCACTGTTCTCTTCTTCGTGGCTCAAGACGATCAGCTCAACCAATCTGCCATCCCTGAAGGCGCATTCATGATCGTCCTTATCATTCTCGTCGCCATGTTCCATTACACGCTGTTCAATTCTTTCGGCGACCTCTTTACCGCCTACCCGCTCTCTCTTGCTCCCAGTGAGCAAGAGGAGAAGGCTGCCATCTTGGACGACGCAGCCACTCGTCACGACTCCAACTCCTCTCCCGGAGAAAAGCAGAAGACGCAGGCCCATGCTGCAGGCGGATCTACGGCCATCGACATCGATGGACCTAACAGCAAGACTAATCTGGTGGAGGACGAGGATGCGGAAGAGGATCCCATGCTCGCTTTCCAGCATCCTGCTACCAAGGATCCTCAGAGAACGCTCTGGTTCCCCAACGACAACCTCGGCTTGGGATCCGCAGCTGTTGCTGGAGCCCAGAGGCACGGTCTGGAGGCGACGAACAGGAACAACGAGGTCAACGAGAAGGGTCGCATCACTACCGACGCTCGTGTACCTCCCGGCGAGACGCTCAACTAAGCTTCTCGCGTGCGGATCACGTCGCACATTGGTTGGCCTGTGCCGACTTATCGACTCGAAAATTCAGTATACCAAGCTCGTTTCCCTGCTTCACGCCACGCCTCCCCTTTACCACCCTACACCTTCAAGCCAGAAAGCAATCTGCCACTCCTGCTCTTCTTTTCACACTTTCCTTTGCTAATCTTTTGCACGCTTGAACCTTCTCGTGTAACATCACTTGACCCGTGCTGCTTCAGCAGACACCGCGCAATGAGAAAGTACGGCTAGCGAAAGGTGTGCGCTAGTCAGTGTGATGACTGGAACGCGACAACAGGGCTCAGCTGACCACCGTTGGCAATCAGATGTGAATTTTAGGCCCAGAAGACACGCATTGATAGTGTAAAGGAGAACAGAGTTGCATCCCGATCGTGTGTCCGTCGTGACAAAGATTACAATATCCAAAGCGTCGAGTGTGGGTATTGTACATGAAATAACACGATCGCCGGCAATTTGGCTCTCCACTACGAGGCGTGCATGCGTCGCCTGAAGTTGACACGACGTCTCCGCTGAGCAGGAAGCTGCTTGGAGCTGCACGCCCTCCTCCTTAAACATCAAAGTTGAGCAGCTCGAGGTCGTCTTGGTCTACATGCCCATCGCGACGAGCCGAATCGTCCTGCTCGTGCAGAGCCCAAGTCTCGTCCTGATCAAAGCCAAAAGCGTGCTTTGCATCTTCGTGCCCCGCGAGCCCAGCAGTCTCGTGCGACGTGTCCCTCTCGTCCAAGATGATTCCTGGTTCCCCTGAAGCTTGCTCTTGCTCTTGCTCCTCTTGCTCCTCTTTGGCTTTGATCTCTTCTGCTGTGAGGAAACGTCCTCCCGGTCCGCGCGGCCTACGCATGGCGTGTTTGTGCCGCGACTCGTGCTGATACGGCTATACGTGACACAGGTTTAGGATTGAAGCGAATCTTGTCAGCGAACAACTTTGGCTCGGGGCAGCTGAGCATTGATTGAAGAAGAAGCTCACCTTGGTCAGATCGAAGCTGCTCAAGTCCATCTCGCCAGCATCCTTGGCATTCTTCAGCGTGGTCCTCGCTATGTCTATTCTTCTTTTTCTCTCTATCCTCTGACGAGCCGCTCTGCGCTTCAAAATTCGCTGATACTGCTTCGCATTGACATAGAGCGGCTCTTCATCCGCGACCCCATCGCCAGCAGGCACGGCGCTCTTGGCGTCCAAGTGTGCTCCGTCCGCCTCGCCGATGAGCCCTTTTGCGGAATCGAGGCTATGATCACCTAGATTGCTCTTGTACAGCGTGTCCACATCTCGGTGCGCTGCGTCCCGCACTCTCAAAGGCTCGTCGTCCGCGCCATCAATGTGCGAAGCGCTCATGTCGAAACCTGATAGGGGGTCGGAGGTGACGTGTTGTTCAAGTTCATCGCCTTCCAGTAGCGTGCTGGCCTTGGCAGCATCGTCCGTGTACAGCGTTTCGCCCAAGCCCACATCAGCGCGCCGGGCACCGGAGCGCTGAACGTTGGCACCTCCAATTGGACTGCCTGGCCCACCTCCCTGCTCGAGCCAGCTATGAACCAGACTTCGAGCTAGATCGCCGCTCGAAACACCTGCGCGGAGTGCCAAACTTTTGCTGTTTTTAGCGTCCCGTCCGACGTGCCTTTCGTCCGATTCTGCCAACTTCCGCCTCTTTGCAGGGCCTCGCCGCGCTTTTGGACGTACAGTTCCGCCGCCTGCCGAGTCGTCCTGATCATCAAACATGAACGGCAAGGTTCCAGCTGGATCTGCTGCGCCATTGTATAGTGGAGCTGAGGCGGCTTGCTGGTGACTATAAGGGGACACGCCTTCGCCTAGTGGACCTCCGTAAGGCGAAGAGTAGTACGTGCTCATGCCGGACGGATGTGTGCCTTGCAAGCTACCAGCTGGATGTTGATAATCTACATAGCTTTCTGGTGGTCGGTGTGGGTCATGATGGAAGCCACCGGAGCTCCACAGAGCAGAAGAGCCGGGTGTATGCGCTTGATGATGAGGGTGATGTGACTCGTAGTCCGACACGTAGGAGGAAGCGGATGGTCCGGCAATGGTTGAAGCAGCACCAAAGCTGCCACCAGAATTGCTGTGAGAAATGTAGAAAGCTGGAGAGCTGGCGGCTGTAACACCTCCTGCGCCTCCAAAGGCAGTGCCGAAATGCCCATTGTTTGCAATGGAGGAGCCGCGTGAGAAGTGGTCGTCATATCCAGCGGTGTGGCCGAGATGCTGCAATGAGCCGAGCGGAAAGCGTATATACGTGAGCTTGCGGCGGCCACGAAGTTGAGTTTCACTCGCATGGCAAACATGACCTCTCTTCCTCTCTTCCTCTCTTCCTCTCTTCCTCTCTTCCTCTCTTCCTCTCTTCCTCTCTTCCTCTCCCCCTCTGTCCCTCTGTCCCTCTCTTCCCTTCGTCTCAACCACATACATTCGCTAGCGTGATACAACAAGGTGCGCGAGCGCTTGCCAATCAATAATGCTTAGTAGGGGGACTGCTTCAGACGCCAGGCGCTCGTGGTACCAAGCATTTGCATCCAACGCCACTATACTCCTCTCAAGATGGTGACACATCTCCAGAGTACGAGCCTCAAAGACCTACTCACGTCTCCGCTTTGGTGCATTTGCATCGCCATGCTTCTCGTGCCAGGTCCAGGGCCTGCTTGCCCAATCGTGTGCTCCCCTTCCCCGCCCCCGTTCTGTGTGTGTGTCGTGTTGACAGGTGAATGAGGAAAGAAGGGCGATTGATGCGCTTGCATAGCCATCGAGCCGCTCTTCCTCGAGAATGAAACCTGCAGACTTCAGGTTCCAAAATCCTTATGGCGAGAGAAAGCAGGTCGGCGCGAACAGCATCAAGCGGACGAACGTTTGCTGGGAATCGACTACGGTCCAGGTGATGAGGGAGTGATGCTGAGGTCAGGACGATCACTGTTGGGTGATCTCAATGAATGAGCTCCAAATGGATCTCAGTCCATCTGATCGATGGAAGAAGTAGAGCTTGCGGCGAACTCTGAATTTCTTGATCAGGTCGGTGATACATACGTTGCCGATGCTGATCGAAAAGGCATGCACGCGCTCTTCCAATTTCGGGCCTTGGTGGCCTACTTGCGTGGCGTTCCGAAGCGCGTGAAATGAGTTCAATGCACGCCAAGGGGGACCAGCAGCGCGTGATGTGGATATATCGAAGAGGGCGGGCGCGCGGACCGAGCCAAAGTACGTACCAGTTTATACGGGAAGTATGAGTGACGGAGGAGTGTCGAGATTGGTAGTGTGGCCATCAATCAGGAGCGGAAGATCCGAGTCACTTACGACTGAAGTCACGAGCGAGTCTTGATCGCAGTCAGACTCAAGACTTGATTCACGCCGCTGAATGCTAGCTAGCCGTACTCACACGCCACTCCTCCGATCAAATAATCGGATTTCAAGATTATATTTTTGAATCCAACTCTACCGAGATCAGATCAATTCGTGATTCGCGCGGCCTTTCGGTGATCAGCGGCCCAAAGTGAGGCTTCACGTGATCGTTGATGTCAGGGCGGAGAGCCGAGTCACGTGCGTCAGACCGCCCCATTCCAAATCAAAGATTCTTGATTAGACTTTTGACTCAAAACTCAAGACTCATCTCTTGCGTTTGCGTTGAAGAGGAGCATGACACCTTTCGATTGTTGTTTTGGAACAGAGGGTAAGCTGACCGCATGTAGCCAGCCCTATGAATTAGAAGCGATTGCATTGATTCCTTCATGTTGCTCATCGCCTTCATACGCGTGGTCGCACAGCTCGAAGATGTAGTAACGCATGACCCAGACCCCACGTCACCACCTTCCTTTCCTCTTCGATCCCTCTCCGATATCACGCAGTCCTGTGCGCAAGCGATCCTCTTAGCCGATTAGCCGATTGCTCTTAGACCGCTACCTTGTGCCGATTCTGTCAAAGTATCAGACATGTCGCAGCCACAAAAATCTTCTTCCAGCACCCTTGTGATTGGGGCAGGAGAATTGGGGCTGGCCGTCATCGAAGGTCTGATGACCCACGCGTCTGGGGCGAGTCCGCATCCCCTCCACGTTCTCCTGCGCCCGACTGCGAGTGATGCAGGGAGGCGAAAGGTGCAGCACATCAAAGACAAGGGAGCCGATGTCGTCCATGGCGATCTCGCCGATGACTCCATTGACGCTCTAGCATCCATCTTTGCGGCATACAGCACCGTCATTTGCTGCTCTGGCTTTGTGGGCGGCTCCGGCACACAACGCAAGATCACTACGGCCGTGCTTCAAGCTGATGTGCAGCGCTACGTGCCATGGCAATTCGGTGTGGATTACGAAGTAATCGGTAGAGGAAGTGGACAGCCAGTGTGGGATGAGCAGCTAGACGTGCGCGATATGCTGCGCGCACAGTCCAAGACGCAATGGATCATCATCTCTTCAGGCATGTTCACCAGCTTCCTCTTCGAACCCTCATTTGGTCTGGTCGATTTTGAGCGCGCAGAGGTCCGCGCTCTAGGAAGTTGGGATTACCGCTTGACAGTCACTACGCCAGCGGATATTGGCAAGCTCACTGCGGCCATCCTTGCGCACGAGCCTCCCATCCGCAATCAGGTGGTCTTCACGGCGGGAGATACCTTGTCCTACACTCAATTGGCGGACGTGGTGGAGCAACACCTGGGTCGCCAGGTGAGGCGCGTCTTGCTTAGTTTGGATCAACTCCGCTCCGATTCCGCATCGCGTCCAGACGATCTCGTCTCCAAGTACCGTCTCGCCTTTGCCCGCGATACGGGAGTGGCATGGACCAAGGAGCAGACATTCAATGCAGCTCAGGGCATTGCAGTAACAGACGCGCGGTCATATCTCAGACAGCGCCAGCTGGAGTGACAAATACGGTGCGAGCTATCAATCGCCTTCGGATGTGTATCGCATCTATCCTTACGTGGTCTCTAATTATACCACGACGATATCCTCTCGAGCCGAGCCGAGCCGCCCGCTCTTTGTCATTCGCACTCTTTCTAATCTTGAATCTTTGTGTGCGGCGTGCGGATTTGTATCCTTGTTTGCGAGTCACTTACAATACTGTGGTTCCAAATGACTTGAAGCACGCCGACTCCTTGACTACTAAGTGTGCACTTTCGCCGATTCACTCACGACTGCTTTCAGACTTTGCGCCATCCCTATTCGCCCATGCAGAGATTTATGCTGGTGATGCAAGCCGCATGATTGACCCGGTATGTTGGTCGGAAGTCTTGAGTACCTCCTCCCTCCACATGAGACAAAACACGTGATCATCCACACGCCGCTCTTCGCGGCATTCAAGATTTTTGATTGCATGGACGGTTGAAGCCTGCATGCTCAAGGGATTCCGTGATGCTTCATAAATTGCGCAGGCAGGGGCGCTCCAATCATCGAGGCTTTCGACTCTGACCAATCATGAATCTGGCGAGTGTCAAGAATCGAAATGTCAGACGATGCATCAACCACAAATTTGAAGATCGAAAAGGATGGTAATGCTCGACGGACTCCGGACGCCGTTCTTGGTAGTCACGGCGGCAGTGACGGGGTGGTGGGCACTGTCGACGCAAGCGAGGCAACAGGTGCTCTTGCTGACTGAATCGGCTGATAAGGTTGCGCTCTCTCTGGGCACTGAATGGCAAAGTCTTGGACCCTTCCCAGCGTGCGTTGATGCATTAAGAGAGAGTCTTGAAACAAGGATACTGAAAGTCTGGCTACACCCTGTTTCAATTCGGTGGGATCGCTCTTCTAATGGCACTGCGCATGCAGGGGGATGAGGGAGCAGGCATTTGGAGCGTTGTTCTGCACTGCGTTCGGTGAGCCAAGGAAGAGCTTGAACAGCCCCGCCAGCTCTGACAACTGGCTCCACTACTGCACACGCAGCTTCAATACAGGATTTGGTGAAGGACCCGTCCGCCTCACTGCCCAGCACGTATGGCTACCTGAACGGAAGTGTCCCTTTGCAAAGGTTCACTGCAGAGCCAGAAATCAATTCCAAAGTCAAGGGCGGACGTCCCATTCGTCACAAGCTGGCGCTACACGATGCCAACGTAGATTGGACGGGACCGCGAACGACCGCCGGATGGAGCAGTCAGCAATGGGAAAGTCTGGTATGGACGGATTTAAACCTCACCGCCCAGGAAGGTGTCTCGGATGTGCTCCTGGTCATCAATGTGGACAAGGGCGCAGAATTTGCCCTCCTCCCTGCAGACTCAGGGTCCGCCGTGCCTTTGCGCTGGCACAACGGTGATTTATACAGCTACAACGAGGCTCCGACCCCTCTGCGGCCGATGAGCGCGAAAGAAGCAGCAAGTGTTCCTCTGCCGCACCTGATTCGCGTAGCGGCAGGCTGCTACAAGCTACTTGTGAGAGCATTGTACGAGATTCGCCTGTTTGGCGATCCGGACCATTCTGAGCCTACCGGCGTGCCCAACATGGAAGTAGGAATTCATATCGAAGTCCTCTCCTCGCGGCCTGACTCCAAGGCAGCTAGCGCTGTCGTCGTGCAAGGCGCTCTGCTACGGCAAGCAGACATTGTTGGAGGGCAGTTTGCAGGTCACGGTCTTGGTCTAGGCATTCGCAATGAAGGATCGCAACCTGTCATTGTTGAAGCGGTCCGTGGTTTGGGACCTCTTGCGAAAGTGAGTCTCATCTCGAATTTTTCTCGCGAAGCTTCTGCTGATTTTGCAAGCAAACATTTCATTCTTCAGTTTTTGGTGCCGGCCCTACCGAGGAGAGACCTTGCGATCGAGGCTCTGCAGACGCGTCCGGTCTTTGTCCACATTGAGCAGCTTGCCCCAGTGCCGATGACGTTCACCAGTAGCGGAGTCGTCGAGTTGGAGATCGAAGTGGTCTTGCGCTCGTCGAATCCTAGCATGACCACACAGAAGCTGTCGGTATGCTTCGCTTTGCGATCGCGACCAAGTCCTTTTTCGTCTGGCGGCCGACGTCTCTCTGCTCGAGACGCTTCATACACATTTACATATCCCACTGCAGATGGAGCGCTGGAGCACGCCATCGCCATCCCGCCGCAATCTCCACCAATTTACGCCAGGGACCAGAGCAAATCTGTCGTTCTTGGACTTCACGGAGCAGGCGTCGAGGCCACAGACCCAGCGTGGGCATCATCATTCATAAGGCACCCAACGAGCTGGATCGTGCTTCCCACCGGGCGCGCGTCATGGTGAGTATCAGCCGATCTGACGAGTGATGCGAGAGCTCACAACTCGATTGCCTACTTGGTCACCCAAAGGGGCTATGACTGGCAGCTCAGTTCCTCCAGCGCTGCCACATTGGCGCTGCATACTCTATCGCATCGTCTTTATGGTCTGCCTCCTGAACTCGAATATCGCCAGCTCTGGCACTTCGACCCCAGCAGCATATACGTTTTAGGTCACTCTAACGGCGGGCAAGGAGCAAATCAGTACATTTCGCACTTTCCTGACAAAGTCATTGGAGGCGCTGTCTTGGCGGGCTACATCAAGGTGAGCTGCGCAGTGCGCTGTGTCCGTGCAACTCAGAGCGCTGAAGACGTTTCCAAATGAAGGTTCGAGACTACGTATCCTTTGATTGGGGCACTTCTCACCATGTGGCAGATCCTGCCCTCATCGGCGTGAGTACGCTGTCTGACGCTCTACGTAGCCGATGCTGACGCGGCTGGGAGCTGCCGACTCGCATTGTGTGCCACAGATCCTCTCGACCTCATTGAGCACATTTGAGAATGATCTGCACGCCAGCAACATGGTCGCAACTCCCTTGCTGTACAAGTACGGCAAAGAGGATGACAATGTCCCGACGTGGCACTCGCGAACTATGGCCGCATTGATCCAATCGTGGAATGCCCGATCCTCGAAGAGTTCTGCAGTCCAGTCCTTTGTCTCGGTGTCGGAAGTGCCGGCGCGGGGACATTGGTGGGATACCATCATCCAAGAGAAAGACGTGCAACTTCACCTAAATCGAACCCTTGAAATCAAGGAGGCAAAGTTGCAGTCCTTCACCTTGAGTTCTGCCAATCCTGCCGAAGTCGGTAGCATGCAGGGTTTTCGTATCATTGAGCTCGAAGTCCCTGGACGGTGAGGTATGGGCTGTATGGAGTCATAGTGAGCTTGCTGCTCATTCTTTAACTTCCATCCTGCAGCTTGGCACGGCTTTCAGTAGAGTTTGTGCCTTCAGAAGAGACCGGGCCTGAACAAAAGATCAGCGTCAAAACTTTTGGCGTACAAGCGTTCTCCATTGCTGTCAACAAGACAGCGTGGAGAAACAGCAGCTTTCAGGCGTCTCTGAGCGTCAGCGTCAACAACCAGGCAGTACGCTTGTCAAGTCAAGCAGACGGCCAGACGTTGCTCTTTGAGCGCGGACAGGATGGCTCATTCGCATGTGCGAGTGCGCCAGAAGACGTCGGTGGCCTTGCTGGTCTGGGATATGTAAGACCAATCGGTCCAGCTATTCGGTACGTTTGGTCTCTAGCAAGCAATGATGCCCAAAGTCCTAGGGTGCTCAAAGCCCACCCATATCCAGTATATTATCCACCCCGGCGCCTCTGCTCCTGGTACTTCCGACGCGCACCTCCCAAGATTCCCGTCAGCACTACAAGTCGGCAGCGCTAAGGATCGCGCACGATGCGCTCTTGTACGGACACATCGACTCTGAAATCGTCTCAGATGTGGCCGCGTTAGAGATGGTGGCAACGACAAACGATGGCGCGAATGCCACGCTCGGCAACATCGTGATACTTGGCGGACCGATGGAAAATTTGCTAGCGGAGCACATGCTCAATCAGAATCCATCGCCAAGTAAGTGGTGAATCGAGGCAGCATGAGCAGCAAGTCCCCTCCTCCCTGTCTTATGATGCGATTTGTCTCTTTTTTCGGTCTTTCTCCAGTCACTTTCTTGAACAGCGGTCAACTGCGCGTTCGGGATCGCACCTTTGCCGACCCGTCTACTGGTAAGTTGAGCTACGCATCGGCTTCAAAGACTTGGTTCGGACTTCAAAGAACTTATGCTCTCCTCGCCTCGACCGCCCGCCCAGGCCTTCTCATGCTGCAACCTCACCCAGTGACTCATCAGCGCTCTGAAAACTTGGCTCTGCTGCTGTATGGCAACGACGCGTCAGGCATCGAAAGAGCCGCTAAGCTGTTCCCAGTGCGGACTGGATTGAGCGTACCGGAATGGATCGTCATTGGACCAGAAGCCGATTGGAGTGGAATCGGGGCAATTCTCGGCGCAGGGTAAGTCGCCTTCTCAGGCGTGTCTCTTGCTTGGCCTACGCTTGCTCTTCCGCATTTTGGGCAGCTCACCTGAAGTCCGCCTTTTCGTTCATCACAGCTGGTTTGACCGACGATGGCAATGGTCCGAGTCCATGTCATGGCTCGCTTAACGTTCGCACATCGCCCTTCCCAGTTCGCCTCCTACGCTATCGAACCAGTAAAGTGCTTCGAACGCTTTTGATGATCATTTCATTGCAAAGGCATCGCTTCGCATCGCTTGTACTCTAAACACTGGTCAAAATTTGGAGTGTCGAATCCCCTACTCGTAGATCTGAGAGTCAAGAACGCGGTTGTACTGTACGAGTGCAGTGTCGGTGTCAGATGTCTATGAGGCACCGACACTAATAGCTGCGTGCTCTCATTGCTCACCTCGATGGTGGGGTTCTGCTCGCCGAACCACAGAGCGATCTCCTTCTTAGCGCTCTCAACTCCGTCAGAGCCGTGGCTGAAAGTGAGGAAAACAAGAGATCGAGATTAGTTCGATCGCTGAGCATCGATGCTCGTGCATGTTCAATGCTCACCAAATGTTGCGGCCGACGTCGATACCGCTGAAGTGTGCGCAGCGTAAAGTTGTAAAGTGAGCGGATTCAATGGCGAAAGACGCCAGGAACGGACGACTCACAAGTCGCCGCGGATGGTACCTGGAGCGGAGGCGAGAGGGTTGGTGGCGCCGAGCAAAACACGGCCTTGCTTGACAACATCCTTGCCTTGGAAGACGAGGGCCATGACTGGGCCGCTAGCCATGTACCTGTGAGAGAGCGAAAACGCGGTCAGACACGAGTCGAAACGTGCTCATCTTCCTGCAGCGCCGCGTCTCTCCCAGGCTTGATCCCGAGAGTCTGAGCTCGACGCTTACGACCGGCCAATCGTGGCCGCTCGAAGGTTGATGCGCTCATTTGAAAGGACGAAACCCACTTGACAAGTCCGGGGAAGAAGGGCTTTCCCTTGAGATCGGCGTAGTGCTTCTCGAGGTGCTCAACGGAGGCGTGGACAAGCTTGGCAGCAACGAGCTTGTAACCCCTCTTCTCGAAACGGCCAATGATTTCGCCGACCAGACCGCGCTGAACGCCGTCTGGCTTGACCATGATGTAAGCTGCGACGAGGGCAAGGCAGAGTGGAGGAAGATCGGGTGAGCTTCTGCTTGGCGCGATGCGGCTGTGCTCGACACTCACTCTGCTCGGTAGCCATCTTGTCTAGTGTAACAGGTGGATCGACAGGGGTGTATGCTTGGGTTGGATGACGGTGGGCCTCACGCAACCAATGCAATTCTCTGTTAGCTCTGATCAGATTCCTTCTTTGACTTTCAAAGTTTTGTTTCTGCTGAGCTTGCCAGACCCAAAGCACTGCTAGAAAGACGACGACGGGCCAAAGCCAAAAGAACTTGTTCGAAAGTCGAGCGCTGCCTTCTCTCAGATTGGCTCGTGCGCTGCGAGGATGAAAAGCGGCGGCAGGTGCTGCTGATGAGCGAGCTTCACCTGCTCCTCCTCCTCCTCCTGGTGCTGCCGCTCTTGCTTCTCCTCGCCTTGCTGCGATGCGGTGCACGAGAGCGTGCGTGCGCAGAGGGGGCCAAATTTTGCAGGTGCGTGGCTCGAGCGTCAGCCTACGTGAAGGCGTCTGCGCATGCTGTGCGCCCACGCAACACTCGTGACTGTGACTCTCGCTTCGTCGGGCCTGCAGCTGGCGCGTGGCAAAGCGAGTCGCATGGGCTGGGCAGCTCAGATGCAAGCCCGCCTGCTGTACGGCATACGGTTTAGAGTCCGTGCGCCTGCGCCCATGCCAGACACGCCATCCAAGGTTGCAAACTACTCATCAAGACTTAATTGCAGGAGACTCAACTCACCGTCGAACACGTCCTCCCGCGGCATCCGCGATATGATTCACGTGATTTGAGGAAGGGCCGATGTATTGGTTGAAGCGAGGAGCCGCACACCACGGCTATAGGGACTATGGCAGCCCTGTCGCTTTGCTATGTACTGACAGGCTTGGAGAGCAAGGACGAGTAGAGTCGTAAGTTGTGAGTCCTCGGCGCTGGCATGAGGACAGTTACGCCCCAGTTTGAGGGCGACGTCGAGTGCGCAGACGGTGGGTCGTCGTCGCGCATGCAAGAACGAGCTGCAGCTTTAGGTTTGCTGAGGCAGCAAAGGGGATCGATGCGATGCGGTAAGGCCGATCGAGCTTTTACGGTGCGACGGTGGGGCCTGCAACTCGTGACTTGTGACTCATGCATGGGTAGATGTGTCGCTGTGAACGAATCACAAATTGCCGCAACCGCCTCGGGGAGACGGGAAGTCTTGGTACTTCGAGACCATTCCTGATTCGAGACGAAGGATTCCCCTCTTGGCCATGAACGCTCGCTTGCCGGCCAGCACCTCGCGAGCCATGGCACGCAGCGAGACGGGCCGCGAGCGTTCACGTGCCCGAAGCGGCAGACCCGGCTGCGCTTACGTCCGGTTAAGCGGTTTGAAGGGCCTGCGCATGCTACTTCGTGCGTGGGGATGCTGCCTCATGCAGAGAGAGAAGTCACAACAGTCCACAGGAGTGAGTGAGTGTGGTCAGCGTCCACCCATGCACAATCAACCGCTACGTGCTCGTGTAACTTCTTCATAGCGCTCGCAACCCTGACTGATCTGCACCGCCCACACCACATTCACCAGGAATCCGTGCAGGCTCGTCAAATATCAACTACCGCTCCCTACAAGGCCTGCTTGTCTACGACGCCTGACTGGTAAAGCACAGCCCACTTCTCCTTGCCACATCTCACCATGTCTTTCCAATCTCTTGTGGGCGGAGCCGACTGTGGACCCTCAAACGGTCTTCAGTCGCTCATGAAGCATTCTCAAACCGATCGCTCCCTCCAACAAGGAGATCGAACCAATGCATCCTCTTCTCTTCCCGGCACCTCCTTCCGACAGGGTCGTCAAGCCCCTGGCCCAACAGGTCCATCAGACGCACAAGCCTTCTTCGGCAATGCGCCTCCTCCTCAGCTCAATGGCGACTTTGGTCCCATGGATGGAGCTTTCCAGTTCGACAAGATGAGAGCCGAGATGGAGCGCATGCAGAGGAGCGGAAATGTCCCTTCGGGATGGGCTCAAGAGATGAGCAGGATCCCTCAACAAGCTCCACATGCTGACCTCGGTAAGTTGGTTGATCGCTTACTGAGCTGCGCTTTCGTCCTCAGCTTGAGAGTGCGTCTCACTCGCTTCCTCGCCTGCGTCCCTTCCAGCCGGAGCTTGGAGGCAGCAATTCTCCACGCAGCCTTCGAACGCTGCTGCCGCTGCTCGTTCGTCCAACGGCACTCCCACGCCATCAGGCGCATCCAGCACAGCTCGATCTGGCACTTACGGAGGAGGCATAATGGGAGGTTATGGTGGCATGGGCATGATGTCTGGCGGCATGATGGGGCAAGGCTCTATCATGCGCAACAGCGCTCAGCGGTCCGAGACCAGTGCTCAGAATTCGCGCTTCACCGAATTGTCTGACAAGCAATGGGAAGAAGAGTTTGCGAGATTGGATGCTGCCGAAGCTGAAGCTGCTACGGACAAGGGCAAAGGCAAAGGCAAGGCTTCTGAAAAGCTGGACACGGAAGAAGAGCAAGACAGAAAAGTTAGGGAAGCGCTTGACAGGCTCGAGACCGATGTCAGGGACGATGGCTTGAATGCGGATAGACGGTTCGAAGAGCTTTGGAACGCGATGCATGCCAACGGAGCTATCCCACCGTCTGGTGCTGATGCTGAGCTTAAGCGATTTGAAGAGCTTATGCAGAGACAGCGAGAGAAGGATGCGGAGGACGACGAGCAAGTGCCTGATCTCGACGAATGGGCATACACGCATCCCTCTGGGGGACTGGGGGGAGGTGTAGAAGGTCTTCATGAACGTGGAAGATTCGACGGAACCGAGGACCACCTTATTGATGGGTATGGAACCACTGGCATCGATGGATTCCCTAGACTTGGAGCTTATCGATTCGCTCAGGAGAATCCCTTCTCCACACACGAGAACCCCATGGCAGAGGGCCTAAGACTCTTGGCTAACGGAGGAAGCCTCGCAGATGCAGCTTTGCTATTCGAGGCAGCGACTCAGAGAGACGTGGAAGGAGGCAGCGGAGGTGAACTTCAAGAGGTCAATCGCGCCTTGAGAGAAAAGAGTGAAGCGTGGAGAAGACTTGGTGAAGCCATGGCGATGAATGAGAGAGAGACGCAAGCCATCAGAGCATTTGAAGAGGCAGTCAAGCTTGACGAGAACAATCTAGAGGCGTACATGGTGAGTATTCGGGCTCGACCTTTGGAGTGTACATCCGTGCTGACAATCGCTCATCACCGCTTTGTGGCAGGCCCTCGCCATCTCGTACACGAACGAAGGCTATGACGCGGCAGCGCACACTACGCTCGAGCGATACATGGCGAAAGCCTACCCTCACATCACAGCTAGTGCGCCACCGGAAATAGCAGGTTCCAAGGACCCAATCGAGGGGACGGAAGGCAATCCGTGGGCGTCGCTTAACAAGGTGACGGAGATGTTCCTATCTGCAGCGAGAGAAGGAGCCTCCAAAGGAGTGATTGACCCGGAGATTCAAGTGGGCTTGGGAGTCCTGTTCTATAGCAACAGCTCTTATGAAGAAGCTAAAGACTGCTTCCAGACTGCTTTGCAAGCTCGGCCCAACGACTTTTTGCTCTGGAACAGGCTGGGAGCTACTTTGGCCAATGGTGGTAAACCTGAAGAGGCCATCGAAGCGTATCACAAGGCCCTTGAGCTCCGTCCCACGTTCACCAGAGCCATCTACAACCTTTCCGTCTCCTGTGAGTGACCCCTTGCACAGCTCATGCTCGCGCCGTGTGGCGCAATGCTGACGGACATCACACTCGCTTCGATGGTCGCCGCGGTAGGCTTGAATTTGGGAGCGCATCACGAAGCTGCAGAGCACCTCTTGGCTGCCCTCTCGCTGCAGCAGTCCCATGCAGCTCTGGATCTCCCTGAAGGATCTCAGGTGGACGCACCCAGACCTCCGCCGCTCGCAGAGGCTCAAGAGTCTCACAACCTCTGGTCCACCCTGCGCAGGATTTGTGAGTGCTTTTGTGGTAGCGAGCGAGCCAACTTCGAGGGCATTGCCAAGGCTGATGCGCTCCACGCTCTACTCCTGCAGTCATCGTCATGGAGCGCATGGACCTTGCCCAACATGCGCACGTCGGCGCTGATCTTGCCCAATTCCACAAGGCTGGTTTTGAATTCTGAATCTCGGCTCTTCGTGACCCCGTTCGACCCCTTCATGCACAAGATACAGTCTACGATGTCCTATCCATGCCTCGCACGAGTCTTGAGGATAATTGACTGCCAATCAACTTCTCCCCACGAGCTTGTAGGAATGTCTTGATTGCTGTCTATCCCGGTAGTTGAATATGACAAGGGAGACTCTTTGGCTGATGGAGTGTGAAAGATCCATCTTACGATGTGATGCTGCGATCTCATTGCCCCTCCTCGCGCTCCATCAGCAGCCTGTGCTGCCCTTCGTTCGGGCACAAATGTCCTCGAGCCGGGTAGTTGTACATGGAGGGAGGGACAGTGGCAGTAGAAAGTGTGCAGCAGGCAAGCTCGACGCTGCAAGCCAGCTGTGAGTCTCGAGTATTGCGTACATGCGGAATGAACGGAGCGAGCGCCTCTCCTGCGCGTTTGTCCCTTGACGCGAGCTAGCGGTGCTGCGACCTCGAGGTGCGCTGCGCAGGATATGTGCCCGCGCATGAAAGTCGGATGGCAATCTATGCACAACATGTGGTCAGGTCATGACGGTCATCATTGACGGTGGTAGCGATGAGCAAGACAGACGCCTGTTGCCTCCCCCCCGCCCTTTGCGGATTCGCACGGCGCTCACAGCGATACGCAAGATTCACGATCGCAATGACCGAATCGTCTTTATGACATTTACGTCTGTACTGCCCATAGTGAAGAGAGCACTACAGCGCACAGAAATATGGCCCCAGGCGACACCTTGACAGGGCTGGCTGCGACATCCGCAGCGCCGATCTGGTCCCTGGCGGTGGAGGTAGGTCTTCCACTTTGATCGGTGGGTGTTCCGCTGGAGCCTATCGAAGCGCTACCCGTGTTGCTCTTCACAGTTCTACGTTCGGGAAAAAGGGAGACGTGTGAGTGCTGGAGTACGCTTAGCAGTCAAGAGGCTGTGTGCAACTTCAGCGAAAGACTCACGGGCTCGACAAGACCCAATGAATACCGCCAGCAATGTGCGCTTGAAATGCGGGTTCCTGGGAGGAGGTGTGGATGTCGCATCGCCTTTAGCGTACACCAACAGCTCGACGCCTCAGCAAGCAGCAGACTTACCTGCCACGTCTCGTTCAGATGGCCCAGACTAGTGCAGAAGCTGCGGCCTGTCAAGATCGACAGGAAATGCGAGTCAACGGTTTATAATCGGCTGAGCAGCGAGAGAGAGAGGGACGATGCGGTGCTTCGCTCACCGGGACCACCTCGAGGATTGACGTCGCCTTCGTAGTCGTCGAGACCTCCGCCAATACGCTCCTCTTGGGGTACGTCCAACAAACCACCCTCTCTCCACCACGCCAATGGTCTGGGCGATCCATCCGAGCCGTTCCTGAACCCTTGCGCATTCACGCCCGGATCTTGAAAGGCAGAGGTGTTGGTCAGCAGCACGTGTGCCGGAGATGGAAGTCGACGTGGATCTGTGCGGAAGTGATACACCTAAGGCACGGCGAGGAGACCAGAGGAGAAAGAATCGAGTCATCAGCAATGCGACTTTGCGAGCAAAGACTTGGCAGGCTTTTACTGCTCACTTCTTCCCGAATGCTGAGGGATTCGGGAAAGCGACTTGTGCTTGGATGGTCCTTGCTCAGAGCACCGATGCTCACGCGCTGCAATGCAGGGTGATAGTCAAAGAAGCTCCCAACTAGTCTGCCATATCCTGGTGTGGAGTACAGCGTGTTGGCGGCGCTGTGCACCCCAACGTAGCCGCCGCCGGAGGAAATGTAGGAAAGGAGAGCAGATGCTTGATCGAAAGATAAGATGGTCCCAATTCCCGGTGGATCTACGTCGCTGGCAAAAGGGAAACGAGAGCGAAGCAGAAACGTATTGCGCGGCGTGAGCTACATCTTCCGAATCGAGTCGAGCACCACTTTCGAAGGAGGCCACACATCGCATCTCGCAATGAGACTGCGCCAATGTCGTTCCCTGCACCCACTTGGCCGGCCTATCCGACACGCTCGAGATCAGCGACAAGAGTCCGCATCGGCTCACGTATTGTGGACAAAGGCAATCGCATCAAATTCCTCAAGTCCTTGCTGTGTGAAGAGCTGAGCATCCTCCGAAGCTACCGTCTCCCACCGAGCGCCAGAAACGGCGCTTTCAGCCACATCCGACGACAGCGAAATGTCTCCCTTGCCTAGCGCCGTGATTGTCTGGATGGCGGTGGGAATGCTGTCGTGGCGATATGCTCCTTGTGCTGTTGCGGTGAAGAGGAGCAGACGGGCGCCTTGGGCGAAGCTGCAATGCAGCATCAGACTGAGCAGCACGCAGAGCTGTGCTGAGCAAAGCGTCAGCATGATGGGCTCTCTCGGTCTACTCCTCACCAAGCAGAGGATTGTAATGGCGAAGAGGTGGTGGGTAGAGGTTGGCTGGAGGAAGTCTGTAAAGGTTCGAAGCCTTTCGATGAAGGTACTGAAATGCGACTAAAGCAATCTCTCTCTCTCTCTTTCGACCAGCGCGACAAGGATCGCATCGAAATCGCTTTCGAAGCGGCCCTCGAGTTTACATTTCGGCCCGGCCCATCTGTACTCTGATTTGCTCATCTGACACCGGGTGTCGTCCACACGCCCTGGGGCATCGCTGCTGTAGCTGCAGGGATCGGTGTCCAACCGATGTGGCTTGCACCGCGAGAACCTTGACCGTGTAGAAAGGAATGCGGGGTGGCGCGCACGCGCCCCGTCAAAGTGCCTCGGTCCCGAAAAAAGACTTGGCACGCATCAGGCAAATTCCGTGCGCGTTCATCCGTCGGCCCCCCTCTCCGCGGCCCGTGTCGTGTGCATATGCGATAGTGAAAGGGTGATTAATCATGACACCGAGTCGCCGAGCGCTTTGCAGCGCTGGCGGCAAGCCTTACTTTCTACACCTATCATCGCGGACCGCTTGTTCATCATAAAGACCAAAAAGTCCACATCTCAGACTGACCCGCATGTCACCCGTCCCTCTTCAGCGCTCGCGGCCTCGGCGGCTTTGCAGCGAGCCCGCGGTGTCATCATTTCACCGGCATGGATGAATAGGGAATGTGTTCGTGATTGTCCAATGACACCCGGCCCGCTCAGACGTGCCCGATTCCATCCCATGTCCATCCCTTCTTGACCTCAAATGCCTTCGATTCGATCAGAGCATCCGGCCCTGGATCAGCGCTCCTGGCCAGCCTGAGCTCGTACTGCCCTGGCGTGACTCTCCAAGAGCCGTTTTTGGACGCTTCGGGATCCCAGAAAGAGACTGCCTCTTGCTCGATATTCAGACTTGCAATTTGGGTCTGTCCAGCGCCCACATGGACCGTTTGGAATGCCGCCAGCTGCATTGGCGACAGCTCACGTCAGCATTCACATCGAATGAGCCGACGTTTGGTGCCGAGATGCCACTCACAGATCGAGGCGGTCTGTCCGTCCCACGAATCGCAGCCTCGGGAGGGGACACGAAGAGCAAAACAACTTCCTTGCCGTCTCGCTTGCCAGTATTTGTGACTTTGACTTTGAGGCTCAAGAACCCATCTGCATATTCGCTCAGCTCCCCTGAGATGTCTTCGATGCTAGTCTCAAACGTCGTGTAGCCACCAAGACCATGGCCGAACCAGAAAGCAGGTGCGATGCCTCTGGCTGCGTAGCCTGCGGCGCCCATCAACCTTCCCTCCTTGTAATCTGTGCAAAGACCATCGTCTCCTCTTCGCGTACCGGGAAACGTCGACCCATCTGCTGACCAAGATGGATGATCTGAAATCTTTCGAGCTGTCGCCAGAGGCAGTTGCAGCTAGTGTCAGCTTCCACTCGACTCAAAGGCGACTCGAAGTAGCACTCACGCCAAGTAGACGGCAAACGACCAGAGGCTGGCGCGCTACCCAAACCAAACAGGATGTCTGCAATCGCATTTCCGCTCTCTTGACCACCAAACCAGGTCTGCACGGCGGCTTTGACGGCATCTTTGCCCTCGAGCATCGGCAATTCGACAGCAGCACCCGTGATATTGATCAGGACGGTATTGGCTTGCGCCTTTCTCACAGCAGTGACCATATCTGTCTGACGCCTCGGCAGAGCAATTTCCGGCCTGTCAAAGCCTTCGCTCTCCCACTCTTTGCCCGTAGCAGTAAAGACAATGGCCACATCTGCATCTCTTGCAGCGTCCGCCGCATCGCTGATCAGCCTATCCTCGTCAATCTCTTCGACGAAGGAAGCTTTGAAACTTCCGCACCTCATCTCACAGAAAGGCATCTCCAGATAAGGCGGAGCGTAGGAAATTTCGATCTTGATCTCTTCGCCCGCTTGCATATGAATCGGAAATGATTTCCAAACCTTTGCGGGATTCAGGATGAATTCGAAAATGTCGGCTTCGCCAGAGAATTTGAGCTTCGTTTCGTCTCGCTTAATGTGGATCAGCGCATCGCCGAAAGCGAGCATAGCCAATGAGTGTGTTCCGGTGGACTGTGCTTTGAGCGTAAAGGATGCCAAGACTGACCAGCCGTTCGATGGCAGGCTGTCTGGTCTCGGAGGCCACCAGAGATCGATACCCAACGCATCATGGCGCGTCGTAGCGATCGGCGCCGAGGAGCTGACGTCTCTGCGGTCGAACCACTGCAATTGCACGCCATCGATGATCTGAGATGGGTTGGGCGGTGGAGCTGTCGAAGTGCGGCTCTGTGTCAGAACAGACTTGTATCCAGAACGGCACGGCGCGCAGACACTCACGGAAGTTGTAGATGGGCACGCCAGGATGATAAGTGAGCTCCGTCTCTTTACCGCCCTCGCTGGAGTCTAGCACCTTTCGCACCGCCGTGAATGGATCCGTCTTGTATTGCGGTGTCAGATTTGCGCTTCCACCTCCGCTCTGTATCGCTTCCTTGACAGGGTGCCCAATCAAGGCGATGCGTCTAGGTGGACTGTCAAGGCTGAGAGGAAGAAGCTCGCCGTCGTTCTTGAGCAGCACAGCACCCTCCCGAGCGATCCGTCTGATCGACTCCGCAATAGTCTTGTCTTGCGCCGAGTGCTCTTTCTCATCCTCGGGACGTTCGCAGAAGCCGAGCGGCGAGACGGATTTGAGCAGGCGAAGTATGGGGAGCACCCTCGCATCTATGTCTTGCTCCGTCACCTCGCTCGATTGCAGCAACCGCTTCACATCGTCTGACTTTCTGAATTGAGACGGCCCAGGCATCTCAATGTCGGTCGTCTGAAGTGCGTGGGCGTGCAAAGCGAACCAGTCCGACATGATCATTCCTTTCCAGCCCCACTCCTTCCGTAAGATCTGCTGCAGTGTGACTTTGTGCTCGCTGGCGCTGACGAGGTTGAGACGATTGTATGCTGTCATGATACATGCCGGCTGACCACCGAAGGGATCCACAGCAATGTTGCCTCGGCGTTTGGCAGCTCTAGCGACATCCCTCATGATTCGTTGGAAGGGTGCCAGGTAAATCTCTCTCAGCGTCGAGTCATCAATCATCGAGCTATTGTTCCTTCGATCCGTCTCCGCTTCATTTCCCACAAAGTGCTTTGGCGTGGCAGCGACGCCTTCTTGCTGGCATCCGACAATCCAAGCAGCTCCGATGGCGCCAGCGAGCGTCGGAGATTCCGAGTAGCTTTCAAACGATCTTCCGCCTCTTGGATCTCTGTGCATTCCTCCGACCGTCGGAGCGAGCGAAACGTGGCATTGCTTCGATCTCGAGTCAAGAGCGATTCCTCTTCCCATCGCCTCTGCAAGTTGCACATCGAACGTGGCGCCCAGGCAGGATGGCGAGGGGAACAGGGCAGCAGGCACAGAATTGTTGAAATCTCCACCTCCGCGAGCTCCATTGGGGCCGTCCGTCATCTGCGGGTCAGTCATGGTCAGTGACGAGCGTCAGCTGGCATCTCTGTCCCGCGTAGGCGATGTACAGCCCACCTTCAAATAGGGCAGCCCCACTCTCGGCACTGGCGTGGTCCGCCATAGATCCGCCCCAGCAAGCAGAGAGATCTTCTCTTCCAAATTCAGCCGGCCTAGCATGCGCTCCGGATCAACATCCACCTTTTTACCAAAAGCTTGCGGACTCATCCTTGGTGATCGAGATTTGCCCTGCCAAAAGACCGACCTACAAGTCGAATTGGTTTACAGGATCGCGCGTGGTGGCAGGAGATGACACGAAATGCGTCAAGACAGGGACAGAGCTTTCTGTAAGCGGCTGCTCAGCGCTGCCAAGCGCGTTTCATTGCACAAGGCTGCCCAGGTCCGGGGCAGGTGGACCGTGCACCCAGCAGCAATTTTGATCTGGCTAGCACACAGAAGCGCGCGGGGGGGTGAGAGGAACATACGATGAGCTGCCGCCAGGAAGAGCTGTTCCGTCACTCCACGCCTCAATTGGACGAGACAAGGGCAAACAAAAAGTCACCCTTTCGTCCATCGTGACACAGCAGCCGAAGCGCACGCAGAAAACAGGAATCGTCTCACACATCGAGTGCCCAAAGCATCTCCTGCGCAATCAAAATGTCCATTCTGGCGATCGCATACATTACAGGGGCGAGTGAAGGGGTAAGGTATTCTAGATGCAAGTAAACTCGTAGCGCAGTGTTGTCGAATGTGTAGCAAGCTCTATGCAAGGTTTGCCGCTTTGAAAGCACCGTCGAGGTCTGCGATGAGGTCGTCGATGTCTTCCAGGCCCACACTGACTCTGATCAGATTGTGCTCGACGCTGAAGGAGAAGAACGGTAGGTGGTGTGAGCAAATGTCCGCAGCACATGGCATGGCAAGAGACCTCGTCTACTCGCGTACTCACCCAAGCTTTTCGCGATCCTCCGGACTGACACTGGCGTGAGTCATCAAGCTAGGAAGCTCGATCAGGCTCTCCACGCCACCCAAGCTCTCTGCGAGCGTGAAGACGTGAGTGTTCTTGAGCACCTCCTTGGCAGGCCTCTCGTCCTTTGGGTCGGACTTGAGTCTGAAGGAAACCATCCCTCCATACGCAAACGGGCCTGACGCTTCTTTGGGAGCGGCCCTCTTCGACACTTGTCTTCTCGCCAGAGCGTGAGATGCGTGCGAGGGCAGTCCGGGGTAGAGCACCTCGTCAACGGCTGGGTGCGAAGAGAGGTAGGTCGCGACTGCCAGTGCGGATTGTCCGTGCGCTTTCAAACGCAGGGCTAGAGTCTTGAGGCCTCGCAGAGCTAGCCAGCTGTCGAACGCAGAAGGCACAGCTCCGATGGAGTTTTGCAAGAATCTCAACTTGTTTGCCCACTCGTCCGAGTTGGTCACTGCTGCGCCCATCACCACATCCGAGTGGCCGTTGATGTACTTGGTGATGCTGTGTACCACAATGTCTGCGCCCAGAGTCAAAGGGTTCTGATACCATGGCGATAAGAAGGTGCTGTCCACGACCAGAGCTGCTGAAGGCGCAATCGATTTGATCACCCTCGCTACCAGGTTAATGTCGATGAGGCGCAAAGTAGGGTTGGTAGGCGTTTCTACCCAGACGATCTGTGATGCGTGTTAGGGAAGAGTCTCATCAGAGTCAGAATGACGATCGAGTTCGCATTTGCAGCGACGCGTTTCCCCTTGGCGGCGCAAGGGCATGGCGTAGTGACTCACCTTTGTCTCGGGCTTGACAGCGTCTCGCAGCCTTTCTTCAACCGCTGCCGCTTCTCCTCCCATCTCTACAAAGTCCACATTAATATTCTGGGTTGTGGAAGCCACCTTGGTAAAGTACCTGTAGGTGCCTCCGTACACGTCATTCACGCTGACGATGTGACTGGCGGGTGGAAGCGCAGCCAGGATCGTGGCAGTCACCGCACTACCGCTGCTAAAGCCAAGTCCATGCTTCGCCCCTTCCAGCGACGCCAGGGCGCGCTCGAACGAGTCTCTGTTGGGGTTGGCGCTACGAGAGTACTCGAAGCCCTGCACATGTCATCCAAGACGCGATGAGGTGAGCTGACGATGTGTGCGTCTTCCTCCACGCGAAAAGACTCACCTTGAAATTGCCTACGCCGTCTTGCTTGTAGGTCGTGGAAAGGCTGATGGCAGGAATCACTGCAGAGGTGCCGGCATCAGGCTCGCTCCCGACGTGAATGGCTCGCGTGCTGAATCCGTAAGCTGCGGTGCCATTTGCGGCTCCACTGGTCGCTGGTGCAGTTGATGCGGCAGCATCTGTGCGCTCGTCGAACAAAGTAGGTGCTGGAACCATTGCGACTGCGGTGTTGGTGTGGAGGGCAGCGAAGGCTCGGTGTCCAGAACGTAGTGGGATCGTCTGTTGCTGTGCTGTTTCTCGCTTGGAGAGGTATTGCAAAGAGGCTATGCTGCACTGTGTTAAGCTGTAGCGATGATGTGACGAGAAGATCAAAGAGCAGGTGTCGAAGTCTAGAATGAGGCGCTCGATATATATAATGATTAGGCTCGAGGATGACAAACAGGACAAGTCTTGGGGCCTTGTAGATGTAGAAGTCAGCACACGGACAGGTCACGGCCGCAAGGAGATGGAGCAGTGGCTAGCAACTGATGCAGCTAGGAGTCACGAGTAGCGCAAAGGAGCGACAGGTAGGGAGGGTCACGGATGTTGATCAGGGCTGACGAATGTTTGCAAAGGGCACACCACGCACCTTCAGCCGGATCAGGTCAGATGCGCACTCGTGACTGTGACTTCTGACTTGGAATAAGGCGTCATCCATCAAGTCTCAAGTCAAGTATGGCGCTGCTGACCGTGACTGGTGCCATGCATGCGCATCAGTGCACGCGGTCAAGTGCTGCCGCAACCAAAAAGAATTTGTCGGAGCAGCCACAAAGTCCGCAGGTAGGGCAGGGCATCGCAGCGCAGTGAGTTGTTCCGAAGTGCGCCCGCAAAGAGACCGGCCGTGAGCACCTCACGATGGCCTCTGCGCGTACTTAACTCACGTCGAGCGTACGGCCTTAAGCGCCAGAGGGAGGGTTGCTGAATGCTGCCGCTCGGGTCCATGCAGATGTCATGCCGTTGATCGTCATCATCAGCGTACGTCTCTCCTAGACGGCTCAGCAGTCGACAAGTGTTTGAGTCTTGAGTATAGGCTACTCACAACTGTACGTCAAAGTTGTTCGCATGAGTCGTGAGTCTGATGAGTAGCATCACCGTTCCACACAATCGCGCGCGCAGTCTTGAGTCAACCAGACTGATTCTGGCCGCGCGCGTAAGGGTCCCATGCATCGTGTTGTGATGGTGCGCAAGGCGTCATCCTCTGAGCCGATGGCGTGATCGGGCTCAATGAGTCTGTGTTTGCGCTTGGTCACGTGTAGCTGACCCACCTATGCGGCAGCGGTACCGAGGCGCGGCAGAACACCCCAAGTCGCCTCATCTGAATCTGACATGACTAACGCGCGCTGCCGGAATCAAGAATTCTCGATGAATCTCACCATGTGACGCGCGTGTGTGCAGTGGGCGCGTGTTCGCGTCTTGATCACTTTTGACTCATCAGACTCAGACTGTGATCCACGCTCACGACTTGATCGCAGAACTCACGCATGGCTTCAAGTAGGACGAGACCCACAGATGGACTTTCTGACACCGATCCCGATCCGCAACAAACAGTTAAATATGTAAGCGCTCGCAATGAGGTCACTACTCCCCTGTAGGGCCTCGAGACGAGAGTTTAAAAGTTTGCCATGCGAAGGCGCTGCAACTTGGATGGGCATTACTGAAGTCGTCAAGCATTCAGGATTCTTTATTGGGAGGTATTATACATGTCAAAAGGATCGCATCCTGTATTCGAGATCGATCCGCCTTCGTATCTGGGAGCGACTAGGCTGCCATTTTGCGTGGACGGTACAATTCTCAGCGCATGTGGTGAATGGCTAGGCTATGGGGCTCGAAGGAGTACGTCGGAGGTGGTACAGCAGGCAAAGCAGCAGATTGAGGCGCAGCTGCATCCGCACTCTCTTCTGTCGTCGCCTCGGATGTAGGCTGTTGCACAAGCGCCGAGAAATCCGTACGACTGCGACACGAGAGGGAAAAGACAGCAGGATGTCAGTGCGACCGTTCAAGATTGGCGCCAGCGACACTTCGTACGGCGTGCGCCATGCAGTGAGACTTACCACAGAGGACAGACGGCTCGAGCACATAGCCAAGGGTCTATGCAGGCGGTATGGAAGCGGTGCTCGACTCCACCTTCGCAAGGCAATTGACGGACCTGGTCGCCCTCGCGGAAGCGAAGAACGCAAATAGCGCACATGGTACCGATTGCCGCGTCGACTTCCAATAACGAGTCCCGTGTCAGTGTCGGTACGAGGCAAGGCATCTCTGTTGCTTTGGTAGCGTGACAAGTGGATGAGTTGCAAGCGGTGGAGCTGCGGTCGGACGCTAGGCTTGCGCTTCGAACGACGGGCGACATGAGAAGACTCTGTTGAACCGGCACAGCGCAAAGCTCAACGTCGATCTTCTCGCTATCGCATTTCTTGTCGTACATCGAAGGAGCATCTGCTGACGATGAGGTCCAAGAATAGGCGTGGAAAGTATCGAGCACCTCTTCGGTCAAACCGACGTGTCGAGGCTTCTCACTCGCTCTTCTGGGGCGGATCGTCGAGCCTTGTGCTTCGGGATCCGTCTGTGCTGCAGTTGGTTGTCGGCCATATAGTCGACGAGCTAGCAAGAAGAGGAAAGCTAGACCTAGCAATAGAGCACCCACGATCACGCATGCTATCAACGGCGTGGGACCCGTTGAGGAGCTTGAATCTGCATTCGATGTCGATGTGGCCGCAGCTGAAGTCGATGCGGTGGAGGCTGAAGTCGCATGTCCGAGGTTGACCGAGTCGGCGACCATGTTGATCAAAGTTCTGACTGGCGAGACAGAGGGCGAATTGTGAGCGTTTCGGCAATTGCGACGGTGTGTGAGGTTGAGCAGGTGGATCGAGATATATCTGGCTAGCTCGCGCCAAACAAGTCGAAGGCCGTTGGACCGTGAGCTGAAGAGTGGATGTAGTCGCTATGGTGTTCCATAATCATGCTGCGCACACAGAGCAGACCGTCTTTATATGCTTGCGAGAGAGGACGCCGCCTCCGCTTTGACAGCAGACCATCAACAATCACTGAATGTGACTTGTGACTCGGACCGCTTCGCATGGTGCCCACATTTGGTGCTCGAGCCAGCGCAGCGTTTCACCGGCGCCCAGGCGTCTTTTCGTGAAAGGCGATCACCATCACACGATCCTGCTTCAGGCATGGCACGACTGCGGTTATACTGACGGTCGACGTCCTAAGACCGCTATGGGCTACATTCATCCTATATCCGGTCGTGACTCGATTTTGAGGTAGGTACAGCTAGCTGGCTCATGCAGTCGAGCACCTGGCTGGTCCACGGTGGACGTCTTGCGCATCAGCAGGCACAGCGGAGCCATCATGCATGCACGCATAGTGGTCGCCGCGCGCGTGCGGGCGGACCCGAAGGAAGGGTTGTCTGAAGCAGCACAGCAGACACTTGACTCCTACCCTGACCCTCATGCTGTACTCGTGACTCACAGCCGGGCGTCTAGGGTGCGCGGTGAGGTGACCGATCGGGTCTTAGAGCACTGATCCCTCAGCACCCTGGCGAGCACCTCACTGAGCTAGGAAATCTCAATGTTTTCCAGCAATTTCAGGCATATATGTCCCTGAAAGAGCTTCCTGTGGAAAAAGTACTTGGGTGAGTGGTTGCCGGCATAGCATGCATGAAAGTGAAGAGAATCACATACTGGCGGCCTGCGTTCGAAGCTTGAGCAAGGCAAGTCCTTTTGCATGCAATTTTGCTGCTGGTTGTGGTAGGACACTGCTGCAGTGCCTTGTTTTTTGCGCTCTGCAGTGCAGTGCTGCTCGGTCAGTCACCTGACTGATCACCTGATCGAGTCCTCCTAGCTGAGGTGCTCGCCAGGGTGCTGAGGGATCAGTGCTCAAAGAGCCGATCGGTCACCTCACCGCGCACCCTAGACGCCCGGCTGTGACTGTACACACAGACTCATCAAGTCGCCTTCTGTTCCTGATACCGGTGAGTAGTATCTACAGTCACGAGTCGCGATGAGTTAGACGTCGTGTTGCTGTCGCCGGTGCCAGGTACATCTGCAGCAGCATGGCATGATGAATGCGCTAGCGGATTTTTGTGAACTCAGCAGCTCCCGATTCTGGGGACTCTGTGTGATGCTTCCAATCCCAGCCACGTTCCTCCCGTCTGCTCAGCTCCCTTCTCTCTAATGATGGTGTGCGTTCCAGAGACCAGATTCGAGCTGCGCAGTGTGCGTGGGTGTACTAGTACTGTCTCAGATTCTGGCATACACTACTACTAGCTTAGGACCGGATCGGAGCGCTTAGCTGCGACAAATCTTGACGCAGATGCTTGCCCTGACATGAAGCACTGCGCTATCCTGACCGCACTGTTATCATAAATCAGATAGAGACAGTCCTTTCTGCTGACTCGGTCCATATTTTCGAATATCCACTCCTCTCATGGGGCCATGCTTCAGATGTGCCTCTTCTCGTGGCAGCCTGCCGCAGTGAGGGAGTATGTATGACTTTGGGTCGAGCGCGCTGCCTCGCCGATGCGAGGTCTCGGTCAAGCTGCGCTAATCGGCTGTAAGCTTGACGCGTCCGTATGTACGGCCCACCTCCCTCGAGTCGACTTAGTCGACCATCCCGAGTAGCAAGGCTCGATGTCAGTGAGGATAAGAGGAGCAGTTGCGAGTGGATCGTGAATCACGGATGGTCCACACATGCAAAGTGACGTCCGACCTTTCCACGATATCTGAAATATCGAGCAACGTCATTCTTGGTTGTTCCAAGACTCAACGTCGTTCACCTCACCACTCTACACCCACGGCTGCATATGCAGCGTCGATTCGAGCTTCAGAGCCAAATGCTCAGACGCCGTACCCGTACATCCATGTTCAGTGAGAATCATGAGGAATCCTGTCGAGATTCATCTCCAAGCGTACGTCCGTAGCTCCCGTCCGTCGAAGCTTTCTGTCCGCAACAGCGCTCAAGCCAGCGCCATGACGATCGTCTGCATTTAGCCCTTGTGACAAGATCCAGCGGAGCACTCGGCATGTGCACGCTCAAACCTCGTTGTCGGTGCAAGCATTCTGAACAGCGTTGCGTCCGTCGTCAAAAGTCTCCCGCCAATAACACGCGCCATCCGATAGTAGTGTGAAGATGTCTGTATTGACAAAGACACCAGAGCGCGGTGAGACGCTTTTGTGTAGCGGTCGCATGGGAGACGTACAGGCATATGCTTGAGAGCGTGAAGGGGAAGGGGCCGAGACAAGGCGAAAGGGGGTTGGAAGAGTGTGGTGAAAGCGACCGTCGACTGACCGATTGGCATCAGACTCCAAGCAGTCGAGACGCTTAGCGATAACGTCTGAGCTGGAGAGTGTCGCGCTTGCGGATGGTCGAGTTCTTTCCTCCGTGCTTCGTGTGGTTGAAGCGGTGACCCTTGCCGAGATGGCCGCGGCTCTTTTTGCCGGTAGCGGTTAGACCGCGAGCCTCGCGACGCTTGTGAACGGGGTTGACGATCCAGTTGATGCGAGCATCGCGGCGGATGGCCTTGTGCGATGGGTCCACAGCGATGATCTCGAAGTACTTGTAGACACCATCAGCATTGACCCAGTACGAGTTCAAAATTCGCAAGTTCTGTTCGTAGCAGCAAAATCGCATGACCGCTTTATGTAAGCCAGTTTATTCTGTAAGATCCGAAAAAGCCACAAATTGACTCACACCACATTTGCGGCCAACACGCTCCTCTGCAGTAGAACGCAGACTGCGCTGGTACTTGAGATGGTTGACACCTTGGTGGACGGGCTTGCCGTATGTGGCACCTTTGGGAGCAGGCTTCTTGCGGTTACCGCGGCGAACGCGAATGCGGTAGATCACGTAGCCTTGCTTGGCCTTGTAGCCGAGACGACGAGCCTTGTCTGGGCGCGAAGGGCGCGAGCATCGGTGAATGACTGGAAGTTGGCGGTACTCCCAGCATCTGTTTTTGAAGCGATGGGTATGAGCGCTCGAGGAAATCTGACTCTTGATATGCCTTGTGGTCGATCTTTCTCTGCCCATCTCTGTAGGACTCCCTACGACCTCCGTGCTCAAGCTCCAGTAGTGGACACTCACCGCACGCGGAGCAGGAACCTGAGCAGGTCCGACTGCTTCTTCTGGTGAATAGCCTCTACGTATTTGTAGGCACCCATCTTGTCTGGTGACGAGCGGTGATTTTCAGGGTCAGCAATCGGCTGCAGGTTGAGGCGCCGGGCAGACCAAATTTCCGCTTCCTCAGCAAGCGCCACCTCGCGGGCACAACCACACCAAGCCCGGCAACCAAGACCATTATCCCCTCCTATCGAACGTTCTGCTCGATTGAGATGGTAGCATTCTGCACTTGGTCTTCCAGTTCGCGATGATCGATGCCAGCACTGCGCTGGCGTCCGCTCTCTTCACGGCGCGCTCCCGAACCTCTTCGACCTCTCTGTTTCGCCCAGCTCCCTTCATACGAGCGATCAACACAAGTAACGGGTGCCAGCGGCCGCGCTGAGGGTGTGACGCCGTCCTCGTGTAGAGGCGATTCTCTCGAAAGCACCCAGACCCGCCCCCAGCGTCTATACGTCGTGCATCCAAATGCTCTTGGGGTATGTGCTCACCTTGAGGATCTGATGTGTGTGCCGTCGCCGAAAAGACGCAGTCAAGGTATACCAGGAAGAGAGTCGAGCAGAGAAAGAAAGTCAGCGACGAGCCGCAGTAGCCTGCAGGAGTTAAACCGATGCTTACCAGGATGTCGAATAGGGAGGGTGTGGTAGAAGATCTGGCGAGGTGGGTCGGTCCCCCAACTCACCAGGTCATTGGAAGCGCAGGCTTCGCGGCGCCCAAATCTCGACCTGCGCGCAGAAGCCGCCGCTTTGAATTTGGCCGCCCGTTTCAAATGACCGCAGCAGCGCACCTTTGAACTGCCAATTCAATACCTCGCGCGCGCGTCCGCGCGCGCTCAGGCGGCTTGGAATAATCGCTGAGGCCACGTGGTTGATGCGTCGCGAGAAGGTCTGCTGCGCGCGGCCAATACATGGCTGATCAGCCTCATCAAGTCCAAAGTCACGCCTTGCGCACGCCCAGCCAAAGCTCTTCCAAACGACATCACCGTCAATCCTCAAGATTCGTCAAAATGCCGTTCGTCAAGAACATCAAGACCTCTGCGTACTTCAGTCGATACCAGGTGCGTATTGCGACGGCAGCGTCGAGTCAGATGGCGCGTGCAGATCCGTCGTTGGGGGAGACCTCGCGAATTGAGAGTGCCGTGCAAAGGAGCGGGCGACCTTGGCATGGCATGACGCAGGGTCAGATGGTGTGCTCGTACTGAAGGGCAACAGGGAAGGGAATAGAAGCGGGGCACCACTGGCGCGATCTCGTCACTCGCAGAAGAAGCGATCACTGACCTACCTTGGATCCGCTTCTTTCGCAACTCACAGGTCAAGTACCGCCGTCGTCGCGAGGGAAAGACCGACTACTACGCCCGCAAGCGCTTGACTTCTCAGGCCAAGAACAAGTACAACGCGCCCAAGTACCGCCTGGTTGTCCGTTTCTCCAACCGCTACTGCACCGTGCAGATCATTTCTGCTCGCATTCAGGGAGATGTTGTCCTGACTCAAGCTAGCTCCAAGGAGCTGCCCCGATACGGCATCAAGCATGGCTTGAGCAACTGGACTGCAGCATACGCTACCGGTCTCCTTGTCGCTCGTCGTGCCCTGACCATCCTCGGTCTTGCGGACAAGTACGAGGGTGTCACTGAGCCTGATGGTTCCCTCACCCTCACCGAGCCTCTCGGTGACGATGAGCCTCGCCCATTCAAGTGCTTCTTGGACGTCGGATTGAAGAGGACGTCGACCGGTGCTCGAGTCTTCGGTGCTCTTAAGGGCGCATCAGATGGCGGTCTCTACATCCCTCACAGCGAGAAGCGTTTCCCCGGCTACGACCCCGAGAGCAAGGAGCTCGACACCGACCTCCTCTCTGGTTACATTCGTGGATCTCACGTCTCGGACTTCATGGAGTCGCTCGAAGAGGAAGATGAGGAGAGGCACAAGAAGCAGTTCGCGCGTTACCTTGCAGATGACATTGAGAGTGATGCGTTGGAGGGTATCTACGAGGAGGCTTACGAGAAGATTCGGTGAGTGAAGCGGAGGCAGGGACTATGGCAGATGCAAACGGGCAACCGAGCTGCACTAGTAGTAGCAGGCTGGATTACTGACGCGTTGCGAATCACGATGCTTGCTTGGCAGTGAGGACCCCGTGTATCACCCTACTGAGAAGACCAAGGACTGGAAGGCCGAGTCCAAGAAGTACAAGCAGACCAAGCTTACCTACCAGCAACGCAAGCAGAAGATCGCCGACAAGATCGCTGCTTTCAAGGCTGGTCAGGCCATCTGAAGCAAGTCTGCTTGCTGCTCACCTTTTCACACTTCCCCTGTCCCCTTTTCCCTCCACGTGCATCTCCACTCTGACCATCGACGTCATCACTTGTACTCATCCCAAAAAACTTTGATATGTGGACGTCCTCGATCCCACCATATGCGCAAGCAATCCATGTCCGACCAACAGGTCATTCTGGTACATTTTGGCTGTAGCAGACGCCGCGATATTGTCTACCACGCAGTAACGAGTAGGAGGGTGCGCAAGCGCGAGGCGCGAGCAACGTCAGCGAAGCTCGACAGCGCGAGTCGTCTGCGCGGCACTCGTGCAGCGAAGCGCCTCTGACGCGCTGTCGATCGTTGCGCGGGTCCGTCTGTACTTACATCCTCACGATTGCGCCACATGTCGAGCTGGAACGAGTGATCCAAGTCTATGTGGATGGAACAGCCTCTACCCTAGCGTGTGTGGGTGGTCATCAAGTTGAGGGGTGGCTCTTGACCGCCATGATGCGAAGCTCTCTGAACGCTCGTCAAGAAGCCAAGCTGAGACTCGCTTATGGGCTGGCAGAGGACGAAGCGCTTCCTCGACCTTTTGGAGACAATCCCTTTGCGGGCGATGCTGACCCGAACGAGTCCGTTGCAAGCCTGTGCGGTATTGGGCAGGCTGTGTTCGACTTCGAGCTTAAAGAGATTTCCGCAAGAGCACTACTTGGACGAGGAGATCTTGCGGTGGTTGCGGTGAAGAATGAGGTGAATGGTGATCGCGTCGCCTCGGAGTGGAGCGACGGGCAGGGCAACAGTTCGGCATCGCCTCTACAAGTCTGCGGAACCTTGTCTAGAGGTAGAGCATCATCTGTTCACCTCATCAAAATGTGTAACGGCCGACTGGTCGTGCTCAAATTGGTGAGAGGCCCTAGAGACTCGTGCAGTGATTTCATGCCACGTTGGCTCATTCCTTGCTCTTCATCGATAGTTCCACAAGACAGAAATTGGTTCGCTTCAATTTGAGCGAGAGTCACAAGCTTATGCGTCGCTAGGAAGGCAAGGTCTTCTACTGCCCCCTACTACGACTGGCGGTGAACACGAGTGTGCTACCAATGATCTAGATCAGCGACAGCTAGAGGCCATTGCTCCACATTGCTTCGGATGGCTGAACCTAGATCATTTGGCAAGCGCCACGCAAACACCTCAAGGACTGATTACTGCCATCAAACAAAGCTCAAGAGGAATCTTGATTGACTACCTGAGACCACAACAAGGCTGGACGACGCTCGAAGCGCCCCACGGCTCTGCTCAGTCCCACGCTCTACATCCGACCAGACTCTGCAGAGAGGCGTGTCAAGCTGCCATTGAAGCCCTTCAATGCACACCAAGGTGCCATGGAGACGTGTACGGGCGAAATGTGCTCGTGAGAAGCAAGCCCATTCTCCGAACGCATCAAGCACAGCATGAATCCGCATGTGCGTCTACGACTTTCCGAAGAGATGCTGAAGCGCAATGGCAAGCGGTATGGGTAGACTGGGCCTCCTCGCCCTCCATGTCGCACATCTACGCAGCGCACGCAAATCCAGACGCCGAACGACGAGCGGTATCGCTCCATGCCAAAGCAAAACGTAAAGAGCTGGCATTGCTTTGGAGCAGGCTCTTCGAAGTGATGGTGAGTGGACCGTTTGACGTTGCTCAGCTCATCACAGCGTGGATTTCCAGCTGATGCTGGGCCATTCGTGGTTCGGTCAGCTTCCGCTAGCGCGTGCTCAATGCAACGCCGCGGCCCCATGAAGACACTAGCTGATGTTATTCACAGAACGAACGCGGTCTCAGCCGTTGGAGCGCTGGAGGTGCGCCAATCTGGATCGTCACGACGCTCTTGCACTCTTTTGCTTTCACCGTCATGCCGTTCACATATTCGCGCGGAGCTGCCGAACGCCAACCCGGCACCAAGCTTGGCTACACTTACATGGCTAAGTCGCATCACGCAGCACAGCGAAGTTGGGAAAGGCAAGGACCTTCATGAGATCAATCGTTGAGATCGGCTCGTGACGGGCGCGTCAGCGACATGCAAAGATCGTCGGCTGATACATACATGGACGTGAAGAGTGCCTCTGCGACAAGTGGGCTGTAGGCGCCTCGCCTGCGAGAGGCCTCAGACGTGAAGAGATTGCGAGGCAACGAATCTTTCCAGAAGTGAAAGAGGGAAATCGACACCTAAAGCTCGGTACCAAATACCCAATCCCAAATCTTGCTGGTGACTCCGAAACCTTCCTCGTAGTTCTTGTAATGATGAGCCAAGTGGTAAGCCTTCATCTCGCGGAGGTACTGTGGCAGCCTGTGGTGATGCAACGAGTAGTGCATGACGTCGTAGACGACGTACATGGCGAACGCTCCACTAATGATGCCGTTGGCGATGGCGACTGGGAACAACGCGTATGCTAGACGAGTGAATGGGAATTCTAGCACCGCAAAGAGAAGAGGAGGCATGACGAGACGAAGTCTGCACAGCGCAAGACGAAGAGCGGCATCGCGAATTAGCCAAGAGTCCTTCGAAAGCGCCAGAGCACAGTGTCGGAAGCGCCAGAGCACTGCGACTAGCTGCGTCATGGAGCCGTAGCCATATCAAATGCGGTTGCCAACACTCACCGATCCATGGGCAGGTAGTGGTGGATGCCATGAAGCAAAAAGTGGAGCATGAGGAAGAAGGGTCTGTCCGGAAGCATCTCGTCGACGTGGAAGAGGAAGCGGTGCATGGTGTACTCGAGGATGGTCCAGATGACGACGCCGGTGGCGAAGCAAGCCAGAGTAGAAGCCAATGCGGCAGGCGCGACGCTAGCCAAGATTTCTGGTTGCGTCTCATTGATCTGCGCTTGCTTTGCCGCCGCGAGGGCTGCAGAGCCCGAGCCGGCTAGCAATTGTCGGAAAGATGCGAAAGCGGAAGAGGATGGAACGGAGGATGCGGCTGAAGAGGCGGCGGCTTTAGCAGCTGCTGTAGCTGTTGCCCTCTTGAGCGCATTGGCCGCAAATTGGCTCGTGGCTCGTTGGAACAAGGCGGCGCTGATGGGCGCCCAAACCAGAGGCACCACCCACCAAGGAGTTCTTGTAAACATTTCCAAAAAGGGACTCTTGAATAGTCTGGCGCTCTCCTTGAGATGTCGAGGAGAGTGCACCTGCTGCAAGTAAAATTCTTTTCCCCAAGTTCCATTCCACACTTGAACCAACAGCGGCTTGTTCAGATCCAAGAATGCGTGCTTCTCGAAATCGCTCGTCAAGTCCGTGTCTGAAGGTTGGAAGTCGGCAGTGATGACCAGCTCGTCGTCCTTGCCCGTAAAGTCTGCGCCGCCGATTTCAGCTTCGGCCAGAGCGGCATGCTCCTCCTGCGTGATTGGCAAACGACCGACCAGGTTCTCTTTGAGAATCTCGTAAGCCGAGTCAGAGTGACTGTGAGAGTCGATGTCGTCCATGATCTCCTCCATATCCTTGCCCGCATACTCCAAGATCAAGTCATCGCCACCGGGATGGTCAGGAGCGAATTCCGTCACATCATAGACATTGCCCTTGTAAGTGACCCACAACGAAGAAGCGGTCTTGTGAGACTCGAGCTGCTTGGATGAGATGAGGCGCAGACGCTGCGTCGCTGGAGTCTGGGCGGGCCCTTGAAGTGCAGCGGCGGATGCTGCCGCTTTTTCAGCTGCGGCGGTTGCCGACCTGGTCGAGGTGGCAGCTGACATATCGACGCTTTCGCTGCGTAGTGGCAATGACGACTGAGCTGCTAGCCAGAAGCTTCTGATCTGCGGGTAGCCAAGCGTGGAAGAACAGCTACGACAGCAGAGAAATGAGCAGAGGGGAGAATGGTGGGCACAGAGGGTGATGAGATGGATACAACTTGCGAAGCGTGGAGCTCGTGCCAAAGTAAATGAATGAGGTCTCCCAACTCTGAATCGCAACTTCGTCCAGCCCCTCGATTCCCAAAAGCTTTGAACCTGAAATTCTGGCTGAGCGGTGCGCATGCGAAGTCACTACTACTGAATGTGCCACTCACGACTCGCACCTCTCTGACTGCTGCACGCACACTTCACTCGTGACTGTTGTGACTGCACCCTGCGTGCGTGCGTGCGGTGTGTCGTTCGCGCCTCAAATTCCGGCGATGCCAGTCGGCGACTCGATGGGGAATTGGGGAATTATCACGATTGTTTTTGCTGCTGCTGCTTCTACTGTTGCCGCGCGTGCATGCATGCATGCAGCAGCTCAAATTCTCTCATCATCATCAGGAGCCGTAGCTTCGCGCGGCTCGTGACGTGACAGCCGAAAGGGGCGCTTCGCCTAACGCCTGCTGCCGCGCCCGCCCTCGTCGACGTAATTGCAAGCTATGCAGCATATAGCTGCGCAGTGCATCCATGCACGCGCGTGTGGCGGGGAGGACGCGCGGAGGTGCGGGCCACCTCCGCTCGAGATCTGATTTCGCGAGCGAGTCTTAATCTTGACGACGACACAGGCATACTGGCAGTCTGTTGTAGTCTTGAGTTTTGGAGTCAAGAGTCATAGTCAGTACTTCGCTTTTTCGCCGAGCAACCCTCGACCCCGTGACGAGCTGTGCGGAGTCACGTGTGTAGAAAGTTTTAATCACGTGATTGAAGATTGCCGCGTGTCTGATATATGAACCTCACAATCATCACATTCAAAAACAAGCTTGAATCAGAACCACAATCGTGAACCAAATCAGCATGACTATCCATCTAGGCTCATTTAGATCACACACCTCATCAGCTGACAACGCGCTTCCCTTGCAGCCACTTCTGTCTGGCCGCCCTGCACCCAGCTCTCGACCACCATCTCACTCTGCACGTGTCTGTGAGGCACCGATTCCTCGTCGCGTCATCGTTCCATCCAGACCGACGCGACTTGGTCTCGCGCCGCTCATCCCAGCCACTCCTGCGAATTGAGGTTCGTCTCACGAACTTTCTCTGCGGCCGAAGTGATCCACGCCACAAGAGAGGAGGCCTCCTGAGACTCAAGATCGCTGTAGGCGCATACATCGGGCGGGAAGCTTCATCTGCTGAGTCCAGCCAACTTGGAAGGCAGACGTAGCGTGGATTGCAGGCAGTAGACGAGATAGCACCGCAACGAGGTAGCAAGCAACATGTCGTTGTGCACAATGAGGTAAGCTGCAAAGTGCTCTCTAGCTGCCTACAATTAGTTACCACTGCTTCCGCTGGTCGCACATCAGCAAATCTGAGCTCATGCCCTTCCCTACCCACAGGCTCGCCGAAGAGCGGAAGCAGTGGAAGAAGAATGGTATCTACGTAAGTAGCTCTCGTAGCTTGTAAAGCACATCCCCTTTTCTGGGCAGCTTACCGACTGGGCTGTATTCGATGCACCAGGGATTCTATGCGCGACCGGTGAAGAAGGAGGATGGGACCTTGAACTTGCTAGAATGGGATGTCGGCATCCCCGGCAAACCAGACGTGAGTAAATAGCTAGAAGGAGTCGAGAATCGTGACGGCACACGGATCTGATGCCTGCCTGCCTCGGCGCTCTCAGACACCTTGGGCTGGAGGAATGTACACGCTCAAGATGATCTTCCCAGAGGAATATCCTGCCAAGCCTCCCAAGTGTGAGCGGCGGGAAGCTGTGCGAGCTGCCAAGTCTCTCTTTATCCTGCTGACAAACCCCGCAAATATCTGGTTGCTGTCGCAGGCAAGTTCACTCCTCCTCTCTTCCACCCAAACGTGTTCCCGAGCGGCACAGTGTGCCTTTCCATTCTGGACGAGGAGAAAGGCTGGAAGGCATCTTTGAACCTGAAGCAGGTGAGTCACGCGCATCGTGCTCACATCATGCTCGTATGACGGACTCATGACCATCGCGACCGCTACTGCTTCATCACACAGATTCTTCAAGGTATCCAAACTTTGTTGACCGAGCCAAACGCTGCCGACCCCGCACAATCGGATGCTTTCCAGCTCTTCCAGAAGGACAAGGCTCAATACGAGTGAGTGTCGCTTTGCGGGCTCGCTTGCCGAAAGAGTGGAGCTCATCGCTGAGCCGGTGCTGCTTGTGCCCACGCTCAGGCGAAGGATCAGGCAGCAAGCTCATGAAAGGCGCGACACTACCTGAAGTCATTCGCCTCGGAGAGCGAAACATCTCCGAAGGCGCCATCCATTCAGCACTACGCGTATCGTCCTCGCTCTTGCCAGGCGAGCCCGAGCTCTTTTCTCCCTCACAATGTCATCGGTTGTTGTAAATTTGCGATGGTGCATATGCCACGAAGCTTGGCGCAACATGCGGTTAGCGTTGTTTCGCCTCCGCGCAAGGAGGATGGAATATGCGTTTGCTGTTCGACCGATTGGTCACCGCCTACCGTTGGGCTTTGACTGGTGCTGCCATCAGTATGGACTATGGGCACTTCCACCGGGTTGCGGGCGCCAGAGCGAATTGAGGATCTCTCGATTCGTGTGGCGCGAGCATAGTGTGAAGAGGCGGGAATCGTGACCCGCGATTGAATGCTTGGTCGATAACGCCAGCAGCAGCAGCAGGTGTAAGAGGATCGAGACGCCCTTTCGCTTCGTGCTTTGATTCCTCCATCTTCTTTGCTGCACAACACCTCTTTCGACTTGTTGTCATTGAAGAAGTCACATTGTGGGTCTCTACGCCTTGATGTGCGGCGAAATGTTCCATACGCCGAATGGGGAGAGAGCCCGATGGGGCTTGGGACCGTGAGAGGAAAGCGCTTTGCGCAATGGACCGTTGCGAGGAGAGGGGCCTGATAGAATCACGCATGACGGTCTAGCTTCGCTGGCCACGTCGTTATAGAAGCACGTATGGGGCTGCAGGTTGGCGCCCTTCTCTTCGCGCTAATCCCACTTACACGATGCGAATCAATTGCGCCTGACCCAAATTTCATGTCGACTCGTGAAACTGGGCGAAGGAGTGCTTGCGCCTTATACCTGTACTGGCCTGGCAAAGGCTACCTCACGAAGGATTGGTGCCATCAGTCGCAGGCACTCGTCATACCAGGACTCGAAGCTAGTCAGTCGCGCGCATGTGCGTTCTTGATCAACCCCTCGACCGAGGCGATGCGAGCCAAACACTCACGGATTGCAGCGTTCGGGATCAGGGTTGGGCGGACAAGAATAGATGCGACCTTTTCGGCAATTAGAGATCGGGCGCAGTAGAGCTTGAGCGGCTAATAGGACCTTGCATGTGGCGTTGAAGGGCCAACATGGTATGACCCCGGCAGTCTCAACTTCACAGCTCTCTTCCATCACTGTCAATCTATACTTTTCAAAATTGGCTCGAGATGCTTGCGTCATCACAAACAACGGGTCATCTCCGACTGCTGCAGTAGAGCTTGGACCATGGGCATGCGTACATGCTCCCTCGTCACTCACGAATGCAGCAGGTACAGCTGGGCGAATGGACGTGGCCGTCGATCGGCTTCGTGTCCGCAAGCTTTTGCTTTGCTTGCCATAATGACAAATAGGTTGCAGGCTTGATTGTGACTCAGACTGCTGTACTCCATCATGCGCTCATGACTTTTGATCGAGCGGGACGTTTAGCTGGACCGGGGGGCATGGAGGCATTCAGATTGCGAAATGGGAATGTACAGGTATGTGGAGCGACGTGTCTAGAGACGGAAAGCTCGATTACCAGCGCCAGCATGGACCGGCACCGTACCGCTATAAGCAGTCACGAGTCTGAGTTGCGGCATGCAGCGTCAGCAGCGGTGCAAAAGTCTTCGTTCTCATGCAGCCGGGCGCAGTGCTGCACGCCGACTACGCCTCGATGCTTGCGCGCGCATTTTGGCCTCCTAGCTATAGTTTGAGGTGGATGCCGCCGCCGCCGCCCCCGCCGCCGCACTCACGCACAAAATGCTCCGCGAGCTCTGCACGGATGCGGGCGGCTTTTCGCTCTCCTCTCCACTTCATCCGCCTCACAGCTCACTCACGACTGAGCAGCCACGTAGCCTTGCAGGCATCCAGTGTGACAGTAATGATGCGGCCGATCAGCTGCCCGAATCGAAAGAAGGGCCTTCGTGAGCCTCGAGACGCACGTACAGAAAAGCAGCCGTGCGGGCGCAGTTGCACACCCACCGACTCACGACGATGACTGATCTGAGTCCCAAGCTTGCGCAAGATGGCGTGCATTTATGCAAAGGACTTCGAAGACTGGCATCGGGCTGCGTCATGACCTGCTGAGCTTGCGATGAGCCTTCATGCCGCCGGTCAAGGGGGGAAGGGGATGGTGGCTATGGCGGGGAGCGCTCGATGCTCGTGCCCCGCTGCGAAAAACTATAAGTATAGCCACTCCCCATTCACCCAGTCCTCTTCCTCTTTTCTCCTTGCGACTCGCCAAACAAACAAACTATTCCCCTCATTCTGCGCCGGTCGTAGGATATCATCATTGCACTTTCTCCCGCCTATTCCTTCGCACTCTCGTTGACTGGATCAGCACCAATTTTTTGCACTCTCGTCTATCCCTCACGCATACATAGAATTACTACGCCATGGTTCACATCAAGCTCACCTCAGCATTCATCGCTGCTGCGCTGGCCGCTTCCTCTTTCACCGCCGGCGCCCCTCTTCCTCGCGACGGTCAACTCCCACCTGTAGATCCCGCTATTGGCCAGGTACAGAAAGGCAACATCACCCCTCTACAATTCACCGACGGTCCTTTGGTGCTCAATGGTCGACGTGCCCCTCGCGACGGTCAACTTCCAGATTTGGCATGGGGCAAGCCAGACGGTGACGGCAATGTCAAACCTTTGCCAATGGGTCACGGTCCCGTAGTCATCAACCGCGAACGAGATGTGGAAGCCGACCTTACCCGTCGGATCGTCATCACACCAGAGATGCAAAGACAAATGGAGCAAGACGGCAAGTCTCTTCCAACCTCGACTCCTGGAACGATGCACATTCTTCGTCGCGAGGAGGAGAAAGAAGCGATGAGCCGTCGAATGGTCGTCACACCAGAGATGCAGCAATCGATGGAGCGAGAGGGCAAATCTTTCCCATCTCCTCCCATTCTCGCCAATGGCGTGCGTCCACAAATCCTTCGAAGAGAATTGGAGCAGGAAGAACTTGAAGCAGTGTTCGGAAGATCCGCTGAACGTCGTCAAGGTCCCGGGGCACGTGGCGGCTTCGGTGGACCTGGAAGAGGCGGTTTCGGAGGAGGAAGGGGTAGAGGTGGTCCTTCTTTTGCTGGTGGTCGATACGGCGGACGATCTTTGGCTGCCAGAGACCCTCTAGGACCTCACGGTGGTCCCGGCGGCCCGCCAGGCGGCCACGGTGGTCCTGGTGGTCCTGGTGGCCCTGGCGGTTTCGGCGGTCGCGGAGGCTTCGGTGGCCCTGGCGGACCAGGTGGCCGAGGAGGCTTCGGAGGCGGTCGTGGCGGTGGACACGGTCCCCCATCCTTCGGAGCTCGCACCATCGCTGACGACGTCGAAGAGGTGCTCGCTACAAGAGACCCCTTGGGCCCTCACGCTGGCCCTCATGGCGGCCCTGGCGGTCCAGGAGGATTTGGAGGACCTGGAGGCGCTGGTGGCCATGGAGGCTTTGGTGGAGGCCGTGGCGATGGACGCGGCCCTCCATCCTTCGGAGCTCGCTCTCAAAAGGCCGAGGATCTTCTGGCGGCTAGAGACCCGCTCGGTCCTCATGGTGGCCATGGCGGCCCGCCAGGCGGTCACGGCTTTGGGGGACCCGGTGGACCGGGTGGTCATGGTGGTCCTGGAGGCCCTGGTGGTTTTGGTGGCGGTCGAGGCCCTCAAGGTTTTGGCGCTCGCTCGGACAACGACCAGGATGTTCTGGCTGCTAGAGACCCGCTCGGTCCTCATGGTGGTCCCGGCGGCCCGCCAGGCGGTCACGGCTTTGGTGGACCAGGCGGACCGGGTGGCTTCGGCGGGCCAGGTGGCCGCGGTGGTCACGGGCCTCAGTCCTTCGGCGCACGCTCAGAGTCTGAGGATGACGGCGGACCAGATGACTCTGAAGAGAATGAAGAACTTGCAAGAAGGTACGCGACCTTTCCTGGTCAGCACGTAACCTTTGGCACCACCGTGCCATTGTCAAAGGAGAGGCCTATTCTTCCCCGAGAGCCCTCGCCCTTGCACGGACCAGTCGTGCACGACAAGGAGTGGTATGAAGCTCACGGTTTCGCGGGTCAGCCATTGCCGCTTCAGGAGAAGAACGCTAGACGCGCAATGACGCACGAACCCCCCGACTCCATCGCTAGCGCAGCGCAGCAAAAGGCGGGCTCGACCAAGTCAATCATCGGCGGTGATATCAGTCAGAGTGGCTATCAGGCGATGGGGTGCGTTCATAATGGAATGTGCTGAGCCGTCAGAGCCGACGAGGCTCAAGCGTGAAAGGAAGCACACCAAAATAGCCGTCGACAAGGCCCTTGAGACTTGAACACTTCTGATGTAGACGCTTATGGCATTGCCCCACTGTACTCTACCAATGCATGATGTGATGAGAGAAATGCGGGGCGATAGCAGGCTTGTATTGTGGTTTGAACGTGCTCGCGATCAACAAGATGACTGCCTGTGGTAGTAGCCACGGTGACACAGAGTTCACAAAGCTGGTCTGCCGGATAGGACCAGCCGCACGTCATGACTGCTACACACACATTAATTGAGGAAAAGAGTACAAATAAGTCAAGTGACATAAAACAGCAAGGATCGCCGTTGGTCCTGAGATCAACCTTGAGAGGGTGGCAGGAAAGCATTTCAGGAGTTCTCGTCGCCCTACGTTCCATCGTCCTCGTCGTCCGTCACCGTCGCTGGGCCGGGTTCTGCTACGGGCGTGGTCTCTGTGTCGACGTCAGGGTCAGGCCCAGCGGCTCCCGCATGCGTCGGTCCGACAGGATTAGTGATAGGGCCGGCAACCTGCTGGCCATTGATCGCAGGTGGCAAGTCGCCGCCATCGCTACTGTGCGCAGCCGTTCCGGTCCGCAAGTTTCCAGGGTAATTCCTTGGCTCAGCCTCGCAGCCCTTTCCTCCGTCGTACAGCTTGTTTCGCGGCCAATTTGCTCCGTATCCACCTACGCTGCGCGTGTTGCCCCACGTCGTCAGATTTGCGTTGGTATAAGCTTCCATGTGCCGTTCGATGTAGTCCTTGGTAGGATGATCTTTAGGGTCGCAGCCCACCCTGATGTTCTTGGGATCCTGGTACAGACGCACGTAGTCTGCAGACGGAATTTGGAGAGGATCAGAAATTTAGCCAGACGCTGGCTCCGTACGACGTGTGGACTCGAGCAACTCACCAACGCTCATAGTTGCAGGGAACTTGATCTGGTCGAACTCGATGACACCAAAACCTTTCGAGAGAGCCAAGTTCATGATCTGTCCAGGTGGCGCGTTAGTGAATGGCGCTGTCGTGCAGACTACGCGTCATGGTGTCCAGCTCACAATGTACTGAGGCTCTTCAGCGATGTTCCTAGCAGCGATTCCAGCTCGTTCGTCTGGTCCCACTGCCGCAGCGTTCATCCTCCATCCGAGATGGCCATCAATCTTCCATTCTATGAAAGCTCCATCGGATTCGTAACCGGGTTTGTACTCGACGCTGACACGGCTGTACGTCCCACCCGTAAGCTCATAGGCGTCCTGATTGGCAGGTGCGATGCCAGAGGCTGCTTGCTGGAAGATGTTTCTGAAGGTGAAGTTTGGAACGAAGGATGAACAGCAGTAAGCAGGAGCGTGTCCGAACGATCATGTCAACTGCATCCTGCGCAGCAAGTCACAGGTCTAATTTGCGACTTCTCGGCCTCTTCGCGATACTCGCAGTCCTTTACGACCGCATCACCATCCTGTCGCAAGCAGCCATGTGCTCGACTCACCCCCTGTATGAGCTCAAAACAAAGTCGCCAGGAACAAAGTCCACATTGGACTCATTGCCGAGCCAATACCCGGCGTTGAACGGAGCAAATTGCCCACTGAGACTCAATTCCCCTCGTTTGGGGTGCCACCCGACCTGAGCTTCGTACAGATCGATCTCGGGGGCCGATCGAGCCACCCAGCCTCCATCGGGGTGCTCAGGTCCAGGATGATCTTCACCTTCGCAGGTGCAGCGACCAAGACGCATGCCTGGTAGATAGCTCAGGCTCTTGGTCTTGTAGATCTTGTTGAAGTCCGTTTCCGCGCCTGATTCCAGAGCGGCTGTTGGGCCCAGACCATCCGCATCTGTCTGATTTATCAGAGCCCCTCTGTCACATTCATTATAAGCGTAGGGCCAGAGGCCTTCCGTCGTTGCGCCTGGTCGAAGGACGAGGACGAAGATGAGAGTCTGGATGCAGCGAACGGCTTGCAGGTTAACACCAATGCAGCGACGTACCGTAATTTGCTCTTCCTATGGCCGCGTTGCCATTTCGAGTCAGCTTGCGCTTACAACAGGGTCGATACGAACCGCAGCTGGTTTCACATACCCAAATTGCCCATGGTCCAAACGCTTGAGGGGTCAATGCGCGCAAGGATTCAGCCTTTCGGCCTCTCGCTATAGCTCTAGCTCCACGCCGATGCACTCACGCAGGCCACCAACCTGACACCTGGGGCGACCCAGGAAGTCGCACCCCAACTTCGAGAAGGCCGCCTTGATAGCACAACTGTACAAAAGCCAATGCATGAGACGTCGACATTACCGCAACGGCAAAGAAATCAGAACGTCCAAGCTCACCTTGTTCCAGCTCTGTATTTCTCCGCTTCTAAAGTTGAGATTATGGTTTTCAATTCTGCAAATGGGACAGACGGGGCTGAGCAAAGACGATGCATCGCCTGGCTCCTGTTCGTAATGATGCTCACTCGGTTGCAGTGATTTGCAAGGCTCCGTCCCGCGTAGTGACGGCAGAGGGATCGTACCACTGAAAGTCACCTGTTCCCCACTGCCAGCCACCCCCTCGTTCATGGTCAGCTACCGAAGCCCAAGAATCTTGTACTGCGCGAATGCGGAGCACTCACAGGATGCAAATCCAAGGCTTCCCAAAATGGATCGTCGCCAGGGTAGAAACTTCTGCCGTCGACATTGAACTCGTCTGAAAAGACGAGCTTGAGCATGTTTCCATCCGAGCCTTGAATCTGTCCGTGTCGCTTCATATCTGTGTCTGGGTCAATCAGCCCTTCACGTATGCCCTAGCGCAAGATGAATGCACCAAACTAAGCGTGAGTACCGCGCGCATGCATCTTCCTCTTCGCTCTGAGCGCTGCAACTGACGAGACTCTTGTAGCTGGGGATCTGACCACTCGCATTCGTGCCTCCCAGGTTGAATCCTCCGTGCTTACTAGGGTGGAATCCGTAGAAGTAGTCCAGGAGAGGGTAGCCCAGAAAGAGGCTCATGATGCCAAAGATGAGACAGAGCAGAGTTATAAAGTTGCAAAAAGTCCTTGCCGATCTGAAAGGCGCTGGCACGCAGCTGTACAGCGGCATAGCAGCGAAGCGAGACTCTCAGCACAAACGTCTCGGCGCACAAGTCGCAGCGCGAGTGGGCAGTGCTCACCTTCGTCCTAAAGACTGGTCAGGGTCGTGCAGGTAGTCGTCGGCCTCTTTACCATCGACGTGCCATCTACCAGGATCATGCTCGTTGTTCCAGTCCATCGTAGCCGATGTTCCATGCGACCAAGAAGTACTTGCAGCGGCCTGAGACACGGAGCTGATACGCTTGCCTTCCATCCCCCGACCGGCCGAATTGTTTGCAGAGCTGCTGGTACCATCACGAGAAGAGCTGCTGTGACCTGCTCCAAGTTCGGCTGATTGGGACCCGTCATGGAGCACGGCTGCACCGTTGACTGCCAGGTAAGGAGCGGATGATTGCTGCGCCGAGGGCTGACGATTGTCCCACCTTTTCTGTGATGGCATGGGCGCACGGCCACCGCGAGGCATTGAGCGCTGCGTAGCGCACGACCACACGAGCAATGAGCAACAAGGCGGGACACGAAAGCTTGGGTTTATCTCAACTTACTGGTTGCGATGCATTGATTTGACCAATTGGTGATTGCTGTGGTTGACCTCTCGATGCCGGATCTCGTCTTGATTGCTGTGCACCTTCGCAAACATCAACGCTCTCACTGTGTCTTCGCCTTTGCATGACGTTCTGCTGCTGATGGGGTGCGACCTGTCTTGCATGTGCGGGCCCCAAATTGACGGCTTGATGCCCATCTTCAGGTCTTTTCCCACTTGGAACACCGGTCAAGTCGGTTGTTCCAGCTGTAGGACTGCCGTCCGAGCCAATGGGCGCCCCTCTCCACTGGGCGTCCGCGGCGGGAGAATCGAGGTTGACAGGAGCATAACCGCCACGCTGAGCGCCGGTCGAATGTTGCGTCTGCTGATGGCGCTCAGTGTCCAGTCGCATGAGCATCTGGCTTCCAGAAGAAGCTGATGGAGCACCATCCGACTCTGTCGACATTGCCAATGGGGACGCCTGGTCGTCGAAATGATCAGGAGCGAACGCGTACTTTGCTGCTTTGATGCGATCAGTGGTTGGGCGACGGTCGCCACATGAGGCAAACAGACGTCGTGCAAAGTATCTGCCGCGAGGATGGTATTGGTGGGCCAGAACTGACTGCCAACGTTTGTTGCCGGTCGCACGAAGCAAAGGGAAACATGCGCCGCAGCCGGCGAGCGACGAGCGACGTCGCAACGAGCGCTTTGCGAAGCGTCTGATGTACCGAGAGGAGAAGGCTGCAAAAGCTAGCACGGGCAAGTCGAAGCGCGGGCGCAAAGGCATCATCAATTACCAGCAGCAATCGAGCTGCAGGAGTCAGGGACCCGCGGTACTCATTCTTGCGTCTGATTAAGAGACGCAACGAGGCGTTCCGTGCACCGAGTTGCGCGACGGTCCGCGTCGTGTAAAGTAATAGACAATATGTGCGCTCTTGATGGTGCGTGTGACGTTTGCCATCGGCGATGAGCGAAGCAGAAACATGAGTCAAGCTCCTTTTCCTTTAGATGCTGGCTGTGTCCGTCTCTTGGAAGACCGCTTTGGCTGCGCCTGATCCAAGTGTCCGTGCAGCCCGCTTGGGGCTAGCGTGGCTCGCAGGGGTGGAGAGACCCCAAAGCTCGCCGACTCATAGCCGACAGAATAGCAATCTGTTGGTTTCTCACCGTGTCTCCGCCGGAGGAAGGCGAGTCAAAGGCCATCTCTCGTAGACAATGGCGCCGCCACGGCGCAAGCACGAGCATTTCGGACGGAAGTGTGCTGCGGTCTGCTCTACCTGAGACGCCGGCAAGTGGAAGCCGTTGTTCTCTCGCTTCGCAAGAATTTGAGACGTCGAAAATGTTGCCGGTCTATGGGTCCATAGGGGTGCTCCATCGAGCGACGTACGTACAATCACTCGCATTCGTCGCTCGATAGGCGGCCGACGATTACCGACATTGGGCAGAAGCACGACCAATCTCCGTGGAAGATTGGCGAGTCTCATCAGCTGGCTTTCCCGCTCCGGCTGATGTGTAGACACTATCACTGTTCAGTGTGAGTGCAGATTCATAAAGCGTCGAGATTGCCAATGGCAGAGCTTCTCGCACTGGCATGGTGTATTCTGACACGGCATCTCCTCGGTACGACTCGCGCTTTCTACTTCCGACCCATCCGCCACGTTTCCCATTTTGATTCCTGCATCTTGCCGCGCCCTCCCTCTTGCGCGCCGATCGCCGACTCCTGACATCTGACCTGACTCCTCATGCGCTGGCAAGTAAATTTTGATAGGGTGACCGTGCCAAACGGAGATGTATGCTGCGATCACGGATGGATGTGCGGATGTGGTCGTGTTCACGCGCGCGCGCGCCTGCTAGCTATAGCTGCTGTTGCGTGCGCCCTTCTCTTCTGCCTCGGCCCGCCGCGCATGGCTTGCACCCGCGAAGGGTCATCCATCCATGCAGCAGCGCGAGCCGGCACGCAGGGGTGATGAGCCGGAACTGATTTGACTACTAATCAAGTTGACTTGAGCTCGCCAAACCACGCAAAAGCGATCTACGTGTAGGACGCATCAGCTCTGGCTCGCGATGCCCTTCTCTGCAGTCACACAGTCTAGCCAGCCTCTGCTGGCCATGCCAGTCCGAAATGTGGGTGGGTGAGCGCGAACCCACAAAATGCAGGCGTGCGTGCCATAGCGGCGCATCAACGCGCAGACGGCCCCCGATTTTGCTGCGACTCGTTCCACCCATTGTGACACATCCATCATCTTATATCTCGTTTCGGCATGAAGCGCTCGGAAGGCACAGGACGCGCTATGGTACAGAAGAGTCAATGCACAGATAGCGTACCGGTTTCGTATGCTTGGGACAGTGCAAGAAAAGCTCCGAGAGGCCGTCGACATTCCGGTACGGACTCAGATCGATAAAGCTCGTTCTTGGCGAGGCGGATCTGGTACGGCTGGGTTGCAAAAGTGTGGCGCAAGCACCACGGAGAGAGTGAGAGTGTGGACGACGATCATCGCATGCCCCCTTTGCGGTTGTCACTCGGTCATCGTGGCAAGCGCCTGATCATCCGATTTCATCGTCATGTTCATTCAGAGATGAAGCGGTGGGCGTGATGGAAGGCTTTCCATGAAATGGAGAATGACGAGGTCGATGCTGCACACGTAAGCTACCAGCAAGCGAGTAGTGAAAGCGAGACCGAGATTGGTCCGCTGCAGGGTCGACTGCGAGATGGAAGGCAAGTCAAAAGGTCCATATCCAAGATGGACCCTGCAAGCGAAGCTTGGAACATCTACGTAGAAGATGCCCTTGCGATCCTTGCTGCTCTGTCGAGCGGAGTGGAGTCAAGAGTGACCATGCATTTGCGCTGGCCATGCATGGTTGCTGTGCACGATGCTCCATTGTCACACACACGACAGTCAAGAATCAGCATGCCAACGGTCACGAGTCACGAGGAGTGAGCCTCGCCTCGCCTCTTACACTTCGAAATCCATGGCTGAAGTCGACTCAGGAGTGTGACATGTAGGGTCGCGTGGCGCAGCGTGGACCCGGATGCGATTGGTCAGAGGGAAGAGAGAGAGAAGTACACCATCACGCTGCTCTCTGCAGATGCGCTCGCCTGTCTCACCAACGTGCTTAGCCTTCGGGGTAGTCTACCGAAATGCACGATAGCTACGGTCGAGGCAGTCATGCGATCACCACGATAAACACCGACGAACTGCGATCGAGCTGAGCAAGTCGAAGATGGTTCTTCTTCAACGAGCTGGAGAGGTAGGCAAAAGATGCAAGGCGCGTCGTCACCCCCCGGTATGACCTTGATCCATCTGTCGGAGGCACTTTGTAGGATATTTGGACTCCTTTTAGCCATTCAAGAATTGAAGGAGAGCTTGCGCGACAGCACGTGTGACTGGTGAATGAATGCCATGCACATGGACGTGATGATCAATCTGCCTTTAGGTAGCCTAGCTGGCACGGAGATCGGCTTGCCGCAAGTCCACTTCCAGTTCGAGAAGCGCGGGTTGAGCGCAAGAGACGGACTCAAAGATTGGCCCGTCTGGTGTCTGTTTGAGATGGAGAGAGACACACTCCCTCACGGCTGCTTAGGCGTCCGTAGTCCATCCATATGAGATGGCATGAGGCTTGTGTCTAGACTCCCATCCGTCAGATCACTATAGCGCATATGTTGACCGGCGGGCCGATGAATGCATACAACATCAGCCATTAGAGTGGGGTGAGTCGCGAGCGGCTCTCCAAAGGCATGTAGCAGCTGCGGAACAGTCCCAGGTCGCGTTGGATTCGACTCGACTACTGATCCATGCGCGCGAGAGAGCTGCAGGAAAGGTCGCTCGTTGCGACTTCTTCATCATCAGTCGCGAGTGCGAGGCATGCAGCGGCTCGGTCAGCAAGTCAACATTCGTGATTCATGTAGCGGTACAGTCAAAGTCACTGACGGGTGTATGTATGCTGACAAGTCAAGCCGACCCACCCTTCGTTCCCGAAGACGCGTGTGAATGCGAAATTCGAGGGATCATGTGAAGGCCTATGGCGGTCGTGCAATTTGCCAGTCTGAGTGTTCCCGCCGAGATCCGGATGTCGCAGGAGCGGCGGGGCGGGGGGCGGACGAGCGGGCGACCTCGGTGCCATCATGGCAAATGTGCTGAGGTGCTGAGGTCATCCATCGCGTGCCATGCCATGCCATGCCATGCAAAACGTGCGAGGCGGCGGGATATGGCGGACTGCCGGAATGCAGGCACTTAACAACTCCGACGAGGCGAGCACGTTTGAACGCGTTCAAAAAGTCACGATGGAGTAGTAGAGCAGTCTTGAGTCTTGCGTACCTTCTGTGAGCGCCATGCAGTCACGCGTCTCGCTATGTAAGTGACGAGTGTGGGCGAGCTGGCTGGCTGGCGAGCTGCCCCCACGCTGCAGCTTACATTTTTCGAAAGAGGCCATCAGCATGTGAATTCATGCACGGACACAACGACGCTCAAGTTAGCAGCATCAGGAGCGAAGAGCGGCGCTAGCGACCTCTGCTACTCGTGACTCACACTACCGGGGATGTAGGTATTGTACTTCGTGCTCTGGTGCACCTGTATAATAGACATATCTACACCCACCCGCTGCCGGCGCTGATATGAATCAGGAATAATTCTTGAAGCGGCTGGCTAGCTGCTGGAACTCCGCCCATGGGTACCGTACCGTTACTCGTGACATCAAAGATCAATTTGACTTGACGGGAGCGGGATAATCCCTTTCAACGCAACCCTTCATATGGTGGCGCGGACATGCCACAGAAGGGTCGGGGAGGGGAGCATACACAGCAGTCACAGTCAAGAGTCACGAGCGGCGGGCGCGCGGGTACACCACCCTTTATTGCACTCTGACTCTTCCGCAGTCTGAGTATGTATGGGTAGTGCGTGCGGAGATATGATGTGGATGACGAGCGGAACGGAACCATTCGATTGCGGGAGAGATTCATCGCTAAATTGACAATCTCAGCCGTCAGCAGTCAAGAGTCAAGAGTGCGTCTCGACAGACCATCGATCCGCGATCTCTTGATGGACGATGAAACACCGACACACCCACTCGTGACTTCTGACTCGTGCCTCGCTACCCGTCATCCATCACATCTCAACTCATCGTTCGACCACCTCTCTCCTCAGACAACGACTGTCCACGCAGCACCAACCCTTCGAAGTCGATCACTGCCCGTACAGTCAGCAAAGGGCCGTGCTACTCACGGCTGTAGTGGTACCTACCACTCAACAACTCGCAGCTGTACCGTACAGCCGCCCGCAACTCTTCTGACTGCAATCTGACCGCGATCCGCGCGCACGCGCCTTGCGTTTACCTCTTTGTGCTGTGCGCGACAAGACCCCTTGCACGCATCCGCATCCACATTCAGATTCGTGAATTGATTCAGATTGCTAGCCGTTGGATGCCAGCAACAGCCAGCAGCGGCCATACAGTAGCGCCCTCTGCCTGTGCCGGACCTGACTTGCGGCTGTTAGCAGGAGCACTGCATCCAGTCAAGTCACATCAGTATTGCCAACGCCCACACCGCACGCTAGACACACACCCACTCGTCACCAATCATCTCGACTTGCCGCTCGCGACCTGAGCCACACTCAGGGCGCTCTGCACTGCCACCCTCAGGCGCACCCCTCCCAACCACTCCGACTCGCGATTCTCCCTTCCACCATCTTGCTGCGCTGGGCACGCTCAAGTGATCGCGAGGACGGAACAAGGACAGCTGCTCACCTTCTCTTGGCCGCCCCTTCCTGCCGCAATCACCCCTCCCATCAATTTCACAACACTCTCACTGCTACGGACCTGAGACGCCCTCGGCGACTCGCGGAATCGCGTCGACTCTGCCTTGCAACTTGCAATGTCAGCAGCAACAGCTACGATCCACACCCTCCCGGAAGTTGGCGGGAGGAATCGGCCACTGCCGCCAACTCGAGCAGCTCCTGCTTCGCCTATTCCTGGCGGTGATTACACATCCGCTACGCACACAAGTCGACCTCAAATACAAGCGAGCAAATCACGAGAGCTGGCGCGGGCCATTCGATCTCAGGAGCAGCTGGATGCAGAGGCCACAGCCAGCAGATCTTACAGACCTCCCAGCGCGTGGAGTCAGACGACTGATGCCGCCGACGTCGTGTGGTCTGGTGCTGGCGCCGGTTCCATCAATGTGCCACCTCTGCCGAGTCCTGCCTTGAGCAATGGAAGTCAGGATGATCAGGATCGATTCAGCGACGCTGCCAGCTGGGAAGGAGACCACACAACCTCGGCTGCAATCGATACGAGCCGAGAACGTTCGACTGCAGGCACTTCTTTCGACCCACGTCAAAGCGTTGCGCCGAGCGACTTTGATCCAACTGAGGATAGCGGATTTGGTCATGAGTCCCGTAGCACGTACGGGCACGCTCGTGCGTCTAGCGTCGCTTCGTCGATGTGGGCCGGAAGAGGCAATAGGGACAACAATGCTGCATCGGGCGAAAGCACCCATGAAAGTGGTTATAACGGTCCACCCCGTCGCAAAGCACCACCACCACCTTTACCAGGCATCACGCCTGCCATGGCACTGCGCGCTCAGATGATGAACGCGCCTGAACCCTCGCCTGGGCTCAACTCGATGCTCAGCAGGTACTCGGAAGAAGAGGATGACGAGCTGCGGTCGCTCAGCGGGCCACGGCCCGCCAAGGCTCAGGGACATCGTCCTCAAGACAGCATGGGCCACTCTGCTGTCAGCCCGCTATCTGCCACCTTTAGCCCGCGCCTGCAAGGCGCATCATCACCAGCGCTCAGCGACTTTGAAGATCCCGAGATGACTCAGAATCCCGACACTACAATGAACTCGAGCATGTTTGAGATGATGCCCTCGAACGCTTCTCGGGGCAACCAGTCGCCCTCCTCGCGTGCCACGACGGCAAGCTTGGGCTCGGCAACACAGGACGCTCCACCTCCTAGAGCCATCGCGGAAGCCAACAAAGGACTTCAGTCTGTCGTGAAGCCGTCGGCAGATCCGTCCAAATTTGGCGTTCCGCCCCCTGCGCCGCGTCGCCGCAAGGGCCGAAAGGATCGAAGCCCGGTTTTGAGCTACGCCGAGGGCGAGGAGGAAGAACGTAGACTGGCTTCTTCACACGAGGGCGACGGTCTGGGTCGTATGAACAGCATGGGACCAAAGCTGAAGAAGAACGCGCCAGCGCCCTGGGAAGTGGATGGGGACCAGGATGATGGGGATGGTATGGGAAGCGCAGGGGATCGGGAATTGTTCGTGCCGCCCACGCGCAGCGGATTCGCAAGCTGGGCGCGAGCAAGTAGCGAAAGCTCTCGACCACGATTGACTCCAAGCAACTTGCCCCCGCTGTCGATCGCCAACGAGAACCGCACGAGCGTTTCGGACGCGAAGCGAGGGGTCGCTGATCTTGCATCGGAGCAAAGAGATCTGGACGACCAGGCAGCAGCTGCAGCGGCTCGACGGTCTAGGAGCAAGAGTGTGAGCTCACAAGCTGCAGGCATGCTCAAAGGTCTCGGACTGGCCACCTCCGCTACCCCTGCAGTCAAGAAACCGGGCAAGTTCGCGAAGGCATTTCGAAGGAACGCATCGAGTCCCGGTCTCGGTGAAGGAAAGAGCAACAAGTTTGCTGCAGGCATCTCTTCTGATGATTATGCGCACCTACCTCCGCCAGCTCCCGCCGCTCCAGTGCGGGGTAACGGTCATCTGGTCACTGCACCGCCGAGTCCCCTCAGCTTTGTGAGCAGCGCGGACTCCATGCTGCCCCCAACGCCGGTGCCGCCCGCAGCGTCCCTAGCGCCATTGAGCGCGCCTGCAGCTTCGGTTTATACCTCTCCCATGAGCTCCTCCCAGCCGGCTGCTGTCGCCCCTCTGGTACCACAGCAAGGTCGTCAGAGCAGCAGTGCCGAGAGCAATGGTGCTGCTAGCAACTCCACCAGTTATACTAGCGGACCCTCTAGCGAACACAACACTGCCGCCACAAGCCCGGGCTTCAGTCCAGCAAACACGGGCAAGTCTCTGGATCTCGTCGACCTCTTGAGCGCTTCTCGCTCTACTCGCATGAAGGACCAGCAATTTGTGCCCAGCCGATCACCCATCGTTTCGCCACGATCGCCCCTGCCCGGCTCAATGAACCGTCAGCAAGATGCGGTGCCCAGCCCCCCGCGGAGCGCCAATCGCGCAGGAGGCTTGGGCTACAAGAGGTCCAGCACATTCTTGGCGGAAGGAGCCATGACGCGATCTGGTAGCGCCACTTCTCGACCGGGCTTCCCAGCAGCGAACGGCGCTGGTCCCGCTTATGTATTTCCCGATAACCGCAACGCTAGGTCGCCAGTGCCACACCCAGACGGCAGGAGTGCCCAGAGCCACGAGTCGGCGCACCCAGCCAGCTCACTGCCTCTGAGCGACCACGCCTCGACACAAGATCTTCGCGCCGGGTCAGCGACGCCGACGGCGGCCAAAATCCTGCCGGACGCCGAGCGCTCTGCTCAAAGTCATGGCAGCGTCTCGAGCAATCATTCACCGCTCGTCTCTCCCAGCCCCGTCGACCACATGAGACCTTTGCATCTCGGTCATGACGTCGCACCACCCCCTTTGCGTTCGGCTAGCTCGCAGGGCGAGAATGCTCACGCTGATGCGGTAGCGAATATTGGGCCATCGGCATCGCCCGTCAAGCAGTTGGGCCAATGGCCTCAAAGTATACCTGCCGCTGTATCCCCAGGTGCGGCCATGCAATCTCTGCCTTCTGTCGGCTCGCATGAGGGTGTGCCTTACAAGCTCATCAGCCTGGAGCAAGCGAGGTTGAATCAGGAACGCGAAAGGGGCGTTTCGGCGCGCACGGATTTGACCCCGGCTCTGCGCAACAAGAAGAGTGGCGGTGGTTTCTTGCGACGCTTCAAGGACAAGGGAGGAGAGGGAGATGGGACCGAGGGTGGAGCGGGATCGATGGCTAGCAGGCCATCGGCCGGTAGTCTGGACAGCAGCGGCAAGCTCAACGCGGGCGCTTCTATGCCGTCGCTGCAAGTCAATGGAGCTGGCGCGAGCACGGGCGAAGATCACTCTCCTTCGGCAGAAGCACCCGCCTTGTCTCTGCGACCTGTGAGCTCCATGTTCTCGGGATTGGGAGGCATGCTAGACATGGAGGATAATCAGGCAAGTAATTCAGGCATGACCACGGCGAATGCGACAGAGACGTCCGCTCCAGTCACCGCCACCGCCTCTGCTTCTGGTGCTCTTCAAGCTCCTACCGACGCTCAGAAGCTACTCTCCCCAGCGCTGAGCTACAAATCGTTCGGTGCCTCTCTCAGCAGTCGATCGCCAAGCCCGGCCGGCGTGGGCCTCACATCATCAGCCGCATCTTCCTCACCAGCTTCGCGAAAGGGCGCTATTCCAGCTGCCATCAAGACGAGCTCCAACAGCCCTCGCGATGCGGCTCCAATGTCGGGTCTCTCCAAAGCGACGGATGTGAGCTCGCCCACGTATCAATCTGCCAACAGTCATGGTGATGAAGAAGAGACGTTCGTGTCGCCCACGACGAGCCCTCGTCAGCTCAAATCCTCTTTGCCGATGCACCCGAGCAGGTCTAGCGGCAGCACTGGTAGTGCGCCTCTGGCTCCAGCAGGTCTGCATCGACCCATCGCGCGCCACGGATCTGTTCCCGGAGCTCTTGCTCGACCTTACTCGGACGCGAGCGCTTCTTCCGACGCCTCGTCTGCGCTGGGTCTGGTCAACGGCTTTCCACCCACACCGACGAGCGATGCCGACGCTGCCGGAATGGCTCTCAATCCGGCTCTCTTGGCCTCGCGCAAGAGGGCCATAGAGATTGAGCAGACGATGAACGATCTGGCGGCCGAACTCTCTGCTCTTCGAGCGGCAGCCGGACACGCTGCGCCTCGCGCTTCGCCCTCCGATTCTCCCAATTTGGCCGCTACCGCTTCTAGCCCCTCTTCCATACCATCTTGCTCCGCGTGCGGCTGCAATTGCGCAGAACAACGTCGCTTGCAAGCTGCGAATGAGGCTGCTGTCCTCAAAGGCATCAGGTGAGTACCAATGTCCCCCCTCCTCCCAGCATTCAAAACGGACGGTGGGCTATCTTTTTGCTGACCCGACCTTACCCCGTTTGAACGCTGCCTCCTTTGCCCAGCATCATGAATCGCAGTCGAGCACTCAAACCCTCTGCAGCGGGCGCGGGCAAATTTGGCGGCTATCTGGATCGATGAGTGGGACAGATCATCATGCCGCATTTGCTCCTCTTCCGTTTCCTGCTTGTTCCTTGTTTGGGGCCCCGTCCAAATCCCGTACATGCTCCTCGTTACGAAACGTATACCCACTTTCTCCCCCCCCCTCCTCCCACCTCCTTTTACTTTGGTCGAAGTCTCTCGGTCGGCAACGTCTTTTACGCCCACTCCCACTTTGTCTCTCCCGTGTTGGACCATCTCGACAGATATCTGATACACACCCAGAGCTACTTCCCTCGCCTGCGTTTCCCCCCCTTGTACCCGGTCTGATCGTCAAGATGATTCCAACGCCCCTGTATTCCCCTGATCAGCACAAACTTGTACCTCTACGCCCCGGGCGCGCAATCTTTTTCCCTGCTCCGCAATGCCATGGATTGACAAGATACAGAGCGACGTCGTCGGGCTTTTGCCTTGCCGTTGCTGCATCGGCTTGCAGAGCGTGGAAGACGCTGGGATGGGACCAGACTGAATGGGTATGCTACACGATGTTCGTCCTATGCAATGCTTTTTCCCGACGTGCCATGTAACGTGCCACCTAGGCGTGCCCTCTGGGTCACGGGACAATGAAATAAAGTACAAGCGCGGGAGCCGAGCGTTTCCATGCGATGCACGGAGATTCCTCTGCGATACTTTTGCGTGAGCGCCTGTCTTGCCTGATTTTGCTTCCGAGACGGGGAGGGAAAACGGCAAAGAGAGCGAACAAGTCACGCACGAGTTTCGTCGACCTCAGGCGGCCTAACCGGGCAGAGGCGAGGGCCAATAAGCGAGTGTCCCTGTGTGCTTCAGGACGCGGCAAAGGATTTGCCGAGCTCGAGTTGGAGGCTGGCGAAATTGCTGCGCCGCGTCTCGGGCGGAGGGGCCTGGAAGCGCCTGGAGACTGCGCCTGGAAACTTCAAGGCAGCGCTCCACGCTCAACGACTTTCGTTGGAAATTCGATGTGAGAAAATTGCTTGAACCGCTGCTCGGCTTCATTGTATGAGCAACCTAGCCGCAGGTTTAGATGGGTCTGATACCGAACAGAGCTCTGAAGCGTTCAAAGAGAACTCTGGCAGGGTGCAGAATACGGTGAAACGGTCGCCGCACAGTCGGCATTAGCTTGATCGAGCACGTGCAAACACGTCATGCCTCGACACTTACAAAGAGACGACGGTATGCGCTCCAAGGCGCATCCAGCACATGCCGAAGCTGTTCAAGAACACGGTGAGGCGTGGTGTCAGGCGCATGACGTCGAGGTGCCTCGCCTTCCCATCACCGCTAGATCGAACGCGCTCAGCCTGCGGAGCGTCCGCTTCTTTCTAGCTTCCTGCTCAGCAGCGGACCCACCACTCACCCTTTATACAGGCCCATCGCACCCTCGGTCTTCAAAAGCAAAGTCAAGACGCTCCAGCTAGTATTCGTTTTCCCTTGCGCCACAGCTCCTGCTCTCTCGTTCATCAATCTGACCTTGAGCACATCTATAGGTTGACTAGTAGCAGAAGCGATAAAGCCAGCTATCATACTGCTGGCGAAATGTAGAGGCAGTCCTTCCTGAGAGAGATGAGCGACGAGGAGATTGGGGCTGCTACTTGAAGCATAACGCTTGATGCGTTGCTTGGCTTCGTCGTACGTGCCCACCTGCAGCAAAGCATTGTGAACAAGAGCATCAGCAAGGAGCGAGCAGTGCAAGTGGATGAACGCGCTGCTAGCCTCACCTGCGTGCTAGTAAGCACAGCCGCTCTGAGCGTTGTGGGTCCGACACCTCTCCACAGAGCCTTGAGTCCACCTTTATGATAGATGGTCGAGAAGGCTACAAATGTGTTGCGATAGGGAGGCGCACCGCCCGCGCTTGCTGCTCTAGACGCTTGCATCTGAACCTTGACCAAGTCGCAGGGAGAGGCTATGAGAGCGCCCAAGGCGCCTGAAGTGACGCCTGCCAGTAGTTTCTGCAGGAAAGGCACGGATGGACCTAGGAGTGGAGCATACAGGTCCTGCGAAGGATGATGCAGCGATTAGCAAGTGGATCGAAAGAGTCGTCAAGGCCAGCACATGGCTCCGAATGCGCCACGACGATCGCATTCACGCTTGTGCCCTCACCTTGAAAGTCTCGTAGCTTCCCATTCTAATCGTTCCATAGCTAGCCTCCCTCAGTATACTGGCCGTCACACCGTACCACAGACTCTGCACGCCTTCTCCAACAATCATTTCCTTTCCCAACGTCCAGAAATTGTGCCGCGAGGAGAGCGCTAGTTGTTGTCGGACCTTGATGATGTCGAAAGGATTGGTGACGACTGCGGAAGTGCTGTTGCCTAGCAGAGCGCTGGCATAGGTTAGGAATTTGAGTCGATGAGATGAGGGAGATGGGTCCGGCTGAGACGCGGACACAGATTTGTCCAGCGTCTCCTCCTCCTCTGCCAAGAGGGAAGCTTCTTTGCGAGTCATGGCGGTCCTCTATAGCTGTGTGTCGTGATATGTGAGGACGAGGCGAGGCGGGGTCTCCAGCAAGTGCCCTTCTACCGTTCCAGAATCCTCTCTCGCAAGTCTTGCACGGAGGAGCCAGCTTCTTTGTAGTCGTGAGTGCGACAGCTGGTCGGTGTAGTAGGCAAGAGCTTCAGCGAATTAGAATCGAACTGTGTTGTGCGATTGCAACGTCAACGCACTTCGAGACATCCTGCCGCTCCTCTCCTTCGCCTTCTCACGCGATCACAATTCACGATTAACAAGTTGTGATCTGCTGCATGGCATCTTCCATCTCATCTGGCAGCTTCAGCGCTTATTGCTGCTGACCTGCAGCATGCATGCATGCTCGCTCGGAAGAAAGCGTGTGCACATCAACACGCGACAGCATTGACTCAGACTGGCAAGCCTTAACGGCCGAGCACTGCACACGCACCGCGGCAATCCACCCATTCTCATTCATGCGCGCGCTTTTAAAGCGACGCGCGACGCGACGCGACGCAAAGTGCAACGCCGCGGAGGTTGCAGCAGGCAGGGCTGAACGCGTAAATGAGCCTGATGATCATAAAATATACGTGCAATTAAGCTGCTCTTGGTGCTGTGTCGGCGCGCATTTGCGTTTGGACCCACCGTAGGGCAGGCGGCGAAGATCATCAGCGAGAGTCGTGAGTGTATGCTGAGCGCGGTATGAAGCATGACGATGCTGGTCTTCAACAGCAGCGTGACAGCCAACGTCCTTAGCTCTTCCAAACGCTCGTCTCACTCTCAAGCGCAGCACCCATCACGCTACAACGTCGGCTCCAAGTCGCCTCACGCTTGACTCGCCCACACAACTCTCGGAAAGTGAATACCTCTCGACAATCGTATCCCTCTAAGCATGTCCGCATCTGAAGTGCGCGACATTCAACAGGCCGCGCCCGATGAGGGTGGCATTGGTCAAGACCTTCCTCAACCAGACGCTCATGCAGCGAGCGACGTGAAGGGCAAAGGAAAAGGCAAGGCTGCAGAGGTGGTCGGTGAGTGTGCAGCGCTCGTATTTGTAGGGCTTGAACGCAAGGGCAGTCGGGAATCATCGCGCGTCGTGGCGCGCGTGAAGCTTTCGGAGGGTCAAAGCCTGGGCGTGCAATTTGGGTACCCAGTCACCATGCAAACGGGTCAGCGGCTCTTTGCCGGCATGAAGTGTCTAGCGTCTAGGTCAATGCTAATCCTATACCATTGCGAGACGGACCACTGACGCCTCAGCATCTCTCTCTATCACCTGTGCATGTGCAGAAGAGGAGGAGGATGACGATGACGATGAAGAGAACGAGTCTGACGAGGAGGATGAAGATGATGAGGATGGTGATGTGAGTATGAGCTTCTCTTATGCATGTCTGCGTGCCCTACTCGCTTTCATGATGCACATGATCCAGCCTCAATTGCTGCTCACATTGGCGTCGCTGTTTGCCCAAACAGGAGACCAACCCTCTAGAAGGCTTGGACCAATCCGCCATCATGTGGACCGGAGCTAGAGGAACACGTCGTGCTGCGCAGAAAGAGATCGACTACTCTTCCGAGGAGGCTCAGCGCAAGGCTGGCTTGGCAGGTGGTTCCGCGGAAGAGCAGGAGGAGGATGACGGGGAGTTCAAGGTGAGGCTTGCGTGCTCTCCCTTGACAGCGATGGGCCCAAACGATCGGGGCGCATACAGTCGAGACAGAGCGGAGCACTGACCTTTGGCGCTCCTTCCACAGGGCGAGGAGATGGAGGAGTAAGCCGTGAGGCTGAGGAGGACACATCAACACGCAGGTCCACGTTTGACTAGGTCCCGATTCACATCGACTGCAAAGAGTACCCACAGAAGCTGGTACCCTCTCACCAAAAGACCAAAGGTCATGAGTCATTGTGCCAGCTTCTTCACTCGATAGCAAAGCGCAAGCACGTACAAGATTAGTGAGAGCTCGCGTAAACATCAGCTGGGTATAGATTGCCACCGAAACATGTATCCAGAAACGTCCAACGAGTACAAGGCCTTGTCGCTGATGAAGCGCGGGTGATCTAGTGTCCTAGCTTCATCGTTTGCGTCAAATTTGAGGCACATTTCGACAAGGAGGGAACTCGCTGGACCCAAGTTTGCCCGAGCCAGCTTACGCTCTCAAGCTAATCATCAGTGCGGACGCTTTCGAACATCTAGAGGTCACTAGACTCGACCCGGTAGACGTAGAAGCTTGTGCAGTCATGTTTGCCCGCGTCCATTCAGGCTTCGCCAAAGCCCCATCGAAGGAAGGCGCTAAGAGAGCTGCAGCATGCAAATCCTGAACCCCACGTTGCTTGGATCGGATTGGAGATGCGCCGAGACTGTGATTGAGGTTCGCATGTGATTCGTCTCATTCACCATGAATTTCTTCGTTTCACGGCCTGAGCTAGCGATGAGCGTGCGAGGCCAGGAAGTGTGCTGCGGAAGCTTACCCCTCACTAGAACGCCTGGGCCCATTCACTTGAGCGGAGAAAGCATGGGGTTAGGAGCGCGTAAACAGATCGGAAGCGCGGACGTGCCCAGCGTATATGAAGCACTGCACTTCTTTACCGCCCTCCCCCTTCACGTCGGCTTATCCGACTGTATTTCATTCGGGCAAAGGTCCAAAGGCGGCAGCTAGGAGCGCTGTAACCTCATATAGGTGCATCGACACTTGCGACCTCCTCTGATCCCTCCTACGCTTCCTTGCGGCTTTCCTCTCGCACCGAGCTCCTCCAACTTGGTTCGATTTCTTAAAGAGGAGCCTGACAGTCTTGCCCAGAATTTGGTCGCGTGGACGGCGTCAGGCATCGTCTCAGCAAATGATGGCTATGTGGGTGTCCGGAGTTTATTTGAGCGACAAGTGGAATCCCTACCTCGCACCACACAAGGTACTCCGCAGCATAGCTCCAGCGTTGCGCCGCCGTGGAAGCATGCAACGCTAGCGTGCCGAGGCGGGAAAGCGCACTCGTAGAGTCGTGAATCGTGAATGAGGAGGTGTGCATGGGTACCCGGTACCGGTAGCACCACCTCCGCTCGCTCTGCTATTGACTCTTGACTGTGACATGCTGGGACGCAGAGGGGTGGTCACCCTTAACCCCTTTCATTAATTAACAGGAGGCAGCTTGCGCAACACAGACGTGAGCAGGGAAGGGACCCTCTGCGGCGCGCAGCTTGTTTGTCAGCTAGCTCGGATCCGCAACATCCTCCCCAGACGTGGTCCTGCTTCTCAAGGACTACGGGTCATACAAGTAATGAGTCCGCTGATACATAAAGACGAGCGCGCAAGCGCCTGCAAACCAGAAAGACCGGGCTTGCTTCGTCCTTTTCCTTCTACCGATTCTAGTCTTGCCCACTAGACACCAATTCCCTCCCCACCTCCTTCCCCCTCACGGCATCATGCGCTCCTTCCTTTGGTCGTTGTTGACTGCGCTATGCGCACTGCACGTAGCGCACGCCCATTTGCTCCCTCGTCTGCTCGCTGAGACTGGACCCAAGCCGCAGGATGATCCCTTTTACGTTGCTCCATCTGAAAAACAATTGGCCGAAATGAAACCAGGTCATATCATTCGAGCACGTCCCGTCAAGACTGTGGCAGATGCGTCGGTCACATCGAGCGCGTACCAGCTGCTTTACAGGACGTACGACCATGCCGGAAGACCCACCGCCGCGGTCACCACGACTCTCGTCCCTCGAGTAAAGGATGCGGCGGGGGTGGCGGGCGCAAAGCTGCCAGTCCGACTTGTAGCCTACGAGTCGTTCACCGATTCCGTTGCCCTAAACTGTGCCGGCTCCTACGCACTGACAGCAGGTCCATCATCCCCAAACTTTACTCCCACGTTCGTTGGGCTTGGCGTCATCAATGCCTTTCTCGCCTACGGATACACCGTCACGGTGCCTGACTTCCAGGGTCTGAACTCCGAGTTCATCGTCGGTAGAACGCAAGCAAGGGCGACTTTGGACGGAATCAGGGCTACGTTGAGGCACAAGCCCACCATTGCGGATCCCAAAGGCGCCAAAGTCGGCTACATCGGCTATTCGGGAGGCGCCAGTGCTGCAGGCTGGACTGCCGAGCTCGCACCAGAATATGCTCCCGAGGTGAGAGCATGCGTGGTAGGAGCGTTTTGATGTTCGACATGCTGACAAGGATGACCATCGGACGCAGGTCGACTTTGTGGCAGCGACGTATGGGGGCCTCCCAGTCAGCCCCGTCAGCGTCCTGAGGCACATCGACGGGACCGAGAATGCTGGTCTATCGCTGATGGGTTTGCTGGGTCTAGGGAACGCATACCCAGAAGTCGAAGAGTACATCTTTGCGAGGGCGAATAAGAAAGGCAAGGCGGCCATCAAGCGTCTGAGGGGAGGGTCAGCTTGTCTGGATGCGGTGAAGGATTATGCAAACACCTCTTTGAGCGACTACTTTGACAACTTCAGCCTCGATGATGAGCTGGTCCAGAGGATCAACCGTGAGAACACGCTGGGAGCCAACACGCCAAAGGTTCCTCTGGTAGGTGTCGCGGCTCTCTATTGATCCAAGTTCAGGGCTGCGCTGATGTTCCTAATCTCTTGCCGCGGTAGTACATCTACCAATCGACGGCCGACGAAATCATCGTAGCATCCGATGTTGACAAGTACGTCTCGTCGCAATGCGCTCGTGGTGCTCGCATCCTGTACTCGCGCGTGAAAGGCAAGAAGCACAATGAGCTTCTGATCACGGGGTTTCCAGCCGCAGTCGACTGGCTGGACAAAGCCCTCACCGGATCCGTCACCTTGCCAAAACCTGGCGAATGCGTCATCAAGCAATCTGCATCTGCGCCCATGCCTTTGAGCACACCCAAAGCCAAGCCTAGCGGCCAACGGAAAGGAAAGGAGAGCGGCCAACGGAAAGTGAAAGGGAGCAATCAACGGAAAGGGAAGGGGAGCGGCCATCGAAAAGTGAAAGGGAGCGAACATCGGAAACCGAAAGGAAGCGGTAAACGAAAAGGCAAGGGGAGCGGCAAACGCGACTCGGAAGGCGACAGCGGTGTGAAGACGGCCGTGGACGCCTACTTCGCTCCGCTCAAAGATGTGCCGTTCAATGACCTGCCAGATATGGCCCGGAAGAATAGCGAGCAAGGGAAGCGCCTCGCACACACCTAGCGCTTCGGCGAAAGAGCTAGCGTCGAATCTGCCGAAGGTGCCGCTGTCGCTTCGACCTGGGTCTACTAGCAGGATGGATCGAGAGCTCTTTCGATCAACGCCTATCGAGCGGAGGCCTCGCCCTTATACTCATCATGTATGAACGACTTGACTCGCCCATGCTGGGCAAGATGCGCACACATCTCGCTAGCACCAGCTCGTAATATTATCTCCTATTCCTACTCTCAGCACCGGGTCCACCTCCTGCAATACCTCCCGTCTTGCCACCTGCACTCGACCCATTTGCCATGCTTTTGATGTCCGAGGCATCCAGACCTGCCGACGCCTGTATCCGAACGATCTGAAGCGAGGTACGTCGAAGTCGAACGCATTGGTCAACTTTGTATGATTCGACTAGGCTTTGAACAGAATTGGTTTGTCCTAACTCACCTCTTCGAGGATAGGTCTGTACTCTTCGTATTTCTGCGCGGCGAGCTGATGAACCAGTGCGCACCCGTGCTGTTAAGCACAATGCACTGCGTCGAATGGCAAGAGGATACGACTCACAGCAAACCCATCTCGGCGCATCTCTTTGCCTCTGGCGCTTCCTTCACTCTGTTCGTGCGCGACACCTGCCCAATAAGCGCGCGACCTTTCATAGAATGCCTTGATGCTCTCGCCTGCGGCGCACAAGACGAACGATCAGAAGAGGACTCAGTTGTGGGAGAAGACGACTAGGGCTTACCAGGCTGAGGCGTAGAGATGACATCCTTTTCATCCCGATTTGCGGCATCTTTCGACACGCCCAAAAATGTATTGGCTTTCTCCCTGAGCGCTTCCCTTTCCCTCTTTCGTTCCAATTTGATCTTTTCAATCTCTTCCCTCGTCCTCTCCACCTCACCTTCCCAAAGCAGCTCATCGTCGTCCATTTCGTTTTCTGCCATCTCTTCTCCTTCCGGCTGCTCCCTCTCCTCCTCCGATCCTGGATTGCTGTCGGAGGAAGAGTCGGAAGAGCCAGATGCGGATGAGGATGATTCATACCATTCCAAAGCGTCGATTGGACAAGATTTGAGACAGTTGAAGCGCTCCATCTTGACCAGATCAAGAGTGTAAAAGTCGTCCAGGGTCTGATGAAGGGGAACATTGGGGTCTCAGTATCAGGATGCCTGCTGGATAACTTTTGCGAGTAAAAGAAGGCAAGACCTACGTATTCTCGATCAGCAGTTTCATGGATGCCGCCGTAGCAGTACAGCTTAAATCGAAGCAGTGAGAGCACCAGGTGTTCAGCGCAGGGCTTGCATGGGGTCTCCATCGGATCGGACGGCCAGGCTTACCACATTGCGCTGAACGGCGAGCATCGCATTATATCGACCGATCGGCACCGACTTTTGCGGATCGTCTGGATCGTCGTCTTCTTCTGGAGCTGCTTTTGTGGGAACGACGTCCTGTCGTGGAGGACGGCAGTATCACGTTCAACGACGATTTACGGACAATGCCAATTCATGCGCTAGCTCACGTTTGAGAATGCCTCTTGCTCCTGCTTATCTTGGCCGTCTTTCGTCTCGACGCCCTCCTCATCTTCGTCCTCTTCTCCATCACTTTGAGCTGCCCTCCTCTGTTCAGGCTGCACCGCCGCTTTACGTCTCCTCTTGCCTCCCTGCATTTTCTTCCTTCTCAAGTTCAGACTGGTCCATCTTCCATTGCCGCTCAAAGCATACGCGAACAGATCGTTGTGACAGAAACTTTCCAAACTTTCCTCATCATTTTCGTTATCCGTCACGCCGCCAAAGAGGACGCCCGTGTTGCGCTGAGGCCACAATGTCATGGTGCAGCCGCTGCGTTGACCTGGCGCATAGCCTATCTTGCGTTTGCGCGTCCATTCGATCTTTCCACGTGCGAACAGATCGCCAGTCTCGGCATCCGGCGCGATGGTCAAGAGCCACGCATCTTCTAGTGCTATTCCTTGAGTCCTCTCTCCTTTGATGTAGCGCTTGCAATACCCTCCGTAGAGCACGACACTGCGTGCACAGAGCGTCGTTGGTGTCAGATGATTGCCGCACTCCAGAGTAGCACACTCACCCTTCAGGAGTCGACAAGAGTGAAAAGCCAGATCGTGCAGGTGGCTGCGAAGAGTGGCAAAGAAGCGTTGGTGAGGAGCGAGCACTTTGAAGACATACGGGACTGGCAACTTCAACGCGCGCCAATGAAGATCATCTCACCTTTCTCAGCTCATTCTGTTTGATCTCGTGCCATTTGTACTCCGCAGTATCAAAGATCCACAAGTCGCCGAGGTATGTGGTCCTCACCCCGGTATCCTGAAATCCGCCAAAGAGTACAATCTAAAAAGAGCCCAGGGCAGCGATGAAGTTCGAGTGAAAGAGCATAATCATCTGTGGGTCAGTCTCGAGTGTGAGGAGGGGTGGGCTTTGCCTGCGTGCCGGGACACTGCACTCACGTATTGTTTCCAGCACACCATTCGATGACCTGATCGAGCTGATGGTCTGACTTTTGTGTCGATGCGATCCCACGATTTGTTGGCTATGCTAAAGATCCAAAGCTAAAGATTGAAAGGGACAAGAAAGCAGCACGGGTGACTCAGGTCAGCATCGCTGCGATCTGCTTTTTTTTTTTTTTTTTTTTTTTTTTTTTTTTTTTTTTCTACACGAAAAGCCTCGGCGTAGACTACCTAAGCAGCGGTGCTGCGAGCATGCACTATCAACACTCACATCTCGGTAATGAAAGAACTTGTTGAGCTTGGGCCCTGCAAATTCTCCACCGAACACGAAGAGCATACCTCCAGCGGCTGGACTAGCAGCGACAGCATGAGCAGATCTGGGACCTGGTTGGTTGGCCGAGCTGTACTGCCTCCATGTACCCCTATCTTGCGAGGAGGAAGTGGTGGAGTCGGCTTGATTGGCAGTAGCAGCAGGATTGCTGGAGGGTGTGTAGCGGAACAGATTGGCGTAAAATGTCGCTCTGAAGGAGCAGAGGTGCGGCGAGTGGGCCAAGGGAGTCAGCTAGATCTCCTCGCAAGTGTCGACGATACGTTTGAAATTACAGTCAACCTTTTGCCCGGATCTTTGCATGGACGCTGAGGAGGTCGAGCGCCGCGCGATTGAACGCAGTCTTGCAAGTACGACGCATGCATGGTGGACGTCCATCCACCTCTGCCTCTTCCGGACAGCGCACACGCACTGCCTTTCCGCCTCCAGGCCTCCGGTGTCCCAACATTATCCACGCACCGCTGCCCATCCTTCCCGCACGACACAGCACAGCGCACTCCTACGAAGTACCAGCTAGCAGACTGACCTATCTCCATCAAAGTATTCCCCACCAAAGAACCAAAGATCGTCACCCAGAGGACAAGCGGTGAGTGTAGCATTAGCTCTCCTGGTAGGAGCCATGCCCACCCTCTCTTCCAAAACCTTGTGTTCCTCTTCCCACTCCTTTTTGAAATTGGCCAACAAAGCATCCAAATCCTCTTCCTCCGCTTTCGACGCTGCAGCTGCCGCAGCTGTTGCGCCTTTGGACTTCTTTCCTGCTTTGCCTGTAGCAGTACCGGTGCTCGATGATTTGTTACCACTACCGCTGCCCACGCCTGCGCCACCACCCTTCTTGACAGATTGCTTGGCGGCGCTTCGTGCGGCTTTGGACTCTTGCTTGGCCCGCTTGGCCGCTTTGGAAGCGGCCTTTTCAGCAGCCTGAGCCGCTCCACCACCGCCTTTCTTGCCCATCCTCGCGAGCGCAAGACGGAGAGGGTTGGACTTGCTGTTTGCGAGCGGCGTTCAGATGACGAGCGTTGCAGAATCAAGTTGAAAGCTTTGCAGTCAGTGAAATCACAAGTCTTGAGTTGTGCATCAATTAAAGAATCGACAGACGCAGCTGCATACACACAAACTAGGGCTAGCGCATATAGGCCAAGCTCTTTTCTTTTACTTTTGAGATTTCAGGAACCCTGCCCTCCACTTTTTCAATATTGAATGCATGAATTCCATACAATAATAGTATTCACGTGGTTTCCGCTTGAATTCGTGATTGTGAGCGCCGCCTCAGTCAGACTTCATTTGATCGCGAATCATGAATGCGAATCTTGATTGCCTTCCCCTCTGCTTTCTCGTACGATAAGAACTTTGATTTTTGTGCTGACGCGCTCGACGCCCGATACGGATAAGGCTTCTCGAAGAATAGCGCGCGGCCTTGATTTGAAAAAGTGGGCGAAGGAGCAGTCACATCGGAGATCACATGACTGTTTACTTTCATAAGCATCCTCCAGCCATCATCGCCGTCATCCACATCCCCTCTCTCTCTCTCTCTCCCATGTCGCAGCCAAGCTCTCTACGTGCCGTGCCAAGCGCATACTGATCTGTGCACAATCGATAGGCAGGCTACAAATACCACGCAGGGCAAAAGCAGGAACGACCGTCGGCGTGTTTGGATGATGGTCCGGGAGGGTGACGTTCACGATGAGCTCTCTGAAGAGGAGGCATCATCGCAGATGAACGATGCACCGGGGTCAGAGCAGCTCGAGCGGCAGGACACGAGCCGACGGGAGGAGCAAAGGCACGACGATGGCAGCGTCGGCAGTGATAAGAGGCAGCCGCGCGCTCATCTGCGCACCGACACTCGCACTCGCGCTGGACTCGCCCGCTTGCTGCAACATCTGAAACCGGAAAAGCAAGGCATAGAGCCGCTCTCGCTAAAGCTGCTACGTCCCCCTCAGAACAGCAGCGACATTCTCCAACTCTTCTACCTCTGGTCCAGCGCAAATCTCAACATTCTCTCCTTCTCCACCGGCGCACTAGCGCCAACTTTGGGCTTGGATATGCGATCCAGTCTGATCTGCATTCCTCTTTGGATAGCCCTCTTCAGCTTGGTGCCCGCTTATGTGGCCACCTTTGGACCGGCTACCGGCCTGAGACAGATCGTGTTCTGCAGATACTCTTGGGGCTACTATGCCACGGGCGTCATCATCGTGCTCAGCTGCGGTGAGTCGAAGTGGGTGCACGGTCGATTGTAATGCATCAAGAGGCTGTGATCTCTCGAGTGCAACGCGTATCCAGCGCCCACGCTTGCTGACATGTTTGATAGCGCACTCGCCTTTTGCAACGCTCACAATCAGCCACGCAGCTGGGCTACAGCATCCTCAACACCATCCTTGGAGGTCAGACTCTACGCGCCGCCTCTTCCTCCCTCTCCCTCTCCCTCAACGCCGGCATCATCCTCTCCATCCTGCTCTCCCTCCTCATCTCCTTTTCAGGTCTGCACATCCTCACCCTGTTCGAGCGTTACGCCTGGATCGTCGTCTTGCCCGTCCTCATCGCTTTGCCTGCTGTGGCCGGTACTGGAGCTGCGGGGCTGCACTTGCCGGTAGAAGCGCCGCTCACTACGCAGGAGAGAGCCAGAGCGGTCTTGGCTATGGGGGCTGTGCTTGCTGGCTACGTCATCACTTGGTCCGTGAGTGTCACCTGATGCAGCAGGCCAAGCATGTCCGCGAAGAGCGCTGAGTAGGTGCCCATCTGACTCTGGGACGGCGCATTCCGCATCTGGCTCAATGATTGAAAAAGACAATGTCTTGTGGTGAGTGTCGTTCAGACCAAGGAGCCGAGGAGCCGCACTCGCACGACACTCAAATTGCTCACTCAATGACCATGGTCGGCTGATGCATCTTTCTGCAGACGTCACGCGACACTTGCGTCCAAGCACCTCGCGTCGCCTCCTCTTTCTCTCCGTCTACCTCGGTTTCCTCCTCTCCACCGCTCTGACGATGGTGCTAGGGGCCTCCTTTGCGCACGCTTCTCAAGACATTCCAATCTGGTCCGAAGCTCTATCCACGTCTTCAGGACAACTCGTGCGCATTGCGCTCAAGGACGGAGCGGGAGCTAGGTTCGCCAATGTCATCCTAGCGCTCAGCACGGTGGGCAATGTGGCGCTCACTTTTTATTCGTTTGGATTGAGCTTTATGAGCTTGCCCCGAGTGTCTCTCAGCAGAGCGATGCACAGCAAGGGCGAGGCGAAGCGCGAGGAGCGGATGGAGAGGGAGGAAGCTAGAGACCATGCTGGCAAAGATCAAAATCATCAGGTCTCCTCAGCTCCCGAAACGCACGCGTCACTGGGAAGAAGAGCGACAAAGCTGATGAAGCGGCTGCAGCATCAGCTGCCTCGTTTCATCTATCCCCTACTCGCCACTGCTATCGTGCTGCCACTCTCCATCGTGGGAGCTAATAAGTTCAGTCAGACATTGACCAACTTTTTGAGCATCATTGGCTATTGGGCTGCTCCTTTTTGCGCGACCCTGCTCATGGAACATTGGATGTTCAAGATGCCCGATGCCCGGCGACGAGCGAGAAGCGGGCTGGTGGAGCACGTGGGAGCGCGCGCGCTGGGACAAGAGAGCAAGCCGTCGTGGCAGGTGCCAGCAGGGCAAGATGAGAGCGAGAGCGCCGCAGCGGATCGGAACGAGTCTGGGAGCGCGAATCGCAATCGCGATGCGCAGATGCGGGAGGCGGGGGTGGAAGCGGATAGTCTGAATGCACCATTAGCACTAGCCTACCCTCAAAGCATCTATGCGAATCCCAACAAACTGCCGACCGGACTCGCTGCGCTAGCCACTTCCGTACTGAGCGTGGCGATCATGGTTCCCTGCATGGACCAGGTCTGGTTTGCTGGACCATTAGCACGACGATCTGGAGATTTGGCTTTCGAGGTCGGCTTTGCCCTCTCGATCGTGCTTTATCCGCCCATCAGATTGGTGGATAGGCATTGCTTTGGGAGATAGCGCGAGGAGTTGGCCCGGGGGGAGGGGCGGGCATCCTCTGATCCGCCCTCTACGCCCAAGCCCGCTTCTCGAGTGAAAATCCGTTTTCATCGCGTTGCGCTTTCCTTCGATGCTGCGCCCACTGTCCTGCCCATCGTGTACGCCATCAATCGTAGCAGTGCTTGCCTTCTGCGGCGGTCAATACCATATTTACTCGCGGCTGCGGAGACACCAGATCAAGCACTGCTCCTTGTGATCGCCATGGCCAGATGAAGAGCATGGGGCAAATGCAGCGCTTCTAAGTCATTCGGTGCAGGTGCGGATCGCAAACATGCCATCATGCATCGGATGAGAAGCAAAGAGGGGTGAAGGTGAAGCTTGATGGGGGAAATGCAGGTGGTGCGATGTCGTGCGGCGGTGGAATGACAAGAGAGCAGCCGCACTACCTCGAGACGGTCTTATCCAGCAAGTCCTGTGCGCAAGAGCCACACATCACCAGAGAGAGAGTGTGTGTGTGTGTAGGTGTGTGGGGGGCGAGGAGACATCAGCTTCCAAATCTACTCGCGCATGGCAGTATGACTTGACAATTCTTTTGCGTTGGGAGAATGCGCACCTTTGCCTCGTTTACTTTGCTCGCGATAAAAGGACTTCCTCCACGATCCGGATGATTTGCGATCATCATTCGCCTGTGCGCCTCTTTCACCCTCGCCCTAGTCAGCGCTGTCTCTCTACAGAAGGGTGCGTGGGTAGAGACAGAAGAGCAACGCGTGGGGCGTGAGCTTATGATCTACAGCAAGGGGAGCCTGACAAGTCGCGCAAGGCCCGAGAATTTCGATACGGCTACGGCACCCTTCGAATCGGTGCTCCTCCGTTGCCACTCGTTCGACGATCCACGCTTCAGGTGATCTTTGATTTGAAAGCATGAATATGCAATCCCACTTCTTCCCTTAAGGCTTGTACCTTGCCTCGCACAGAGCAACGAATGCCGCTCCTTTTGCCATCAACCATCGCGCGCAAGAAGTGCGACCTGCGCATTCTGATGCACTCTCCCCCTGCTCTTCCTCATCCACTCACCTCAAGCCCAAGACGAGCGCCGCCTCCTTCTTATCCATCTTGTTCTGAAATCCCCCTTTGTGCCATTTGCCCGCACCCGCAGCTCCACTGGCACCGCTACCTCTCATCAGCATGCCCGCCAACAATCCTCCTCCTATCAATGCCGAGCCCAGCAGGATGGGCGTGGTAATGTGTTGAGTGGGGGAAGGTGTAAAGGCGAGCTGAGGTGTGGGCTGTAGGGAGTGCGCACGTGTGCGTGAGAAGTGACGTGCAGATGGGTGCGTGGGCGTGGGGCAGAGAGATTGCCTTGATGAGGCTAGACGACCAGTTGCTGATCGTCCCATGAGGGCGGATGAGGGGGAGGAGATTGCGCGCATCATCTTGCTTTGGGGGGGTGGCAAGCTTCGTTCGACCTGGCACTGGCCTTGAAGATGGCAATGAGCCGGTTGGAGAGCCGTACGATTGCGCAGCTGCAAGGACGCGAACTTGCAAAAATTGTCGGGAGGGGGAAGGGTCGGTCCCTCGTTTCAGAGTCCGGCTGTGGACAGGATTTGGAGCGAAGTACAGGTGAGGATGGTGGTCAGTCACATGCAAATCATCCATCGATCTGCATCCTTCAAATCCATCGGGCTCGATTCACGATTCTTGGAAAACCTTGCAGCCCAAGAACCTACGCGGCGTCAGCGAATCACGTGATGAGTTCCCGTGTTTCCAGCCCAGCGTAATTCATGATTCTTGATTAGAGCCGGGCATCAAAACATCTAGACCACACACACACACACACACACACACACACACACACACACACACACACACACACACACACACACACACACATCGGCAGCGACTCCTGCCATCTGCACTCTGACCTCGACAATGCTCAGAAATCTTCCCTCTCTGTGCATCACACACTTTCTGTGATCGTATCGACATGACCCATTAGTCCAGAAGACCCCTTTCTCGCAACCGCAACAAAGTATCGCAATGCAGCTGAAGCAAAGGCTGCGGAAAAGCTCCGCTAGAACCTTTCTCCGGGCTGTATTCGATCTGCAATACGAGTGGCGGCGGCATGCCAGACGAATCCATGGCATCCTCTTCTGTCGATGCAGCATCGCGAGCAAGGTCGCACATGCGTACCGACAACCTCTTCGACCTCGACCTCGGACCGCCCTCTGCATCTTCTGACGACTCAGACTGCCGCTCTTGGTCTTTGGTCGCATCCACGTCCTCTCCTTCGAACGTGCGGTGGGTGTGTACGCCAACGAGCTCCTGAGCGGATTGCATCATGAGTATTCCTGCCGACCAGCCCGCGTGATGTGACGTCGAGGAGCACGAGCGCGCTGCAGATGTGTAGGGAAGCACGCGCGGGGCGCTTGATAAGCGCAGAAGTAGACCGGAGGGATGTCGTAGACAGACATCCATCCCTCGAGCATGCGCGTCTGCATCCGCACTCGCACTCGCACTCGATACAATTTTCACAAGCTTCCTGACGTCCAGCTCAAGATCCGGATCTTTACGAGCGGGTGAAGATGGCTGCCAAGCCAAGATGAACAGAGCAGCAGTCAACACTGCGCAAAGACCCAAGCAGATCTTTCTCAATCCCAACTTTTCCGCTCTGGCTCTGACTTCGAGCGTGCCGGTGCTGAGAAGCACACCTAGAGCGGTGAGGTATGTGGGATGCTGAGACAGGCTGTAGATGGAGAGCAGGACGCTTGTGTAGTGCAAAAGGGAAGCGTAGGAGATGGTCCATGCTGTGGAAGATGAGATGTGGATGGTCAAGCTGGGCCAAGTCTTGTGGAAATGCAGCAGCGACTTTTTCGATGAGCGACTGCCAGCACCTGTCGTTGTTGTGCTCGTTATGGAGCTCATTCCTGGCGCTGGCGCTGGCGCTGCTGCTGCCTGCTTGCGTGTCTGCGTGGCGAGGAGAGCAGGACTGGAAGGAACGCTGGAACTCGGCGTCGAAGTGGTTGGGCGCTGCGAACGCGACTCTCGAGGCTGATGACTGCTTCTCCGCACCATGCTCGGCGTCGGAGTGTTCAGTAACAAGGGTGAAGGTGGTCTGGACCAGTCCGTTGCGCCTGATCGGTCCAGTGCATTTGCACCAGTGAAAGTGAAAGATGCAGTGTGCTTCATTCGCGGCTTCGAGGAGCTGAGCGTGCGTGGGCGCGAGGTGGTGGACCGCGAAGAGTTCGAGGTATCCATGACGGTCGCGCTGTCGAGGACTTGGCTAGATGGCGAGCGTGAATGGAGAGCGTGAATGGAGAGCGAGAATGGCCTTCCAAGCCAATTCTGCGTCTCTCTGCCCCTCGCAGCGCCCTTGATTGACGATTCTTTGTGAGGCGTCAAAGCTACGAAGCAAAGGCCTCTCTCGCCCTTGCAACACCTATCAGCTCTCCGTCGCACAGACGATCAATCTGGCTGAAATGAGCGCGAGGCGATCGAAATTTGCTGCTTGACGATCGCTCGTCGGAAGCTCGGAAAGAGTTCGGGGCTTTGGCAGAGGCCTCGAGTGAGAGCGAACGCTTCAACGTAGAGGGCGAGCTTGGCTGTTGTATCGACGCCTACAGACTCGATGGCGAGGGTGAGGGGCAGGTAGACTGCTAAAGAGGTAGGAATGCGTGCCCGAGTGTGAAGCATTCGTGCATCTAGCATCTCCACTGCCGCACACGAGAGAGACCATGGTAGCGTGGCCGCGCCACTCTCGCAGCTGCGAGTGGGAGTACTACTTACTACTACTCACTACTACGTTCATCATTCGCATCGCCAGGCGACAAAGCGAAATCTCAAATACGCCGTTCGCCGTGCCAAGGCATCAGTCACAGTGCGAAATGCATGCCCCATCCGCGTACACACCAACGAGTCACAGTCGAGTCGTGGTCAGAGTGTCCAACTCTCGATTGTGTAGGAGATGCGAGCATGAAGGACGTGCGCAAAAGGATCAAGCGAACGTGTGTGAGAAAAGTCGCGCGCATCCCGCTCGCCCCTCGCTCGATCCTCTCTCCAGCTTCTCCGCGTGCACACCGCACGCACGCATGCAGCAGGTCCGCGCACGATGCCCCGCACAACCAAAAAAAAAGCCTCGCTTCGAAGCAGCGAGCGCGAGAAATGTGCAGACCACGTGATAGTTGATCGGTTTGTCCGACGCACGGGCATAAGTCAAGCTCATCAATCGTGAATTTGAATCTCTAAAGAAGGTGGAGGGAGGAGCACATCGAAGGTTCGGTGGGGTGCGGTGTGGGGTGGTATCGTCCATGGGGACGTTTTAAGGGCTTCGCGCAGCGCAGCGCAGCGCACCGCTGCTCTCCGCCTCCAACCCACCAACCAGACCTCTTGCTCAACACTTGCTTCGCCTCACAAGCGCGCAGGCTTCATCATTTAACCTGCCCTTCATCCTTCGCTCCCGCCATGTCATCCAAGCCTGAACTTCTCATCGAAGTGTATACGGACCCAGCGTGTCCGTGGTGTGTCGTAGGGCACGCACGACTTCGATCAGTCCTTCGCTCTTCCGAATTCGAAAGGAAAGTGGGGGCATACATGACTCCCCGACTTGTTATTCGGCCCTACATCCTAGATCCTCGTCTGCCCGCCACCTCTTTCGAGCCCCCTTCTTCGCACTACGACGATATCGCCAGTACCAATTGGACAGCTGGTAAGCCTCCCAGCAAAAAGGAATACTTTGAAAAGAAATTCACGGGCGGGGAAGAGGCGCTAAAGGCTTTCGAACAAAAAATCGACAAGAACGCTAAAGAGGCTGGAGTGGACTGGAAGTGGACTTGGAGGAGCGAGAATGCCAAGGTGGGAGCGACGTGGGATGCGCACAGACTTGTTTGGCTGGCCGGTGAGGTGGCTCAAGAGGGAGCGAGCAGCGGTGCGTCCGAACTATTGCTCGACGCTGCGCAGTCCGACGACGACAAGTATCCTGCGAGTAGGCAAGAGGTGAGCATGGAGCGTCTGTACAAGGCTTTTCATACTACCGACGATGCGCAGATGGACCTCTCCAATCGAGACTACACATCCCGCTTGGCCCACGAATTGGGCCTGTTTGCGAGCGTGCAAGAAGCCAAGAATTGGTTGGAGAGCGATGCCGGCGACTCGGAGCTGGCACAGGCACTGATGGTAGCGCAAATGAATGGCGTACAGAGCGTACCCTTCTTCGTTATTCAGGTGAGTAGCGACCGGACGATGAGCGCGCGCAACCACCTCGAAGGTCGAAGGTGCGCTGACAGTGTCTGGAACTTTACATGGAATCTCTTTCACGCGGCAGGATGGAAGCGACCACCTGAATGGATCGGGATCGTACGACGAATTTATGAAGATGTTCGACATGGCCGCAGCGTTGCATCGCTAACACTTGGCTGGCAATCCTACGCAACGATACGGAAGGGCATCATAGCGATGGCAAGCATCATCTGCAACCTCGATGCATTCGCGTTCGATGCGCTGTGACTGATGATGCTACTTGCAATGTCAGACTGTTGGCGCAGAGGTATCGTTCGTCTAGGTCAGATCCTCGGCTTCTCGACCGCCATGGATTGCCGCCTATTGTGCGAGGCCTGGCAAGGTTTTGAAAGTCAAAAAGGTCGGCTAGAAATCACCAATCGCGGAGCTAAGAGGAGGGAGTGTGAAGCTTCGCCCTCCATCCATATATGTGGTTCGAGAATCACGAACCTTGATCGATGCACGATGATCACGGCTCACGAGGCAAATACGATGTCTCCTTCGTCAGCATGTGTCCATACTTCGCGACTCGACTCGATGACTGAGAGGTGAGACAGTCAACGTCATGCACCAACGCTTGCATCCGTGCTGATTGGACCCAATCAATCGTGAATCAAGAATCGCAAATGTGACGACAGCATGTGGTGACTGCACGAGACCAAAGCTCGCCTAGCTGCCTCCCTTGCGCTGCTCGTGCATGGCCGGCTTTGACTCTGATGCGTTTGCGTGTATACATGTAGGTAAATGTGCGGCTGCAGCTCCGCCCGTACTGGCCCGCCCAGCACTGCAAACGCAAACTTTGTCATGCACGTTGGCGCTTCTGAGCTGCATCTCGATCGACACAGGCAAGATGCACGTTTCCTGTAGGCACATCTTCTCCGCTTTGCTCGATCTGTGCCAATGGCGCTGCATGGGTGCGTACCGGTGCTGTGTGTTTCATACCCCACACATCGCATCGAATTCGCGTGAGGCGGTGCGTGCATGACGGTCTGTCACTCAAGACTCACACTGCTGCTGCTGCATGGATGCACTTCTGGACTTGGTGGGGGCGCGGCGTCTTTGTTCCTGCAAAAGTGTGACTCATGATTGCTGAGATAGCAGCAGGTACGGTATAGCTGCAGTCTTCTACACTCTTGACCCAGCGCAAACTCGATCGTGACTGGAGCAATTAAGTCGCCGCGCGCGGAGGATTTCGAATCGTGAATCGCACTAGGCTATACGTCCGCGTGCTTCAGCTGTCATGCATCAGATGATGCGGCGGGCACGACGCCATGAATCACGAATAGCAAGCAAGGGATCGCCTCAACTCGCGACTTGACCAGTGAGTGAGGGATGTTCCCGCGCTTTCAGTCCTGCTGTCTCCCCTTCAGATGGCTGCTTGTGTGATTCTCTGCGGTCTTGGGCCATAATGATGCCAAGCACGACCAGCGAGAGCTGGTTGCATGTGCAATCATGTGCAGTCATGATTGCAGCGTGGCCCTTGGAAGCAGCAACGGCAGAATCACAATGTGAATGCTCCTGATATAAGAAGCGATTCGGATTTGCCCTTAAAGGACTGTCCTATTCACCCACTTCCCTCTTCCCGTCGTCGACATCGAACATCCAACCATACATCGAGCCCATTTTTCCCCTTCGGTCTCTTTCAGACAGACAAGATGCGCTTCAACCTCGCTATCGCTGCTGCCTTGGCCCTTGTGCCCGCCGTAGTCTTGGCTCAAGGCAACACCGGTCCTGACGCTGGAACGGTTGTCATGTGAGTCGGCTCAGATAGAAGGCGTACAGACAGGCGAGCTAGCATGAATGGCTAGGATTGAGCACGCTGGCTGCTCCACCCACTTCGTTCATTACCTGGTCGCTGACGTCTTGTCCTTTTCATTCACGTCCCATTCACCCTTTCGCGCTTCCTAGCGTGGCTCCTGATGGCACCAATGCAGGCACTGTCATCACGGCGCAGCCTACTCCCAGTGCCAGCGGGGGCGCAGGATCTGAGGTGCCCACGCTGACGCCCACTGCAGGGGGTGGACCAGATAGCACTACGACAAGCTCTGACGAGAGTTCGTCGGTATCCACAACCACGACTTCCAGCTCTAGCACCAGCTCCACACCTACCTCCAGTACAAGTTCCACTTCCACTGCTTCTTCTACTTCCTCTTCCCCCAGAAGCCCCGATGCTGCGGTCGGAAACATTCAACTGAGTGGCGCTACCGCCCAGCTCGGTCTCGCCATGGTTGGAGTTGTTCTCGGAGGTGCCTTTGTCCTCTGAGCTTCCTGGTGGAGCAAACTTTCCAATGCAAGGTCGTCGCTGCCAGAGCATGCTGGCTGTATCGAACATACCGGAACGCAATCAGAAAGATGGCGCATCGCAAATATCAATCACAGATTCTTCTGCTTGATACTTTTGACTGAGTTGACAGCTTTCAAATGTACTGTTGAGGCCGTGACACCACAGCACAGCGTGCTGGAGCTAGAGGTACGCGTCTTTCTGGTCCGGACTAACCTCGGCGGCGTTGATCGAGCGAACCCTGTGCCTTCCCCACTCGTGAGGATTGGTTTCAAAGCTTCTATGAACACTTTTTGGAAAGGTTCACCATCAGGTTTTTTATTCGCGCATCAGCAACGAGACTGAGCTGCTGCCGTGTCCCCGCATCAGAGAACCTTATCCCCTCATGCCGAGCGGACTCCGAACTGCGGGCCGTGACCTTGCATGCAATGCCGTCGGTACCAATTTCTGTAGCGCTCAAAAAGTACGTTACTCACTGTACAGCCACGGCGTGGGTCTGTAAGCATCACACGACAGGACGGAAGTCGGTGCAGATCTTGCTGTTGCTCTCGCCTTGACGAGATAGGGAGTGCTGTCAGCTTGTTCCCCAGAAGCTGAGGCACGACTACAACGACCTTGCTTCTGTCTTTCACAGCAAGCACACTTCACCACGAAGGAGCACTAGACCCACAATGCGCGCTCAACTCGCCTTTTCGATATCTCTCGTCGTGCTCTTCGCTTCGGTGGCTGCGCAGGGTGGGAGGGAGAGCGATGTCGTTGTGTGAGTAGACACCGATGCGCTCGCTGCATGCCTCGACACGACTGCCAAGAGCACTCCGTCGCTGAGCATAGTGACTTCGTATCCCTTACCACGTTAGGGTGGGCCCTCTGGGCTCGACAGCCGGAGGCACAATGATCACCATTGGGCCTTCCATAGGACCGACAGATGGCAGTACTTACACCTACACCAGCCCAACGAGACCGGCCATCTTCTCAGACAGTGTCGCCACAAGCAGTTCGCCAGCGTCAACTTCCACTTCGACTGCGATCTCAACCAATCCCAATTCTACCTCCAGTGCTTCCAGCACAACTTCCTCCATCCCGAGCTCCATCACCTCGCTGACTCCGACTTCTAGCAGCATAGCTAGTGTTCCATCCGCCTCTGCCTCCCGCACCCCTGACGCTGCTCACAAGGGCTTGCCACTCAGCTCCGGCTTATCGGCTCCCATGGCCGTCGCTCTTCTCTTCGGATCTCTCGTCGCGCTCTGAATACACGTCCACCTCGAGGAGTCCCGAACACGATTCTGCAATCATGAAATGAGTGCACGTAAACAACGCCAAGACGGTGTGCACTGCTCGCGCCCAGCGACGACTTGCTCTCCCTTCCTCGTGATCGCACACGCCACTCATGACTCACGTTCGAAGGACTATCGGCTGATAAGAGGTGCATCGCATCGACGTATGAGGCGATACGATCACGAGCCAATCACGATGGAGTGCTATGACAGCGTGAGGATGCAAACTTGATCAAGCATGCAGTCACGAACGAGTGAATCAAGGCTCACTCTGACTACCGAGTCACGTACGTGCCTCCTCCCGTTTGAACACGCTGCGCTGGCCACCCCCGCGTTGCGCGGAATGCCGAAAGGTATGCGCTCGCATCTCCGTCGCCGTATTGCAGACTCCTGATAGCATCGACAGACCTTGAAAAGAAAGGAGAAAGCGCTACAAGGTAGCATCATTGAATGCCTAGTGGCAGTCTGAGTCACGAGTCGAAAGTCGAGAGTGGGATACGGTACATCCCAGATAGTAGGGTCAGTGATGTCGTTCGTGAGCGCAAGTTGAGAGTCGCTATAGTCAACAGTCAATTTTGTATCAAGAATCTTGAATGATGCTGGGTGACAGTCAAAGTCAGATCAGTCAGCGTTCCGCAGTAAGCAATACCAGGGGTGAAGTTGAAGTTGCTCTGATTCAAAATTAATCAAGTATCATGCTGTCAATTAACAATCGTGAAGGGCAAGCTTCCTAGGCTAGCACAGCCACGCGCGCACGTACATTACAGTATTCACGATTGTGATTGCAATCAGCAGCGGTCACAAAGTCCCACACGCCGAGCTCGGGCGAGCGGGTGTTTCATGCTCTCCTTCGATCGCATTGCGTCTCGTCAGCTGCTGCGCTGCCCCTGCCTCGCTCAGACTCGTCGTCAGTCAGAGTCTGTGAGTCTAGATGGGTGTGCTGATTTGAGTGCTGATAATTCAAGATTCTCTTTACCTCAATTGCGCGCGCCAACATTCGTGATTTCCACTCGACTCACACTCACACTAACGACTCGCGCATTTTGATTCAAATTAGAGCGTGCCAAGACCAGCGTCAGCATGATCGAAGTTCACAATGCGCGTCAGCGGCGCCGAGCCACGCCTCTGCTCGTGACTTTCTCATTCAGCTTCGTGATTGCGTCGAGGATACCTAGCTGTCATCAGGGTGCAAAACATGTATGAGCGAGGATGAGGATAAGCTATGTCAGACTCCAATCCTGCGTGTGAGAGCCTTATCTTGAGGTTGTGAGGAGGTTGCCATCTTGGGAAGGCGAGGAGGGATAGGAGGCTTGAGTAGCGCTAATGGTGACGAGACTGCGACTGCTGCTGTTGCTCCTCTCGCCGCGCGCAGCCCGCCGGGGTCCACTCAGACTCGTGCACGCTGCACGTTGAATTCGTGAATGTGAATACTCGCGACTGTGCATGCACGTCATCACCCCTGCGAGGCCTGATCCATCCGCGAGCTCTCCTTCTCGCTGCGTTCATCCTATCTGCTGCTGCTGCTGCATTCGTCATTGGGTAGAGCGCTCATTCGAACCTTGTCAGCACTCACAGTCCCCTTCACCACGCATCTTGGCATCGACACTTCTACAAACGAGTCGCCCGTCAAACAGAAATTGCTGCTCTTTCTTCTCACTCACACACGATCCATTACCACCGACAAGTCCTCCATCTAGCGAACCAGCGCGCCTCATCTCCTGCTTCATCTCGACCAGCCCTTCAGCTCACCCAACACCGATCGATAGCGCAGCCTAGCTGCGAGCTCAGCAGGCCGTGGTGTGCGAAGACAGTCACGGTGATCGCACGTCCTCCTAGGCGCTGGGTGCAACCACCCGGGCTCGGGCCGCATTTCCCTATTGTGTAATCACCTACTCGTGATACAGCTAGCCTGCCATGACGTCCACAACCAAGCTGTGAGTGCCGACCACACAGTCGATGTAGGCAGACGTGACGATCGAAATAGCTCACGCTCGAGTGCTACTGGGCCTTCTCGCTCCGTCAGCACCATTCGCCCTCTGCCTCATCTCGACTTCATAGCCGGGTTTCCCGGTATTCCAGGCGACGCATCAAGGACCTCTGCTCACATCACCGGAAACATCGAAGTACGCCTGGGATCGAGAGGCGCGAAAGCGAGCTTTTTGAGGATCGAGTTGAGAAAGCTGGAGAGCGTTGCTGGTGGCGAGACGTGGGGAGAGCTTGTTGGAAGAGGTCCCACAGTGTAAGTGCCAGATTGGTCGAGGTGACAGCGGCAAGCTCACACCACGCATGCATTATTGCACAGCGTGTGGAGTGCGCGGCCTGGCCCTGGTGCTGGCGATAGGGAGGAAGATGCTGAAGGGAGCTGGGAGACGTTGCAGACGGTGAGTAGTACAATCGAGTAGGGTAAAGAGATATCGGGTCTTGCCTTGTCCACATCGCTCACACTGGAGCGCGGCGGACAGGCAGACTTTCCGTTCCGAATACCCATCCCGGAAGGGCTTCCACCTACTGCCAAGCTAGACAAGCAGTGTGGCATCTCTTACGAGCTCGTCACCAGTCTCTGCGTCAAAGGCAAGAAGGGCCTCTTGAGAAGCAGTCCGACGAGCTCAATCGTCCAGAGCACGCACCCAATCGCTCTGGAGAAGCACGAGCTGCACTCAACGTGGCCCATCTACCACATCTCTGACGAGCACTCGGATGGTGAGTGAGAAATCAGCGAGATGCGGAAAGTGGGCCTGTACGTGCGCTGATCATGTCTTGGTGTTGGGCAGAGAATGATGGAGTGAAAGCTCGAGTAGAGCGGACGCAGACCTGCTATGGTCCCGGTGACACGGTCACGATCAAGGTCTTTGTATACTCTACGAAGGTGGCTCCCGTCAAGCTGAAAAGCGTGGCCTTCAGCGTGCGTGAGACCATCACCTTCCGAGGCGGCGGCAACAAGACGAATCGACTGAGCAGCTTTGGCGGTGGAGGTGCGGCCGCTTCGCAACGGACAGAGACGCTCGCTCAAAAGTCAAAGACGTACGGAAAGAAGATGTACAAGGACGAAGAGCAAGAGTTCATCCTCACCTGCCAGATTCCCAAGAGTCACAGTCTGATGACGATCCAGACCGCCAAACATATCGAGGTCAGCTACACCATGCGCATCTACGTCGACGTCAGCAAGGCTCCAATCATCATCGATCATCTGCCTCTCACGATCACCACGTTTCCTAGCGCGCAGAGCAAAGACGTATGCAATCGAATAGGCTTTGTGCAAGGCTTGAGTAGAAACAACTACACCGACGACGCTTACTCTACCGTCGTCAGCGATCGCCAATCCGCAGTTGGTCACACCGGCCATTCTTTGAGCTCACGACCACCTGCAGTTCAGCGATCGCAGTCGTACGGCAGCAGCGGCGCGGGGACTGATGGTGGTGGTGGAGGGGGAGGCATTGGTCGATACGGCGTCGGCTCGGATCTGCGCCGGAGGGACACTGTCATGACACAAGGGACAGCAATTTCCGGACCCGGCATGGCAGGACGCGGTGTACCGGGCCAGCTCTTCAGCTGGGGAGACATGGGAGCAGCACAGGCCTATAGTCATGACGGGCCTGGTCCCATCCGCCCGAAGTTCGCGGGCCCACCCAGCATCTACGAACGGCCTGAGCTCAATGCGGAGGAAAGTCGAGCGATGTTCCATTCTGCCAACATGTCGGAGAACGCAGCTCGTTTAGGCGTCAGCTCTGAAGCTTTATCTGGCCCTGGAGTCTATGCGGCTGGATCAGGCAACCAGAGTCGCTTCAATCTGCAACGCTCACCTTTCGAGGCCATCTCTGAAAGCACCACTCCCAATCCGCACGCGTCTCCCACCGGCTCGCCAGCCCCCGGAGCCGCGGGTGCTGCACTTGCCGCGCAACAAGCTCAGCTCTTGCGATACGCTAGTGCCAACGCCTCTAGGCAGTCCGTCATCCGCAGACCTCAATCAGCCGGTGCGAGCGCAGTCAGCGAGGCTCCTTCCGACACTGCCGAGCAAGAGAAGATGCGGCTGTATCAACGGGCTAGGGAACAAGCGGAGCGCAATCAGCGCAGAGCTGACGAAAAGAGGAAGAAACAAGCAGCTGCACTCAGTCAGAATTCCAACAACAACGTACCCGACGCTGCTTCCTCAGCTACTGTCGTGACCTCGTCGCAGAGCGCAGGGGCCATCGCAGCGTTGTCGGCAGCCAACCTGGCGGCAGCTCAGACGTCGAGAAATGTGTCCGCGCCCGTGCCTGGAAGTACAGCATACAACAATGCAGCGAACGAGAAGGCTAGGCTGTACGAACGTGCAAGAAAGGAGGCAGAGAGGTATCAGAGTGGTTTTGAGCAGGGTGCTACCTTTCCAAAAGAAGCTTTGGAGGGCTACAAAAACGGCTTCGCGCAGGGCTCGTCAGCCTCGCTCTCGCACGCAGCACCGACGACGAGCGGGACCAATACACCCTCACGCCTTCAGCCCGGATCGATGGCCAACGACGACGAGGATCGTCGCAGGAGTAGCGCTGCGTACTGGATGGGTGAAAACGCTGCCACTTCAGCCGCGACCGCTTCGAGGGCAAACATTTCGGCTTCGGCCGAGAGAGCTCGGGCCGTATCCGCAGCTACCCCAAGACCACCCGGGTCGTGGTTGACAGCTGAGGAGGAAAAGGGAAGACTCTACGAGACTGCAAAAGCTCAACAAGCCGCAGCGGAGGCAGAAGCCAGGATGGCGTCTCATTCTCCGCCTGCCCTTGGCGCTACTAGTCAAGATACACCGGGCGCAGCCAGCTCCGTCAGCAATTCGGGGCCTAAAGCGCCCATGCCAGCTTACTTGAGCGCCGAAGAAGAGAAGCGAAGATTGTACGAACGGGCAAAAGCTGAGCAAGCGGCCGCTGAAGCCGATGCCCAAGCTAGGAGCGAGATTTTAGCCCAAGGAGGTGCTTCAAGCGCCCGAAGTGGCCCTTCTGCGCCTCCAGATCATCCGTCAAGTGCTCCTGCGCCTGTCGCAGCCCCGCGCAACGAGAAAGCCCAGCTCAGGCTGTACTACGAGGCGCAAGATGCAGTTGCCAGAGGCCAACATGCCACAGCACCTGGCCCTGCTCGATCGAATGGTGTACCTGGCACCCAGTCAGCACCAACGCACGTTCCCAATCCGCACTTCAGCTTGTCTCATCCGGGCGATGGAGACAGACCACAGCCCTATCAGCCTTACGAGACTGCACCAGTGCCTACCTATCATCAAGCCACAGCTTCGGAGACGCATTTGCCGTCTGCAAGCACTCTGAGCACCTCGAGCGCTGCGGGCAACTATGTCAACAATCGACAGACCTTGCACGCTAATGCATTTCCCCCTTCGGCTGGGGTATCACCTCTTAGCACCCCCCCTGCGCTTAACAACAATGCGCAGAGGTCTTCATACGTCGGGGTTCCATCATCTTCTCAGACCACCTCAAACGGATCCCGCGCACCGCCCCCTTCAGCTCCGAGTCAGCCATACCCTGGTGCCGGAGCTGTCAGCGAGAAAGAACAAATGAAGCTGTATTACGCTGCGAGAGACGCTCAGCTCCAGGCGGAGAATGAAGCCGCAGCTGCTGGCGCATCCCTCGGCAACGTGCCCTCGTACTCATCTCCCCCTGGTCAAGCTGCATCAAGCGTTGCGGCTACCTCGAGCGCGCAGCCCGGCGAAGCTCAGTACTCGACGTCTTCAGCAGGTCCAGCATTGACCAGACCGGCTGCTAGCTATGCCCCTGGATTCACTAGACCGGGGGAAACCGCAGCTCAACCTGTTTACTCTCCGTCTGGCAGTAGCGCTCAGCAGACTAGGCCTTTCAGCATGGTCTCGCAATCGGCTTCGAATCCAATAGCGAGCGCTGCGCCCATGATCGGCGCAAGCGGCGCATCAGCTGGAGTCACGTCGGTCCCTCAGACAAGTGGCAGCTCAAGCGGACAGAGACCCATGTCAATGGCCAATTACAAACCGCTGCCTGACGCTGTTCCGAATGCAGGGTCCGCAAAGGCAGTCGGTACAGCGGATCTGGCCCCCAGCTTTGCCAACCACGCCCAAGCTGCGCCAGCAGTGCCGCTGGAGTCGGGCACGCACTCGTATGGATCCATTGCTCCTCAGAGGCTTCCAAGCGCTCGAACAAGTTCAGCTCAAATTGTCTCTAGTCCAGCACATGACCGCTTGGCAAGCGACGCGACCAGCTTGACCTCCTTTTCGGACTTGCCTCATCACGACCCTTCCATATCTGCCGGCAAGCAACGGAGCCTGAGTCCGCGAATCGAGCAGCAGCAGCAGCAGCAGCAATCGGGGCTGCACGCTCAGCTCGCATCAGGACCTCCTCTGCCGCCGCCTTCGAACGGTCTTGGTGGTCTCTCGCAACTTAGCACGACTCTGCCCAAAATCGACTTTGGCAATCTGTCCCCGCTGGAGTTGAGAGCTGGTGTGCCACCTCTACCCTCATCTGGCGCGCAAGCACCCACGACGGCTGTCTCTAGTCCACCAACATCGTCCATCTACTCTCCCAGGTATGCTCAACATTGGGACGACGACGATGAGCCCGAAACTCCTAGAGCTGTCTCTGCTGGTAACACCAGCTCCTCTGCGCCTCCACCTTTGCCGCCGAAGACCCGTATCGGCTGAGTCTTGCACGTACTCAACGTCGAGAGTCTCGCAGCATCGAACAGATGTGCCGAGCTTGAGCGATAGGCGCACCGATCGTCATTCGCAACTCATCCATTTAATTATACCCATGCCGAAGGCGCAATCGAATTTGGTGCTGTCGCTTATAACGAATTGTGGCGCTTGACTGTTCTATGAATCCAGACGCGCCAGAGCTTTGTCAAGAGCCCAGTGGCTCGCAAATCGCACTCGAATAGATTCTACGTGGCATGCATGATCAGCTTGACGTCGCCGTCCTGAAGGGGACGAGTTCGTGGGGCATAGTAGCGAAGTACAGTGAGGGGACAAACGGAGTCAAGAATCGCATCGACGACGTGAGAGTGGCTTGAAGCCACGATCTACAGGCGATGTGTTGCTTAGACACGGGGCTTGCTTGCTGCCCCCTTTGCTTGCTGACGAGAGATCTTGGGACCTGCACCTGCGTGTGCGACAGCTCCCTGATGGTCATGGTGAAAGGATAGCTTGATCAGCACCTCGCAGCTACAATGTCCCCGTGTCATGACCGACGCAACGCCACCCATGCCTTTGCACCTCCGACAGAAATCAATTCTCTCAAATATCTACCCACCTTGCCTCTGTTAGCCTTGCGCTCCTCTTGCCTCTTCTTCTTGTCGTCCTTGCTCTTGGCGAGGGCGGCGGCCTGCTGAGCTTGACGAACTTCGGGCTTTTGGTTCCTCTTGGCAGCGATGGCGTCGAGAGAGGCACCGACAACACCACGTTGGTGCTTGACAGTGCGACGGCTACGCTTCTTGGCAACCTCCTCAGTGATACCCTTCTTGTGCATGCGGCGGTAGACCACAGTCCACGCAATCTTACGAGGGTTCTTGCGCTGCAGGAAGAGAGACTCCGACTTTGAGGAGACGAAGCGGAAGACCTTTGGAGATAGCGATTTGGCGAACGAGTCTTGCATGTCAGCATGAATTATTCCAGTAACCCATATCCATCGGGCGTGAGCGGGGTCCCCAACATATCCCTCGCTAAACCCGGCAGCACTTGAGCTTGCCTTGACGGGATGCTGTGACTCGACTTGTCCGACCGCATAGTGATCTGATCACCCCCTTCCTCTGCTGCCATCTGCTCTCCAGATCTTGTTGGCCGCTCTCAGACTCACCTTGGAGTCGCCGCGAACGTATAGCTTTCCGCGACCGGGGTAGATCTTGCGCTGAGAGAAGGCGCAAGTTTCGACCTTCATGATGGGCAAAGTTCTATAAGCCGCCGAGACAGACAGGTAAGTCAAGAGTGAAGAGAAGGGTGGTCAGTAGGCGGCTTCCGAAGACGATGTGCTGCTGAACAAGCGCTCCCCCAAGAATTCCTGAAGAAGTCTCGCCTGAGTCCAATACGCCGCGTCAGGATCGCCTGGCGCGCACTGTCAAACCTGAAGCTCAGTCCACCCTTCGTATCGTCCCTCGCCGAACGCAGCGTGCGTGACGCCGATACCCATCTTTCCTTCACCGCTCGACCTTATTTTTCAACAGATCCTGCAAATCCTCCTTCCCGCCCGGAAATGCCTCAAGAGCTGCTCCTATCTTTCAAAGCTATTTGAAAGTTGGCCATCGTGGCAATTACTGATTGCCATCCGCAAATCTGCTTCCCACAACGTATTCTCATGACCCCTTCGCCGCCCGAAGCGCCAAAGAACTGCTGCAAGGGTGCGAGGCGCCGAACGAAGCTCGCAATAGGATCCAACTCGGGCGCCCTTGACTGCCTATTGTTGTTGAAGGACGCTAAAGCCTGAATCGCTGCTGAGCTGGCATACTCACTTCTTGAGGGGTCGACAGAAGATGTGTGGTGAAGTCGTGGTTATGTTGATGCGTGCGGCGCTGAGATGCAAGTGGTCATCAGGTGTCCAGCTTGATGGCGAGCCCGGCTTGCCGCGCCCCCCCGCGCGCACCAGCGCGCGCCAGTTTCCGCAGCAGTATTTTCTCGCGCGAGAGGCGTCTTTTCCACCTCTGGCGCGCGCGTGCGGGCGCGCTTTCGCGGGGCTTGAGCCACGTGGTCATGATCTTCGTCCAGGCGTGCGCGATCTTCGCCCACCCCGCGGGCTCGGTGGTAGACACTGGAGATCTTCGGCAGCACGATCTGCACCACGGTCTTTGCCCACCACCACAACATTTCACCCTCGGACTTCGCCCAACATGGTTAGTATCGGCTCTAGTCTTCCTGCCCACTGGTAGACTTTGCGTGCACCGCGTGAGGTGTTAATTTGAAGCGCGCGATCGCTTGAGCAAAAGCATTGAGGACAGCGACCATGCGCGTTGGGCTATTCATTGCGACCGCACAAGACAGCGAAGCCAACACGAGGCGTAGGATTCTTTCGGAGGAGGCTTATAGAGGGAGAAGGGGAGAAGGGCATCCATTTTGTGGTGCAAATTGTCTTTCAGAGGGAAGTCGTGCTCTGGCAGTGGGCTACAGCTGCAAAGGACCACGACAAAGCCATGCTGATATGGCTCGGCCTGGCTGGCTGGATAGCCGCGCGTTGGAGACCTGGCACCCATTCCAGCCAGTCGTTGGACATGCTGTGGCCGATCGGACATACAAGACTGACGCCGTGCTCTTCCCGGTTTTCCACAGCCTAAGCAAGTGACCGACATCAAGCAGTTCCTCGAAATTGCGAGGAGAAAGGACGCCAAGTGTGAGTGTGCTTTGGTGTTGTCATCCATCTTCATTGACTGCATTGATCGCGAGCTGACTTTGACCGCCTACTCCCTTACAGCCGCTCGCGTCAAGAAGACGCTCAAGGGCAACTCCACCCAAACCAAGTTCAAGGTCCGTTGCAGCCGATACCTCTACACTCTCGTGGTCGATGACGCAGCCAAGGCCGACAAGCTCAAGCAAAGCTTGCCACCTGGTGAGTGCCGTGTGCATGCGATGTGATCTGGGGTGTTGAAGGAGAAAGGAGGCGGGAAACACCGACTTTTGAGCCTTCCCAGCGGGCCAGTATGGCAGCGACCGCTGCCTCTGCCTTGACGAAACCATCCATCGCTCCACATGTGCTAGGCGCAGTCATGTCTGACCCTCAGCCCACTCATGCTCCAGGCCTCAACGTTCAGGATGTCGGTCTTGTGGGCGTGAAGGGCAAGCTGCGCAAGTAGGCTTGTGCAAGAACTGCAGGCGCCTACAAAAAGTCCACACGATCATAGGTCTTTCTGATGTCACATGCACTCATCAAAACACCCACGCATTTCATGCCATGTAGCACCAGAGCTTCGTCACCACAGCAGACGCAGAGGGACTACGATTGCTTCACACTCAAAGTGAAAGACAACGCTTACAAGTGTGGATCGTCAAGCCTACGTCAGCAGAAGCGACCGACAGGAAGGCGGGCATTTGGTGACCTTGGCTGAGGACATGTGGGATTGGCGTTGCATGTCGCAGTTGAGTCACTTGGCTTCATTGGGTGGCCATGTGACTGTGACACGAGACCTTTTCAGTAGCCCGCGTGATATCTGGAGTCGCAAGTGATCCTGCAGCCACGTCGGAAATGCTCTGAAGGTCGCGCCAAAGCGGACGCGAGCATTGGGCAAGAAGAGGTTGGCGCTGCGTTGCTGGTGCACTTGCGACACGACGGCATGCACAACTTCGTCGGCTTCCAGGAAGTCTGACTGAGACTTGAAGAGCTCCCTGGTCATGGGTGTGCGAATAAAGCTCGGGTGCACGATGCTGCAATGGCGGGAAGGCGCACGGAAAGCACGTCACATTAGTGTGTCCGCCGGCTTTGTCTTGAGCTCGACTCGTGACTCACGTCGTCAATACGCTTGGGGCCTTGAAGATTGTCTGGAGCTCGATTCTTAGAGTCTCGTTCAGCGCAAGGAGACCTGCCTTGGACGCCGCATAATCGGCAGCTTTGACACCGCTTATGAAAGACGCTGCGGAGGCTACGTTGACCACATGGCCGTGATCGTGCTTGACCATGTCAGGCAAGAATTCGTGTATCGTGTAGAATGAAGCGAGCAGATTGACCTCGAGCGTCAGCTTGGTTCGACTTGGTTCGGCATGGAGCAGCGACTGTCCTGCGTTGGGGACGCCGGCCTGGTCAAGGACTGAGGATGTCAGCTAGCGACGGACAGTGCGCAAATCACCGACGTCATACGCACATTGTTCACCAAGATGGTGGGATGGCCCCAGGCGGAGCGGATCTCCTCGGCTACAGTTCTGATGGCGTTTGCATCTGTGAGGTCTGTCTGATAGAATTGAATGCGTGACGCGAGGCTCGACGGCCAGGCACCGTCCTCTGGCGCAGCGATGTCGAGGACAGCGACGCGCGTGCCTTTAGCTGCCAGGCCTGAAGCGATTCTGCGCCCCAAACCGCCTGATCCACCAGTGACAACGGCGATCTCTTGAGGCCAGTGGTAGGCATCTTTGGCTCTTCTACCGTATCCTAGGTAGACTCTATCCAGCCAGGTGTTGATCTGAGCGATCAGATAGAAAAGCAGAGCGATGGCCAGCTTACGGGATCGCAGAATGACCGCCAAGCGCTCCGGCAAGGTGCCGTGAAGTGGCGCCCGCCCGCCCAGACGATTGTGAATGAGAAGCGCAGCTGCCAATGTAGCTTTTATGACGGTCATGGTGTGTCTGCGTTGGTGAGAAGGGTGGATAGAAATGCAGGGTGACAGTGCATTTCGAGACGAGATCGACGACGACTCGAGCGAGACGGCTTGGCCAATTTGAGGATTGTTTGTGTGAGGCCTCGAGCGTTGAAGCGCAGCATGACAGCGTCCCGCTCACATTCACGATTCACGATTACCGGTACCACAAAGCTTGACCTTGGACTGACGTGACGCTGCGGTGGGACGCTTCATGCTTCATGGCGGGCCGCTAGATGCTTGCGGAGGCAGCGCTCTAAACACCATAGCGACGCGGTTGGTGTGAATCGGGCAAATGAAGGTCGGGCCGGAAAGCCCGAGGTGCAGGCTGCCTTGCTCGGCTGTGCGTTCTGCGTAGGCTGTGCAACACAGGGCAGCAAGTACAACGGTGAAGATCACTCACGACTGTCCGAACGTGAGAGGCATGCATTCGTATTCACATTCAGACTCGAGGGACGGGCAAGCGCCCATTCGATCTGGACTTGCCCCTGCGCGTCAGAGTAAGTGCCGTTACCCGGGCACTGTCAGCCAATTCCACTGTGACTCACGACATGTGACTGCACGGAGAAATGACTCGTCGTTTCAGGGGCCCTGGGGTCCTCGAAGGCAGTCTACGCCAAACCTTATCGAGGTTGACAGATTCATTAGGTCGATGGATACCAAGCACCCCGTGCACGGAGCTCGAAGGATGATGAATGCGGAAACCCCGCAAGACCTTGTCACTCGCACTCACGAATGTTGGCAATCAAGAATCAAGAAGGAGAGCCATTTCTCACTAGGCGAGGTCTCGCCGCGTGGCGGCAGCACGGGAGCCAGGCACAGGTGCGAGAGATGGAGCACCATTCACCATTGAAATTCATGATTCACATCCAGCATTATTCTTGTTTTATGGCCTCCATTCGCGATTGTCATCAATCCGTAATCAAGAATTTTGGCTTTTGACTCAATAAATAAAAATCATGAAGCAAAATGTGATTCCTCGATCAAGGCTCGTGACTCACGTTAAGATCGAACAAGATTCGTGAGTCTTGAGTCAGAGTCAGCATTGATTTGTGGAATCAATTGATTGGCTTCGAGCCCGCCTCTAAATCAGTCTCGGGCAAGAGGTACCATATAAGAGTCAACTCAAGACTTTGACTCAATAGCTCCACCACTATCATTAATTGAGTGGTGTGCATCTGCATCACTTACGCCGATTTACGCATTCATGTTGGATTTTGATGCGGATTCTTGATTGAAATACCGATTCAAGATCAGCTTCAAGATTCAAAATTGGGTGCATGTACGGTATCAGGCTCCGTTCGGGGACGGAGGAGGGGCGCATGCAAGGATTCATATACGTCCGCTCTTGCACTCGCGCCGTGCCTGCGCTCTGAGCTCTCTTTGCAGCTGCCACCATGCGGCGCGAGCATGAAAGGTGAGCACGCAAAGAGGGAATCTTGAATGCTTGCGTGCTTCGTGTGCTTGGGAAGCGGGTAGTCACGAGTTTGGATACGTCACCCCAGCAGCCACTCATCCATCCTCTGTCCCCGCATTCCTGGCCTGCACACACTGTGACGCTTCACAAGTGCTCTGCTACTGGTGTTTGCCCAAATCCATCGCAGTGCGTGCCTGCACGCCGCAGCCGCCGAGATGACTTCCCTCACCAACCCGTCAGCGCCCGGGCAGGACGCGCATGTAGCCTCGCTCGCCGAATTCCTGGCTCCTCTTAGTATCCACGTTGATCCAAACGAGGTGGGAGAGCCAGTACAGCACGAACATGGCTCCTTCCGCATACTCTCTCGCTTCTCTCATCCAGTCGTCAATCGCGCCCTGGTAGGCGCAGATCAGAATCAGACGGCCTCAACAGGGACAGTGCCTACCGGGCTTGAGCTTGGCAAAGCTGCCATCAAAGCAGCTCAGTACCAGCTCGCACTGCACACCGCCAAACGTCGTGCGGATCGCATCCTCGTCCTGCAAGGTCCTGATGCACCAGGCGCTTCTCAAGAGCAAGCTCTGTCCTCTGCTTCTGGCGCCGGCTCTGGGCAGGCCACGGCAAGGGAGACTCTCTTTGCCGCTGCTGCTCGATCTTTAGCCGATAGCTTTGGCAGCTCACCTCAGAGCGACGCTGCTCTTCTGGAAGAGTTGAAAGAGGAGAATGCCGTCGTGCTGCGTCGAGCTGCCGCGTTCTGGACTCGTCTGCCATTTCCCGTGCTGCTCGACCTTGGCGTCACCTCTGGAAAAATGGATGTAGACTTGGACGAGTGGTGAGAGCGCAGATCTGGCTCTCGGGAGTACTGCGCTGCCGAAGATGGCTGACTTGTCTTGCTGCGATTCGCTGCGCTATACAGGATCATGAGCAATGAGAGATATATGCGAGCTCTCCTCGCCCTATCAGACCGCGATCTCCACAAAGAAACTGGAGAAGAGACGCAGCAAGAGGCGCACGACTTGGATGATGGGGAAGACCAACGCAAACGGTGGCAGTCGTACATGTTCCGCCTCTCTGCGCCCCATGCCACGCAAATTTTTGGCCCTTTGAACGCCGATGGAATTCACGATGTCCAACGACCAGCCCCAGAATCGCTACCGGGCATGCGGATTCTAGATGCCAAGAGAGCTGAGCAAGTACGCGTCAGGGGCATCCAAGAATTCCGCTCAGCGTTTGATCGCATTACCAATGACGCTCTTCGAGGTCTGAATTGGGACAACATATTGGTCGCCGGTGGCATCGTTCTAGCTTCCTTGATGAACATCGGGACGGATGAAGAGGCAGCGAAGAGTTCCGACATTGATCTGTACATCTATGGCCTCAATGCTGAACAAGCAACCGCAAAATTGATGCACATAGAGCAAGTCTTCGCGCAAAATCTGCCATCCAGAGGCGCCAGCAGTCCTGACGACAGCTCGGACGCCAAATTCGGCGTCCTTCGTAACTCCAAAACGATCACACTTGTACCCACGTACCCTGATCGTCGCGTCCAAATCATCCTCAAGTTGCTCAGCAGCCCCTTGGAAGCTCTGCTCAACTTCGATCTCGATCCTGCTGCAGTTGCGTACGACGGGAGCGAGGTCTGGATGCTTCCCAGGGCAGCCCGGAGTATCGTCACTGGCTACACTGTGTTCTCGATGGATCTAATTCAAGGCGAGCATGACGCCGAGGTATGCGTTGAAAGCGCAGACGCTTACTTCTCTCGTCCACGGCAGGTCACTTTCTGAATGATCGCAAAGCTACTCAAGATCAAAGAATTTTTAAGTAGGTGTTGGACCAGATTATCAGAGCAATTATCACCCGTCTGACAATGCAATCTCACAGGTACACAAAAAAGAGTGGCGGCTTCGGAATACGCTTCTTGCCTGCGTACGTCAATGCTGAGCTGTGCCAGCCCACGGACGAGGCGTCGAATGTCAATCAAAAGCCGTTGCTGGAATTGATTTTTGCAGCAGCGCGCTCATCCGTGTCCTGGATGGCCAACGAGTGGTTCGAAAGGTCAACACGAGACGGCGTTGAATTGACAGCACTTCGCCCCTTCGAAGTGACCACGCGCACTCAGATGGTGCCTGAACCAGCCAACCGGAGCTCCCTTGGGTGAGCTGTCCCGCTTCGTCAGTCCTGAATTTGGGCAATTTTGTCACAAAGCTTATAGGAGCAATGCACAGGTCATGCGAGCTCTTTGCACGTCATGTTGCGCTTTGGGAACTGGAAAAGGAAGGTTTCATCCACTCGATTTCGGAAGACATGTGGGCAGAGGATCACTACGGAGAAGATCCCGAAGCTTATCACGACGGTCCAGAGGTGGTCTGGAACAAGGACTTCACGCTGGACAAGCTGAGGAAGAGCACAGTCAATCATGCCAAGGTGCGAAGTACCTCGCTTAGCCAGCTTGGAATTCTGACTTAAGCCATGCCACCTCCGTTTCCTCAGAAAGACGCGACAAGATTGTACGACTATCTACAAGACGAAGGCGTGCTTCCTATGCTAGACACTGGATACTACTGGATACCGACGGAGAGCAAGGAAGACAGAGGCAAACGTCGCAAAGGTGACCATGCTTTGCACTCAAAGACAGCAAAAAGCTGCAGCTGACACAACCTAACGTCCTAATGTGAAGCCTTCAACGATTCACTGGAGCCAAGAGCGTGGCTTCAGCGATGCGTATTCGCCTCAAGCATCGCGGACGCTTTCAGCAAGCCTTTGGTTTCTGCCATCGTAAGTCTGGGATGTCAACATTCTGTGGGTTCAGCCTGGTGACGCTCTTGTTTGCATCCTCCGTCGATGCCAGCAATTGCCAAAGAATCTGTTGCAGCTGGCTCGAGCGATTCTACCTGCATCTCCCTCGCAATTGCGAGAAGTCGTCAAGGCCGAGCATCGTGACGCGGGCAGCGACTATTCCTTAGTGTACTGGGAACACACCCTCGAGACTGCTTGGCAGCTTCAGGATCGCGCCAGAGACGAGTGAGTGACGACTCCGGCAGAAAGTTCGATATGGACTCACTGGCGCTCACCATGCACACTTTCCCAATTTCGCATTCAAGGTTGGTGGAGCTATGTGAGTAAAGGTCCAGCATCGAAAAAAGCACGCATATCTGAGCTTGCTGCTTCTTTTTGGGACAGTGCACGCGTTTCGTCGAGCGCACTCCGACATGCGACAAGACTTGCGCACTCGCGAGCGACAAGTCGCCCGCCAGGTCTCACGCCGAGCCGTGCGCCCTACTAGAGAAGATGAATTGTCTGCTTTCAAATGGTGGCTGAATTTGAGACCCGCGGTGAGGATCAACGTAGACTCATTCTGTAGGGTTGACCCGTCACTGACGCGATCTGAGGTCGGTGTAGTTTGCTGAATCCCATTATCAGCAGGTGCGCCCAAGAACATCGAAGGTTGTTTTGAGATCTGCGGCTGACCCTGCTCTAAACTCGGTGGCGACATCTGTCGGAACGCTCAGGACGAGACTTGGTTTATGCTGAACCTGCCTAGAGAATTTCTGGCCAACAGATTCGACATCACGGATCGCGAGGCGATCGCGGAGGCCTTTGAGGAAGCGCGGTGGTGGGTCGACGAGGATGACCTCGATCAGAATCTGTTAGACTCCATTCGGAAGGACATACGCCACAAGACCACCTAGTAGTTGTCGACGCGCGCAAGGGCCTAACTGTGGCCGATCAGGATGGCCGATGAGCTGGACTGCTTTGGTCTGCCATGGTCACGTGTGGCGCATGACTGCCAGTCTTATATGCCGCCGATCTACGGTCCTCTGTTGGGATTCAGTCTCTCTCGAGCACATGTCCGACAGACCACCGACCTCAGGTCGTATGCCGCCGCCCACTCTCAGAATTTAGCATATGAATGAAAGCAATTGTCGCGCGTCAGCCGGGTGAGATGCGCACGCGGAGTCCTGTATCACTGAGCATCGCACGCAGAACAAAGAAAGACTTGCTTCGTACGACCCAAATCGCGGGTCTAACTCGTCGAGGACTGCAACAACGCTAGTTGACCTCGCACGTGCAGTCGAGCCTCGAGTACATCAAACTTCTTCGTATGCGAAGACGGCATTTTGATCGACTCGAGTAGCATTGCACTAGCTTTCGGAGCGACGCAAATCGAAGCCTTTGTCACTGTCGGTGCGCAGCACGGAGGCCAAAAGAGAAGAAGGGCGTGCGGGTCACGCACGTTGGTTCGGTCTGCAGCCTTTTGCGCGGCCAGAGATAAGGGCACTTGACACGATATCGTCGTGTATGTCCGCATTGTATAGGTGCGAGCGCCAGAAAGCTGATATGCTCGAGCGCAACAGACGCTCATGATTGTTCGAATCCTGGACACAATTCAAAACTTGAGAGCGAGTCCAACGTTGGAAGAGGGCGCCCCTCGGACCGACATTTTGGTCGAGATTTGGCCCTTCCTGGATAGTCCGATGCTGCCGAACAGCCTCTGATACCCATGGGCCACACAAAAGGCTCTTGCGCCACACATGTGTGAGATTCCTTTCACGTCACGACCAATGCCTTCTTGGTGGGCACATATCCTCGACACCTTTGACCAGAACTCGCAGGCATCAAGTTGCAGTAGGCAATACCTGACCACTTCTGGACAGACCTTGTGGGGGGCCCCATGATGGTGCAGAACAGGGCCATCATTGCTGCATGCTCTACAATTGTAGACCATCTTGCCCTGCAAGAGGACGCAGAAGAGGTCAAGTGATGCAGCTCGTACATGCAGCTGGGCTTCCGCTCCAATGTCCACCAGGCCATGAGTTTCTGGACAGACCCAGGCGCTAGGTAATGGTGCTTGAGGCCAGTCATGAAGCCTACTACGACCTTCACAGGTCAACAAGCCCCAACAACCAGCTTGGTTTGGCAGGCAGACACAATGCCTGCAGGCAGGTGAACAGCGGGGGGTTGCTGACCATTTGCCAACTGTGCAGACAGACCAATGGCGAGGGGTGCTGGCAGTGGAGGCGGCTGGCTTGCAGAAGATGCCACTGTAGCTGTGCTTGCTCAGCGTAGTATTTGCCCTCCGCAACAAATTTATGAGGCACAAACTTGAGGGCATAAGCATGAACCTTGGCATTGGCCACTGCTTTGAATTCTTTCCAAGTTGTGCGCACCATGAAGTTCAGACGGAACTGTTGGTCTGACGTGTACCTGGCCCCAAGCTTCTGGATGGAGCAGGGTGCCAGGTAGTGATGTGTGGATCCAGTCATGAACTCCACGGTGACCTTTGTAGCACAAGTCCTGGTGAGCAGACTCATTTGGCAGGCAAATACAATGCCTGCAGGCAATTGGACGCTGGGTATGTGTCCAGCCAACTGTGCAGACAGACCAATGGCGAGGGGTGCTGGCGGCAGAGGCGGCTGGCTTGCGGAAGGTGCAACCGTAGCCGTGCTTGCAGAGGCACCAGGGGACGTTGCCATGATCGGCAAAGACGGCAGCAGCTGGGAGGACAAACCAGCTTGATGCGCAGGTGTTGGTGTTGGTGTTGGTGAGGATGGCAGGAGGTCGGATGTCGATGATCCAGCTGCGGCGACGCGCGATGACGAGGAAGCGTTGGTCCTTCTCGATCCTACACTGCCAGCCTTGGCATCCTGCTGCATGCGCAACTGGGGTCTGTTGGGCACATTGCGGTGACAGCATCCAGCGTACATTGCATACATTCCCCCATTGCTGCTCTCTTCCAGGCATTTGCTGACAACCAAGCACCATTGAAGATTGCCAGCCTTGCCGGTCAACTGAGCATGAGCAGTGACTCTCTCAAGAGAGGGGCAAAGCATCACGGCAAATGTAATGAGAGCCCTGGCCATTGAGCTCGAACAACGGCAGGGAGTCAAGGTCCCCCTTGCGTACAGCTGGGCGGCGCAGTGTACCTGCAGCTGGGTGTACACTGACCAGATGGAGACAGCCTGCAGTATATCTGGCAAGCCCCCTCCACAAGAACATTGATTTGGAGCTTGATCAGCCCGTGGCAAGTGTTGGCGGTCAGGTTACCTTGGTTGCCAAAGATGCTCGCATAGGCCTGGGAGGCCAATGCAGCATGCGTCGGCGTGCTGCACATATCCAACCTCTGGTGAATAAAGTAGTGGATCCGTTCCCAGTCGCAGTCAATCCACATGACCAGAGACAGGTTTTGTTGCTTTGTCCAACCTAGGTCCATCCTGCTGAATGGCGATGCTGGCGTGATGGGAGCTGAGTAAAGAGGGGCAACAGTGGTCAGTGAAAAGTGGTGTAGAGCAGCGCCCAGTGCAACTTACTGCACAAGGGACCTGATGATTGGGACATGTCTGCGTGGGCTGGACATTTTCCTTGCATCAGTCTTACCAGCCAAGTCTTGGAAGGAGTCTACTCACAGACAAGTGAGTCGGGTTGAGACATCAAAATCAGCTCATTGCCATGTCCTCAACGTCGCCAGAGATGCTGTTGGCAGCAAGTGTCAGCTCCTCTGTGGTCGTCATTGTGCCGCACAAGCTGCGTAAAGAGGCTGCGATCAAGCACGTAGTTGATGTAAGTCCTGCAAGTAAATTCCCCGCCGACCGGGAGGCCAAAGACGATACTAGGCACAGGACATGACTCGCACGAGCAGGCAGGAAGTATAAAAAAGCGGCGTCGTGCTGACTTGCTCACAACAGTGATGTGAACTATCTCGAAGACTCTCGGCAGTGGCTAGTAGCAGCTTATAATCCCAGATGGGAACTACTAAAGATGCGGGTGCAAAGTAGTAAGCAAAAATTGGACAAATGAGTTTGCTGCTTGGCAGAGACAGCAGATCGTCGGCAGCAATTTTTGCCATGCTTGACAAACACAGCGAGAGGGGTTTAAACTTGCTGTCAGCCACAAGTAGACAGTCTTCAGCAGACACCGGCAATAATGAGTGCCGCAAGCAACCGCGGTGGCATCGACTATTTTTTTCTGATTGAGGTTGATGGATGAGAAGAACGCCAAATAGTCTTGTAATGACGCAACCGCAACTTTGTGTGGAAGTATTTTGGAAACGGCTTGATGTCAGATGTGAAGCACGCGTTTATTGATCATCGTGCTTGCGATCTTGAGAAAGGCATATTCAGCCCTCCCGGGCGGGTCATCTCGGCGCGTACAAACAACCATGTCCTTAAATACCACAGCTGATGAACTTTTTTGGGCTTATCTGGCATTTTGCAGCTTGATAGCGCTTTTTTCTGTTACAGCCTCGACTGTGACGGCTCTGTGGCCTCTGGAGTTAGGCGTGCGTCTTATCTCGTGCTTCTTTGCTAGCCTGCAATCGGTAAACTTTGCCGTTTAGGTCAACAGTGCATTGGCAACCCTTGATTACTTCCTTAAGGGCAAAACGAGAAGAAGGGAAATTGTCATGCGTATCAGGTGGTATAAGGTGAACATGCATTTTGTATGGTAGCAAATCCCGTCGATGTGGTGCGCACGCACATTGAAATGTCTATTCCGCATGTATCTGCTTCGCATATTTCTCGTATTGGTCGTTTTCAATTTCATGCTAAACAACAGTGGCGAACTTATGTGTCCCTCATAGACCGAGCTCTGTAATTCCATACGGATCAAAGCAAAAGATTCTTACGCGCTTGTTCAGATATAAGATCACATTGCTCACATAAAATATTTGATATTTGGACGCAAATCATGAGCTCATACTGAATACACGTTGGAATGTCACCCCATCTTTTGCTGTTAAGCTCGCCTTCATTGTAGAAGACTCGTGAAGATCGCTTGACGACGATCAATTAAGTGGTGGCGAGCCAAATACTCCAAGTACTGAGGATTTGCAAGGTCGGTTAAATTCATCAATTACATGTCTGTCCGAAAGGGCAGGGGCAAATTTTGACGTTGAGCACACAGACAAGTCTGAAGCGCAATACCAGGTCCTCGACCCGCGTCTCGAGTCATCATCGCATCTGCTGCTCTGGGGACGTTGAGTGTCATAAGTCTAGAGTGAATCGTAAAAGAGATGGCTACATTCATTGGTTCACAAGTGTATGGGCTGTAGCACTGAGCTCAATCGTCGGTACATTCTAGAGCTCAAACTTTTGATGGAGAGGCTCCCTATTGCTGATTGAACCAAAGAGCTGATCCGGCGTCTTGAGCTCGGCAAAGGTCGACTGACTCTGGAAGCTTCTGACGCGTCCGCAGCTTCCAGCGAAAAATAAAAAGCTGCAACGCGCTCATCGCAAGCTGGCCAGCGAAGCTTGACTTGCTGCTCTTTTACATCTTCGTTGGCTTCATCCCCACGCGAAGAAGGTGTGAACACCTACTCATATGCAATGGCTCAGTTTCACAACATGTTTTCAAAGCACAGAGACGTGTGTCTGTTTGGTGTCAAATCGATTAAAACTTTGTGACAGTCTATTGCGCGCTTATGAGATCTCAAGGAACTCATTTCTTGGGGACCCTTTGATGGACAAGTAGAAGCGAAAAATTATTTGTCTTACCTAGCACAGCCCTGTTGACGATGCTGGGACTCCCGGTGCCTTATAAGCACGAACTTCGCTCACGAGCGCTAGCGAACTACACGTTCCGGTTCTTGCAAGCTCATGAGACTGCGCATTGCGAGAATATACATCTGAGGCTGCTGTTAGTCCCAGCAAATTGAGCTACATCGTGTTGTTTCCCAATACCGACCCTCTTTGTGTTGGTTGAAAGCACTTACCTATTGAGTGCGTTGAGGCCTCATGACAAGTAATGAGCGAGGATTCCAAAATTGCTCGCTTTGGGGGACATTTCGCTTTTGCTAGCTTCTATTCGGGTCGGAACTTTGATCCACACTGTTTTTTTACTTGCCGGACGCGTTTGGAAAAGTTGATACGCGCCATGACTCTTTTCTTCGATTAGCAATCAGTTTAGCAGCTGACAGACGCGTCATACTGGACCATGATTACGTCTCTCCTAGTGTCGGCGCTTCCGAGCGCGTACGCTTCAGAGCACGTTCGAGACACATGGATGTGCTGTGCAAAGTACAAGCTGAAGAGATATAGACCACTGTTGTCACCACCTTGGAAGAACTATACACTCTCCCTAATCAGCTTCTTTCTCTCAACGTGCTGTACTCGTCAAGCAGGTCTCTAAGGACCTTCGCTCCCGCCAACGTCCGTTTCGATCTAGGGCGCCAGCGTGCAAGTCGTACAGCACCTTAAATCAGTATGCAAGTGATTCCGATTGCGACCCTACGATCGACAGAGCATTATGCCGCAAGGGTGCAGCGTCAACTGCAAATATCGCGCAAGTGAATGCGAAGGAGATAAAAGGGAGTGCGGACGCCTCAAAGCTCGACTATTGTTGGCGATCTGATCGCTGGCGCTTGACTCTCGCGGGTATCCATTCTGTCAAACATGCAATGGACCTTCTCTGACCGCGTCTGAATGCCAAGTAGACTCGATGGGCTATGTCTTGGATTGTTTGTGTGATGAGGCTCTCATCTTGGTGTTTTGAGTGGCGCGGAAGGAGTGTTTGTGCGTCTGACGTAGCTAAAGTGAGGGACGCGAGAACGATACGCGTCTGTACGCGTCTGTTTCAGACGAAGCACCGCTGGACGTACACTTGTGCGAAGTTTACGTTGGGCGTGACTGTGAAAGGCGGGCTCGCCCGTGACAATCGCGACTATTAGCCTTGCGCCACAGAGCAACGGCAAGGTCGTCGTTGTGAGGACCATTTTGCAGCAAGAGTGCATATATGCGCCCCAGTGACGGTCATGTGAATGCACACTCGCCACAGGATGCTTCATCGCGTATATAATGAGCCACAAACCCGTCTACCTCCTACATTCTTCGCCAAGCACCGCTAGACTTGCCCGTCATGCTGTTCAGAATCTCTTCGAAAGTCTGGGCGCGCGCGATTCTGCTAACGGCTAGTGTCATCGGCTGGCGCAATGCTACTTGTTCAGCTGTCCTCCTCCATGGTGTGGCGAAGCTCTCCTCTGGCGCTCAGGCCGCCGAGCCGCGTTCACAGCACGCTTTGGAGCGTCGCATGCTTAGCGAAGACCACCTACCAGGTTTTCCACCAGGCTATGTCATCGGCATGGTGGACCAATTGGGTGCTCTGCATCACGTGTATGATCATCAAGAAGGCTGGAGCCTGCTCAACGGTCACAGGATTGTGCCTCCCCAGCACGGACGGAATGTCGTGTACAACAATGTAAGTTGACAAAGTGACCCGAGGTGAACATGCCGCTTTACTCATGCAGCAGCACTACAGCGCCCAACGATGATCGACAAGCAGGTAGTCATATGGCCCAGGGGATTTCCTGAACAAAGGTTTCACTGGGATTGGGCCGTCAATAGATGGATGCCGTATCACGGGCCAAGCACGCCCAACAGTTACTTTGCGGAGCGCTTTGCCCACATGCAGCACCAGGAGCGGTCCTCTCCATTACCGCGTACCGTTGATGAACTGATGAGAACTTACGGCAGAGAAGGCGAGTCCTCGAGTAGGTCGAGTGAGGCTTCGACCCGGCCGGCGCAGCCTTTGGACCAGGAATCGGACGCTGGGCCTCAGGCACCCCCTCGCCAGCGTCAGGTTCCTGCCAATCGGTACTCGAGTGGTAGACCACCTCGGTACGAGCGCGGCGGAAGCTAGTCTTAACGTATCGTGGTGCGCAAAGTCCAGGGGCCTCGGAAATGGTCTGCGTGATTTTCAAGGGCGCTCTTCCGACGCTGTCAACATATACATGGATCAGCTCTAAGGCCATGTAGGACCAACCAAAATCGTTCCACAATTCAGAACATCTGATGGCAGTCCGCAGACAGATCTACGATCAGATAGCTGAATTGTGTCTCATTGCAGTGCTGAGCTGTGAAAGCGGGGCAGTCCACATTTTAATGTCACAAGTGTTGTGACACTGTTGTAAATTCTAGCAGCAGTGCGATTCCAGGTAGAGATGAAAGCAATGTATTTGACAGAAGCACCGGTGTCTGAGCCAGGCCTGAATCAGCGTAGATAAGGACTTTGACGAAGGGTGGCGACGTTTTCCAAGGCTGTCGCTTTCCCAGCCCATGTCTGTCTCTGTCAGGCGCTGGCGGGATACTCTTGCGACCCCCACTCCATTAGAGCAGCAGAAATGTGAGCTCTTCGACAATACCGCTCCTTATCCAACCCTCTACGAAACATTCTCCTGTGTAGGCGAGGACTGCGACAGCCCACACAACACCAATAATGCTGTCGTACCACTGCGTCAACTCTGCTTTCGAGACCTCGATGTTTCCTTGGTGACCTTGCGCACGCTTGCATGCGATGATTGAGCGGCGTCGTCTTTCGCGCACGAAGTTGGAGATCGCTCCCTCAAGACACACGGCCACACCGTTGAGGAAGAAAAAGGTAAACTCTCCCGCGCCGCTGATTGGGGGGACAATCCGACTAAGGGACCATTTGCCTAGCGAGGTGAAGGCTTGCTCAGCTTCAACGCGATGAGCTGTGATCTGGCGCTCTCGCGAAAGAAAGCTTGTCCAGAAAGAGGCCGATTGACCCATACGCGTCGCTTTGCGAAAGACGCCGGCAGAAGGAGCGTGGATGTGGTGGGGTGGGGGCTGCGCAAGACGTCCACCCAGAGCGCACCTCTCGCTAATGGCGTGCACCACACCTGATGCGATGAAGGCGCCCATCACCTTTCCCCAGTCCGCGCGCCCACGCTCGAGCACGCGCCCGGGATCCGGGTGGTTGGCTGGCCAAGTCGCGCTGATGTTGATCGGCTTCTTCTCGGAGGCGGCGCCGGTGAGGAGCGCAAAGAATCGCTCGAGTAGAAGCGCAAAGTTCTTGCCGCAATAGATGACAACAGAGGGAACCGTCAACGCCATTCTCCCATCGCAAAGGGATGTCTCTCTCTCTCACCTGGACCGGAAGCACGCCATAGATGAGCCAAACACGATGGAACAGACGGTGCCAGATTTTGCTCCAAAATGAGCGAAGACTGCTGAACGCGAGAAAGCTGATGGGGTTGAGGAGAGGGAAGAAGTCGACGTTGTGCGCAGAAACGGCGTGCGTCGGTGCGGCCAAGCCTTTGGTGGCGCTGTCAGATGGATGCGAGTCGGAGAGCTGATCCACCAAAATTGCGGAGCGTTTCAAAAAGGGGATGCCTAGCGCGGAAACGAAAGTGTAACCAAAGTCGAACAAGGCGTAGAGTGAAATGCCGGTGGCGAGGACGAATTGGAAGCGCTGGTAGGCAGGCAAGCTGGCGATGCTGGTGTGTTCCAAGTCTTGCGAACGAGCACGAGCTGTCTGCACGAGCCACCTGAGCGTGCCCAATGACAGGGCGAGGAAGGGCAGCAGCTTGAAGATGGCGCGCTGAAGTTGACGGGTGGAAGGTGGCTGCCAAGGATGACGATCGTGTCTGACGTCTGGAGTGGCAAAGTCCCATCCGATGCCTCTCATGCTGATCATCAGATCAAAAGCATACCATAGCCGCTGCGAAACACCAGCAGGGTGAGGCTGGAATTGCCAGGTGGTGTTGTCAGAGTGAAAGTACCTCTCCTTGTGGTGGCTTGGTTCTGCTCTACCGCGCTCGTCCTTCATCTCCACTTCTCTGCGCTGCCTCTCGTCCTGGGGGAATGCCAGGCGTCGTGGCACGCGAGGCCAACTGAGGAAGAAGATGTCGAGCACGCGACCTCCACCATAGCAGCCGATCAAGCCGAGCTGGTAGCTCAGCGTCGCGCTGCCAGGCACATGGTACGCAAAGGGCAGTCGCACAAACGTGACGATAGAGATGGCCGCCAATGTGAATTTGATTGCGCTGAGCGCTCGCCGTGCCAGACTGGAATGACGCGCTTCGTCAAAGGGCGGCAGCAGAACGAGGGCGAGATAGTAGGCCAGAGGCGGTAGGATGGCGGTGATGACAGAGAGCGGCACCGAGGCCTCGGCGGGAATAAAGTGCGGGTTGGGGTGAGGCGGAATGAGGACGTTGTGTGTGATGGGATCCCTCAACACGTCCGCCACTCGCCATACCTGCGACTGCGACTGCGACTGCAGCTTGGCATTCGCGACCCATTGCCGCGTGGCGCCCACCGCTTGATCCATCACAGTCATCGCTGAGACGTGGATGTGCTTTGACGCCCTCGAGCTGTTGCAGGCGAGTCTGTATCTCTTTGTTGGCGCGTTTGCAGCTGGTATGATGTTCTGTGCCTCTCACACGGAAGGATGATTATCGTGTTCGGGGCACGGTGTGACGCAAGGATGGAGCTCTCTCCCTACAAAGTCTGTCAGTCAAAGTGGTTGGCTATGTTTTGGGGCTTGAAGGTCATGACCGAGAAGGTGCTTGATCCATCCCTCCTTGATGCAGTCACAACATTCAGTGATTCACCATTGCGCCCATCTGGCCAACACGGCAGGCAGGCAATCATCGTAAAGCATCACGCACACGATGTGAACAAATACGACGATGCATGCAGGCTGCTCCTGCTGACCAAATCAAGAAGCATCAACACAAAGACGCATTTTTGATTTGTGTGCAAATCAAAATGTGGAGGCGAGGGACTCCAGGTCACGTGCATGACCGGACTCCGTGGACATCCCCCGCCTGCGCCTGCGCCTGCACATCGCAGTCACGAGTCACGAGTCCGTGATCCGTAAGTCTGGGCGGCCTCGGGACCTTGGCCCACGACCGCATGCGTGATTAAGCAGGCGACCATCACCGCCTCAAGCCTTTGTATCAGACTCGGCAGCCTGACAACGCCTGGGTCTGCCGACTGATTCATCATGTCGTTGGCCTCCGTCTCGGTCGATCTCACGTCGCTGGCCCCTCAACTCATCGCTGGCGCCAGCAGCAAGAGCTTGGTCAAGAGGTGAGCGTTGTGGGACGCGTCCAGCCTCAACGTCACTCCCAAGCCTGCCAGTCTCACCTCGCCCGCTCATCGTTTCTCAGCCAAGGAAGCAGTGCAGGTGCAATTTCGGCGGTCGAGCCACCCGGCTTTGTCACTCCCAGCTCGCAGGGAAGCGGCAAGGTGAGCGCGAGCCTGTCAAGAACATGCCTCGACGTGGAAGCGCGGGCTAATGGAAGCTGTCCGCATCTCGACCCTCGCTGCATCAGAGCAAGCAGATCAAGCCTCGAGCACCTCCTTCGCCCGAATCTCTTGTGGCTCTCAAGTCCAAAAAGGCGTGGGATGTAGCTCTGAGCCCGGCAAAGAGCTTGCCCATGAACGCATTCATGCTGTACATGAGCGGTTCGGGCGTGCAAATCTTCAGCATGACCGTCGTCGGCATGCTTCTCACAAGTCCAATCAAAGGCGCAATGACGATTGGTCAAGGTGAGCTGTACTCTGTGCCCAGACGATACTGCGCGCCGCTGCGCTGCACGGCTGACCATGGCGCGTCTGGTCATCAACCATCATCAGCATTTGCACCCCTGTCTTCGCCCGCATCTCAAGGCATCAAAGGAGCGCCAGAGGAGCAATCCCTGCTCCTTCAAAAGGTCGTCTTCATTCTCGCCCAAGCGTTGTGCTTTTCTTTGGGAGTGTGGAAGTGCGCTAGCATGGGACTGTTGCCGACGCAGAGCAGCGACTGGCTTGCTTGGAGGGAAAGCAGGACTGTGAGTTCCATCGCACAGCTCGCTGAGCAGAGCTGAGAGCCAGTATGCTGTCTAATTGGACGGGAAAGCTGACGGATACGAGCTCTTGCTTGCTACTTCAGCCACTCGAATTTTCGCCAATGTACGCGTAGATTCACTGATGCACACGTAGATGGATGGGGATACCACGTCACACCCTGTCACCGCGCCGATGCAGCGCAATCACACATGCCTGCGACCAAGCGCAGCGTCGCGATCACAGCTGCAGCCTATGTCCAATCAATACATGTATCAAGACTTCATACACGGACCGAGACAGCAGTCTTTGCCAGCGCTCTTGGGAATGTACATTGGACGTCAGGATGGTCGACATGATGTCTCAGAGGTGCGATCGAGCACGTGGAAGACTGTGTGAAATCAGGCACGACGCCAGACAGTCGGCAAAAAGGCAGAATCGTCCCAGCTGCGCTTCTCTGATCACCGCAAGAACTTGGCGCGGAATCCAAAGCCCAGCCGGCTGGGCTGCGGAAGTTTGTTGAATGCAGACGAGGAGCGACGCGCTCATTGCTTGCGTCACTGTCGCCGATTTCGTCTTGTGGTGTGGAGTGCTGGCTACGCGGTAGATGTCGTACTTCACAATATCATGACCTTTCAAATACGCACATCTCACATCCAGACACGAACACGTCTCATTTGCATGACATCGTCGCGCATGACATTGCAAATTCACATACTTTGCAGATATCCCTGGCCTCTCTCGCATGCTCGTCTCGACTTGTGTACAACTTCTTCATCCAATCTTGGATCTCCAACCAGGGGCCCTCTCGAACCCGTCTACGTGCAAGCAGAGAGGCGATGTCAGAGACGCTACTTCAAGCAGAATGATCACGTCCACTCACTCTTTCCGCCGGCATAATCCTGAAAGGCTTGGTAAATGTCGGCTTTGCTAGTCATGACAAAGGGACCGTGCTGCACCACATTCTGTTTGAGCGGCTCGCCAGCAATGATGACGAATCTGGCTTCTTCTTGCACATCACCAGCGTGCTCGACCCAAGCTCCATTCTGCGTCGCGTCTTGCGATCCCAATACGAGCGTCGTGAATGGAGGGTGCAGAGTAGACGCTGCGTCGGAGCCGATACGAACGCTGGCCGTACCCATGTGGTAGATGAAGGCTGTCCAGCCTGGTGGAATTTCTTGAAAGACGCGTCCGCCTGGACTTAGGCGCACGTCAAAGTACCAGCAGTGACCTCTGTCCGGTGTTCGCACTTTGCTCTGCACGCCGTGCGATTCGCCGGAAATGACCTTGATGGACCAACCTTTGCCTTCCGTATCGACCGCTTGATCCGCCCGCGGCAGTGCTGTTGGGATGGCCTCTGCGGCGGATTCTTGGTAGAATGGCTCGCTGGACTTCATCTCTTGGGGCAAGTCGATCCACAGCTGGAGTCCGATCGGATCTTCCAGCTTAGCGTTCGTCTTTGGATCCCGGTGCAGAGGCATCTCTGCGTGCACGATGCCTCGTCCTGCTGTCATCCATTGCAAAGAGCCTGGGCCAATGGTTCCAGCATGCCCGGCAAAGTCTTCGTGCTGAACTTGACCCGAGAGCATGTAAGTGACGGTGGTCATGCCTCGCTGTTGAGAGGACAAAGCACAGTCACAGTCAGCAATAGCGGCATGACAGTCATTGTATGCGTGACTACGACTCACATGAGGATGATCAGGAAAGCCAGCTCCTTCGCCGATCCTAAAGTGATCGAGCATGAGGAACGGGCTCAGGTTGCGCAGAGCAGGCGTACCGATGGACCTTCTGACGACAGCGCCTGCACCTTCTGGTGTCTCCACAGCAGGCACCTCTTGCACCACCCTTCGTGATACTTGAGTCATGCTGCTGCAGGTGGTGGTGTTGTGGCGTATTTGAGTAAAGTTGCGTAGTGGAGCAAAGACGTTTCGTTTGGGTAGGATCATGTGCAGCTTGTCGTGTTGTAGTGTTACCAGCAGTGCACACAAGGCGGTGATGAGGGCTGAGAGGAAAAGGCTCGAAAGAGGTCGGGAGGGGATGCTGCCTTTAATACTTTTGCTTTCGTGAGGCCGCTTCTTGTTCGCCTGCGCCGCGCTTGCGGTCATACCAAGGTTGAATGGCCAAAGCAATCGGACTTAATAGTCGACTTGAACGGACGTGATACTCGAAGAAAGGAAGGCGAGCAGCATGAAGAGGGCAGCAGAATGCTACAAGCGGGATATAGCAGAGCGGTCCACGATGCCCAACGAGGTGATGGCAGGGACAGAGAAATCAAATGTGAATACCGCGCTGATGTTGACACTCAGCGGCCGATGAGAAGTCCGAGCGCGTATACGAGGCGCGGATATGCCGTTCGCTGCATGCCTGCCTGCTGATTGATGCATGCACCTACGCGTTTATCACCGAGTCGCGCCCTGCTGGGCTGCGCATGGTGTGGCCGGCTCGGCGTTAAATGCACGCGCTGCCCCGATTCGTGATCAGGCAGGCGAACAGGATCAATCAGAATCAACTTCAATCCCAATCGCTCAAGCGAGACTCACGTCAGGGCTATACGGTCTACCTACACCGTGAGTGAGGACCGTAGCATGCATTCGGGACCTATACACGCAGACCAAAGCTCAAGCGCTTGCCCTCCTCGCTCGCCCTTGCAAATGTGAAACGGAGTTAGTGACCTGAGACTCACGAATGCTGCACACGACTGCGCTCCAGTATCCGTCTGGATGTCTCTAGACCCTTCTCACGCACCTACAGACTTTCACGATGCAGAAGGCAGGGAACTGGGGCGAGAGGGCCGTTGTCCTGCGCCAATTTCCGCGCAAACGTGGAGCGCGACACCTCCAAAATGCGCAGGCGAGCCTTCGCAGCTCGAATACGCGCACACTGATCGATTGGGGAGGCGATTGGTGAAGCGTGACGGGATGAATGATAGGCTACATATCGTGTGCAGGTGACTCGGTGTGGGAGAGTGGGACAGAACGGGACGGATATGAAGGTGATTTTAACCAGATTTCGATCGGGACACGGGCGCGTAGAAAAGGTCGGGGCAACCTCGAAAGTGGAGCCTTGCTGGGCAAGTCATGAGCCAATACAGTGCGCACCAAAAAGGATTTGGCGCGCTAGCGTTCATCTTGCAGAGTCTCTTAGCCGAAGGGCGATTCGACCTAGGTGGACGAGCAACAGACCACCCAGAAGGCTACCACCAAGACAGCACCTTCTTGTTCAGGCGCTCTGGATTACTTCGGATTGTAGCAACGAATGGACACGTGCCACGTCTGTTGGAGCAAGATGGTGCGTCACACCGCAGCGTCGAGCCGTCTTGATGACTGCGCTTACACTCATTGCTCAGAGGGCTCGTCTTCCTCGGCCGCTTTCCTCAAACAGTCTTCTCTGTCCTCCAGCGCCCGTAGGCTCTCCTGATATTCAGGCCAGTCGGTGAGGGAGGGATGCCTGGCGATGACGAAATCCTCATGGGCAACACCGGCATATTGGCCTGGCATGAGAATGCCTAGACCGGGATGATGACTTCTTTGGAAGCGCTTTGTGGATATCTCGAACCAAGTGTTTTGCCCTTGCCCGTCAGTGCTGTGTTTACCTTTCTTGTGGGAGCTCACCTCCACCTTTTCCTCGCCATTGCCGGTCGTGCCTACATTCATTAGAGTGGAAATGGGTGGTTTGGCCCACTGGCGCGCCATCGACTCGGGAAGTGGAGGTTGCGGTTGATTGCAGGAGATTTTGTGAGCTTTGACCTGAATCTCTATGAATGTGAACGCGTTGTGATCCACTCGCTTGTGCAGCGATCCGCAATAAATCGGAATGATCAAATCCCAGTGGTACTGATTGGGTGCGCCTACAATCGCTTTCATGCCGAGCCACGCCAGCCTAAGAATTCGTGGCGTGATGGCCAGCAAAGTTTTGTCGTGGCGTGTGAATCGCGTGAAATTCACCCAAGCACCCTGCGCCGAGTCCAGTAGCATTGCCCAGTCTGACCTTTTTGACATGTCGTCAGCGTTGAAAGTTGTCTCAAGAAAGCTTCTGAGCTGCACAAAGTGGAAGGCAGGGTCGTAGGGCTCCGGCATCGTAGCAAGACCTAATTGGTTCGCGGACGGGCGCGGTGCTGCGTCTTTGCACACGGCAAATATAGCCTGAGCTGTGATTTCGCCGTACAAACCGGCATCATAATCGATGCGACCTTTGGCAAGATGGCGAAGTTCCTGCCAGCAGAGCGCCCAAGAGTCCCTCGGGTTGAATCGGCCAAGTTGCGGTGATCCCACGCTATCGACCGGCAGTCGCACATCACCGTTGCCGCCATGTGTGACACCAAAGGCTCCGACATTACAAAGGTAGCAACAGCGTCGCCAGTGCGGTTGATGTTGCGCAGCATGCGCAAGTGCTCGTCTACCATCTGCTTTTGGTCATCCTCCGAAATGCATGGATGTCGGCAGTACACAATAGACTCGGCAAAGTCGTGACCGCCGTCCAATACCAGTCGTTGCCCCAAAAGTGCAAGATAGTGCGTCGAAGTTAGCTTGAGGCCTACAACGCTTGGGCTACTGACCGCTTGATTCCTAAGTTTCTGTAGAACGAAGGTGAGCTGTTGCCCTCCCAAAAACGTCAGATCAGCGTCGCCCAATATTGGATTCTGATCTTGGTACCCTACCAGAGATTGCCAAAGGGGCCTGCCCCACAGTGCGAGAACGTGTGGTCTGGTGGCTTGATAAGGAGTCGCGCGAAACACTCCTGTCCGTTGTGAGGAGGGTCGCCGGAGCCATAGGTCACTGATAGTCAGCAGATACGGCGGAAATTGTACCAGCTTGCCACTCGCAACGCGGCCAGAAGTCGCGTCCTTTTGGGCTGGACTGAGTGCTGCAAAGCCGGCGTTGGTTCCCAGCATAATGATCCAGAACAAAGGCGGCATCTGATGTCGAGGATCAGGGCAGTACATCGAGCGCACTTGCTCAAGCCAGCTGAAATCCGACTTTGTCTGCTTGAGGTGTGCCGGGCGGATGTTTGCCACTTCGTCCAGGCAAATGTGGAACCAAACCTTGACGTTCCAGCGCTTTCTGGGAAGGAAGTCGTCAAGCAGAGAGCGCAGCTTTGCAGCATCTTCTACCAGGTTTTTGAGCTGGTCTTTTGCGAACAAGTGTGAGTTCGAGTCGTAATTAGCGCTGCGGGCGGTGACATCCTCCACCGCCTCCAGCCAACACTCCTCAGCCTCGGTTTTCGCAAGACTGTAGAGGTGAACGTTGTGGTGTCCCTCTTGACGTTGCTCGCTCAAAGCATCTACAGACGACCTGCACTGCTCGAGCCAGTACTCGCGTAGCTCATTGGGAGTGTCCCCAGGGCAGCGCTCTATTATGGTGGCGCTTGCCCTGTAGATACTGCGGAGAAACGCAATCCACCGCATCCTGTAAAGCTCGGGGAGAGAGATTTGAGCGCAGGCGCTTGGCACGTACTGCGCCATGTCTTCGCGAAGCCAGACGAGGACTTCCCAATCTCCCATAGGGAAAGCGGCCTCATTCTCTTCGCGGAAGCAGAGCGGAAAAGTCAAATGTAACGCACCGGCGTCGCCGTCGTCACAGAGCAGCCCATTGAGCTCATGCACGAGCCGAGACTTGCCGGTCCCGCTGCTCTGGATGAGTGCGAGCGATCGAGAATGCCACGAGAAGGCTGGCAATTCCTGACGAGCCTCTGCATCCTGCTTGGCGTCGATATTCGAAGGGATTTCGCCTGGCTTCGCTTTGAGGTCGAAATGGACGACCATCGTGTCAGGACGCTTTTGGCTGAATGCGCCTTCATATGCGGCCAGTGTCTTGGCGAGAGCAAAGTGGCCATCGCCTACGAAGCGGGATTCATGGAATGACTTGCTGAGCTTTTTGTAAGCTTCGGAAAGTGCGGAGCTTGCAAAGCTTTATTGTTGGGTCTCGGATCTGGCGAGAAGAGAGTCTCGGTGATGTGAAGACGCTGATGGGGCCAATCACTCAAGACGTCATTCTTGCGTCTGTCTCAGCGCGCTGCTGTAGAGCTGAGCCGGTTGGCAGACTCCTTGGAGGCAGCTTCACCGAAAGGTACCAGCTTGACGATAAGGCGAGGTGTATGTGCATCCGCCTGGCGCTCTATGTTGATGTGAGACCTCAGAAATGCGGCCGCGAGCAGATAGTGTTGCAGTTTTCCATGCCTGGCATCGACGGTCAACCAATCTTCGATCAAATCTGGAAAAATTGTCCCCAACCTCGCTGCAAGCCTTTCGAGCCAGGCTTCAGCTTCGTCGCGTAGGCGCGCTTGCGTTTTCGCACTGTCTTGAGGAGAGCGGGAGGAGGTAGTGGATGAGGCAGGACGAGGCGGGGTTCTTTTCAGCTCGTCGTCAGTGTCCATCGGTACTGCCGGTGCCATGGTAGACTCGGTGTTCATGATGCCTTGTATAGTTCACAGTCGATACTCCACGCGCTTTTGTTGAGAAGGCGCCGCAGCGGGTGAGGGGGAAGCACAGCCAAAGCAACCGCTGGCTGCCTGGCAAGACAAAGCGAGCTGATGGAGAGCGTAGACTCTTTCAGTTTAGCGAGCTGTCCAAAGCAAGGCGAGGACTGCAGCAGCTTCAGCGAAGAGGGCGCAATCTTCAATGCTTATGATGACACTCACCACTACGTCAAGACCGCATATAAAGGGTTTGCCCTGACATGCGCGCCTAACGATGCCGCGTCGCCCTCGAGGGCATGTACGGCCTGGGCTGGTGAAGCACAATCAGAAATGCGCTGACGTGGATGTGGATGTGGATGCGGATGCGAAGCTGGAGGTTGAGACGGGAACGACTCTTGATCACAACTCAAGACTCAGCCGATTCGAATCAACAATTCAAATTTGGAATCTTAAATTCAATCTCAATTCTTGACACAACATTCAAAAATCAGATTCATAATTCTGAACATCGGATCAAGAGCAACCGAATCAATCAAATATCAAGAACTGAATTCATTCTTGATTGTGAATCCAGATCCACAATCAACCATTTTTCCGGTGGGCTCGCGACCTTGACCCCGCGGAATCAAGAATCCCCACCTCTAAGCTCACGTGATGTTCCTTCTGGGGCAAAGTCACAAGACGCAAGTCAAGAGTCCTCCACCGGGGCCCCGGCTCCTCTCAAAGCCGGCGTCAGTGCGCGGGGCTTTGCGCCTATGCGTACGTCCCGCGGGCCCCACTCTAGACTATGCTGGGCTTCGACGCTCAGGAACAGCATAGTCTGACTTTGAAGTCGGCACTTTGACCTCGGCCTCGGGCATGTGCATGCCATGCCATGCCATGCCATGCCATGCAAGAGCTCAAAGCTGCGATGGTCGCGGATAGAAGTGCGCGCTGCTGAGTTACTGTGCGCTGAGCACGCGACGCGTATGCGCAAGCGAAGCTTTCACAATTGTGAATCGTGATGAATTAGTGTGCTGCATGCTCGATCGCGCCTCTGTCTGCGCGCACCGCTCCACTCGTGAGCCCCAAATTCAGGCAATTGCAAGACATCAGCCAGCGGTACGAGATGAAGATTGAACAGACACCTGGTAGCGGGTACGTCCATCCAACAAACGATCATTCGTAGTTCAAGGTCAGCATTCTGGACCGCGTCTGATCATCGCCATTGGTTATTTGATTCGTGATTGCCTCCCACGAACGCCGAGCTCAGCTCCCTCGCTCTGCTAAGTGGCCTTCCGAGGCCGAAGATCGAGCGGGCAATCATCCCATCCCATCCCGTGCGCCCGGCCCCCAGGCAGGTACCACCGAACCCACCAGTCAAAAGGGCATACGCATACATCCCGCCTTTGCTTTGAACACCGCCCACCGGCGCGCGCCTCTGATTCTCCATTCGCGGATTTTTGGCGCTCAGCGGACATTGCGGTGCTACGAGAATGATCAAAGGTTCCATCTCCCCATCCAGCGCTCCCCTCGCCTCCCCTCCTGGCGCAGCCAAGCCGCCGCGCGCCAGCGGCAGTGGCAGCAACCTCAAGGCCTGCCCCTTTCCCGGCTGCGACGCCGCTTTTGCTAAACCAGCGCATCTTCAGAGGCACCAGCTGGTTCACGACAAGGAGCAACCTCACGCTTGCCAGTACTGCGATCAGAAATTCGGTCGGCTGGACAGCTTGAAGCGCCATCAAGGCAGGAAGCACGCCGAGCATGGCTCTCCCTCTGGCGACAACTCGACGCCTGCAGGTGCCTCCCTCACACCATCGTCCGTCTCAGCTTCGCATTCCACAGGCGTGCTAGCAGGCAATGCAGAGGAAAATGGCACTCCCAACAACAGCGGCCCCACTCCCACCTCCAACAAGCGCAGACGCACTCAGGCCTCTCAGTCATCACGCTCCGTCGCATCCTCGTCGAATGATGCTTCACAAGCTTCCCCACACGGATCAGCGACTGTTCCTTGGCCATCTCGAGGAGCGTTTGCTCAGCCTCTAGGCGACCATCCGACTCCTCCACGCTCCCCAGCCTCGCCCTCGGATGCGTTTCGCCATGCGCACGCACACTCCAAGCAGTCCGTGGGAGCGAACGAAGCGTGGAGTGAAGCGCTGGGTGCAACGCCTGCCTCTTCATCAACCAACACCTCTGCCATCCCTCCCTGGTCGGATCTGGAGCGCGCTGCTCAGTTGCATGACCAGGACATTGGCGATGTGGCTGGAAATAGTTTGGCAGCGCTGGCAAGCGTGGCCCAGTCTCAATTACCAGTTGGAGCCATGTCTGCCGCCTCTGCTATGCTAGGAAACGCGGCCGAGGCTGGATCAGGCGCTTCTTCCGCGCTACCCTTTCATCTCAACAGCAGCACGTGGTCCACCTCTTCTCCCAGCTTCATGTCCGATCCCACAAATGAAGCGATGATGCCTTCCATCGATGATATTCTCGAATCTTTCCTCGCTTCTTCCGCCGCCACATCCTTCTCCGGCAGCGGAAGCGGCTTCTTTCTCGATGGCGCAAACGACATTTTCCCAGCGCAGTCAGCTCAACCGTTTGCTCCGTCGCTCAACGACCATGCTGTCCCAACGCCTGGCACGAGCGTCGCAGCGCATACAGCCACGCCTCCATCGGCTCCCTCTCCGGCATCGCACTCTCTTCAGACCTCTTGCAACCCTTTTGTTCGTGCAGCAGCATCCAGTCTCGGTACGTCCCGCATGCCATTCCCTTCTTCGCCTTCCATTCCTCAGCACTCTGCGCATCGCGCCAACGATCCGCACCACAATAGCAGGCAGGGCAGCGAGTCTGCCGCTGCCGAAAAGGTGGCTAGCGAGACTAGGGATCTCGTCATCAAGGGAGTCGTCTTGCCTCGGCTGCCTCAGGCTGCTAGCGCCGAAGAGATCTTTTGGTGCGTTTGCAAGGTGATTCGCCGAGCGAGGCGTACTCGCTAATGTCCTCATTTCCGCCCCTTTTCCGCCAATAGGCTCGCGAACAGCCGCTTGCCCACGCTCGCTCCCGTGATACCTCCTGCTTTCATGCAGCAGGGAGTGCAGGCCAAGACGTTTCCCGTGCTCTACATTATCGTCTCGGTGAGCAGCAAGCGTGTCCCATTCGCGAACCGGCTCGATGTCTTTGCTCACCCATCTGGCTTCTCTAGGCGCTCGGCACGCTCTGGCATAGCGACCCAAGCGTTCGCGAATACGGCTTGTCCCTGTGGTACTTTACCTACCTGGCCATGTGGACGCAGTCTGGCTTTCTCATTGATGACTCGCAAGCCACCGCATACGGGCTCGTGGTGGCTCTGCATGCGCAGCTCTTTGCCAAATTGAGTGGCGACAAGTTTGCAGGCTTTCGAAAAGCCAGGCTCGGATATAATACTCTGCGTGAGTGGCATGCGGGAGCCGTTGAGTGGAAGCTACGAATGTTGAATGTGCTCCCACGCTCCTGCAGGTGCCACCTCCCGAGAACGCGGCTGGCGTCAGCTCGATGCGCCATTCAGATTGGCCATTTTCGCCGCACTCGACTCTCCAGACCAATTGCGGTTCGCGCACGATGTGTTGCAGGATCAGAAGGCTTCCTTTGAAGCTCGAGCCTCTGCACTGCGTGCGGCAGAGGCAGCGTGGGCTGCGTGGCAAGAGCGGGAGCAAGCCACGAGGACAGCCATCGTGATGGCCATCATGGACGGGCAGAATACACCTTATGACGCGTCGCTTCAGCCCGACGGCAGCAACGGCATCGAAGCATTCGATTTGGGGGCCAGCAGCGTCAATATCCTCTTGCAGGCCGTCTTGCCCACCTTTAACATCGAAGCCTGGGCGGCCAAGACGAGCATGGAATGGCTCAAGGCGATACTGGCACCCTCGGCGAATGCGTTCGAGCAGAGCTCCTTGCAGTCTGGTGAGCTGCACTCCATCCAGGTGGGCCAAATTGTGGATGAGATGCTAAGTGGCCAAGAGGAGGTGACGCTCGCAGTGTTTGAGAAGCGTCACACTGCTCTCTTGGAACTGGCAGTGCTTGAAGGTCTGCACTTTGCCTGGCTTGGTCGCAAACATTCCGACGGAGGGTGGGTACGAAGCATGACGCAGGCTTTTCATCCAAACGAAACTGCTGCCAAGGCGCATCCGACGATGCCCTGGGCATCTCCCAGCCTCTCATCGGCCACATCGCTTCAAGACCAAGTGCACGCAGCGCTGGCTCGTTGGCCAAGTCTGCCCTTTACGGATGTGTTCAGCTCGGCTCAGACTCGCAATAGCACGGTCGATGGGACGCTGCACGTGCATCTGCGCTGGCATTCCGTCTGCCTGGAAGCGTGCGTGGCGGTGAGCGAAATTCGAGCCATGCTGCAATCGCAACAAAAGCGACGAATCGGCTCGGACCTGGGCTCGAAGGCGTCGACGGTGGATGCGGCGACGATGATGCCGAGAAGGGGTTATTTGGATCAAGCTAGGATGAGACGCGCAGCTCACCACGCAGCCGTCATTCTCGCATCCACTTTTGCTCTGCCCAGTCAACAACTCATGCACCTTCACATCTCCCAATCCGTCTGCTCCTCCACCGCTCTGCTGTTGGCCATCGCGCTCGAAGAGAGCGCAGAAAGGCAAGCGAGCACGAGCAATGGCACAAATGACGCGATGACTGCTGCTGCTGCTGCTGCGGCGGCGGCGGAGCTTTGGCACGTAGCTCAGATCGAGACGGATCGCATCGTGGGCGATGCGGGATGGGCGGTGGCGGCGGCGACGAATTCGCATCGAAGCCGCAGCAGCACGGAGCGCAAAGCGCAGACGGAGCAAGGAGGAGGAGGAGGAGGAGGAGGGGCAGCAGCAGCCGGTGCTGCGATTCGAGAGTGGATATGTACGGGCAATGAGCGCATCGCGCCATTCTTGTCAGGCACGCCTTTGGTGCCGGGCGAGGCGCTTCGGAACAAGTTGAAATCTGTAGTGTACGATGTCAGATCTTTGCAGCGACCTTTACCCTCTCACCTCGCACCCTGGCTCGATCTCTTTCTCGCCGTTGTAGCATAATCATCATCCACCGAGCGTCTCCCCGGGGGACTCGCAAGCAATGCAAAAGGATTGACAATGTGACAAATTTTATTTGTGAAATTCTTCAATGGGTGCGTGAGGCAGAGGCGGAGGGGGCGCACAGCGGAGGGAGCAGGATCAGGAGGAGCTAGCGCCCACTGCCAGACGTTTGAGGTGCTCCAAAAAGACTTGCAGACTGACATCGTCCGTAAAGATGGCGGCGCCAGCACCTGCCGTTCCGTACATGCCTCCGCCAGACATGTGTGTGGTGCTAGGGTTGAGTTTGGAGAGCAGGAATCTCGCCTGACTTCCATTCTGATCGCAGACGATGTAGCGCGGGATGGGAAAACGATCCTGCAACAAATCTTGAGCATCCGCTTTTGGATTTTCCAGCACCTCTTTGAAATTCTCGTAGCCTTCCTGATCTTGATAGCCAGCTTTGCGCCATTCGGCAATCGTCGTTCCGTGAAAGATGAGGATGTGGAAAAAGGTGTCGAGGAGGAGCACCACGTCTGGCTTGATACTGACGGAATCCAGCAGCACAGGTTGAGGAGGCGTGTCGAAACCGTAACTCATCAGCGTCGGTTGAATCATGATCAGACTGTTGTTCACATCCTCCGTATTGAGCACATGTCGATAGAATGCCGTCTCGTCGGGAGAATTGTTAAACACTTGCAGGAACTGGCTTCTTCGCAGGTGGAACATGAACTGAGGATAGATGCTGAACCCTTCCGAAAGCCTAAAGGATGTCGGATCGTCCTTTCTGTAGTCCGCAAACTTTTGGCACAGCCGAATCAGCATCCTGTCGAGCCACCTGAGCACATCTGGAGAGTCGTCGATCTCCGCTTTGAACACTGCGATTCTCGCCATCAGCACCGCCGCAGCTTCCTGGTCGAAGGAAGCTGCAATCTGCGCAGAGCCGCCTTCGGCAAAGTTCCGCGCTATCGTAGTGACGCGAAGTCGGTACTGTCCTGAAGCGTGCTGGTAGTGCGTCACGAATTGGATCAGACCTCGAGAGCCAGGCTGCAGGGGCTGCCCGGCTGGAGTGACGACTTCAAAGTAGACACCCAGAGCAGTGCGCGGGTCGACGCTGCAAATCTTCCAAGCAGAGGTTCCGCCCAGACCAATCTCCGTCTCGCCTACGGATGCAGACTTTTTGTTGGCGGAGATGGCGTGTCCAATCAGACCACTGACTTTGAGCTCCTTGGTGCACTTTTTGGTCGAGGCAGGTTGTTGTGGTTAGCGAATGCGCGCTTCGCACACGGCACCGATGCTCACCTGAACATCAAAGGTCGCATTGAATCCCATGTTGAGATCACCCTTGTCATCCTTTTGGAAGATCTTTTGGAAACTCTGCTTGAAGATGCCCATCTGGAAAGAGTCTGCAAGGATCATGTGACCGTTGGTAAAGTTGGCCAAGCTTTTCATCTCTAGCAGACCGACCTGATCCAAGCAGCCTGCAAAGATGTCGATGCAGTGCCCATTATTGGCGCTCCTCCTAGCCATCGCCTCGTAAAACTTGATGGCTCGCTTGTAAAATTTGACATTGTCCTTGTCAATGTCGTGGTGAGAGCGAATGCGCTCTCGGAGCTCCGTGGAAACCACATTACCAGGGCCTTCGGTGGCCGGACCACCTGCAAACAGCATGACGCGAGCGCCCGTGTTTGGGAAGGTGGTCTCCAGAATGCCCATGGCTACAGAGAGGGCGGTTCCGGTGCAGCGCTGCGCACGCTTGTCGCTCGCGACGGGCCAAGGATCCTTTTGAAGCTGCTCGAGGATCTGAGTCAGTTGGAACTCGCACTGACTGACGGGAAGCAGGAATCGGCTAGCGCCGGCTTGACCTGGCGCGCGCTGCTGCTGCTGCTGCTGCTGCTGTTGCGGATTCGATGGGCCTCCGGGTGCCATTGGACGTGCTCCTGGCGTCAGCGCGAGCATCTAAAGGGAGTGCGATGATTGTGTCAACGCTGCGCGAACCGATGAACCCGCCCTACGCTCACATCCTGGATGGCCTTTGGCGTGTACTCCTTGGTACCGCGGAACACGTAGCTCTTTGGGCACGCATCGTAGCCCAGCTCATGCACTTGAGCCTGCGAAAGCAGGTGGGGGGGTGGACGTCAGTGGAGCACAGCATAGCGGAATGGAGCGCACCAGGCTGACTCCTCACCATGGTGCCAAATGTGACCAGACCAACGAGTGCATTCTGTGGCAGCAGGCTGAGACTGAGGACGAGCGTCTCTCTCAAAGCCTTGAGGTCCTCCTCTTCCAAGCACGTGTCGACGACGTAGAGAAAGATGGGCGGGATTTGAGCAGGTCTGCTGAGCGTATACTCGATCGTCGTGTACTTTGGCAGCAACTCCGCCGGCAAGTTGGTGCTGCTAATGTCGCGATAATGGGGCGGGAAAGCGTTGCGCGAAAGACAAAAGGGGCAGATCCACAATTTGCCTCGAACATCGATTTGGCTAGTTGTCGAGGTGCGGCATGGCATGGCATGGCATGGTGTGGCACGTTGGAGTCAGTTACGATGAAGCGAGACGCGCATACATGTGCGTGCGATTGAAACGCACCAGTAAGGATTGAGCACTGCTCGACATGGAGGCTTGCAAGTGACTGGCTCGTACATGACAGGAGGCAGATCCTCCCTCTCCTTCAAAGGAGTGTAGAGTGCAGAGATGGGGACCACTGTGCGAGTAGCTTCCACCTTGCTGCTTGGCCAGACGTTCCAAGATAGTCTGACACCATCGTGATCCTCCACGTCGTCTACGTTCATCTTGTCGAGAGCGCGGGTGTGGATGAAAGGTGCGGATGCAGCAAGTGTGGATGGAGGGGAGTGCAGCCAGACGGTGAGAGCTGAAGTTGCGCAGCAAGTGAGGGAGCGGGTGATGGTTGAAGGTTGAGGTGCACAAGCAAGCAAGCCAGCACGCACGCTCGCTCAACTGCGTGCACAGCGAGCGACTCAAGAAGAAGCGAGAGCAGGCGTGCACCTATACCTGCTGATGGTGCGACACGGCGGCGGCGGGGGATGCCCGTGCCATGCGCCGCACGCAGACGAGAGCGCGGCAGGTGCACTCACGACTCGCGACTCTTCTGACTGTACGTGACGGTGCGCAGGCGCGCGCCTGCGCTGGCGGGCGTAGCGCGCATTTCTCATCTGCGCACCTGCTGCTGCATGCACGCATACTCGACTCGACTCGACTCGTCACTGCCACGCGACATCCAGCATGCACACAGCACATCACACGCGCACACCGCTCAGCAGCAGCACGCACAGCGAGCGGGCTTGCGTGCGCACGGTGGTCGAATCAAGGTGTCCGCCAGGATGAGTCGATCACGTGTGCTTCTTCTTGGCCACTTTTGACTTGACTCTTGACTCTTGACTTGCACATGCACGCACGCACGCACGCACGCACGCACGCACGCACGCACGCACGCACGCACGCACGCACGCACGGTTCTTGCAACAAGTCACGAGTGGAGAGAAGTGGACCGCCTCTTCTCATCATGCTTGCGCTTCTCCTCAAGACCCCATGCTGCGTCAAGGATGTTACATAGATGAGCGAAAGCTAGCTTCTGCATCTCTCTCGGGCAGGTGCATCACCCCAATCTGCCGGCCCAAACTTGAAGCTCAGACATAAGGCCAAGAGCGTGTACCCGCACAGCATGATATGGTCATCTGCTTCAGCTGGCCCTACGAATACGCTGCTACCGGCAGGTGGATGTACGCTGCTACCACGCGCGACGATGTATGCCCCTCGCATGCTCGCAGCTGTCGCACAAGAGAGCCAGCAGCGATGTAGATTCTGCACTCGAGCACGCGCACCAAGAAGCCAGAGTGCTGGGTGGAGAGAGGTCCGTCGGAGCATCTCGTCGAATGCTTCACCAGCTTGGCACCATACAAGAAGCATCAGCACATCGCACCTTCCTCGCGCACCACTTGCACCTGCAGAAATCGCGCCGAGCAAGAGAGTCATCTTTAGCGGCATTCAGCCAACTGGAGTGAGTGGAGGGCATAGCGCAGCGCAGCCCTGGCCTGTGCGAACTCAAAAGAGACTCAACAGACACGTCTGACCATCTTAGACACTCTGCGCAGGTACCTCACGTGAGTCGCATCATCCTATCCTCTGTCTGTCCCGACCACTGCCGCTCAATGCGCACGTGCTCCACCGGCATGCCCTCGCAATCACTCAGCTGGGCAACTACCTCGGCGCGCTACAAAACTGGGTAAAGCTGCAAGATTCGCAGAGGGCACAAGACGAAATGTACCTGTCCATCGTAGGGCTGCATGCCCTTACAGTCCCTCAAAAGGCTGCTCAACTCCGACAAGAAAAGTGGGACATGTTGGCTGCTATCCTCGCCATAGGTATACATCCTGACAAGACCGTCGTCTTTTTCCAAGAAGATGTGAGTGGGCGCCACTGGAGGGAGTCGGGTCCATTCGAGCAAAGCGCGGGTGCTGAGAGTGCGCACGCCCCCCGCCATTCGCGCAGATGCCGCAACATCTCGAATTGGCCTGGATATTGGCGTGCTGCACGTCCATGGGAAAGTTGAATAGGATGACCACGTGGAAGGTGAGCTGGGTCGATCGCCGCGTCTGCTCTCTTACGATTTTCTCCTTGGCGTTGCTGAGGGGCTAATCTCTCGGTGCAGGGCAAATTGGCTGCTCTTCAGAGTGCTTCAGAAAGTGGAGAGGCGACCATCACTTCCAGCGAAGCTTCTTCCCTCAACTTGGGACTCTTCTCTTATCCCGTCTTGCAAGCTGCCGATATCTTGCTCTACAAGTGAGCACGCGCTCAATGACGTTGCGGATGTGTTCAAGTGCCCAAAGAAACTCACTCGCACCGCACCGCACACGTTTACAGAGCGACGCACGTGCCGGTGGGAGAGGATCAGGTGCAGCATTTGGAGCTGGCCAGAGATCTAGCGGAAACGTTCAATAGGCACCATGCGACTGGACAGAGGTATTTTGCGCCACCAGCACATCTCATCAGTGAGTCGTGCGGGCGAGTCCGTATTGTTGTTGGATCGACTCGGTGCATCTGCTCATTCCATCGCCACCACCGCATCGTGGACCCCACCAGCACCGACGAAGCGCGTCTTGTCGCTTCGAGACGCGACGCAGAAAATGTCCAAATCATCGACGGATATCAATTCGCGCATCTTGCTGACGGACGAGCCAGAGGCGATTCGCAAGAAATTAAAGGGAGCAGTGACGGATTCCGAGAGGCGCATCTCATTTGATCCGGAAGCTCGACGAGGCGTTTCCAACCTTTTGCGCATCTGTGCGGCGTTGGACGAGAGCAGGGATGCGCATGGCTGGGCTGAATTGGTGAATGAGAGGGGAGGAGGGAGCGGCATGTTGAAGAGCGTGACGGGAGATGTGGTGCTGGCAAAGTTGGAAGGGGTGCAAAAGGAAATCAAGAGGATCAAGGGGGACAAGGCTTACTTGGAGAAGGTGGCTAGGGACGGAGCTGCAAGAGCGAGAGAGAGGGCGGAGAGGACGATGAGGGAGGTGAGGGAGATGGTCGGCTTTTAGACGGGAGAGTGCTGGCTCGGATGGGCGTTACCTTTTTGCGCCTCGTGCCGCATGGATGGAGCTATGCACGGCCCTTGCTGGAGCTTGTGTGACTTGTGACTGGCTGGCTCGTGTGCGGGGGGGGGGGGGGGGTATGATTAGGCATATTGCCGGCTCGGCTCGATTGTTCGGAACGTGTGCGAAGGGGCGGAGGCACGCTTTTTGCTCGTGATGTGATGGAGGGGTGGGTGTGAGACGCAGCTTACGACGGGGGGCCCGGGCCCCATCGTTCGAATGTGAATGTGAATGTGAATGTGAATGGATGGAGAGAGCTTGATGAGAGTCCACGGCACCGAGTACCGAGTGAGAGGAAGCTCGCGTGGCTGTGCATGTTCGCGATCGAGTCGCAGAGTCGTGAGTGATGCCGCGCATGCACCGCCGTCACGCGCCCGCGGCCGCGCCCGCGCCCACGCAACCGCAACCGCAACCGCGTGTTCATGGTGCCGCGCAGCAGCGCAGTTCCATGCAGGCAGCCATAGCTATACCGGTACACGCAGCAACAGCATGCAGCGACAGCAGCAGCGAAGGAGCGTCAGGCCAACATGTCATGTGCTGCGTGCTGCGAACGCGCGCAGCAGCAGCAGCAGCAGCAGCAGCACACCGCGCGTTGCGTCGGGAAATGTGAAATGTGAATGGAAACCCCATGCATCCAGCGTTGCGCGCGCGAGTTTGGGTGCAACATTCAATTCTCCCTCATCACCGCGTTCACTTTCACCATTCACGATTGATGCGAGACGAGGGTGGCGCATCATCAAGCAAGCAAGCAAGCAAGCAAGCAAATCACCCGGCATACGAACGCAAGGCGAGGGCGAGGGCGAGGGCGAGGGCGAGGGCAACGCAACGCAACGCAACGCAACGCGGCGCAAAGATGCCATCGACGATCACCTCTACGCACAAATCCCTCATCAAATCCACCCTGCCTTCCTCCTCCTTTCGAATCTTGACAGCTACGCAAGCTCGCATCTACGTCGCGCATCCCCATCCTTCCAGTTGGACCTATGCAGGTCTTGAGGGTGCGCTGGCGTTGGTGGTGGACAAGAGCAGGGGCGGATGCGCTTGGAAGCTGATCGATTTAAAGGTGAGTGGGGGGTGGGGGTGCGGGTGTGGGTGCGGGTGTGGGTGTGGGTGTGGGTGTGGGTGTGGCAGATGAAGCGAGATGCTGATCATGCGTGTGTTTGCGCATTCAACCCCCCCGCGTAGGGCACAAGAGGAGTGTTGTGGACGCACGAACTGTACGAACCCTTGTCTTATCATCAAGATCGAGCCTTTTTCCACTCTTTTCCTGGCGATGTGAGTGCGAGTGCGAGTGCGAAGGGGCAGGTTGTGCTCTGCTCGGCCATCCCATCCCCGCTTGCTCACATCGCAGCCTTCTCTTGTGGCTGTGGCTGCGCAGGATTTCTTGATTGGCTTCAGCTTTGCTGATGAGGGAGAGGCAGGGGAGGTGTACAAAAAGATTCAAAATAGGCACAAGTATGGTGAGTGTGCTCCCGCTCCAAGCATGCGATCCCCTCTCCATGACCGTTCGGCTGACTGCTGTCTTGCTTGGCGCCACTCTCCAGCCAAGTCGGCCGGCGCCTCCTCCCTCAAATCGTCCAGCAGCAACAAATCGTCGAGCGCAGGCAAGAAATCCAAAAAGGGCGCTGCTTCATCCAGCGCGGGCACGGGCAAGCTGGACAAGTCGATGATCTCGGCGCCTTCGGACTTCAAACACGTAGCTCACATGGGTTTCTCTAGCGAAAAGGGTTTCAGCAGCAACAATGTCGATCCGACGTGGGGCAAATTGTTGGAGCAATTGGCAGGAATGGGCGTTTCGAGAGCAGATATTGAAGGTAACGAAGGATTCATCAAGGACTTCGTCGCCAATAGGAGAGGCGCTGCTGCTACAGCCTCCAAAGGGACACCATCAGCGCTGTCCAGCACCAAGAAGAAGGTCGCTCCACCCGCTCCCAGTAGAGCTCCCACTTCTGCCCGCAAACAACCTCCGCCTCCTCCTCCAGCGCCGCGGACGAGCACGAGAGTAGCAGCTCCCTCTGCTTCCGCACCACCACCTCCACCTCCTCCCGTAAGAAGCTCAGCAGCAGCCTCTGCTCCACCGCCTCCGCCACCTCCGCCAGCTCGTTCGGGCGGCTCGACAGCTGCTCCTCCTCCCCCGCCACCACCCCCACCTTCATCAGGTCCTTCCCGATCAGCCGGCGCGCCACCACCGCCTCCTCCTCCGCCTCTCCCACCCGGCAGCAGCAACAATGCGCCCGCTGCCCCCGCAAATCTCCCCGCTCCCCAATCGGGCAGATCAGACCTGCTGGCTTCCATCCAAGGCAAGAGCGTGGCGAACCTGCGCAAGACTTCTGGACCTGCGGAAAGATCCGGCGGCGGCGGCAGCGGTTTGGGGGTGGGCAGCGTTGTGGGAGCTGCTGGGATTGCGGGTGCGGGTGCGGGTGCGGCAGCAGCGATGACGACGACGAGGGAAGATAGTCCGGCACCTGCAGAAGATTCAAACGATTTGGCCAGCGCACTCGCTGCTGCCCTATCCGCTAGAAAGGATAACATGGGAGATGATTCGGAGGAGGATGGAAGCGATGAGGATTGGTGAGCTTGCATAGCTGCGTGCCAAGGTGTCAGCCTCTGCTCGCAGTAGACGCCTGGCCGCGCGGTCCTTTTGTCGACTTGTGGTATCCACGACGCGCACAATGTCTTGCGCGCTTGTTTATCCTCACCGCCTGCTTACGTTTTGGCGGGCTGGACGTCACACAATACCTCGAATGCGATGGCACTACTTTTCTTGCACGTGAACATGCCACCGCTTCTCGATTCGCATAGATGCATTTCCACGAGACGGTACAGACGATAAGGAGGGGCAGTGAAAGCAGGGAGTGCATCAAAAGACGCTATTATCGGCGCAGGTAAAAGGCGCGCTGATAGCGTTGGCATCGTCCCTAAAGATGTCCAAAAGTCTAGTTATGGCGACGTACAGTCCCGCGCTGTTCATGAAGAGCGCAATCACAATGATCGCAACGTTTACCAATGCCAAAGTCTTCTTCTTCCAATCCTTGTTGAATGGTCGTACGCCCGTTTGGGCGTCTGGATGCCAATTTAGGTGAAACCAGAATACGCCGCTGATGCCGAAGGTGAACCAGGCTATAAAGGTGGCGGACGAAATGTCGAGGATGCTATCGAAGATGGGGACGGCATTGGCGATGAGGAAAGCGGCGGTCCAAAAGAGGAGTGCGCAGGATATCCAACAAGTCCAAGAAGTCTTTGTGTTGCGCGTAGCTTGATTTTGAGCGCCAAAGAGTTTTAGAGAGACGATGTAGAGGTATTTGATGGCGGTGTGACCAAAGACGAGGGCTGTACCCAGCAGACATGGAAGAGCTATTCCGTAGGCGATCTTTGCGATGGTTGGCGGTGCTGCACCTAGCGCTGGCGAGGTCGTGTATTGACCTGCTAACGCGTACACCACGATGGCCGTGACGACGTAGAGCGTGATAGCTGCGGCTTGAAGCCAAACGAGCGCAGGGACAAAGTCGTGCGAAGCATCCCGCATCTCTGCCATGACGCTCACGAAGCCGGAATTGCCGGCGTACGCGTAGGCTATGTTCAGACATGCGGATAAGCCTTGACTGAAATCTGGTCGACCGATCACTTCGATTCGAACTGCTTCCGATTGCGCAGGCCTTCCTAGTTGAGCCTCGTCGGCCACTCCGAGCGAAATCATGACGATCAGCACGGCTGCAATGATGCTTATCGTGCTCGGCACGCCCACATGCGCCACGAATTTGAACGTCCGGGGCAGGGAAAGGATGAAGGAAGCCAAAGCTGCGAATCCCACGAATCCCGCCGTGCAGAGCGCATTCTCGCTGATGCTATTGAGCGCGGTAGAGATGGTGACGGAGGAGCTTGCGCAGGTCAGCACCAGATTGAGCACAAAGCTGATGCCCACGACGATCTCCAGGGGTCTTCCGCCCAAGATGCGCGCGAAATCGACCATGTTGAGCGCGTGGGGATATCGACGCCAGTACTGCAAGAGCACGTAGGCGGTGTAGGTCGATAAGAGTCCGATACCTATGATGGCTATCACGCCTGGCACGATGCCTAGGATCTGACAAGCGCGAGGTAGGGACAAGATGCCCAATCCTACTTGGTTGGTGAAGAGGATGAGTGCGGTGTGATATCGACCCAAATTCTTGCTCTCCGATAAGATTGTGCCCTTCTCTCTCGACGTCGTCGCTGCTGCTGCTTCGACGACACCGGATGAAGAGGTGGAGGAGGTTGCGTCGACAGGGGTCGGACCTTCGTAAGGTTCCACCGACTCCTGCACCATCGCTCCATGATTCTGCTTTTCCACGTCGTCTTTGGACATGTCCATGGTGCGGGCGCGTGTGCGATCGATTTGGCTGAGGGATCTGTGATTGGAGGGAAGCTACTTGACTGTGATTAGGGGTTGGGAAAGGGGGAGTGTCTCTTGCGTCGAACAATAGCTGACCCGACTTAAATGAGAAGCGCCAGATATTCGGAGCCTGCCCATCCCCCCTTTCAGCGTATCGTGACACGCTTCTCTTTCGTGCGTGCGTATCCCAACTCGCTATCATCCATACTCGTGTTCCTTGAAGCTTGTCCAAAGATAAGTGTAGCACACTTTCGTCAAGCCCCGCCCTGCTCGAGCTCTGGGCGTCTCTATGATCGGGAGGGGGCCCCCCCTATCGCGCTGCCTCACACCGCGAACGACGACATTATCAAGTTTTTCTTGGCATCGTTGTGGTCCACCAAACACGCGCATTCACGACTGGCGACTCATCAGGCGACTTGCACGCACCGGCGCTGCCCTTTCTCCCGATAGATGAAATGTTAAAGGAGCATAGTCCACTACTACTACTGCCACTACTACTGCTGCTGCTCGACCTTACAATCACTTTCTCGTGTCTTTATCGCCGCGGGGTCGGCAGCGGGCGGCGGCAGCGCTCATCATGCCCCAGAGGACCTCTCGTGAGTATAGGTCTGCTGTTCATTCTTGGCGTTTGCAGGCCAACGAAGCAGGGCATGATGCCCCGCTCCGCTCCGCTTGAAGAAGTGGCTTGCTTGCTAGCTGCGACACTCACGATTGTGATTTGATTCTTGCAAGATTTCCATGCAGGCATAGAGTCCACATGTTCCGCCCCCCCCCCCCCCCCCCCCCCCCCCCGGCGCGCGTGCAAAGGACGAATCAATCGTGAATCAAGAAGCCGCGCCACGACGGATGACGGATGTGACATCGGTGGCTTATGCATTGCTCGGCCTCCATGCATGCATGGGCCTATACAGCACTCAACACTGGTTTGCCCGAGCCCAGCAGCGTCCGTCCGTACACGTCTGCAAAAGCAAGCGCGCGCGCGCGCGAGACAAAGACGCCGAGCCCAGCGCAAGATGCTTGGCAAGCCGCAGTGCTGCTGCACCCGCGCGCGTGGACCTCGACAGGCACTTTCCTGCCTGCATGCGCACCTGTGCGTAACTCACGTCCAGGTTTCTGGTAGGACACTACTACTGTACGTAGCGCTTCACGCAGTCAAGAGTCAAGCGTAGTGGGCGCTCGCTGTCCGTCGACCATGTAGAGTTCGAGTCATGGGCGATTGCGTTTGGGAAACAAGTACAGGATTTTGTAAAGGGGCAGCAAATCAAGGTGTGATAGATTGTTTGGCAAGAGCTTGCTCGTGAGCACGTCGTCGAAGCGCCAAATCATCCCAAATTGGGCGTATGCGTAGCTGAAAGAAGGGGGGGGGGGGGGGGGGGGGGGGGGGGGGGGGGGGGGGTCTCACTTGCAGTGCGGCAAGGTGGTGCGCGAAACATTCTCAAGCAAGCTGGGAAACGCTTTTCTACCTCCCGCGAGGCAAAGTAGCGCCTAATCTTCTCGCCAAATTTCCAACCGGTCCAGCAGCCGCGCCCTGCGCTTCCAAACTGCTCATCATCTCCTGCAGCATCCTCGCCCTCTGCGCATTATCCAACGTGGCGGTGGCGCTGGTGCTGGCGCTGGCGGCGCCAGCTTGCTCCTCTGCACGCCTGTCCAATAGGTTGGATGCGGGTCCAACGGGTCCAAAAGTTTCTAATCGACCTAGCAACTTTTCTAAAAGTTCTTGATCTTGCAATGAGAGCGCCTCTTCCTCTTCAGACTCGTCGTCGTGCGCATCTGCGTCCGCGTAGATGCCCGATGCGCCTCTGCTGCTGCTCTCGGTGCCGGGCATACGCATAGGCGCAGGACGTCGAACAGGTTCCGCGTCGTCCATGTCCATGTCCACATCCGCATCCACATCCACATCTCCCTGTTGATCCGCCTGCTTCTTTCGAGACAAGTGCTTCTCCAGCTCCGCATCGAGGGAGCGCATCAAATTCTCGAACCCATCCAAGGGCATCCTCTTCTCGCCTTGCTGCTTCTCCTCCTTTGCGCTCTGGGCTCGCAGGCCGGGGCTCTGCTGCGTCGAGATCGTGCTCGCCTTGCCCGTCTCTAGCGGCTCTGCTCGCTCCTGCACCTCCAAGCCTATCCGCTCAGGAACAAACCTTGCTCCCCTTCTTCTCTCATTCAAAATCTCCTCGTACTCCTCATCGCTCAATCCCAATTCCTTCTTGGCAAACTGCAAAAAGCCATTCAGATCCTCCTCTTCGTTTGGTCCTTCGTGCCCCCACACTTCTTGCGCTTCCACCAACACTTCTTCGTCCGGCGTCAGGTCTAGCACAGAGGCGAGATGCGCGCGTTCTTGCGTCGATCCCATGTTCTTGGTACTTTGTCGGTCGGATTCGCTGTAGCTATCGCTGTCGCTGTCGGAGTCGGAGGCGCCGTCGTAGTGAACCGAAGAGAGCGGGGGTACCGAGTTGGACGGGGGTGCTGGAATATCCCTCGAAACGGCATCCATCCGCATAGCCGCATTCGCAGCTTTATCGCTCAAGGTTTGGCTTCCCAGTACCGTTTCAGATACTTGTGCTTCGGCCCTCTGCTTTCCTGTACCCTGGGACGTCGTCGAAGCTTCACTTCGACCTGCTCCTCCCCATCCCTCCAGATCAGCAAGCGGCAAATTGTTCAAAACGGCCCTCTGTCTTTCCTGCATCGACATTTCCCGCACTCTTCTCCTGGCTTCGCTCAAAGTACTTCCTTTGTCATCCCTCTCCTCCTCTTCTCCTTCCTCCTCCTCATCGTCCTCGCCCATCTCATCCTCAAAAATAGCCCCATCCACGTCTCCTTCAGCGCCCACAAACTCTTCCAACCTCTTCGCAAAAGCCTTCAACTGCTCATCCGCCAACTCTTCCTCCGCTTCCCTTTCGCTCTCTTTCGCATCAACCTGCCCATCTTGTTGCTCTTCAAAATCCAACAGAAAAGCCTCGTCGTCCTCCAGCGTTGAGAGGACGGATTCGGAAAGAGAGTCGTCTATCGACGAGACTGCGTGCGAGAGAGGGGAATGATCAAGCACGCTTCTGACTAGCGGCACGATCTCATCCGTCTCCCGTCTATGCGCGGCGGGGCAAAGAGCCAAAGAGAGGTCCTCCCCTCATCAGTCCCGACTCGCTTGCCACACGTCTTCGTCTCGTCGACCCCGCGTTGGAAAAGGAAGACTCACCCGTCTATCCCTTCCTCTGAGCCACCACCTCGCCGAGCCGAAACAGCCTGCCTCCAGAGCCTTACCGCGACCTTTTCCAAGTCCTTCCACCTCTGACTACCGCTCATTTCCTGCTCAAAGTATCCCAAAGCGGTTAGGGATCCCAAGAAGCGCTGATACTCTTGAGTTTGGCAGATCGTAGACTTGTCCGCGAGCGAGACATGCAGGGTACAAGGAGCGCCGATTTTGGGTCAGTTTTCCCCTCTTCGAGGCGCAAGGAAGAAGATTGGAGCTGCCAGGAAAGGCGGGGCGAACTCACGTCGGATGGATCATCGAACATGCTCCTCGTCATCGGACCTCTCCTCATCGCAGCTTCGTAGAGCAGCTCCAATCCCGTGCTCAGCTTCACTCCCAAATCTCTTCTTCTCGCTTCTTTCTCACCCACGCCTGAAATTTCCCCGCTCGATGCGTCTTGTCCTGTTCGCGCTTCCCAAAGCGATTGCACGGCTCGCCGAGCACCTTCTCCCCAGATCTTGGGAGGATAGTAGCGAGCGGCTGTCAAGAGAGCGTAGAGATGCTTCGTCATCCTGACCCTGACCAACACCAAGCCCTCCTTGTGCTGCGCAAAGTGTTGCTGATCCTGATCAGCGTCTGCGCGCTGGGTAGCAGGACCAAAGACCTTCATAGCGGTGGCCACTCTAGCATCTGCCGGTCCTTCCCTCGCTAGAAATGCCCGTGCTACACGTCCCATGAGGTTGGCATCGCTGTTCAGAACGCTAGCAACGGTTCTTGGTGCGTACACCAATGTGGAATGCTGTGTCTGTCGAGCCCAGACGGGAGAGGGATAGCTTGGCATGCGCGCTGCGATGGCCCTCGTAAGACCCAGATGGAGCGTCTCTTTATGATTCGAGCGCGCGCGAAGAATGTCGAGCGCGGTATTTGTATCCAAAGGACCTGCCGCTTGGATGGATGAGGTTTGCATCGCGGGCATTTCAGATGTGGACTCGGAGGAGGAGGAGGAGGACAGCGGTTGACCTGATGCCAGACGAGGAGGAATGAGATGCACGTGACCTGAATAGAGCCAGCATCTACCGCTGGCATTTGCAGGATCCACCCAATGGGGCAACTCTTCTGCTCCTTCGATGCACACCAACTCTCCATCCTCATCCTCCACCCTCGCCGCCAATCCCGCGCCGCCGCCGCCCCCGCCCGCATGCGATGTGTGGTGGTGCGGGAATGAGCTTAGAAGCAAGCGAGAGTGCGCATCTTCCGTCCAGCGACGGAGTAGATGAACGACCAACCACTCATCCTCCACCGACGCTCCATGTCCCCTCAACACGATGCGCACGCACTCTCCAACGATGTCCAATCTAGGCTCTTCTGTATTCCAAACATACCCGCAGCGGCGCTCCTTCTCCTTCTCCCTCTCCATCTCCTCCTCCTCCTGCTCCGCTTTCGAGCATATCTGCCGCAGAAAGAGTTGCAGATCTGCTTGGAGCAGCGCCAAGAGGTGTTGAAGCTGCGAGTGGGAGAAGGAGTGTGGAGGGTAGATGAAGCCGCGCAGTTCGGGAGCTTGCTCGGCTGAAGCGGTAGAGGCTAGGCTTAGCAGTTGGGAAGAGGTAAAAGGCAGGCCGGATGAGCGGCTCATATTGTGTGTGTGTGTGAGAGAGAGAGAGAGAGAGAGAGAGAGAGAGAGAGAGAGAGATGGATCGGTTGAAGCTTGTAGGGTCGATAGGCGGGGGATCAGCAACAAGACGTTGCTGGTGCTGGTGCTCGTGCTGGTGCTGGTGCTCGTGCTGGTGCTGGTGCTGGTGCTTGTGCTCGAGCTGATGCTCGTGCTTGTGCTGATGCGGGTCGCGTGAAGAAGAAGCAGTCGAGTGAATGCACGATGGGATCTCTGCGCCTGCCTGCAAGTCGCAAGAGTCGCAACTCGCAATCAAGTGCAGCAGGAGTGCAGGAGTGTGAGTGCAGGACAGACGCGGACAACACGCACGCACGCGCATAAATATATGCGCACACCTCCACTCCTCTTTCTCGTACGACAAGGATTGGCTTTCCGGGCATGGCACTGATAGTAGCACCGCCATGCACCCCGCCAGCCTGTGCACCTGACTCGCGTTCTCAAGACCAGTCACCAATCATCATGCGCTCATTCCATCCCATCACCTCCAGACTCTCATCCAGCCAAGCCTAGGAATACCGCACCGCACGCTCAACAGGGGCATCTCTGCTTCCCCCCCCCCTCTGACCCTCGCTCCACCACGCAACAAAGAATGGCAAGACCAACTCGCGCATCGGCAACTCAAGCGCGCGCATCTCTAGCTCGAGCATACGCATCAGGTTCGCGCGCAGCCTCAGCTTCCGATTCCGACTCGGATGCGGACGGAGAGATCGGAGCTTGGGTAGCGGAAGAGGCGTCTGATAGTGCGGATGATTATACGCTGGAAGGAGATGGGGATGAGGATGGGGACGGGGATGGGGCGGAAGAAGAGAGCGAGGGGGAGGGGGATGAAGAGAGCGGGAGTGGGAGTGGGAGCGCAAGTGTGACGCCTAGCCTGCAAGGGAGGAAGGAGAAAGAGGATGTTGGAGGCGCCAAGAGAAGGACAAAGAAGAGACCAGACACGGGCAAGAATGATCGAGTGCGCAAGAAACGCACGTCGGGCCAGGCACAGGCACAGGCACAAGCACAAGCACAAGCACAAGCACAAGCACGTGCAAGCGTAGCAGAGAGCACGAGGCGCGGTCCGATGGCATCGGCAGTGGCAGTGGCATCGGCATCGGCATCAGGTTCGCGTTCCATGCTTCGCACCAGCCAACTGTCCCTCAGCAAGGATAGGGACTCGTACAGATCGTACGTGGAGCGAGTGGATGGCATCCGCTCGCTCAGAGCCCTCTCCTCGTGGATCCCAAGCACCTGCACCCTGCTCAAATCTTCCCACTGGCCCTTTGACATCTCTCCTGCTAGGGTGGAGAGCGTGGATAGGAGAAGGGCGTACGACGTGCTGCGAGAACAGAAGAGCGGCGATGTTGCGCTGCCTCGCATCATCAACCTGGCTTGGAAAGGCTGGCATGTGCGAGAGCATGATTGCGCATGGTCGCAGCATCACGTGTCCTACAGAGTGTTGACGGATCAGTGAGTCGTTGCGCGGCTTGGCGTTGGCGTTGGCGTTGGCGTTGGCGTGCATCGGCAACCTGCTCTCGTCTTGGCTCTTTCCGCAACCGGCAGATAAGGAAGCGCACTGACTTCATCATTCCCCCGGCCCCCCACTCCACCAACAGACAAGCCGCACCATACAAGCGTTCCCCTCTCGCGCCTCGCAGCGATGCCTCTTCGCATTCGCAAGCGCTGCTGCATCCTACTCAAGTCACCGACACCTTTCCACCCCCTCACGCGCTACATTTCAACGAGGCGCACGTGCACACGGGCGATACGGTGCGCTTACTTTTGGGTGCGGCGCCATCAAGTGCGAAAGAGTACGCGATCAAGCGTGGTCAGAGCCAGTCTCTAGGTGAGAATGAGAAGGTGTGACTCCGCATCCAAGGCGCCTTTCAACAAGACCGGCATTTTCTCCTTGCCTGGGACTGAAAACGCTCGCTTCTGTTTGGCTCTCTCTCTCTCTCTCGCGCTCTCTCTCGCGTGAATGCTTGCGTTACGAATCCGCCCTCCCACAAAAGCTTCGATAGGATTACCCAAACCGGGAAGCCACTTGCTGAATACCGGAAGACCAATCTTGTCACTCGATTGGTGTCCCTTGCGGTCCGATTGTTCCAGTGAGTGGCTTCCTTCATCTCCCTTTTCCGCGAGGACTGCGCAGCAGGACCTCTTGTTCACTCTGCCCTCTGCACGGCACCCTCTCGTGGGCGATAGCCGAAGAGTACCTGGCCATCTCGTGCGCTTCGAGCAGCGAACGCAAATATTTCGGTAGACCTGCTCCTCCTTCTCCCTCCTCTTTCCCTGCATCGTCGACCGACTCCTTTTCCGTCGAATCCGTGCCTGACAATACGGCACAGCCGCAGCAGGCAGAGGCCGAGCAAACGACGAGCTGCGTACAGATTTGGAACGTCGGTGCGAACAAGGAAGGAGGAGAGGCGAAGTTGAGCTTGTTGGTTTGCTTTGCGGAAGGGGAGCAGGCTGGGCAGCAAGCGGAGAAGAAGGGAGCAAGGAAAGCACAAAGAGGAGATGCGATTCAGATCGAATGGTGTCCCGTCGCACATCATGTGAGTTTCGCATTGCTCCTCCCCCTCCCCCCCCCCCAAGCAGAACAGAGTGGGGGGGGGGGGGGGGGGGCAAAGCATGAGCTTCTGCTAGAAGTCTGCAGAGACTGGCAAGGCGCGCGCTTAACTTCACAGACTCGTTGCCCCTTCTTTGCCAACCATCCACTCCTTACTGCGCGCGCGTCCCCCCCCCCAGACGAGCAAAAGATTGGGATTGCTGGGATGCCTGTTTGAGAATGGTAGGTGGGAAGTGTACGATGTGCCCCACCCTTTGCTCGTCCAACCTTTATCTGCTGGAAAGAAGGAGAAGGAGCCTTGTGCTGGTGCGTTCGAAGACTGCCTTGATCGCTTGCTTGCACTTTATCAAACGGGGCTCACACTGTCTCGGCCCTCTCGCGCTCGCCCCTCGCCCTCGACAGTCACGCTGCAACCCATCTTTGGCGCTTCTTTGCGCTCCGACTTGTTCACGTGCTTTGCGTGGGGCGGACAAGAAAGGGTCGCCATGGGTTGCGCAAGCGGTGAGCCTCGTCGGTCTCCCGCTTTGCTCAAGGGGTCCGCAAGCTCAAAAACAAACTTTTTGCACGTCTGCATTCGCTGGACAGGACATGTTGCGGTGTATGGTGTTGGCGATGCGTTGAGGTGCGAATCAGCATCATGTGAGTAGAGGGGGGTGCCCTTACCCCGCGCGCGCGCGCGCGCGCGCGCGCCTTTGCAGCCTTGTGCCCTCGACGCCAACACTACAACTTTCCGCGACAGGTAGACCTTCGCACTACGTCGAAGCCTCCGAAGGTCCCGTCACTACGCTCTCCTTTCGCATGCTGCCCCCTCTACAAACCTCGCTGGATGAAGGGGAGGAGGGAGCTGAAGAATCGACGAGGCTTTACGTGGAAAAGGAGGATGCTTTGCCCAGCGTGCTCTTTGCGGGTGGGATGGATGGATGCGTGAGATTGATGGATCTGGACGCTTTGCCGGGAGGAAGGGTGAACTTGCATCATTATCGAAGTGAGTTGATCCGCGCCGGCGCGCCTTGACGCGCATGCCATCACTCCACGACTTGTCCCATTCGCACCTGATCATCTTGACCCCTCCCCCTTGTGCACTCTCTTCACTGAACGCCACGCACAGACTTGAACCATTGCTCCACCTTTTCACCACATTTCGGAAGCTTTGTGTGCGACAAGGTGGAAGGCGATACGCTCACGCTCGTCAATATGCGCGCGCTAGGCTACGGCTCTCAAAAGAGTCTACTAAGAGCTTCTGGACCTTTTCAAGTGAGTGGCGGTGTGGGGGGGGGGGGGCCATCTGCAAAGGGAGCATTCACGTCCCCCCGCTACCATTTGCCAGAAAGCTCGAGCTGACGAAACAAAAACACACACACACCCACCCACACACGTGCGTGCGTGCGCGGTGGACGGCAGACTGTCAAGGCCAGCTACAATCATCCGCTTGTTGCTGCAGGGAGCGCAAATGGAGGCGTGTACCTGTTCAACCTTGTCAGGGTCGCCGCTACAAGGGGTCCAAACAAGGTGAGCAAAGCCCAGCCAGCCAGCCAGCCAGCGTCCGCGCGCGCGCCACCTCCGGCACGGGTATGGTCAACGTGATTGGCTGACCGGGGCGCGGCTTCGTATAGGCCAACGTGCTGCTCTTTAGGCTGGAGGTGAACAGGTCGACAGGAGAGCTGCGCATGCTCGACGATTTCTTACCTCGAGTGAGTGCTCAACATCGGTAGCGACAACAATGAGGGGGGGGAGCGGGTGCTCACGCCGCTCGCTGGCTTCGCTCACCAACCATGAACAAAACAGGCGTTTGCAGAGGAAGGACACGGGTCGAGTTGGATGCCTTGCATAGGCGTTCAGAGCGTCGCTTGGTCGCCCAACGTCGGTAGGGCTACATTGCTAGCTTCTGGAACGGGTACGGGTCTGGTCCGGATCGACTGGTGCGCACCATCCCAATCTGCCGGTCATCCCGTCTTCGACTAGGTGGGGCAAGCAAACGTCGGCCTCTGGCGCGGGCGCGGGCTCGGGCTGGGGAAAAATGAAAGTTGACGCGGGAATGCGGGCAACGAATGTAGCATACAATCACAAGGGGGGCGCGTTTCTGATCGCCGTTTTTTACTGCTTGCGGCGGCCATTGTACAAGCGCGAGAGGGAATTTCGGTTCGCTATGCTATGCTAAGCTTGCAGCCGCCGTCGCCGCCGCCGCTGCTTCGAGAATGCGATCGTCGCGACGAGGTTGGGATCTGGATGCGTGCGAGCGGGTCTGACTGCTGATCGTCGCTTGTCTGCTCCTCATGCTGGGACGAGTATCGCTGCGTTCAGGTCGAAGCTTCTCGAACGCAGGCGCGCTGAGAGGCGCTACATCTGCGCCTGCGTCCGCGCCTGGATGCCCCTCGGAACCGGCCAAATGAACTTCGAACCGGCCCAACCTGCGCAACTCTTTGAGTTCCAACGTACGGCTGTTGGATAGGCGTTGCGGAATGTCGGAAGAGGAGAGCAGCGCGGCTAGTTGGATGAAGCTGTGAGAGGGTATCGGGGGGGACCCCCCATCGGGCCTTCCATCAGCTTCGCTTCTTCGTCCGTAGAGACCCACTTCTTTGTCTTTTTTTTTGCGCACCAACGCGCGCGCGCGCGCGCACTCACCTGGTTCCTGGAATGATGAGATTGATGCGCTCGTAGGATCTGCTAGGTCGGACGAGGTAGGCCAATATGCAAAGCACCGCAATGCTTCCTACCAGACCCACAAAGATTGGCCAAGCATTCAGCTGCAACTCGACGGCATTGATGGTGGAGAGCGCGAATGGGAGTTGCAGGTCATCGGCGCTGCTGCTGCTGCTGCCCAGCTCCCACAGGTTGGAGGCTGGCGCATCGACATTTGGAATGGTCGATCGGATGGGTAGGAAGCCTTTGGAATTGTTGACGGGGACGTGCAGATCGGAGGCAAAGTGAAAAGCTTCGCGAGAGATGGCGTAGTAGGACCACGCCTTTGAAGTGAGAGGCACCGCGTGAGTTTTGTGCTGGAGAGCGCGCATTTATTCCCCCCCACCCCCCACCCTCTGCGCTCCTCACTCACCGTCACGTTCGCCAAGCTTTCCTCGATCAAAGCGAGTGTATTCTTCCTTTTCAAGTCCTCCTCCGTCAAGTTGCGAGTGGGCAGATTGTTCTCGTCCATGAACAGCGCGTACCTAGCTTTCCACAGCTGCTGAGCAAAAAAGGATTCTGCCATGGTGTCGATGTGACACGTACCTCCAGGTCTAGAGATGCAAGCTGCAGTGTTGCGCGACGTGGTGGCGGGATTGCCGGTGGGCGCCGAGCTGACGTCCAGGATGGATCCTGCGGTCAAGGCTAGCAGGTTGTGGGCGTACGTGTCTGGAGCGTACAGAGCATCGGCATTGCGCGCAGTTGGCATCCAGCTACCCCATTCGCGCGTGGCGTAGCGCGATTGACGAGCGGGCTGCGAGTGGGAGAGCAAGAGATTGCTGGACATGTCGATGGACACGTTGGACACGGGCTCGACGAACACTGTGCATCCCAATACCGTCTGCCAAGATGGGGCGCGCGCGCGCACAGACAAAGGAGTTGAGCAGGCACGCATTTCGGCGACGTGGTCGCATCTGTCGACACTCACGGCGCTCATATTCAGGAATGTGGGTCTGCCGTCATCGCCCGTCAGGGTAATCGTTCCATTGACGCGGTAGCCTCCTTGTTTGCCGTTTAGCTCGATGGCAGCATCTGGAGCAGAAGCTGGAGGTGGATACATGGTAAAGGGAAGTCTTGGACCGCCATTACCCTTGGCGTCGTAGTTGGGCCCAACATCAAAGGACAAGTCCGGATCTTCTTGGTTCAAGAGGTACATGAAGATGCTGCGCGCGCGCGGAGGAACTGTCCGTCAGCTTCGGCGCGGCACGAATGCTACGCAGACGACAACGCACTTGCGTCCATTGAGTACGTTGAGCATGTCATCACCGGGAACAGGTTGGGTGCGGAGCAACCTGGCGCGCGCTGGGATGTGTGGGGGCGGCGCCGATCAAAGTGTCAGCCGTGCGCGTTTGTGCGGGGGGCCCTTGCCCCTCCCACCTGTCCCCCTTCACCCGACCCACAAAGCTGATTTTGATATTTGCCAGCCCAGCCGGATGGGTTGACGAAAGCAACATCATCCACCAAGTTGAGCTGCCAGTCCAAGTTGTTGATGCCGTTGGTATCGTACGCTGCCACGTCGGAGATGTTGCTGCCGCCGATGGTAAAGTTTAAGCGTATGGAGTGGAAGCTGCCGTCAAAGGGTGCGACGGTAGCGTTGAGCGCAGCTCTTTCGGGCGCGCCGCACTTGACGTCCACATCGTACGCCTTGACCAGGGCGGTGCCAGGCGTGACATCGGAAGGCGTCAAGATGTCGTAGATTCGCGAGCCGGACAGTCCGGCTCGAGCGGTTTGAAAGTCTTTGGTGAGGATACCATCTACGCTGTAAGCTGGTTGCGTGTACGTTGGCCGATTGTCAATGTTCATGGACAGATTGGAGTAGGGAAAGAAGGAGAGCGAGGCGGGAGCGTGGGTGTTGACGGCGGAAAGGGTAAAGATGGCAGGCAAGAGGGCAGAGATGAGACTGCATCCGCCCAGGTACAACAGGATGAGCAGCTGAATGGCGATGGAGCGCGCACGCGCAGCAGCAGTGAGTGAGTGAGTGAGTGAGCGAGTGCGTGTGCGTGTGCGTGTGCGTGTGTGCCCTCAACGTCCTCGCTCGCCTTTACATCTCTCGCGCGCGCACTCACCGTGGTGCTCCTGCCTCCTGGCCAGTCGCCGCTGGATCTGAACGCTTCTACAGCGCTGACCAGACCACCCCAGGCGCTGAGCGTCTCGCTGATACCAGTCATCGTTCCGCCCTTGATGATGGCTCTCTGCGTCGCAGCTCTGACGGCCAAAGCACCGCACACGCCCAAGAAGAGGGCAGCAATGATGCTCATGAGAAAATTGAGCGCGGATTGCGCTTGAGCTAGCAGACCGATGGGAATGCGCGTGGGAAAAGAGTGATGTTTGGCAAAGCTGGAGTTGGCGGATAAGCCCAGAGATTGGCCCAGAGCGGATGTGGATGCGCTGCTGCTGCTACTGCTGCTGCTGCTGGATGGAGAGGCGGATCGAACAGCCCAAACGATGGCTAGAATGAGGAAAAATACGAGGAGCAGAATGTGCAGCGCGATGGCCAGCAGACTCCTCTTGCGCGCCGAAAGACCTCCTCGTGCGGAAGTTTGATCTGCTAAAAGCGCTGCTGCGGGGGTCACATTGGCATGGTCCATTGCGCACGCCCTCGCGCTCGCGCTCTTCTCGTCATTGCAGTCGAGACAATCGCATGGTCCAGGTGCGGCAGCAGCAACAGCAGCAGCACCACTGCGAGCTGCCTCCGCTTGACAATCGTCGCAGTCGCACTCTGATTCAGCGTCGTCGCGCATACATTCCGCACAATCGCAAAGCTCTTCCACTTGTTGCGTGGGCGTGCTCCTGTACCGCATCTTGGCGGATCGTGGTGGTGGTGGTGCAAGTGGTTTTTAACGAAGACTGGATGAAGAGATGGTGAGCGTCCACAAACGTGAATGCATACGTCGTGCGAGAAGCGCAAGACACGATAGCAAGCAGGGGAAATGAAGTGGCAGGCAGGCAATCCCAACGCACCTCCTCTCCCACCCTTTAGCGTCCCCCCAAAAGTCTTGCAGTAGACGGCGGCGCTCAACAAGCTTCATGCTCGCTCGTATACCTCTGTGCCTGTGAGATTCGTGGACTTGCATTGTCCGCACGTCTGCTCCGATAAGAGTAGAGTCACAATATCTAGCCTTGTGCTCCATATTCGCAAAATTCAGCTGCAAGGTGGGGCGGTGCATGCGAATCCGCGAGTCGCGAGTCGAGTGGGCGTTTGCGAGGGCGGCGTGAGGGAGGCGCGTGTGCTTGAGCCTGCCCGCCCCAATCCAGAGGGGACGCTACGCTTGATCTAGCCAGCCAGCCAGCCAGCCAGCTGCACGGACTCCCAAAGGAGCGCCCAATTGCGCTTGAGCCTAGGGCACGTACAAAGACCCGCGACATTTCACCATTGCTGTGTTTCACCATTGTGATTGGCGATCTCTAGCTGGCACACACGCGGCATGGGCGATCCAAATGTGAATACCTTCTTCTCTCTGGCCCAAAAAAGCAAACTCGATCGAGGGGTGGCGGGGAGGGCACGCACGACTCAGGAACATCCGCTGCATGCATGCATGCATGCGCTTCTCCATCGCCGACGCCTTTTTAGCGTGAGCGAGGCGGCTCAACGCTAGGGGCGGGGCGGGGCGGGGGCGGGGGCGGGGGCGAGGGCTCGTTCAGTAGCAGCATATCGGTACCATGCATGCCTGCATGCAGTAGCTGATGGTTGGGATGTGCATGCGTGCATGGATGGGCGTGAGGGTGGTGCGTGAGAGCGTGAGCGTATTATTATTATTGTTCTATCGACTCCGCGGGAAAGATCGGGGGGTGTGTGTGGCGAGCGAACAAGTCGGGTGCGTGAATCTCGATCGAGTCACGATCGAGTGAACGGGCTCTTCTTCTCACCCAACTATCCATCCGCTGCCGAAGCATGCGGTGCGGTGCGGTGCGGTGCGGTCATTCGATTTCTGGTCAGGATGTGGATCTGGCTGTGCACTGCACTTGCTCGCCCATCACGCATCCAACTCCTGAATCTTTCCATTCACGTGATTCCCTCCATTCACATCCACGCCCGCCCTCGCTTGTCGAGTTGTTTGATTCTGATTCAGATTGCACCGCCGCGCCAAATAGCGCGCTGCATGTCGATCCTGGGGCCACGCACACACGCGCGCACGCTCGCACGCTCGCTCTAACCTCGTGATTCGTCCCGCACGCGTACCGAAACGTGAAATCAAAAAGGAGCGCTTCGATCGATCGCGACCCGAAAGTGCGGTGCGGTGCGGTGCGGTTGGCCGGCTTGCACGCATGCATGCGGGTTGTCGTTCTTGCAGTCACTCGCACTACTACTACATCAACACTCGAGCCAGTCACAGCAGCCGTAGGCTCACAGCTAGCGGGTTCCTAGCTGCATGCACGCTCGCTCGCTCAATGTGAATGCGAGTATTATTACCCCTCACGACTGTTCGCGCGTGCAAAGCCCTTGTATAGGAATTTGTGTAGCGAGTCGCCAGTAGTGTCGTCCGTCCTTCTTCACTCGAAAATTGCTCTCCATTCCCGTGATCCTGTTTCCACCTCGCCATGCATGCGCCAGCGATTGAACTCTGCAGCGGCAACTTTTGTGCTCGGACTCGGGCCTGGGTCGTCTCGCAAGTTTCCAAAGTCCCGGATATCTTTTGCCTGCTCTTTGTCCTCCTCAACACTTTCCCCGCCCCGCGAGTCGCCCAGCAGCGCTCGGCTTTGTCAGTCACTGCCAACAATCTCGTCGATCAAGCAGCAGTCACGAGTGGTGAGTCTGGAAACGTTGCAGTCAGTCACGCGTGTTCCTCGCTCGCTCGCCCTCGTCAAGGGGACACAAATCACTGCCTGGCTCTGATCCGGACCGGCTTCCAATTGAGCTGCACGGCTACCCTTATAGCTGTTTGTGGACTCTGCTGACCTGCTGCATGATGACTTGCCCCGCTCAATTAAGC